GCTAATCCAACTATGAAAATATCAGGTTGCAAAACGGCATAAAACACAAATCAGTGGGAATGAACGAGTGGCTCTGAGCTCTTCTTAACCATACTGAAACGTCCAAGAGCACACACAGAAAGCCACTGAATAATGTGCTCTTTTTCCTGCTCACAGCTTCTACTTCTTCCAGAAAAGTCCCCAGACAATTGCCGTTTGCGGCTTAAGTATCTCTTGCACCCCTGACACGTGGATCAATGGCTATTGACGTCATTCCGTGCGGCGGGATTAGGATGGAGCGCAAAAATGAGTGCATGTTGAACCGGGGGGATTTTTCCGTTTTGAGATCGGTTAAATCCGCAATGAACACGTATTTTGTAGATCCTTGAGCAAAAAATCATAAAAGCACGTACCTTGAGAGCTTCAAACATGTGCAGACTTCGCTCGATTGACGAGCGCAGTCATGCGTCCAACGTTTTTGGTTCTCGTTTCGGTTCCACACGATTTCAGCCCCGGCGCGCAGGTCCAGAAGAGAAGGAGGATTTTCTTCTTTTCCGCTTATTCTCACCAGATCTTCGCCGCGGAGTGGCTGGAATGAAAACACGCAATTTTTTATGCACAACGTCACATCATACGACTTCCTGTAGCGGAAAAGAATGAGAAGAAATAACAGAAAAATAAGGACCACTGTTTTCATGGAAAAACGTTCCTGGGCACAATTTGCATCGAGAAAGTTCGAATCTTAATCGAATCCATTTAATCGGATCTAAGAAAGTGAGCAGAAGTTTTCGTAGGCGGATGCTCTTTTTGGCAAATACGAATGAATTTGGATGGAATTGGCACATGTCCTCTCCTCCTCCTAGTTTGAATTGACCCGAGGGAGTACTCACTGAAAAGTGTCCGCAAGAAGTTGGAAATTTAGAGAGCCCGTTAAGAGCGATGGGATAGAGGGCGTCCATCCAGCGCCCGGGAGCCAGAGGTCCAATAAAAAACGAGGAGATGGGGAAGAAGAAGAAAAAGGGGGGGGTCAAAAAGAGTGGATTGGAGTGGTTTCTGAAGAGCATTAAAGTCACTAGTTCAAATCTTTTTGTAGGGAAAGGGCGCCTACTTCTACGAAAAGTTCGAGTTGGTTCAACTTTTCATTGTCTTGAGTAGCCCAGCCGTTAAAGGAAAAAGTAAGTACTAGAACTAGTACTATAGCAGTATTGAAGTTTATCACTAGGCTTATTCCATAGACGGCTTGAAACAAAACAATTGAATTACGCAATGTAATTTTTGTGTTGTTTCATGAGCACTTTTACTGGCCACAACACATGTTCTGATGTTTCTTCTTTCTCACAAAAGATGAAGACGACACGTCTGAGACAAAAATAGAAATGAAAGTTGAGAATCTGAAAAAATAATAAAAATGAGTTATTTTTGGATTTTCTTGGGGAAAAAACTTGAAAATAACTCAAACAGCGCAGTTTTTCTAGTCGGATGAATCAAATTTTGACATTTTTCAACTTATCAACACCACACATTCCATCCAATCGAAAAAACGACAATATCAGCTAATTCTAGAAAGCTGACTGAGTGCACACGTACCTCAAAACACAGACACAAAAAGAGAATGCAATTTGTGATTTGGCTCACTAGCTGACTAGTCCCCGTTCAAAATCTGTCGGCAAAGTAATTAGTAATAAACAAAAAAGGAAATCAGAAGGAAGACGACTGAAAAAAAGAGTTGACGGAAGAGAAAGAGAGTAGAAGTGAGAGCGGGAGTACGAGCAGAGATAAATGGCGCCCCCACGACGTCGTCTCGAGAAGTGGTCGGGAGAGGAAGAGAAGTAGAAGCGCGCGGTCGGCCGACGCTGCCTGCCTGCGCTCGATAGCATGTCCAATAAGCCGTTGGGTGTGTATGTGTGTGTGTGTGTGTGTGTATGGATGTGGGGGTTTGGGTGCCGAATGCCTCTTTTCTATTCCTATTTCTATTCTCTATCCACTCTGCTCTCCGTTGAGCTCATGCTCTGTGGGCCCACACAGCACAACCACGGCACCCTCTTTTTCTTTGAGAAGAGAGAGAGAGAGAAGGAAAAAAGAAAGATAAAGAGAAAGTTTTCTATACAAAAAATTCTACCGTATCGCCTGAGCTATGGTATGCCTGAGCTCTCAAAACTTTCTCATATTAGTAATTTCCAGCACGTTTTTGTTCCATGTCTACGTGCGTTTGGATGAACTAAGAACAAAAAAGTGTTATTTCAGAGGTTCAATTTATATTCAGTTGAATCACAAAACAGTGGTACTTCTGTTGTTGTTGTTGTTGACTACCGCCCATTTTGATCATGACTCATTCGGGTCTTTCAAATATCAAATGTTTCGACATAGGCTTTCGGCAAGCCACCCGCCGTTTCTGACTCACGAAAATTTTTTTCACGGGACAATATCTGGAGGCTGGAATGCATTTTTATAATTGCTAAAAACAGGAAGAACTAAAAGTATCGTGGTCCTTTGCATCCACCACAATTCTTACAGAATTATGTAGATTTGAGTAAGGCAGTTCAAAACTTTAGAAACTATTGTAGAAAATTTTTTGGTTGGAAAACGTCCTATTTCAAAACATTCACTGCATTAACGTTTTTTTAACAACGCTTCTGAAAGGAAGACTCTTGCAGTTTCACTCCTATGAAATGTGTAATTCACTTCATCACCCCCTCATTCCTTCTCATTGCCTCGCGTTGCACACCCCCTCGTTGACAGCGATTAATTGGTTGGGTACTCAATAGTGTGGTGCGGCAAAACACGCATTATGAAGTGGAAGTGCGTTCGGGAAACGAGCACGACGCGTGGAAACGGGCGAGGAGGGTAGGGGCTCGAATTAATGAGGTGCAACGGGCAGTAGGAGAGCAGCCGTTGCCTTGAATATGAAATGGAGCGAAATATGTGTGAGAAATGGATTTCAACATGTACATATTCTTGTGGAGAACCCCTCCTTCTCTCAAGTAGCGAACTCCCGCTTCCGTTCGAGAAGGTCTGGGGGTTAGTACGAATAATTTAGAGTAATAAGTGAGAAAAGTTGTGACTAGACTAGAGTGGTAGAAAAAAGAGAAAAAACTGGCGGAAATAAATACTTGTGTGGATTGAAATTTGAGTTTTCTCTCCAAAATACATAGCATCATGAACAAACAAAAAAGTTGAGGAGAAAGAGGGAAAAATGAAGAGAGAGCTGAAGACGTAACGGAATTTCAATTTTTCTCTCTCTCTTTTTCTTATCCTTGTAGTTTTTCTTCATTCTTGGCCACTCACAGCCCGTACATTCAATTTTTCAAGCTGTTAGATGAAATAAGATGAAAAGCAAGAAGTTTTGCAAGAGCACGGCTACAGCTAAAGTAATAAAGTCCGAAAAATTGCGGACGCTTCTTCGTAGGCTCGCGCAATCCAATTCAATTCGATAAGATGAGCTGAAGAAGGAGGCGGGACAGCCTCGGAAGTGCTAAATGAGCCGACGCACTCTCGAAGAACTGCCAAGGAGCTTAGGAAGACGGAAGGAAGGAAGCGGAGGCGAGAGCGGAAGAAGAAGAGGGGAAGCTTCTGGAGAAAGTGGGCAAGGTGTGAAGTCAAGGCTGTGAATTGAATTGAGCTCATATTTACTGTGTGCACTGAAAACACACATTTTTGAACGCGTTACCATTTTCACTAAATGTTTCAGATGGAACAATCGAGAATTTCACGTTCAGGCCCGGGCCGTTATCTCCACCTAAAGCCTGCAAAAAAAAATCCCGCAAATGCAGTAAAAAGGGAAAAGAGAATCCGAATCCATTTTTTGCATTGAAATTCCATGAAGAAAGGGCATCTGTCCATGGCATTGTGTTTTCGATTTCGTTTTCTTTTTCTTTCTTCTCCAATTCTCATAATGGATCTCATTTCGGCAAATGCGAATTGACTCACATGTTCTATTCGATTTTTTTTTGCCCATCCCATCCCATCCCATTCCCAATTCAATCTAGGCATTGTATTATAGTACAGCAATAAAACGGAGCAAAAAATGTGGAAAAAAGAGCATCACTCCTTGCCATTCGGAGCTGTGCACATTTCATCACGGTTAATGGAAATCGGGTTGACGACTGGTTGGTACGAGCAAAGCTTCCACTTCCAAAAGAGGACGGGGGGAGAGGGTGCTTCCGATGATGTAATCCGCGCGCACATCTGCTCTTTTTCCGTACGTTTATGCCTCCAGATGGTGACGGAGAGAGAAGGAAATCTCATTAGAAATTTCTAGGTGCTCATTCCTCTTCGACCTCATTCTTTTCCCGGTTTTGGGGGAGGCTGCGCCGGAGGGCAAATCTTCAAACCCGCAGGCGTTATTCTGAATACATAATCGGAGCTTATTGGATTTTTTCACAAGTTTGCAAATGCTGGAAGTTGAAAAAAATAAAATAACAAAGCACAGCAAAATGGATAGAAAAGTTGACTAATGACCGTATTCCGCTATTAAACTAGAAATAAGATTGTACTGAGAAAAAAGTGATTACATACAACCCTTTTACTGGTCAAAAATGCCTCGAATTCCCGAGTTCAACTTTAAGTTAGTTCATCAGAGTATCTGAAAAACAACTTACTTCACAGTCGCCAAATGTTCTAATTCAGAACAAATTCAACTTTGTTTGACTGGTATGCCCAAAACTTCAAAACTTTCCGTTTTGGCAACGTCATTGTGCCCCCGTAAGTGCGAATTATTACACTTCTGTCTTCTTGCTGCAAAATAATCACGATGCAGCCGAGAGAACTTTGATTTCAAGGCTATCCTCTTTCTTTCAAACTGAACACAGACAATGAGAGGCAATTGACCGCTTTCTGTTTTTACTTTCACTCCCATCTCACCACTGTCCAAACCGAAGCAATAGAAAAGGCAGAAGAAAAGGAAAAAGAGAACTTAGCCGAACAGAACTTACTTGATACCGGTTCTGGTTCGTAGTAGGTCAACACAGCCACAGAGAATTTCACTTCGTTATCACTTTATTCATATAATATTGCAACCAATCATGTGGAACATTCTTTTTTACATTACTTATTTTTTTGGTAAGTAAAAAGTGTATCATTTTTTATTCAAATTTGCTCACTATTCAGGTGTGATACGTGCATTTGAGTATTATGGAGTCTCCGTCGGAACGTTCTCTGGAGCTGGAGTCCAAGGGGAAGTGTTCCTGGTCAATGAAACTCATCTGCAAATTGTGGACTTCAGGGCAACGAGTTTAAGTAAGTGTTGAACCTAGCAACGGAATAATCGTGGCGTTTGACTACTAAAACAAAAAAGTCATTTAATTTTGCAACTGGTTCACTTTATTGGAGTTTGGTTTTAGTTTTGTAAACACATGGAATTGCAATTCGACTTTTTTTCAGACCTTCCACCAATCCCATTCATCCTAATATCAGGAAACAACCAAAGAACCACTCCAAAAGTCTACCAGTACCTTCATTCTCCTAACGGAGAATGGCTGCAGAAACTGTGAGTGGGCAGTTCCCGAGAACGCGTCAATAGTAATATCATTTAGGGTGTCAATGGGAAATGAGCACAAAACACATTCGAGACTGGTCCTCAAAATGAATTCGGGCTCAGCTGCGCAGTGGAAACAATTAGCTGTTGTGGATGTTAATGGGGTAAGTGATTTGATACATTGGTGCAAACATTTTTTGAGAGTATATGTAAAAGGTAGGGGGTCTCGTTCCTTTTTCATGACCTTTCCCTTACAGAGCATATTATCATCTGTGATTCTGGATAAAAAACCTCCACAACCATTCTGTTGCTTTGAAAGAGAGCCTGATATGGGCATGTTCGGAGAGTATGGAATCATCTCCGATCCCGTTGAAGTGCTGGACTCAAAGACTTTGAGAGTACCCAGGTTCTCCTACAAAGCTTCCCAAACGCCAGGTGGGTAATGAATATTTTCACATTATAAAAATAGTTTTCAGATGGCTACTTTTTTGCCGGATCAGGATCCGAAATTGATACAAATTCAGGGAAAAGAGCTTTAATCGTTGGAAAAGATTCTCCGAGCAAGTTAGTTTTTTTCGAGCTTATTTTTCATTTTTGCTAATTTAAGCTCAGACGGTTCCTTGTTGATAAAACTATCACACTTATCTATTTTCTTATTTCCAGCATCTGCCCAATGCTCCAAGACATCACCGACAGAGATATGATTGTTCGATTGGGTGAAAACCAAACGGTCTACGATATCGAGTGGCTCAGCGTGTTTTGCTACAAATATTCGCATGACTTTGGACATTTAGACTTAGGGCTCGTTGAGAATGAAGAACAAGTACCTCCTTTCATACCTGACGTCAGATCGGAGCCACCCACTGGAGTTCGTCGGAGTTGTTAATTGTACAGTATGTATCTGAAAGTATGTATCCGTCTTATGCAGTTCAGAAATGTTTTCGTTCATAAAGTGCATAAAATTGTTGTCATGTATCGGACCCTTAGGTTGCCACCGACTCAAAAAACCTGAAAGTTAGCACAAAAAAGTGGCATTCTAGCAGGCGAATTCAATTTCTGAGGACTGTATGGGTTCCGAAAGCTGTAATTGATGCTAATATATGCTAATAGCTGTATTACACTAGTTTTCATCTACATGTGCCCTTGGGGTTACCTCTGGTGGCCGCCATCTTGAAAAATCTGACCGAATGCACACAAATGTGGCATTGTAGCAGGTAACAATAATCAAACAATAACAATAACTGAGTTCTGGAGCCGGAGAATTCTCGCCACCAGTGCGCCAACCGCTCTGGTTCTTTTTTTTGGCGATGCTAGTGTTCGCTCCAATCCTGCGTAATCGATAAGAACTCCAGTCTGCTTCTAAAAATTGAACTATCTGTATTTTTCTAGTAATAAGAAATGCTCACTCTTTGCGTCTTCCTTGTAAAAAATTAAATTGTCTGCATTTCTCTAGCAACGAGAAATTCTCACCCTTCGTATCATAATATTTTCATCCACACGGCCAGTTTCATTGTCCGTCATAAAAATCTCAGTTCAACGATTATCTGTTGAAAAATAGGCCCTAAACAGAATGATTGCGCGGCCCCGGGGCGTTTTTTTGCGGGCTATAATAAATGAAACAATATCTGATGTCTTTGGTCTCTCCTAAATATAAATGAGATGATCGCAGCATTTGACACATTTCCGACGATAGCACCTAAGTCAAATAAATCCTGTGATGCTTCTCTGTAATAAAGGGTGTTTTCGTCAAAACAGTTGCAGCCTTAAGCCTACCTCATTGTCGACCATATTTTCGACTGACTCTTCTGTGCCAACAGACAGGATATCAGGATATCTGAAGTGTTTTGTCATTCATTGCCGGAGCTTCATGCATAATCCCATCAAGGTCAGACTACTATTTACTTGAATGTGGTAACAGCAAAATGATAATATAGTTTTTCATACACCTTTAAGTAACTGTCCCATAAATGAAAATATTGTTTGGTGTTCAAGTGAACTCGTATTCCAAATGCATTAAATCCCACAAAATTAAACTCAAAGTGTGTAGCTTCCGAAGCCTTTTAATTTCAAATTAATTATTGAGTATTTTTCAGGTGTTCAACACTACCCTGACCAAAATCAACAACAAGGCTCCGATTTATTTTTGCAAAGGGGCGGAAGAGTCAGATTGCGTTTCGCAATTCTCCAACATGATGAAGTTATCCGGAGCAATGGCCAGTATTTTCACTGGAGAGGTATTTTTTTCTACAAAAATATAACTAAAATTACATACATATAAAATACCAGTTTTGCAATAACTACATATTTCATAAATACTTACATACTTTAAGACAAATCTTAATTTGTATAAATCAGAGGACCGTCAGCAACATGGAGTGCAGCATATGAAGATAATTATTTGATTCAAGTTAAATAAAAAAGCTTTTGGTTGCCGACAACTCTGTATAAATCACAATACAACAGAAAACGAATAAATATCTTGGTTATCACATTTATAAACAATTTAAATAGAGGGTTCTTGGCCTTGCAATTACAATCAACATCTTTTATTTAACTTGAATTAAATATTTTTTACAAACATTGCATTGACATAAATATTACATTTCAAATGGTATAAAAATGGCACATATGTAAAATGGTACATTTGTAAAAATGGCACATATGGTTAGCGGAACGTTAGTTAACCTCTGGTTGGGTCTTAATTATTATTAAAAATTATAGAAGCGTCTAATAAGACAATGCGTTACAAAGATATGATAAGCTATGTTGGATATGATACTCATGCACTGAATGTGGAAATACATTCTACATAGATAAAGTTATGGACCATGATCATTGGACTGGATTATTTAGAGCACCTTTATGTAATGCATGAGGAATGAGGAAGAAGAGAGAGGTGACATAATGAACGTTGTACTAGGTTTATATAGTGACATTGAAATCCCGCTTAATCGACCACGCCCTTAACCGTGCTTCACCGCCACCACGCCCTTTTAGGTGACGATCACAAAAGTGGAGGAGGTGGGATCGCAAAAATTTCAAAAAGGGCAGATGTATTATAGTACTATACTATAGTACACCCATTAAACATGTGTAACACATATGAGAAAAGTTCCGAGTAGTTAAATGGCATAAATGATATCGCAATCAGAAAACAGTAAACAAATTGATTTTGCTTGTAGACTTTTTCGCTCGACGAACAGTTTTTCTGACCGCAAAGACAAAACACTGCGATATCATTCATGTCCTTTGACTACTTGGCCTTGTTCTCAATTTTCCGATAATTTTTATTTGAACCATCACATAGCCGTATTCTTTTACCCTTGGACCGAGTGAAAAAGGCAAAGACTGAAGTGAAACAGGAAACAATGAGCTCTGTGAACGAGAAGAGCGGGATGAGAACGCTGGGAAGTGAGGAATCAGCGACGGATCAGTAATCGGCGAAACGGGAGTTCAGTTGCCGATTATTCCACGCTCAGTGGTTACCGTATCTAATGCATTATACGGGAAGGGACACGGGTTCGGATTTGCGGCAGGTTTCGTGGCGCGAACGTCGCGTTTTCCATTTTCGGGTGGGATAAAGCATAAAGCATCCGACACGAAAGCACAAAGGATCCAACGCATTCCGAGCATAATGCTTGCATATGATATTCCTATGGGTTCCACGCGCGATCCGCGTTTAAAACACATAAGACCCATATGCTTCCTCCGCATTTGACCAGTGTAGCTCAGCGAGCCGTAAGCTCGCTAGTATTTCATAATTACGACAGGTACTCCCCGCTGGTTGAATATTATAAGAAGTCTGGGAGAAGAATTGAAGCAAATGTTTGAATGCTCTAGATTCATTGAAAATAATAGAAAAGTGCGGAATTGAGACGAGAAATTAGCGGCGAGTTCCGTCCTCGAAGAAGATTCCTCCATCGATGGCGCAGTACTTGGGGCAGATTCCCTTTTCACCTTCGCCTCCTGCGTTTCCGGGTGGTCCTGGCGGTCCTGGATTTCCATCGGCTCCTGGAGCTCCTCCTGGTCCTGGTGGTCCCTTTGGTCCTGGTGCTCCTGGAGCAGCAGTCGGGCTTGCTCCATCTGGTCCTGGTGGTCCTGCCGGTCCTGGTGGTCCCGCTGGTCCTGGTCCTGCTGGCTCTGGATACTTGCTCTCTCCGGCAGGTCCGTCTGGTCCTGGAGCTCCGGCGGCTCCGTCATTTCCTGGAGCTCCTGCTGGTCCTGGAGGTCCGGGTGGTCCTGGTGGTGATGGAGCGGCTGGGGCTCCTGCTTCTCCGGCTCCTCCGGGTGGTCCAGCTGGTCCGTCTGGTCCTGGGGGCCCTGGTGGTCCTGGGGGACACGGTTGGCATGGTGGTGGAGTCTTGGCTTCGCATGGAACTGCAGCTCCCTTTCCTGGAGCTCCTGGAGCTCCAGAAGCTCCCGGTTTTCCTGGCTTTCCTGGTTTTCCTGGAGATCCTCCTGGACCTGGTGGGCCAGGATTGCAACATCCAGAACAACCACCGCCTGCTGCAGGCCCTCCAGTTCCAGCTCCAGCGTCAGCTCCTCCTGAAGTGTATCCCGCCTGTCTTGCCGTCCTGTTAAATGACAACTCGTTTACATTGTTGATTTCAGACCACATATCTTGCACCGAACTCTGAAACATAAAATAATTGGATTCATTCACAAACAGATCTGATACCTTGCAATACATTGATTCTCTTTCCAGATTGGTCTTAGTGTTCTGGACATAAGAGTAGATGAGCGGAAGGGTCAGGCACAAAGAAACAGCGGCGGTGACCGAGAATCCGACAGCCGAGTAAGCAATCAGACGGTAAGCTTTTAAACGAAGATCAGTTGGGGACTCCATTGGTGACTAGAATGCCAAAGCACGCCAGATGAGTGAGGTTCCAAATGAAGTTGTCGGTTTTATACTATAGTTCCACGAAAACAAGTACTACCATCTAGATAAATGCTGAGATTTGCGATGACGATTAGTTTTCTACTCGATTTTGTGTAAAACACTTGATTTCAATAGATACTGTGCAAATATGAGTCAGAGGGAATTCCTTTCTTTTATGCAATTCTTATGATGAACTCAGACATTTTCAGTGGATTCAGTGGTCGCTTGATAATTAACAATTAATTGCACTTTTGTTAGGCGCTTCCGGGTATTTATTTCCTCTTACCTCTCTTCTCCAAAATAATTTTTTCCTATCGAAACGCAGACAGGTAGAAACATCTCGAGTGGGCCCCTTTTTCCCACTGGTCTCTTTTCCTTTCTCTATTTCTTGTCTGTGAAGTATCTCTTTCGTGCCCGGAGGCGCAGAACTGCAGAAAAAGTAAAAAAGAAAACATACAGAATATGTCACCAACTTTGTCTTGATTTAAAATGAAAAGTATCTGACCCTATAACCAGAAAACTACGCAGGTTTGGTAGAGTTTTTCCAGATTTTCCAGATGTATTCTTAAACAACTTCAACTGTCATTTCGATTCAGAATTCAGCTTTTTACATGTTCAGTATATTTTACTGTATTGTAAGTGTCCTGGATGAAAATTTTATCTATTCTCTCAGATTTACAGTATTTACAGCGGAATTTCAGCAATTCAACCCAACTCATTTCATACTTGTTTCTTTGGTCTGGTCAGTTATCTTGGTTGGGAACTGGGTGGTTGCAAAACGTCCTCACTAATTCGTACCCACATTATCGTACAACAGTCATTGAGCAATGCACGAGGATTGGCTGAATTCCAAGATGATCTGTTCACAGTAAATCATTGCAAATGTTGACAAAATCAGATTGAAGAGACACCGCAGAAACACCTTACAAGTTCAGAGTCGTCTCCACATTGCCCTACAGCTGAACAAACTTTATTTGAGTATTTTCTTTTACCTTGACTTTGCTATCACAATTTCATATTATGTTTATAAATGAGACTTCTCTCAACTTCTGCATAGACTTTTACCTTTCACCTGGAAAATTAGTTTTCCTCCGGGTATGATGGTGTGCGCGTACGAATATCTAATTTTCAAACTAAAAACAATTTAGTCACAAGAGGTATTTTAGCCGTGACCGGCATGGTAGTGCTCTTTGTTCTTTTAATCTAGTCTTGTGCCAATCTCTCTGAAATCTGTTTTTGTTTAACATCTTTATTATATTCCGTACTCGAGGTAGAGAAAAGTATGAGAGGTAAATGAAACATCATTATTGCAAAAACATTACAATAACAATGTTTACCGGAACTCTCACCAGACTTCCAGAGTTGCTGTAGTAGTTGAATCAACCGATGACTTCTGCAGTTCCGGAAACAAAAGCGGTCTTGTGAACATGGGATGGAGGGTAGTAGAGAGAGGATGAGAAGACGTCGAAACAAGTTTAGGGCAGCATGAACCGATGATTTCTCCGTCGCTTATCTCTAACTGACACTTTTTCACGAGAAAATCTGGAAAAAACCAAAGCTGAACTGTTGCTTTTCGGCTTCAACACAAACCCGATCCAGGAGCACACATTCCACCGCAAAGCGTTTTCATTCGCTCGATTACTTGCAGACCACACTTCCGGGCAGCGGCAAATTTCGAAGTAGTCGTTCTTTTATATTGGATGTCGAACGGATACATTGGAACGGTCTCAATGTATTCTTCCACAGGCTCGTTTGTCACTTCAGCGGTTGTAAACACTTTCAACACTCCATAAAAGATGAGGAAAATCAGAAGAATCTTGGCTGGCATCGCTCGAGACAAGGAAAAAGTGATTTTGCTGTCAACTGTGTGCAACAACCCTCTTCGTGCATGTCTTACATACACACCTTGTTGGCTCCTCCCATTTGTAAGACCAAACTTCTATTGAATGACTCTACAAATCACAGAAATGTAGCCACATACTACGCAACACAGGTGCATGATTGAGTTTGTGATGCTAAAGAAATACGAATTAGAAAGCGGTTGCAGAGCACGTGGGCGGAATTGTTGAGCGGAATTCCGTCTGCCGTCTTCCGTCTTCCGTGATTTTTTCTTCCGTCTTCCGTCTGCCGTCTTCCGTAAAAAAAATTGTTCTTCCGTCTGCCGTCTGCAGTCTTCCGGATTTCAAAATTCCATTTCCGCTGAACTCTGGTTGCAGGAAAGGATTAAAAAAAAGTAATTATGAATATAGAAACTATAAATATTGTTCAAAATATTCTAGATTTCGGCCGCTAGCCGTTGACCACCAGAGTCAAGGAAACTAGGTCACACTAACTAACTGGGTAAGGTTTTTGTAACATGATTAACATAAAAAAAGAAAAAGAATGGGCCGAACCGGGGATTGAACCCGGGACCTCTCGCACCCAAAGCGAGAATCATACCACTAGACCATTCGGCCATGCATTCTCCTTCCTATCGCATCTTGTTCTCATAGTGGGTCTCTGTCTCCTCTGTCGGCCGCCGCGCTCGCTTCTCCCTTTCTCCCAGCTAGCCGCCACTCTGCGTCTCTTCAAAAACACATTATGTCTTTCTCGAAGAAGGAAGAAAATCTTCTAGAGCACTCCCACTCTTGCCATTGGACAATGGAACGGCTAGAGTATACTGTAGCTCTGGAAAAAGTTAGAGCGTTATAAAAAGGCGTGTGAAAACCCAACAATTTCTGAAAATTATGGATATCATCAAATGAAGCCTCGTTTGGCGGTCATTTCAACCGTTTTTAAGCAAAACATTTGTAAAATGGAGCTCAGAATAATTCAAAAATCAGTGTGACTTGGAAAAATAAGAAACTTGAGCATGAAAAGTGATTGCAAATGAAAACACGGAACTTTAGTTTACAAGCAGCGTTTCCAAAGGTTTTATGAAGTTCAGAGAAAAATCATTCCAGTCGTTGTGGCACAAGTGAATTCCAAACCAAATTCTGTTCAAATTACCTTTTCATAAACTTGTTGACCTAAAAACTTATTTTGCTGAACACACGTCCATTTCGCTGTGCTGTTCTGTTTGCTTACTACCCGTTTAAGATGTTATTTTCTTTCTGTTCTTGTTGTTTCTCACTTTGAATCTCTTGAATGTTGTTGTGGGTCTTTGACATTGGTCCCCCTGCTCTTCCCGACATGTTCAGAACAACACAAATTGGCGATCGAGCAAGGCCGGCAGTTGCTCCCTCGTCCCCTCTTTTTCCTTCTTTTTTTCGCGACCCCTTGAGCAGTATGCGAGTTGAGCCAAGCCGCTCGAACCAATCTTCCTTTCCTCGGGCCCTCAGTGCCCGTGGGCGACTGGCACGAAAAAGAGCGGAAATGGGGTAATAGAATGGGAAAAAGCGAGAGAAAAAGAAGGGGAGCGGTCGCCCGACGCTGCAGGCATACATACACAATTTTCTCTTTTTCTCTCCCTTCTTGATGAACGAATGAAATTACATACGGCCGCATAGCAAACGAGTTCGAGACCAGCGACCAATTCCCCTTCTCTTTTTGTCAACAAGTGAGGAATAATGCGACGCAGAGAAGTGCGTGCGTCAGAAACTTTTTTGCCGGATGAGATCGGCAATTCTCTTCTCTCGGACAAACCTATCCAACCGAAAGGAACAAGAGAACAAGTCTACAACGAGTTTTCCAAATTAGTTCGACCATTTGGGCACATGCACTAATCCATTGTGCCTGCTTCAACCAATTATCTGAGAACTATGAAATCTCCCTTTCGGCAACGGAAATTGTGAACGCTCTTTGGACAAATCGACTTTCCGGCAGAATTTGTCATATCCCCATTCTACTATGTCTTTTTCTCAATGAGATCTCAGGCGAGACTGCGAAGAGAATAAACGCGAATGGGGCACGAAACAGAGAGCGGCGGAAGGGGAGAGGGGGGGGGGTCATCTTGGCAGTTGTTTACTCGGACGGACCAGACAACATGGCTTGTGTGAAAGATGTGTAAAGGAAGCAGCAGGAGGACACAGAGGGAGAAAAAAGCTGCAAAGATCAGTTTTTTTGTGCTTTGGTATATTTTCAGATTTGCAATAAGGATAGCGGAGTCGAATAGATGATGTGTCGTTTGAAAATTATAGTTATTCTATTCCTTTGAGTGCAACTGTTCTCAATATTTTGCAGGATTCGTTGTCGCTTATCGTTCAGTTTTCTTGTCTGACCCACCACCAGCGTTCTATGAATAGGATCCGTTCACAAACTCCACTTCTACTTCTTCTTTTTCTTTCAGCTTTCAAAAAGCTCATCAACATCGGGAAGGGTGGAAATGTTCTGAAAAGAGAAGTCTGAAACTGATTTGTTGAGATGCACTCTCATTTGAACAGCGCATCACAAGTTGTCGGTACAATGCAGTTATAGCAATTATGCTCTATTGTTGTGGTGAACCCCGTACAATCACTCATGACAGTTGGGGACTCTTGTAAAAAATTTTGAAGACTCAAAAAGCTTAATAGTGTCTCAAAATATCAGTCGGTGTTGTCCGGAAAAGTACAGGCTAATCGTGTGTGTTGACATGAGAGTTTATCGAAAAGTCGACACTATCGACAAAAGTAATGCCGAATAATGCGCGGACTGACGATGAGTGTTCGATCGACTACACTTATCGACTTCACTTATCGCCAGAATGTCGATAGTCGACAAAATATTTAATGTCAACTATCGCTCAGTGACATGGCCGTGGCCTAGAAAACATCACGTGTAGTCCTCGAGGAGAATAAATTATCAGCATTTTTCGAAACATTTTTCTGTGTTTATTAATCGTTTTTTATATATGACAATGATTATAACGTTTTTTTCTGCAGATTTATAACTTGAAGAGATTCTAAAATTTCAGGAATGTTTTTTATTCGCAAGAAGCAGCTTCAGAAGTGTGGCGTATGTTTAAAAAAATTAACGATTCATGTGCTTTTTTGTCTTTCCAGAGTCATCCGTTTCCTTTGCCGATAGTCATCCATCCGTCTCGCTCGTTGTCTTTGGATGTCTCAGGGTCCGCCCGGAACGCCTTTTTCGCACTTTTCGTCTCTTGCACTCTACAACATTTCTATTTCCGACCGCTTTTGTCTCAGTAAGTCGGTTAACCAGTCTTCGACTAGAAATGCTCCGCGCTTCTCTTCTTATTGCCTCTGGCATTTGCCTTTTTTTTCCTCATCTCGTCTCTTCTCAGTTTTTAAATGAAACTGAAACCGATATGACCACCGACGAGGATGCCAATCTGCTCGTCTATCAGCCTACAGTTGGAGAGATCATTCTCGCCATGCTCAACTACACCGACGGAGAAGTTCTATCGCAACGCATTCCGAACGTCACCATCTCGGAACTTCGCGATGTTCACTGCGGACTAGACGCCATCGCGAAAATCATCATAACCTGTCCAAGATTCTGTACCGGAGTCCGCCGCCAGAGCGCTTTTTGTAAGTGGAACAAGAGAAATTAGAAGAAAAGAATTTGATACTTGTGAATTTCTAAACATTTGTAAACGCAATTGAATGAATTTCAGGGATAATTTGGGAGCTGTGTGGCAATGGAATGACAACCAGCGAGCTGGAATCGACCTGCTGCCCCCCGTACACACCATAGGATACATGTTCATCAACATCATCATCATGCTCTCTAACTGTTTTCCTCTGCTTTTCTTGCTTGTTCATTATTGAAATGATCTATATCTGCATTGCTTGCCATTCCTAATAAAATGTTTGTGAGTGGCCACATGTTTTCTTTTTTGAATAAGCCTCTACCGATGCGTAATGAATCCTCGACGATAAGAAAAGTAATCGGAGATCAATTGAGTGTTTTCTTATGTTCCTCCAGCCCACACACGTTGTGTGCGGTTCTTACGAGAAGGGCTACTCAGTGATAAACTCGATTTGAGAGAAATTCTGGGATGAGAATCACCCCATTCTCTCCTCTTTCCCTTTCTCTTTTATTTATCTTCCGTTCTGTTTGTTTCAAATCGAGACCCTGAGTGTTTAGTGGTCCAATCTCTTCCCTCTATCTTTTGTGCTGTTTTCAGTCTTCTCCGTTTCTTTGATCTTGCAATGTTTCCAAAGCATTTACCCTCCCCTTTTCCTCATTCTTCTTCTTTTCATCCTGGCTTTGAGTCTAACATAAGTTCTAACTCTCTTCGCTTCTCAAACCACATTAAAATTATCTTTTTTCAGGCTCAATGAAGGTAGCAGTACTGCTCCTCTTGGTGATTGGAATAGTCGCGGCATTGGCTTCCGAGAAGATAGAAGAAGCTGACGACGAACAAAGAAGAGAATTGTTTTCGCAAAGCAAACAGAAACGATTTTGTGGGGCACGACTGAAGAAAGCAATGGACAAGATCTGCTGGAAGGGCTACTGTGAGGAAGTAACTGGTAAGCCATAAAACAAATAAATATAAACAAGAACCATACTGCCAAATGTTTTGTTCTCCCTTATCAGATGATTTTTAGCCACAAACAATCACAAACCTTTTTTGAACTGTCGCACAAACCGATAATTTCAGATAAGGAAATCATGAGGTTCTGCACCATCGGAGCAACTTTCGAGGACTTGAAGAAAAAATGTTGTATTTGATGCTGTATTCACACATTAGCCTAGAAATAGTTTTTCGAAAAATGCTTCTAGTTCGTTAGTTTATTTTGTTTCAATCTAGTTTTCTTTCCTTTTTTAATGTTACTCGCATCTTCCCACTGACCTACCTCGCCATTTGTTGCTTTTTGTATCACATAAATGTTTGTTAAAATCAAAGCGAAGAAGTGAAAAAGGAAGAACGATTTTTTCGCCAAAGCGTATCCTGAAATAGGCCCGGACAAGTTTTACGCAAGAAATGCATTTCTCAGTGATTGAACGTTCTCAGTCGTTTTCCTGTTTTTTAACATTTAACATTTTTTCCTTCCGAAAACGGTAACCAAAGTTGCCATCATTCCTCACGTTAACCGACGAAAACGTGTTTTGGATTTAGGTTTGCTTTCAGATCTCATACACAATGCGTCAGATCATTAAGAGCTCTCAAATTGGGAATCGGAGAACATCGGCTCAAATTTCTGCTCATTACGCATTCACAAATAGGAACGGAAGTGAAAAGCAAAGGCAGATACGAGTGAGTGTTCTCTAATGTCTATCAGGCCTACAGCGTAAGAAAAAATAATTCTAGTGTTTTCTTTGTTGAGTTAAACTTGAAAAAAGGTCTGCTCCACTTTCCTGCTCCTTGTCGCCTCAATTTTTTCCTCCTATTCTCTACCGTAGTCCAAAGTGGAAATGTCCGCTTTGAGTCATCGACGCACTCCTTTCAAGAACTTCCGTCCTTTCCCTTTCTCTCTTATCCGTTCCCTTTTTTTTCCACCGTAGTCCAAGCGCACAAATGCATTATTCATCTACTTCTCTTCATGCTTCTCTTGACATGTTTCACGAACTTTCGTCCCCTCTTCTCCTTCTTTTTCTTTCGTTCTTCTTTTTGTGCCCTTTGGTCGCAATTTGTTGACTTCTCCTACGCTCCGCCCCCTTTTCGTCTCGACCGAATTTTGCTCGGACCCTAACTTACTTCATTCCCCTCGTCCTTCCCTGACACATTTCCCGCAAAACGTTTCTCTTTCGGACCATGACAGGCTATGGAAACAAGGCGCTCCTCCTCTGCGTGATGCTCGTCATCACCCACGGAGCCATTCACGGGCCATCGATGGAAGAGGCCATCAAGACGTTGAAAGAGGGCACCAAGTCGACGTCTGGAAAAATGCGTGGCAATCCGCGCTTCTGTGGGGCCATGCTTCCGCGCAAAATCGCGCAGCTCTGCGGAGTTCGCGAGTGCGAAAACATGACCGGTACGTTCGGAATTCATGAAAACGTTATAATCCTTAAACTTTATTGTTTCAGGCCTAGACGTCACGCTCATGTGCGCCGTGGGAACATCGCTCGAGGCATTGAAGGAGAAATGCTGCCCATGATTGGGCCTCTCTAACTTCATCCTCCTATCCATGTTTCCTCCCCCCTTTTTTTCTCTTCTGTTACAATCTTTTACTAGATAATCTGTTAACCTTCAATAAAAGTTGTATGACAATTATACTGAATTTTGCCCTAGTAAAGAAGAGAGCTCACAGTGAAATCAGTAAATTCAGTTGAAAATTTGTGAAACGCACTACAAGGCAGCTCAGGTATAGCGCCTTGAAGCACCTTGAAAACTTCTGATAATCCGTCGAATAATGGCTCTGTTAGTACCTTTTTATTGCAAAATTAGCATTCATCAGTGAAGAAAGAGATCAATCTACTACTAAAAATGATAATTGTGTAAATGTACACGTAAATGAGAAAAAAAAGACAAAATACTTCGAGGAAAGGCAAACCGTTAGAGGGGGATGCATAAAACATCTGAACAAAAAAAGGTTATTGAGCAAAATCAAGAACACATAGTTAACATTGACCACACTCATACGTGGTTCAATTATTTTTTAGATGGATTGGTTGGAGAACACGTCTGACCGCTGGTGGTTTCAGGAACGGATGGTTCAATGCGCTTCTGGCGGAGATCCGGTTCCTCGGGTCATACTTGAGACATTGCCCGAGGAAGTCGAGAGCCGAATTCGTTATCGTCGGATGGAATTGTTTCAATTGCTGCTGTCTGTAGACAATAAAGGCTTTCGGGGAGAGAACCGATTCGGAAGGCCAGTCATTGCCGGTTGGAGTGCCCATTTTCCTGAAAATTAAAGTTGAGAATAGTAATGAAGCGCGAGCATCTGATACAGATTAGCTTTAATGCAAAATTATGGATCTTGTGCACCAAGAAAATGTTATGTGAACTCAGGGAAGCAAAACTTGCATATCAACCATTTTAAGACCATCTGAATCATCCAAACTCACTTGAAAATCTCCACAATTTGTTCGGCTTCGGTTTGACCAGCAAACAACGGTTGGCGAGTGTAAATTTCAGAGACAATGCATCCGAGTGCCCACATATCCACGGTAGAGTTGTAGTACGACTGCATCAAGATTTCTGGAGCTCGATACCAGAGAGTCACAACCTGAAAAAGAGGATAATAGTTGCAAAGCGTTTTTATTTTCTGTGCATTTTCGTTTTTGCCATCAAATTCTCTATCTATCAAAGTGACCCTTGAAACAGTATATCAATAATTTGTATTTGATCCCCTAAAACCAGTGTGTGTAAAAATCTGAATATCCGGGAGCACTTCCGTCAATGACAAAATGCAAATATCATTTCCGCTTCAATTTCATCAACTCGGCAAAACGCCGGAAACGGATTATTTCAAACGCTCAGTTCAACGCCGTTCTTCTGCTTCCACCACATGTGTTCTGCACTGCACCAATTGTTTATATTTATGCCTACATGTCGAACTTGAAATGTTTACATCAAAAAAGCTTCGTGTTTGGTCTTCAAAGTTCCAAAGAATCTGAGATAAACTTGGATAGCGGGGCATTTTCTGCACAGAATTTTGATACATCTGGTAGAATAAATTAGGAGAAATTTGCTTAAACTGATTGACTAACGAATGCTCAGATTGTTGACTCATGATTCGGAAAACGTCCGAGAACTGGCATACACTATTGTTTGAAAGACATGCTCTCTTTTATTCATGAATTTTTGGCGTTTTTAGAGTGTCACATTGTTTCCATCAGAATTCTAAAATTTTCATTGTTAGGGCAGTCACAAAATCAATAAATTATCGAGAATTGTCTAGATCTGGTATTTGACAGCAACATTTTATCCCCGCGCAGTTTCCAAATGTCCCGGGTCCCGTGTCCTTGCCGGTACAACCCATTTATGCTTATTAGTGTCAAAAGTCGGCTCCTCACAGCCTCTACGTGCACTTCATCGTTTTATAGGTTTTTACGTCACTTGCTCCTTTTCTATTTTCGAAACAAAACATACCAAAGTAGTGAATGCAGTGGTATTTGAGTGCTCCTTAGACAATCCGAAATCTGCTAGTTTCACAGTTTGATCCCGATTGAGCAATATATTCTGTGGTTTAATATCCCGATGAATAATTCCGTGAGTGTGAAGGAAGTCGAGTCCGGCCACAATCTGAGCGGTGACGTGCCTGGCCTGATGCTCCGGTACCGATCGTGGAATGTGCTTGAGGAAGGTGTACAGATCCCAGTCGCACTTTTCCATTATCATGTTGATGCGGAGAATGCTTCGTTGTGGATCAATCTGATGGAAGACGGTTTTCAGAGAGACAATATTCGGATGCGCCTTCTTCGCTAGATGCTTCATTACAGTAATCTCTCGAAGTACACTTTGCGGGATTCCCTCGTATTTCGACGAGATCAATATTTGTTTGAGTGCGTACTGAAATAGTTCATGGTCATTGCACTTTTCAGCTGATAAGAACTCACTTCACGACCGTCGCGGTTGTTGCGAACGCGGTACACATTTCCGTAGGCGCCTTTTCCGAGAGCCTGCAAGAATGGGAAGATAAGATTATAGTGTTTTAGTGAGATTATTTGCTAAATATTCTTTGCTATTTCAACGTTGCTTTTTGGAGAATTTGTGGTCACTTTTTAATCAAATCTCGAGGGACCACTGAACGTTCTGAGGGGCCTTTCAGCCACATTTAGGCCCTAACAGGGGTGTGCGGAAAATTTTTTTCGGAAAATTTCGGAAAATCGGTTTTTCCGAATTTTTTTTTTCGGAAAATTTCGGAAAAATCGGAAAAATCGGAAAACTCACTTGTTCATTGGTTCAATAAAGTGTTTAAACAACGTTCTAATACAAAAAAATGCTTATTATGATTTGAAATCACTTGAGTGGGCGGAAGCCAAGCAATGGAATATTTTTTTGCAAAAAAATTAGCCGAGAGAAGCTCTCCGGGTCCAGTGTTTTCCGATTGTCAGTGAGAATGAGACGCGCGGTTGAAAAGAGTCGCTCCGTTTCTGCAGTCGTTGCGGGAGTACAGAAAAATTTTCAAAAATCAAATTTAAAAAGACGCTCGCTGCTAGACCCTTCCAAAAATTTTGTGATGCGCCTTTAAAAAGCATACGGTGGTTTCGGACAAATTGACCTTGAATCCACACTAATTTTCCGAAAATTTTGCCGAAAATTTTCGGAAAATTTTCCGTCGGAAAATTTTTCGAAAATTTCTCGGAAAATCGAAATATTTTCCGCACACCCCTGGGCCCTAAATTAAATGCACGCCCTTGTCTGCTTCCATTCTGTTTAATGAAATCCCCAAAATTATTCCCTCAAGGCCGTACGCTTTGCAAAACGTCCTTCCAACGCGGAGTCTATCGTCGGCGCTGACCGACAACCAGAAAATGTTGCCATTTGTTTCCTTTCCAATCTGCTGATAAGGAAGAGTACACAAAAAGATGAGTGTCTAGTGCGCCTGGCTGGAATTCCCGCAAAATGTGTGAAGTGGTGCTGACCACGTAGGAATTGAAGACAAACATCGTAAAACGTTTTGGATTGCAAGGTCCGCTTGGGTTTTGGTAAAGCCATATTCATTCTAAACCTGCTTTAGCTAGATTTCAGAATTAATAACTGCAAAATTATTTATACAAAGCTAAGAAAACGGCATTTGTGACCTTTGGTGTGGCGCATCATTAAGACAGACAGGCCGACCATGTGGCATGACTGGTGCATAATTTGAAAAGATCGCCCACCGCTCTAACCAGTTTTTCATACTATAACCTACATTTTTAGCTCGAAACGTTTTACGAAACAAAGCCCGTTTTCCCTCTCATCAGTCATTCTCCAGTCGACCCCTCTTTCCAAATCTTTTGAAAATCACATGGGAAATGGGAAAAGTTGAAAGTCTTGCTCTTTTCTTCTTCCTCGTTTCTCACATTTCTCAATTTTCACGTTTCACATCCCTCAACAGTCCGTTTAAAGTTATTTGATTTCGAAATAGCTTAAATCGACAGTACTCACCTTCTGAATGGCAAAATCCTGAAGTGTGAGAGGGCGATCCCGCTGGGAGCAGCTCATATCGTTCATCATATTCTGGAGGCGGTTTAACTCCATCCTGTAATCCACGATGTTCGAATTCTCCATATTTGTTTGAATTCGAAAATCTGGCGGGAAGCGCGCGGGTAGAGGAATAAGAGGAATAATGCAGCGGGAGACCTGTGCGAAGGACGGTGAGTGAGGAGTGTCTAGGGTTGATGTGTTGCAATGCCGACGGGAAAGAGAAGAGGGTGCAGACAGGAGAATGAGTGGAGAGAGACAGAAAGGACAACCTGATCGCGGACCGATTGCCCAGACCATGGGCACACCGAGAAAAGGTCAGACCGCGCACTCTTCTCCCATCCCCTTAAGTGGAGGAAGAGAGGGGGGAGGGGGGTCAGCAAGTGCGCTCCACTGCACACTGCTTCTCATTTTCATTGCTCTCCCTCATTTAAGAAAACAACTATTTCGTAATTTTTTTCCGTATTTACCCATGAATCTAAAAGCAATCGCCAATTTTCATTCAGATGGACACATTGCGCGGCTTTTTTTCGTGCTTGACGCCTTGTTTTGACTGCGTGGAAGGCTCCAGCTTTGATCAAATCTCGCCCAGATTCAACGCCATTTACCAACCGACAGTTCGCTTGGATGTCGGCAGAATGGGTTGGGTTTTGTTGGTTAACCTTTGCTGAATATATGGTGTTGTTTCCAGGAAAAAACGTTGTGATTCTCAAAGAAGGCGAGCGAATCTGTGGAATCGGAGGTGCCATCGCTACTGTCCCGATTGTGCAGAACAAGGCTTATTTCCAAGTGACCATTCAGCAAACTGGTTAGTCTTTTTTCTTCGGAGAGATGGAAAAAGCCATGCATACGCGAAAGCAGTTGCCCCGTGGTTCTTATAGGAAACGACGCGAAGCGATAATTATTCAATGAGGCCCGATTAAGCAGATGGTCTCTCATTATGAAATGGATATTGTCGCCTAAGAGAAGAGAATATGTTATGCATTAGTAAAATTGAAACCGCAAATGCCGGGACCAAAGCAGAAAATACATCTATGATTGAAATTTTGAAAAAATCCGATTGTAATCACAAATTGTGCATTCTTGCATTGAATGCTCTAATTTCCCCGCGCATTGGACGCTACATGACGGATTAGTGGAAACTTCAGATAGAAATGAGTGGCAGCGACTTGTTCTTCACATTTTCTGCTCGTTAGGAAGCCTATGAAAACTTATCACAAGAAATATGTGAGCGACAGGTGGAAATTGGAAGGAATCACGAATTTGCCGGTGCTTTTTTAGAGCATTTGCGTCCCAAACGTCTCAGGACAATGTAGAACATACTTGGACACAATTACAATAACTAATTTCACCAATTCTTTGCAAACTATCACAAAATCCAACTTTTCAGGCACATGGGGCATCGGTCTCGGTCACAAGCAGTCTCCATTCGACAAGGTGCCGTGCACCGAAAAGTTCTGGGGAATTCGCGACAACGGAGATATTGCGAAAGAGGACCAAGTGATTGCAAAATTGGCAAAAACCGTGGAAGAAGGTGATATTGTGGTGAGGAAAAAAGTGATTGCGTACCGACCGAGCAAAAAATGACTTCAGGGAGTCACCTATGATCATGTCGAGCTCAAGTTCTACGTGAATGGCAAGGAGGTGGAGGATGTGATAACTGGAGTGAAAGGGCCGGTGAGTTGGGGGGAAAATTGAATGGGATTAACCAGATTAGGGGAAAAAAAAGATTAATTTTCCAGGTGTATCCAATGGTTTACGTGGACGACTCGGCAATTCTGGATCTCAAATTCAAAAACTTCACGGAGCCGCCACCGCCCGGTTTTGGCGAAATTTTGGTCGAACAGACCATTTTATAAGAACAATTTCAATTTGAAACTTTGATTTTCATCAAGAAGTGATTCCTTTTGTGACCATGTCATACATTTTGCGATCAATAAATACGTTTTTGCAGTGGTGCAGCAAAACTGGAGGCAAAGTACCAAACTATTATAGGCGCTTATGCTTTTTTATCATATTATCACCGCATGAAAGACAAAATGTAACGGTTTGATTTGGATTGGATCGGACGAATTGATAATCACATCTAGAATAGGTGAAATTGAAGAAAATGTGATGAAAGTGGAGCTGGAATAGTGTCGTAAGCAAATGACAAGCGGAAACAAACAAATACCTCTCACATTTGATAGCAAAGTGTTGTTGGAGGTGGCTGGTATCAGGCATTTTTCCAGAGAAAAGATAATTTTCGCGGAGAACACCCGGAAAAATTGGAAAAATAGAAATAGGGACAACTCTGAAGGCACACATCGACGAGTTGGCAAAAGCAAAGTGAAGGAATCTCTCTCTGAAGTGATCTTCGACAATTTTCCGGATTTCGGGACGGTTGCTGGCGATGGATCCATTTTTCCTCTCCAGGGTTAACAGCGGGATCTCTTTGGGTGCTGATCTTCTGAGCAGTTTCGACGATCTCCTTCGGTAGCATTCCTCTACTAGTGCCTTCTTTTTCGTCGCCAGGTCTTTTTCGATTGACTCCCTCCGACAAGCGTCTGACGAGGCTCCTTCACTGAATTTGTCGGCACTTGCAGAAGAGAGAGCTTTGACGGCGTTCAGCATGATCTCTGTTCCCGTATTCGGCGACTGAAGCTATCGGCTCTGCCCCAGCGATATCCCGTTCGTACGAGTCCCAAACTCTTTCAGAGGCACGTGGACTAGTTGGTCAGATATCTCCAGATGTGTGACTCTTTAACGGCCGGGTAGAGGAGAGCTCCGTATCCTCCCTTCGCCGAGGCTCGCGCCAGGACCTGACTGTTTTCTTTGTTTGAAAAATTACACAGTATTTCTTTACGGATACATTTATCAAGTGTCAAATTTTGGATGGTACAATTTCGAAAAAAGGGGAACACATTGATAGTGGAAGAAAAATTCTGGGAAAACAATAAGATGTTGGGATATCGAAAAACCACAGAATGTTTTGGATGTATCAAAAAGTGATGGGGATACAAATATTAGGGGTGAAGGGAATAAATATTATTAGGCAGATAAATTAATATTAGAGCGGGGTGAAAACAGAAATGTATTATGAAGACACGGAAGAAGAAGAGGTCAAAAACGGTCCTTAGAATTCTGGGAATTCCTCGCGTTCTGATAAGTGTGAGAGGAGGATAGGAATAGGGAAAAATGCAACTAGACGTTGAACTCTTTCCTAAAATGACAGCAAAAATTACATTACTTGGGAAAATGGAAAAGTCGGGATGAAAATGTGAATTACTAGGAAAACAACTAATAGAAACATTTTAAGGGGCAGTACAATTGATTCACCAGATAAAAACATTTTTTTTTGGAAATTTTTTGAGGGTAAAACTATACACAATTGTTAAAGAAATCAGCTTCGAGACAGGCAAACCAATTTTAAGAACCGAATTTTTTTTTTACATTTTTGGAGATTTTTAAACTTTTTTTTGAGATTTTTTCCTTTTTTCAATTTTTTTGGGGGAGTTTTATGTACATTTTTTGTTTTTCGAACCCAGCAGCCCAGTTTGGAAGGAAAAATAAAAGGACAGGGGGACTTCAGTAAAGAAAATTGAGAGAAATGCAGACTGAAGACTGCTTTCAGTACCAAAAAAGTATAGCCAACGTTTTTTCGAGGGATAAGGGGGGGACGGGTGATTTCAGACGACCTGAAAACTACACGGAACCTCTGAATGTCAGAGACGAGGGAGAGAGAGACGATGAAGAAAAACCCAAGGACAGAGGAAAATACCAGATTGAATACACGAACAGGAAAAATGAATGTTGGAAATGGATGAGTGGAGAATTCAGAGCATTCTCATGGTTTCACAATTGAAGGTGCCGCTCCGTCGGTTGTGTTCTGCGCGTTGGTCAGGCAGTGGAAGGCTTCCTCGACCTTGCTGCGGAACAGCTCGCCGTCCTGCAGCATCATGATCAACTCGGCGTTGTCAATCTCCAGCATCATTCCGGTGATCTTTCCGGCCTCCTTGTGATTCGGGAACAACTTCTCGATAAGAGCATAGATACGCTCGCCGAGTAGCTGCTTCTGCTCTTGTGGAGCAGCCTGAGCCAGCATGTGCGAGGTAAGAGTCTCCTGTCCGTGGATGACGATTCCAGACTGGGTAGTCGCCGATCCGTGCTGTTGTTGCTGTGGCTGGTGTTGCGCTTGCTGGTTGCGTTGTGGTCCCGGGTAGAATGGCTTCTGTGGGGCACCTCCACGTGGGGCTCCTCCATGCTGAAATCACAACACTCTTGTTTTACAAAGTTTATAATTGTATTTTTTTTGTCAATCTGTCCAGCTTGTCCATCATGAATCTCCGAATGTAACGCTTCTCAAAACGTTTTCAAAATTACCTGGCGATTGATCGGGGCTCCTCCCATTTGTCTCTGTCCTCCTTGTGGTCCAGTTGGTCGTTGTGGAGCCATTCCAGTTGAGTATTGCGGGCGGTTGTCGTTAGTGCGGATAGCCGGGCGTCCTTGCTGTGGCGGGTACGGTTGGCGCTGTTGCTGGTTGAACGGATACTGCAGGAAGACCTGGTTGTTGTACATGCGCTGTCCGGGCGGTCCACGCATTTGGGCGGATTGTGGTGGGAATGGTGGACGTCCCTGACCCTGAAATATGTGATTGATGCGGAAGTTTGAGTGGAAAATTGTTGCGCTTACCATCGGTGGCACGTAATATCCGGCCTGTTGTTGGTAGAGATGCGGTGGCATTCCTGGAATTCCGGCTTGCTGCTGTCCCATACGAAGAGTAGCAAGTCTCTGCATGTACTGAGAAGCCAACTGGGCACGACGGTCCTCTTTGCGCTGGGCCAGTGCCACGTAAAGCGGCTTGGTTCCAATCATCTTGGAGTTCATCTCGGTGACAGCGGCGGTGGCCTCATCTGGCTTCTCGAAGCACACGAATCCGAATCCCTTGGATCTTCCGTTCTCATCAACCATCACCTTTGCGGAGGTGATAGCTCCGAACGAGGCAAAGATATCACGAAGACCATCATCGTTGAGATCTTCCTCAATGTTCTTAACGTAGAGGTTGACTCCTTGGTAGCGCTGAACGCGTTCTTGCTTGAGGGCCTCATACTTTCTTCTCAGATCGGCTGTGCGCTCGGACTTCTTCTGGGCTCTGCACACGGCAAGCTTCAGCTCGGTTCCCTCGAGGATGGAGTCGTTCATGGCCTCAACAGCCTTGGCAGCATCATCCGGGTCGGCGAAGGCGACGAATCCGAAGCCCTTCGGCTTGCCGTTGGCATCAGTCATCACTACGGCGCTGGTGATGGTTCCGAACTTCGAGAACATGGCGATGATCTTCTGCTGATCAAGGTGCTCTCCGAAGTTCTTGACGAACACGTTCGAGTACTTGATTCCGCTCTCTCCAAGCTCCTTCATGCGCTGGGCCTTCGGCTGGAACTTTCCGACATAGCTGAAAAAAAGGAGAATGAAATGGTTTGCACTTTAATTTATCGTCAACTTACACTTTCTTGCCGGAAAGGAGCATGCCATTGACTTTGTCAATGGCGCTTTGAGCCGAGGCTTCGGTCTCGAAGTGGACGAATCCGTATCCGCGGCTGGTGCCGTCCTCATCGGTCGCCACCTTGCACGAGAGGATGTTTCCGAAGAGCGAGAATGTGTCGTAGATCGACTTGTTGTCGATGACACGATCCAAGTTCTTGATGAAGATGTTACCGTTGCCGGCACGACGAGCCGCTGGATCACGTTGCGACCACATGATGCGCATTGGACGTCCATGAATGATCTCAAAGTTCATGGTGTCCAGAGCACGTTCCGCTGAAAATAAATTAGTGATATTTCTGCATTGGAAATCAGACATCAGCATTTAGGTCCCTACAGTATTACTTCTCGTTCAGACCCCATCCAGAGGTGCTCTTCCATCTAAGACACCTTCGTGCTAATTGATGTGCTCTCTATGATGCTACTGGCACTTTAACATGACGTCCCAATTAGAGATGTCAGTCAATTTATTTTCTCCCGAACATCATCCTCATTAATAGGTCCTCAGTAGGCTGGTCGAACAGGCGATTTCAGGTGCCTGTTCGACCAGCCTAGGTCCTCAGATTCTTCCCGTACTCTGACGTCACATCATTCCGTTTCCCATCCTTCCAAATCCGTTCACATAATGGTACGTCACACCTTATGCGACGAGGCTCTCCTCGTTTATTTTGCAATACTGCACAGCGTTAGCCATACACGACGATGGTCGGTTGGTTGGTCGGCCGGCCGGCCGCGCTGGGCCGTGCTAGCTGAAGAGGAGGCAGGGGACGGTTTGGCGGTGGTGGCGGTGTGTGTGTGTGTGTGCATGTGATGATATAAAACAACGCGACATTGGTTTGCGAGGCTCTCGGTCTCCGGTGTTCTCCGTACTATTTCGTCAGTGTGGCCCACTCCCTGCTAGCTCTCTCTCACTCACTTTCGTTCTCTCTTCCCATGTTCTTCTTGTTGCCCGACCCCTGTCCCCAGTTCCCCCCAAAAAAGGATACAGTGATAACGTGGCGGCACGCAATTGATAAGGGAACTTACCATCAGCGGGTTGTTGGAAGTTGACGTAGGCGTATCCGAGCGAGAGGCGACTGGAATTGTCGCGGCACACACGAATCGAAAGCACCGGTCCCGCCATACTGAACTTCTCGAACAGCATCGCTTCAGTGACGTCTCCGTGAAGATCGCCAATGTAGAGCGACGCCATCGAGTAGGTCGAGTTCGGCGGATAGCCCATGTTTGGCACCGTTGGCCCCTGCTGCATGACGGCTTGTTGCGGTTGTCCAGCAGCAGCAGGCACCGCAACTTGCGGTGGTGGTGGAGCCGCCGGAGCAACAACTTGAGCCATCGTCGGTGGAATCTGGGCCATCGTTCTGAAAAAAGGGAAATGTTAGATATTGAAAGTCGAAAAAAGAAGGTGCGAATAAGTGAAAGAGAAGACGAAGGAAGGAGGCAAGACAAAAAACGAGTGGGCGTGTTTAGTGCGAGTGTGGTGTGCTGTGCCGCGCCTCTCCTTTCGATAAATGGAGTGAATATTCGCTTGGCTCTGAAGGAGAATTTATATGTATGTGTCAGAGAAGGCACGAAGAATAATGTTCCTCATAAAATGGTTGGATTGGAGCGACGAGAGCGAGGCGCTTCGATTGTATAGCGTCGGTGCCCACATTAAAAACAAACGTCACTGGATTGCGAAATTATCTTTTTTGAGTTCCATGAAAAGATACGGTAGCCGGCCTATGTGAAACCTGAAGCCCGCTGTCCAGGCAGAGAAGAAACCAAAGTCCTGCCGCAATTTTTTATCAGCAAGTTTGCGGAGAAGAAGAAAAAGGAAAAGGCAGTAGTCTGGTCGCTTCCTGAGACGCGAGCGGAGCGAAGAGAAGAAAACCGAGTGGAATGGGGAGAAGAAGAAGAAGCCAACGCGGCGCGTCTCGCCACCGCCTCTCTTCGCTGCTTTTTATCGTTTATATCGAATATATATTCCCTTCTGCAAGCAGTGCCCACATCAGGAAAGGAAAGATAGAAAGTAACAGAGAGAGGGGGGCGGCGCTGGAAATCAAAATTTCACTGTAGTATCATCACCGCTCGCTTGCTTCAACGGAAAAGATAGGGGGGGTTGAAAAGAGAAGGTAGAAGCAAAAGGGCGCAAGCAAGCGAGGGAGAGGGGGGGAAGAGGCAGTCGCAATCAACCAGTGGTAATTGATTGATTTCCGATCTCTTCTATCTGTTCAGCATCTTCATACGGCGGCGAGACAACACACCAGTAAATGTGATATTATCGCGTTCCAGGATCGTTTTGTCTCGTCTCGGAAGAAGAAGAAGAACAAGAAGGAATGTGATTTGCGTTCGCATACTAACTGACGGACGACGGCGGAAAGGAGAAAAAGAAGGAAAAGAAAGAGTCAGGCGGTGGTGCGGTGTGGAGATGATTCATCCGTTCCTCCCTTTTCGAAAGTGCCACAATACCTTTTTTGTGCAACACTGACTACATGTAGAGAGTGTGAGGAGAGGAGTGAGCAAGACATCATGCGATCAAGACTTACCGTGTTGTCTCTTGTTTTTCGACTGAGCAAACTGATGAAATAATCAGCTGATGATAGGACGTTTAGTTTAGATGGGCACCAGGTCGATTGAAGATTAAATATGTAGAATTTTTTTTTGGGTTTTTTGAAAAGTTACGGTTATAGAGGGAGAGAGGTGATCGTCTCCGGGACACACAATATAGACGTGTCTGTCCAGTGTGTGTGTGTGCCTAGGCGGTCCGCGTCGCTTCGAACGCACTGCGCAGAGGTCGCCGAGAGTGGCAGAGTGTCCAGAGAAAGACCGCGGGTCGCTCGGTTGGTCGGGTGCGGTTGGGCGGCCGGGGCTGTTGCCTCCCTCCTTTTTTTGTGTATGTTTTTGCTATGCTTTCTAATGCGCTGCGTAGTGTGACGTGTGATAATCGTCAGCGCTTCCTGACAAAGGGGATTTCAGAGACTAAAGCAATGCATCTTCAGAACATTCGAGATTTGATTGAATTGATTTTTCTCCGCATAGTTTCTCCCCACGGGTGGTCGAAAAATTGCGAAAATTTTCGAAATAAACCACTCAAGACGTTGCATCTTTCTCTGCGCCTCACATGCACGGTAACAAAGCCCAATCGCCATTATTGAGACACCTTTTCCAATGATGCTCACACTCACTCATCATGTGATAAGATTGTTTGAACAACCGACCTTTTTCACACACAACCGTCTCATACAAGTGCAAATTTTTTTCCTTCGCTTCTGACTCCCAATTTTACTGATTTTTTGCAGGTAATAATCGAGAAATGCATGAGAACCGACCGCTCGATGATATCATAGAAGTGAACGAGCGAAATGGCACGAATCCGCCGGACAGACAGCGTTTCGAGAACGAATTGGAAGGATTTCACTCGGAAATGCAAAGAATTCGATCTCAGGTTGATTACTGATTTTAGCGCATTATAATAAAGTTTTCTGCGTTTTAGATTCAAACCCGGTGCAAAAAATGTCTAGAGGCGAACCCGGTGGAACAAGAAATGCGGGTCAAGCGGGAGGCGCTACGAATAGAAATCAACCAGCTCAAAACCGACGGCAACAAGATCAAAACCGAGATTGATAATCAAGTGAGTCCCCAAACCTGTAGTGAATTGTCCATCTCCTGGGTCAGTCCGTATGGAAACGAGTGCGAAGAGACGTGGACCGGAAAAATGAGCTGAAGAGCAACAGCTGTGTGCACACTCCGAGAATATATATGTGCGGTCGAAAGCTTCGCAATTTTCTGGAAGCTAGCTGAGCCAGCCCAGAGAGAAGGCGAGGGGGGAGGTGATGAAGACACAAAATTGCGAAAAGTGAGAAGAGCGAGCCTTTTTGAATAAATGCATTTATGCATGATATTAGCATATTGATAAACTGCAACGCACTTTTTATCGATGCGGACGTTCCCACCTGTTGCTTTTGCAGTTTGATTTTTGGTGACGCACTGTATTGTATGAATAGAAGCTCCACTTGCTTAGCACTAATGTGACAAAAAAGCAAGACGTTCCTACCGTAATACTAGAAAAATTGTAGAATCCTAAAGTTTGGTGCTGTCGAAATGGAAAGAAAGATATAAAATATAGGATTTTATACTCGATTTTCACTCGGGGTTTTATGAGCAACATAAAGAACGGAACAAGCAAACAGTTTTACGACGAAAACGGAGAAATTTTGCAAGAGTTACAGTAGCTATGAGCGGGCGTTGGTTGCAAAAGACGAAGCCCATTTCGGCCACATGGATTTTTGATTTTTCTCGATTCTAGTTTCAAGGCCGCCTCTGCTCGTTCCCAGACAGCCACCAAAACATGGAAAACTCACTAAACATAAACACGTCATCCACAGACGCGTATATTTTGTATATCTGATAAGAACGGCAGATCAGGATTATCATAGGACTGGCGCGTGAACGATGAAAATGATAAAAATGAATTAATCGTGGCTTTTTTCCAGAGAAAGACGCAACTGGATTTGGAGAAGGATTGCCGCATTCGGAACAAAGATCAACTCGACAAAGTACTCTTGGAGCACGAAAAGCGCTACAATACGCGCAGTATGTCGGCGAGAGACGAACAAGCACTTGTCACCGAAATCGACGCGTTGAAAAGGAATCGGCAAAAGTTGGAGTGGGTTTGAACCAAAAAAGTGAACCAAATCGAATGGTTTTCAGTGCGTTGGCGGAATTGAACTTAGAAAGGAGGGATATGAATCTGAAGTTGGAGCAGAATCGAGAGAGGAAACATGTAAGTGTTCAAAGCTGAATCGAATGTGCACAAAGACGGTGACATTTTACATTGACATTCCAAGAAATGTCGTTTACGTCATTTCACTAAAAAAATTTTTAGAACTTGATAACAAATTGTCATTCTTCAACCTTTTTTGTTTGCCTATGAATATCCTACCTTTACTGACGAACTAAAAACATTGTATCTGTTCTGAAACTGTCCAGAAATATGGGGTATATCTTCAATACTGAAACCTGAGAAAGCCATAAGGAAGTATGTTGATGTATAACAATAAAACCTGAGAACTTTCCTTTTCAGAAAGTCTACTTCGACCTCACCTCCCTTCAAAACCAATGTAAACAGATGAGAGCGGACCGGAGAATGATAGAAGATGAGATTCGTGATTTCAAAATGCAGCTACGCGGGGCCAGTGACCGCCGGAAAGAGCTCATTAACGCCTACGAGTATAATCGAGAAGAGTACAAGTCGTGGCTTGACGAAAACAAACTAATCGGTTCGAGTGTGCCAATGTCGTTCCCAAGCGCAAGAAAAATGAGTGAGTCTTTGTGTGAATGGGTTTGAAATGAAGCGAGAAGACGCTCAATTTTCTTTCGAACCTTGAGAAGGCGAAAGAGTATTTGGAGAGGAAAAATTGGATGAGAAGAGGGTCTTAGGGATTCGAAAAGAACGAATGCATGCATTGAAAATTCAAGGCTCGAAGGAAAAGAGGCTTTCGGACGTCTTGTGACTGCGTTAGCACGAGACAAATCGTTGTGACCTGAGGCGTTCTAGTTGAGTTTTTGAATGGCCCGGGCCGAGTAAAAATGTTACGAAATCCAGAAAAAAACACAACTCACCGGTAGCATTTTTTGATGTTTCAATTTTCAGAAGTGCCAGTAGAAGTAGAAGAACTCGAGCCGTATTACGAGCAGAAAAGAGACTGCAACCGGCTCATACACTATCTGGAAAGACTTCAGACCAATGTCCAGACAGAAGAAGTTGCGAAACCGTCCCTCCCGGTCGTGATCGATGACGACGATGACTCAGCAGACGAGCTGCCGCCACAACTGCTCAAACAGAACCCCAAGATCCACGTGGCATCAGTTCCGGCCTCCAATCCATGTACCAAGAGGAGTTTGAAGAAGGGAACACAGCCGATCTCGCATAACATTGACATTTACAAGCTGTTTGGAACTGTCGACGTGGAAGTGCCCAAAGTGTATGCAGATGTCGGCGAGGCATTGAAATCTGTAAGCTTTCAATTTAAAATTAGTGTTATGTGAGTCAAGGATAGCTTAGTTGAGTTGAGTGCGTTGCAACGCTGAGCAGAAGAGCAAAGAAAATCTGAAAACTTCTAAGACCCATTTTTGCAGGTGAGAGAAAAACTCGAGTTCTACAACCAACAAACGACCAACGAACTGGACTGGGGAGACGAATTGGGAGGAATGGGTAAGAAGAGTTTGGCTTGGATTTCGCAATTCAACCTATTGACACAAATGATGAAATGCTAACTATTTCAGAATTCCTGTCGGTATCCCGAACTGCAAGTGACATGGACTCTTACATGGATGACTCTCTTTCTGACGTCGGAAGCATCTCCAGCTTTATCCGTGCATCGAGTCGGACCAGTTGCCCTTCGCCTCTGGCCACTGACAATTCGCCCAAGAGATTCGTATCGAATCCAGAAGTCAAAAATTCGCCAGTATAACCCCCATAGATCTGAAAATCGTGTCAAAATATGTTTTACGGCGCTTTCAATTGTTTCGTCCGCCTTTTCATTGAACTCTCGAGTTTATTTCCTTCACTTTCATCGTGTTTCCGAAAACAGATTCGGGTTTCAACAAGTTTCAGTTTGCCATCGAATCATTTGATGCTCTAGCATGTAGCTCTAGTCTTAGAACTAGATTTATTTTTGTGGCCAACACGTTCACTTTGCTCTTCAATATCCGTTTGTCACAAATGCCTTCTGCTCAACACCGTTGCTCATGATCAATAAGTTTGTCAAAAAATTGGGTACTTTCTATCTTGCAAACTGTTGCCCACATGTGATTCTATTTGAAAAAAATTTTTTATTCAATGTATTTTCTTTTTCCCTGCTAAATGATATTGAAGCCGGCAGAAGTGCATAGCAATAGGGCCAGGGAAAGAGAGAGAGAGAGAGAGAGAGAGAGAGAGAGAGAGAGAGAGAGAGAGAGAGATGGTTACGAGGTTGACTTTTTGCACAAAAATGTCCTGTATTTTTAAAAAATTTGCGAACGAAGTTGTTTGTCGGAGGTACCGTAATCCGATGCACTATCTTAAAGGAGGCTTGGCCAAAAACCGTCTAGCTCAAAAATCGGTTTTTGAGTGGGGTCTTCAATGGGTATAATATGAACCGAAACGGAGTCAACTTGTTTTTTCTAGTACGGCATGCTGTTGGCCGTTGGTTGTTTCTCTGAGATACTATGTACGTCTTAATTTTCTCCTCCCCCTCTCTGTAGAATGTGTTCATTGGCAACTTTTGATTCCGATCTCTCTCCAGATGTTCACAACAGAAAAATAAATGGCCGGAGTCCAACTGGATATGTAAAGGTAAAAAAAGAGAACAGAAGTTTATAAAAGCACGAAACATGTGCCAGACATTGACGGAACCTTTCAATGCGTCATTTTTATCGTCTTCCTTCTACATTCTTCTCCTACTTCTTGTTTTTGATGCTCTCAAAAGAGAAAAGAGCAAAGTGAGGAGAAAAGAGGAGTCGCTCTTCTTCTTCTTCTTCTTCTCGACGTCTCCTTGCTCGTAATTCCCAAAATCCATAAATAGAGAACCCCTTCCTCTTTTCCTTCTTCTTCTTCTTCTCTTTGCGGACCCCCTCCCCCATCTCTTGGGCCTCTCCTTCTTCCTTGTGTGCGCATCTCGCGCTCGTTTTTGGCTTCAACACGACGGCTTCTGGACGATAGCTACTGCTCCATTTATTTGAGCGGCACCCCCCTCCGCCGTTTTCTTGCACACTTTCACCCAACATTTCACACAACCCTGACCCTTTTCTTTTAACTTTTTCTGGACGAATGAAAAAACCATTGGTGTTCCAATTGAATTGGAAGCAATTGTGTTGGGGCGTGCTCTTTTTGGTCGTCGCAACGAGCACCACTACTAATGCGATTAAAATAAAAAGGACGGCCAAGGATTTGGAGAGCCAGCTTTATGAGGATTTGCTCTTCGACTATAATAAGGTTTGTGTTTTTCGTTCTTGGTGTTGTTCTTTGGTAGTTTGATTAGTGGGATTAAAAGTTCTTTTATTTTTTTGCAGTGCCCTTTCAACTACTAAACCTATTACCCTCTTTGTTTCAGGTCCCGAGACCAGTCAAAAACAGCTCGGATATTCTTACTGTAGACGTCGGAGCCTCTCTCATTCGAATCATTGATGTAGATGAAAAGAATCAAGTGCTCACCACCAATTTATGGTTGGAAATGGTAAAGATGCAACCTGTTTTGATAAAACTCACCACGAAACCTTCAGAAATGGAATGACGCAAAGCTTACATGGATTCCGGAGAAGTACGGTGGACTAAAGACCTTGCACATACCGAGTGACTTTATTTGGACCCCGGATCTAGTGCTTTATAACAAGTAAATCAGTTTTCTTAGCTGTTTCAATAATGTCGCAAGTATTTCAGCGCAGCAGGAGACCCTGACATTACAATCTTAACGGATGCACTTGTTACCTTCGAGGGCAATGTTTACTGGCAACCACCGGCTATTTACAAGTCATTTTGCCCGGTAAGTTTAATGGATATTACGTTATTATCAAAATATTTCAGATTGACGTGACCTGGTTTCCATATGACTCGCAGAAATGTGAAATGAAGTTTGGAACTTGGACGTACACTGGTCGATATGTTGATCTGAAGCAACTTCCTCAAGGTTCACAAATACATTAAGACCAAAATCCCAACAAATTCTGCTCAGAAGAAGTAGTAACCATCAGCAAAGATGGAAGCGACGTGGAATTCATGCAACAAGGCATGGATTTGAGCTTTTTCTATCGCTCCGCAGAATGGGATCTTCTGTCGTTGACATCTGAAAGACATTCTGTGCTATACGCGTCGTGTTGTGGTCCTGAAAAGTATGTGGACATCACCTATTATTTCGGATTACGGTAAACGACTTTGTTCTATGATTTTTATTCGAAATCTGAAATTTTCAGCAGGAAAACCCTGTTCTTCACGTGCAACCTGATCATTCCCTGCTTTTTGATTTCCATTCTCACCACATTTGTGTTCTATCTGTCCGACCACAAAATCACATTCTCCATTTCTATTTTAGTCACGCTGACTGTGTTTTTCTTGGTATGTTTTGTGTGAAAATGTCTGAAGTGAAGGATCGAAAATAACTTTTCTTCCAGGTTTTGATCGATTTAATGCCTCCAACAAGTTTGGTGATACCCATGTTTGGAAGATATCTGATCACTACCATGATATTGGTCGCACTATCTACCGTGGTCTCAGTTATTACTGTAAATTTCCGGTTTCGATCCGGTTCAGCTCACAAAATGTCGCCATGGATTCGAGCGGTGTTTCTAAAGTTTTTGCCGAAGTGAGCTTGTTCAGAATTGTACGATGTCAACATCAGATGTTTTCAGAATGCTGATGATGAAACGGCCCGAAAAGAATGAAGCGACCAAACAGGCGCCTTTGGTAGATGCCGCCAGCTTGGTGGGCTCCAACTATGCAGCGGCGGCCAAGGTAGGCAAACAATTGAATTGTTGTTTGCCCAAACATAACTTTATTGTGCAGGCCGCTAACGAGTACCGCAACAAGGCCAAAAAGAACAACGATGCGATAAGTCTGAGGGAGAAGCCGAGCTCTCAGGCTGTTCTTAACAACACGTTTGATATGAGGATGAGGAATAATGATAGTAAAGTTGAAAATGTTAGTGAAGTAGAAGTTCGTCACAATTCTCTGAAATTATTGTTTTCAGAAACTGAAGCCGTACCTCTGCGCTCAAAACAATACGGCTCCGACTGTAGCTTTTCGAAAAACAAAAAGACAGAAGAACAAGTCTGTGGATGATGTGGTTTTTATGAATCTTCTCAATCAAGTTAGGTTCATTGCTGAGCATTTCCGGCATAATGAGTTGGAGGGAGAGGTGTGTTCATTTTTCAGTTTACCGAACACTTTGCGATGCGTCTAATAGTTGCAATACGTTTGAAATTGCTTAAATTCCGTTTTCTAGATTTCCGACGACTGGACTTTCGTTGCAATGGTTCTCGACAGACTCTTCCTCATTATTTTCTCGGTCCTTAATGTGGGAACCGTTTTCATAATTCTGGAATCTCCATCATTATACGACAACTCGAAACCGATGAATATCACAGTACCGAATAAGCCATTAGGCCAAGCCAACTTCTATAGTTCCTGGAATTTGAAGTAATACATACGGTTCTTTTTTGTCTGCAAAATAAAGTATTTTTGTTCCGCGTATCTTTGAAGGTTCATTTAACAATTACAATGAGAAACGATCTTTCACAGATACATAGGAAATCATTAATTCACTAGCGAAAAAGAGGTTGACCATGAAACAGAAAATTGACCTTGAAGACCAATCTAATTCACATTGTTTCTCACATTTCACATCACAACACCATATAACCAAACCAAGGAAAAAAAGAGCGAAGAAATGATATGTATATAATAATAACGTCAGAAAATACACGCACATACATGCATCCAGAAAGAAGAAGTATGGGGTATGGGGTAAGCAAAAAGTTTGCGGAGGAGAATAGTTGGGAGACGTCATAGACGCCAGGAAAACCGGACCCGGCGAAGAAAAGCAATGCAAAAAAACAAAGGATGTGGGTCGGAGAAAAAACTCAATAATAATAGTACAAATCGCAGTAGATACGACCTTGCAGACACGTATAAAAGCAGCAGAGGAAGACGAGGAAGGCATCCAGAACAACAATGTTCACTCCCTCTCAACTCATCTGCTCTTCTCTTCTCATTGCTACCATTTTGGCTAGTCCAATCAGCCATTCTAGGTGAGCGCATTTCAAACTGAAGTATTGATTGATCTTCTTTTTTTTAGCCATGAGAACGCCTCTGGCAAGTACGGTTACGGGGATGAGAACGCCCACGCCAAGAACTTCCACGACAAGGCCGAGCATTCTGGGCATGAGGCCCGGGATAAGAGCTACGCACACGATGGAAAGGCCGCTGACCACGATGATCTTCACAAGGACGCCGCCGAGCACAAGCAGAACAAGGAGGCTCACCAGTCCGGATCTGGAAACAAATATGTTGATGATGCCTCCAACTACAACAAGGGTGAGTTTATCGGTTTCCTTAAAACATACCATATCACCCACGCGTTTCTTTAAGACGTGAAGACCAAGACCTTTGGATTCTTTGACTACCGTTACGTGCAGCCACAATACCACATGGAGCAGTACCACACCGACGAGAAGCACGCCAACAAGTACGCTGGAGATGAGCACAACGCCGGACAAAAGCACGACGACAAGGGAGGATACCACGCCGACGGACACCAAGGATACGGTAATGCTTTCGGAAAAGAGTACAATTCATTGATGTACGCTTCTTGCAGACAAGGCCCAGGAGAAGCACGGAGCTTCCCACACCGACTACGGAAACGAGGACGCCGGACACAAGTCGAAGTACGACGACAACGAGGGCAAATACGGAGACCACTCTGACGGATACTACAACAAGGGATACGATAACTTCGGACACGGACACGACTCCGAGAGCTACCAGCCATCGTACTACCAGCCAAAGCCAAAGTACTACGGAGGACACCAATCCCACTACCAGCCATCCGCCACCAGACATTCGGCGCCGTACCACGGAGAGCAGTACTACGGATACGAGGCCCCGCACTATTAAATTCACTTTTCTGAATTGATTTGATTTGATATGACCGCGTAACTCGACATTTTTAGTCTCGCTCTATCATTTCTTCATTGTATTCTTTTTCTGTACTTCTTTTAAAATTTCGGGAATAAAAGTGTAGAGGAAAACAACTCTTCGCTTTCTGAATATCCAATTTTTCGGGCTCGAATTCAATTCAATTCGCAAGTTTTCTGCACAATATGAGTAACTCAAACTCAAAAATCCTCTCCGCGTAACCTAACTTCTTCTTCTTCTTCTATATTTGCTTTCCCATACTCTATACCGCCAAAAACCAACAAGTTCAATCAAAAATCAATGGTTCAAAGATAGGATCATCGCGAAGATCAATCATTCATTTGATAGTTCTCTAACGTCTTCTCTATTCTCTTCTCTTTTTCGGTGACGCTGTACATTCTTCGTGGTGTGTTTTTCCGATAAGAATTGGAGAGAGAGAGAGAGAGAGAGAGAGTGCGGTGGCGAAGACACGTGATTCATGAAATCATGAAAAATCTGGGTATCATGTTTGCAACGCTTCAATAACTTTTCTGCCCGTTTGCGCTCGTCTTTCCAGTGATACGATCTATGATATAGAGAAGTGCGCACACAAACACGCACACCGACCGCGCAATGACGAGAATCGCGGCGAAAAACGAAATGAATAATGGTATTAGAACTGGAAAATGCAAACATTCGGCGGAAGGATGGAAGAACGGACGGAGAACAGGCGTATGTGATGTCATTATGATAGGAAAAGACCGACCCAGTCTTTTTCCAGGTTGTGTATATATAATCACTTTTCAAAGATTGTTTTTTTCAGTTGTTCCCGATTTTTGAAAAACATTTTCTGAGTAGTGGATATTCCGCAACACGGTTGGCAAGCGAGAATTTGGGAAAAGTCATCAGTCCTACTTCTTTTTCATCCGATGACAGGAGAACTTCGACAGTCTGGAAATGGTATTTCGCAACAGCTGGAAGTTCTGCAACCAAGGGATGTTTCGCAACTATCCTAGACTATCCTAGTTGCGAAATGTCCTTCCATTTTTACTCACAATCATTTGGTCCAGTCCAGTCCAGTCCTTGCGCAGATTCGTGTCAGAATGTAACGTTCTATGGCCTGATAAGCATGTTAGGCGATTTGTTTATTTTTCTGATTTCCATTTTCACTGTGATAGGATCAACTTGACAATTCCATTAGGAAGAACGCGGACAATAGAAGATATTTTTGAAGAGGAACAAAAATTGCATTACAGTAATCCTTTCTTTGGACTTCTTGTCATTTTTTGTTCGCTTTTTGTTTGAGTTCAATTTCAATAACCTTGTGAATAGCTCTTGATTGCATCGGTGCTCATTGAACAGAACTGAACGACCGGACTTTGGTTTTTTGATACTTTGACTCTCTTAAACGGTGACAGGGCTGATCTCTGCGTGAGGAAAATGAATTCAAATCCAATTCTCCAATTCCATAAACCTTTTCTCTCCGTCAAAACCCAATAAATGAATAATATGCAAAACATAATCCAAACAGTCATACCGTCTATTTTCCGCCATTCTTCCCCTGATCTCTGTCAAAAAGCTGATGCCCCGCCCAGTGACACCGTACAGTATAAATATTAGAAAGTGGGGGGGGAGAGAAATCAGAAGAAGAAGAGACATGATGATTCTATTCTACTCCACTCCATTTCCCCGACACCATCACTCTTTTCGCTGTCGAAACCTTCTTCTTCTTCGTCTTCTTTCTTTCATGACAACGAACCCCTTCTATTCCGAACGTGATATGGGCTGAGACATGATGATAAGTTGTTACAGAGATCACTTTTCCTCTCGGTCCTTCTCACTCGATAGCGAATGTAATTACTATTCATCGGGTTATGTACTCTTCTCATCCTTCCATCCAAATACCCATCAACTCCGACATCATTCTCTTCTCTATCTCTCTCCGTTTTTTCTCGTTTTTGTTGTGCTACAATAGGTTTCGCGCCCGTTTTTGTGGTTTAAGGGCAGAGAGTCAGTCAAATACAAATCACATGATAGGTGTATGTACAAGGGAAAAAGGAAAATGGAGAAGTAATATGAAAAAAATAGATGTTCTTTATCTGTTCGGTACGAAATCTTGTTTGGCCTCTGTTTGGTTGAACCTAATGAAAATGGTTTGAAAGAGGCGTACTTTTCTTGATAACAGTTTCGTTATCTCTCACAGTTTGGTGTGTTGTGTGGTGAAAGAACAAACATTCCAAAAGAAATTCATTTGTAAATTCATATTTGGATGTCATCACTGTCAAAGATGGCGAAATACCAGAAAACGTTTCAGATGTTCGCTACAGTAACAATATTTTTTGGAAGTCACACATTAAAGCTATATACTGCTTCAAACTCATCTAAAAAAGTGTTCCCGTGTTCCTTCGATGTAACGCCATAGAAAATCTTCAAAACTTTTAGAATATTCTAAAGACTCAACTCAACTGAACTCTGATTTCTCTCTCAAGACCAACTTTTTCTTCTTCATCTTTTTCATCCTTTTCATCATCTTCCACTCCTTTTCTCAAATACCAAACGTGCAGAAACGAAGAGAAAAATTCTCTTTTTTGCAGATCTGAGATACGCGCACGCCCCACTTGCTTGTACGAAGAAGAACGATAAAAGAGAGAAGAAAAATGGGTAAGTCAGTTAATCTTTCATTTGTTCTATCACTTATCACACTCGTATTTCGTCCAACGACAGATAAAGTTCCTATTGGGCTCTTCTCTATTTTCCTCTCGTATTACGTCTTCTTGGCGGGTCCAGGACTAGGCTATTATTATTTGAGAATCGGATATTCGACCCCGTGCCTCACTTCCTCAGTCTCGTCAGTGACGTGAAAGCGAAAAAAGAAAAGCGAAGCGAAAAAAAGGGATAGAGTTTTGGGTAGCAGCAAAACAACAACGTTTTTCTTCTTTTTTTCACTAACGCCTGAAAACTCAAACTCAACCTCCCCCTCGCTGGTTGTTACTTGCTCACATTTTGCTCGCCATGGCACCTCCCGAGATCCCTCGAAAGTCTGCCAGACTGATTCAAAACGCTAAAACTTCCAAAAAAGTGGTTTTCAAAGCGAAAGCTAAGAAGAAGAAGGTGTCTTTAAAGAAGAAAAATCAGTTTAAGAAAGGTAGGATTAGCTGTGTTTTGTTGCAATTTATTCTCTCTACATTCATATTATTTTTTCAGCCTCTGCTCAAAGACAAAGCCCTATTGATATCATCGGACGAGATGTTTGTTGCGACGAAGAAGTTTGCAGAGTAAGTTCAAGTTCAAACAACGACAGCTCGAAAACAATTGTTTTTTTTTCAGGCCGACGCTCTCAACATCGACTACAAGCCCGGAGACTGCGTTGACGTCATCGTAAACGAAGGAGGGTTCCTGGTGAATGTGAAGAGGCACTGCGCCACATGTAAGTTCCGTCACGTGTGCCCTCCCCCGTACATAACTTTTCCCCTCGTTTTCTTCAGCCCTCACCGCCAACCATTTGCCGCCGGCGAAATTCGAATTGGCGCAATTCCATGCTCACTGGGGATGCAACGGAAAAGAGGGTTCCGAGCACACGCTGAACGGAAAGAAATTGAGCGGAGAGGTGCATTTTGTGTTCTGGAACACCAACTACGCGTCATTCGGTGAGGCTATTCAGCAACCAGATGGATTGGCTGTTGTTGGAGTGTTTTTGAAGGTTCGTCAAAGACATAAAGTCATCAAAAGATAAATGTTCATGTTTTTGTTCTCAGGAAGGAAAGTACAACGACAACTACCACGGATTGATTGACACAGTGCGCAAGGCAACCGGAAACGTCACACCAATCGCGATGCCAAAAGACTTCCACTTGGAGCAGCTCCTGCCGCCTGTGGACAAGAGGGATTTTGTCACTTACCTGGGATCTTTGACCACTCCACCATTTAATGAGTGTGTCATTTGGACGCTTTTCACTGAGCCCATCGAAGTTTCCTATGGCCAGGTGAGCATTTTTCTGTTTTGTGGTTGCTTCGGCCAGAACAGAACAGCTATATCAAATTTCTTTTTGTTTTTCAGCTCAATGTGCTCCGAAACATTATCCCTTCAAATCATCGTGCCTGTCAGGACAGATGCGGACGTGAAATCCGATCATCACATAACTTCAACTGAAGTTAACTTCTCTTTTTTTTCTGTATTAACCCCCTTCTCTTGAACTTGTTTATACACTACGTGCACAATGTAAAAAACACCCACAAGTAAGTAAGTATGCTGTAACGTGAAAACAACACAAAAATTGAGAAATTTTCCCAAGGCGTACATATATAATGTATGAGGCTTCTAGTTCTCCCCCCCCCCTAACACTACTTCTCAGAGCAATAAATAATTCATAATATCTCAAATTTTTAGTACGTCGTTGCTGTGCAGACGCATATTGAAAAAAGGAAGTAAAGGAACGGGGCTACGATAGTGGGTAGTTCAATCCTATTACACGTAAATCCAATTATCTTTGTTTTCGGTTGTTGTTGATGCTTGACCAACTTCACTGGGCAAAATTTGGCGACACTGGTCTAGTTGAACTCTTATGAGCATCATTTTGATGAAAATGTTTATTATACGAACAAATATCGAGTTTTTCAAACAGGAGAAGTCAGTGGGTCAGTCATTACAGAAGTCGACGGGATTTTGATCGACTGCAGAGGTGGAGCAGGGGTCATCGGTGGTTCATCGTAAGCTTCGCCTTCATGAATGTGCTCGTTGAGCCAGTAGCAGTTTACCTCTCCTGAAATTGACTTTGATCGTCCATAATATTATCATAAACCCCTCTCTCTCTCTATCTTTCGACTCACCTTTCCCTTTCACATGAACAATTCCTCTTTTGACCAGTTTATACTCATGAGATTGGAAGAGTAATCTGGCGGTGATCTCACTGGTCTGAATTTGATTAGGCGGGCAATTCGACTGCATTCTTGAAGCGAAATTGACGGTATCACCGAAAAGACAATATCTGGGAGAGCGGATTCCGATTACTCCCGCGGCGATGGGTCCGGCGTGAAATCCGATACGGATTCGAATCTGGAAATAACGTGTTCTTCTGGATACTGATAATATCAAAATGCACCTTATAATCTTTATCATGGGGCATATAGTAGCCATAGGATATCTCTCGAATCTCCAAACTGATTTCAGCCACTTCAAAGATGTGCCGGCCCTCATTTTCATGTGGTACACCCGAAGCAACCATGTATGTTTCTCCCGTTGTTTCTACCTGAAAATGTTATTTTGGGAATTTGTGAAAATGTCGAACAAAGACCTTGTAAGCATCGTGCTTTCTGATTACTGTATCAAATTGATCAAAAATATCGTTCAGGAACATGATGACCTGTAAGAAAGCGGAAAGTTGAAAATTTGCGGTGAAAAGTACCTGATCCGGAGAGCTTTTTTTCATAATCGCATTAAATTCACAAATCTGGACGAACATGACAGTTGCTGACTCATAACTTCTTGGTGGTGCGATAATACCGTTTTTCAGGTCTTTTGCGATACTTCTGAAATAATGAACAACAACTCGGAGGGTTTTCTAACATGCAACTCTTACGCTGGTAACATTTCATTCAGCAATCGCATAGTCTGTCTTTGAGCATCAGCCAAATCAGCTGTTCTGACTGCTACCATTTGCTCCAACTCATCCGCATACTTCTCATTCATTTTGATCATCTGATCCACTAAGTTACCCTTTGACGAGGGGTAAACTTTGGCAATTGTTTCCAAAAGTTTCTTGACATTGGGTCTTTTTGTGGCATCCCGATCCCAACACTCCTTGCAGACTTCCAAGAGCTGATTCTCAGCATGATAGTCTTCAGTGACACGTGGCATTAGATTATTGTTGATAATTTGAGAAAATAGATCTGATGCCACAAAAAGAGTATTACAGTAAAACGTGAACGGTTACCAGCTGGTCGTTCTACAGCGTTGTTCAGTTGATACGGGTCTTCTCTTTCGACCATCATGTAAAATATCATTCCAACACAATAAATATCCCCTGGAGCGCTTCCACGAACCATTCTCACCGGTGATTTCCCGGTCACATCATACTCTCGCAAATGTTCAGGTGGAAAACATATGTATTGCGAGTAGGCCACTGAATTTTTTTCACATTTTTGCTTTAAAGTCACGGTACTAACTCAATGGAGGTCCGCCGTCGCTGTATTTGATGTTCATTGCATCCAGATTGTCACAAATGATGTTGCTCACACCGTATAAAGTGAGTTTGAGCACCCAGTTGATGTCTATGAGGCATGTGGCCGCGTGTAGATAACCGTGGTACGAGATTGGGGATTTGTGGATGTATTGAAGACCCTAAACATGAATTTTTATGTGTTCATGTGACAAAATATAAATAAAAATGTTTGCGATTGAATTTTTGATGCAAAATAAGTTTACTTACCTTCAAAATATCCCTCATGAACGCAGACTTGAACGTATCATCCATTCCGAAATCACGATCGAAACAAAATTCCTATAAAATTTCTGTTTTACTCAGCTCAATGTTCTAGGAAATGCATACCTCTAAAGTACCTCTTTCAATTAACGAATGCAAAACCGTGAAACTTTCCACGTCATTTACAGCAATTCCAAAAAACTTGGTCAAATTGTCATGTTGCAACTGTTTCAGCTTGTACAAGTAATCCAAATTGTCTTCGGTGAAATTTATCTTTTTCAGCTGCCGAAATTGTGTGGGCTCGGCCCGTTGGGTCCCCACTAAAGCGTACGAGCCGAATACACGTCTTCGTGACGTCAGAGCAATCGCTGGATTATCATCTTTTTCCTTCTGGTTTACTAGCTCTCGTTGCATTTTCTGAAGCCACATTTGTTCGGGAAAAATGAGAGTGACTTACCGCGTCGGCGTTTTTGTTGAAAATAATTTTGAGTTTTTCTTTTGGCACCTTCCATGTCAGTTTGAACACTTCCATACGTCGCCTGAAAACTGAAACTTAAAATTTGGGGAAAACACTTTTCCTACCTTCTCTGTCTCACAAAAAACCCAATACCAGCAAGTGCACATCCGGTTATCAAAACGGCGGCGATAATATGCGCTAGAAGTATAGAAAACTCCATAATACTTTGGAAATGACGTGCCTGAATGACTTACGAACGTAATTAGTGCACGAGTTTTGGGCTACGCAGTCGTCTGGCGGCTGACCTTCTTTCAGACTCCAAAGCAAGTCTACCGACTTGTTTGACGACTAAAAATCATAAAACAATCGCGTTTATGTAAATGACTCACGAGTGTGAAACAGTTGTAAGTATCACAATCTTTGGGTGCCGACTTCAATGTCATAATTGCTTCAAACGTGTTGTGGGCAGGGTTAATTGAGAAAACGGCATAGTTGGTCAATACTGACCCACTATTATCAAACGTGAACGCGCCGTATTTAGCTGGAACGTAGTAGTAAGTGAACAACAACAACGAAAGCGAACAATTCTCACTGGTGACAACTTTTCCGCTCATGGCCGAATGATAATTATCGGTTGCGGTTTCGACGCCGTACGTAGAGCCTACACAATATGCATAACAAGCGTCGTATATCCGAAGAAATGTGGTGAATTGTTCCTAAAGTTGGGAGAATGAAGGAAATAAATAGGTTAGTTGGCTCACGTCTGCAAGGTTCGGAAGAATCGCTTGCATATAGGTGAGACTATCCGAAAAATGATCTTGGAGTGGGGAGATCTGCAATATTTCGCTTTGCCCAGAATCTCATTATAACTTACAATGAATGAATTAGCGCCGTAGAGAAGTGTCTTGATATTTGGCTGATTCAGCACCTCATCCGGAGGTTTATTGAGAATAACTATTATGAAAAACCTGTAGCCACCCAATTCTCGGATCCCGATGTTGTATAATGAACTGTAGATGTCATAAAAATCCGCACAAACCACAATAGCTGGAACATTTGTTTTTTTTTGATTTTTGAGAGGGGTTCGTGACGAAAAAACTAACTTCTCGCCCCTCCTCTGACTTTGTTATTAACGTCAGCCCAGTCGACGTCATTTTCATCAATGTCAACGTATTGTTTGATGATGAAACTGTTCATTTTCTGTAGACAACACACTAAAAAAATTAGTTTTAAAAAAGCTGGATAAAACCTCGTTATAAGTCCTCATGTCATTTGAAAGTGACAAACCATTCGGCATAACTTTCACAGAACCAACAAGTGTTATCTAAACATTCATTTTTAAGTATTTCTTGACTTGTATCTCACCTCAGTTTCACCCAACTCCTTCAGAACATACACCAAAGTTTCAGCCACACCACCAACAGAAAATTGTGCAACATTTATAACGGACGTCAACTCCTGAACACCCCTCGCCTCGAAAACTGGCTCATAGCCAATAACCGGCGACTTCCAAATCTCCGCGAAATCCCCAATCGTTCTGATATCCGTTGTGCACGTCGGTCCGACAAAAACATAATCCAGCTCTTCAGAGGTTTGCGACGCGACCATGTTGATCGCATACGAAGCCGCTTTTACACTGTTATCGCCGGCGCAGCCTGTTTGTCGCGATATTCTGGAAATAAGTTGGGGATTTCGGTTGGGACGAGCTAAGGAGTGAGGTATTAGGCTATTATGTATACAATACGCTGAAACAGCTACTGATTGAAAGACCAAGATTTACGGTGTTCGATCGATTCAGAGAATTTTTTTGAATTTGCAGTTAGCTCGTATTAATGTAAAAATAAGAGTGGGAAATGGAATCAGATAATTTACTGGGAATATATGCTCTGATTTTTTATCTCCAAATCGCTATATCTCCGGAGCAGATAATCCGATTGAGCTAAGACTTGGAACCAATATACTTCAACCCAAGTCCAAATAACCTGCAGTTTCAAGCCTAGGCAAGCCCCCAAAAAACAAACATTTGTATGAAACAATGAAGCTGCGTTTTCAATGTTAGCAGCGAGACTTAATCCGGAAATTGACTAATCCCAACGTTTCACCTTTCTTGTCTACCTAATCCCTATGAGCTCCATCAAACATTCTCATGATTAAATGAATTTTCTGATGATACGTAACTTACTCAATTGCTCGGTTAGTGCACATCCCATTGGCTTTCGCGTCTTCCACAGCAGAAGCGCACACATTATAAGCGGAAGGCCAGTTGTCGAAAATGATAAGTTTGATGCAATCGCCTCGTTGAACTTGTTGTGAAATGATTATAGTTATGACGACTAGACTCTTGAGCATATCAAAAGAAAATGTTATCCAAAACCGGAACCAAAAACCGCGTGAGCTTTTCAAAAAATCTCGTTAATAAGGCTCGGTCGGGCGTAAGATAACAGATGCTCGTCAAACACAAGGGATTTTAGAAGAAAAAAGAGGGCACAGTAGTTGAATATATAAGCGAAATATCGAGAAGATGACAGGTTATGTGTTGAAGTATCAAGAGACAGTAGACGCAGATGCCGGATGAGTTGGGTGAATAGGTATATAATCATCCGGGATTATTCATCTTGTATTGTCGAAAAGACTTGGATTATATTGATATATGTACGAATACGTAATGAATACCTAGATTAGCCGATACCCTTTTTCTATGGGTAACTATTTCGAAAACGCAAGAAGGCAGTGAATGTGTGGCGGATCAGATTGATGACAATGGAACAGCCATTTCAAGGAGGGAGTTTGTGAACTAGCCACTGAAACTGGTTAGAACAGACTGATGGTCGCTTTCCTGAAAACAAATATGCATGACATGGTTTGAATGAAAAAAAAATAGAAAAATTTCTTGAGATATGCTGGAAAACAAGCTGAGCAATACACAGAATTAACAGAAACAGCGGAAATTGCTCATTTGATAAAATCTTTACTTTTTCAGATAAGTAAGATTTTGTAATAACATAAAAGGTATAAAAGCCGCTAGTAGGCCACACCGCTTTCTAATTATCCTACATCCGGTGCCAGTTCTTCTCATGATAACCACTTTGTCCTGGTTACTTAGCGACCGGATTGAGAAGACTAGTGAAAAATGTCGGTGGATTAGTTGCCCTTTCTTTATTCGCAGAATTGCCTTTGAGTAAATGGGAAGAGTACTGATATGCCCGCTCAGCTTATTTTCTTTTTGTTAATTTGGTGTTAGATCGGAGAAGTGGGGGTGTACTGGTGGTGAGCATTGGCGACGGAGAAGTACTTCGCAGAAAAACATTGAAAACATTTGTGGTTGGATCATGACAAACATGGAGTTGTCATCCAGTTTGAATAGTCCGATCGGACCAAATCTTTGCAGGCTATATAAACTTGGTTTGAAGTATATTGGGACTAAGTTGCAGATTGATAGATTTACTTGGTTCGGAGATATACCGGTTTAAACTTTAACGTGGAAAAGGCCGAGTCTTTCCGAAATTTTCAACCATGTCGGTCACTGATACGCCTCTCTCCAGACCTGATAATCGTATTGGTCTAAAACTTGCACTTAAAATACTTTAATCCAAAGTAATAAAACCTGTGAAGTAAGGATCCCATCAAAATATTGAAACTGTTCCAAAAGCCCACGCTTCGCCATGGTTTTTGCCCAGCCCTGGTTAATATTGAAATTGTAAGTTAACTGCTCCTTTCAACATAGAAATAAAACATTTTCACGTGAATTTGCTTCAAATCGACCCAACTCTTGCAAGTGTTTCTATGTTCTCTTGTTAGAAGAAAAAATTACCTCGGGAATTTCATTTGAGAGTTGTGGATAAAAAAAACCAAATTCTCAATTTTTCCATCATTAGTCACCAAAAAGTACTTTTCCTTCTATTTTCTCCCACATTAATTAGTTCACAGAAGCTCGGGTAGCGTCAAAAATGTTCTCACATTTTCAATTCCATCTTGCACCCCCATGTACCACAACCACCGGGACACGTTCAAAAGTTTCAATTTCAATTTCCATCGCATTTCGTCGTTTCATTTTGACGGGAAATTGGATTGTTACGTCACTTCTTGACACGTAAAAGAAACAACGGATTTTGATTTGAGGCTTTAATTTTGATTTCGAAACACGACGCAGAGTGGAAAAAGTGAGGGTAAACGTGCAAAAAATGACTTCAATTTCCTCCTTCTTTCTCGATTTTTGCAATTTTTGCAGCATCACAACTTTGTATGGCCCGATGATTGCCATTTCCGTCCTCGTTTGTGTGCTGGCTTCAAATCTGAATCGGAAATTCTTTCAAAACACTTTGTAATCCTTCCTCCCCGAAAAGGTGAATGGTACTAAAGTGACACCAAATAAATATGTTTATTGATTAGAATGTGTCTGTGTGTTTGCCAAATATTATATATGAATTGAAATTGTTGGATTTTGGAAGAAAACGGAAAGGAAATGATAGAGTCAGACAGGAAGAGAGAGAGAGAGAGAGAGAGAGAGAGAGCATGATTATTAAAATTGTGATACCCATGTTTGTTTAGTCGTCGTTCATTTGATTATAAATTACTCGAAGATCGGTCGTCGGGTCATACTGCTCGTTGTGGATGATGTAGATGGTGCATCTGAAACAGTTCTTAGGTTGGGTTAGGTTTTGAAAGAAAACTACCGTACCACTGCCGTTTCGTCTGCCAGAATAAGTTGCGGATTCTGTGGAATATGTGGAAATACTGCGAATGGTATCCCTCCTCGCTCCGGCCAGAATGTTCCTGGGGCCCTCGTCGACTAAGTGTGTTGCCGCTGCCGTGCTTTTTGAATGGTCCCTCTGTCCTAACATGCCGGCTGCCGTCGTCGCCACTCCGCTCTCGTCCACTGATGACTGCTGAAATTACGGATGTGCTCGCGTTCCATCAATCCATCCCCCACTCCCTTCCTGTCTACGCGTCTTTTTTATTTTTGTTCTTTCTCGAATGAATGAACGAATGAAATCGGTGCCCCTGCCGCCCAATTTTAGAGAGACAGCATGCATGTTTTGATGCACAGCATTGCCTGTTTGTTTAACCAACCTCATTATTTTCCTCCCTAGAATCCACTGTACTTTGATGCTTTAACGTTCGTCGTGAGCTCATCCTATGACGACGTAGCTCTGAGTAGTAGCCGTCACGAACCGAGGAGAAAATCATTGTGGCAAGGGAGGACCATGCGGAGACTGTGTCGGCCGGCTGAAAATGAGAACATTTCGATAGAGATGAGCTAGAAGTTTGAGAAATTGTCAAGTTTTGCGGAAAAATGAATACAAGTTTGTGAACTCTAAACTTCCAATAAATTGTATGTTTATTGAGCCCAAAAAAGTTTCGCTAAACTGTTCAAAATCAGAAAATCTTGAAAATATAGAGAAGGGGAACGCTCACTGGGCAAATTCTGTGAAAACTGATCAGAAGGCACGTATTTCCGTCAGAATCAAAGTGAACTAACCAAGCCCCCTTTCAAGACGTTTTGCACGAATAATTATAGTGTCCAATGACATGTTTTCCTTTCCCAGTGCCATGTGACGTAAAAGAAGTAAGGCGATCTACCATTTATTAAATATTTTCCCACAAATTATCACGTGGACCCTCACCCTTGCACTTGCCTTTAACAAACTATTTCTGAACCCCCCCCTCAATCCTACCTGATGATTAGCCATGTCCAGAATGACGCCCTCTTTTGTCATGGCATCCGCTACGGCGACCCAAAAATCAGGCTTAAAGCCATACTGCTTGAGTTCCACGTGCTCTTCACCATATTGTTTCGAGATGCTCTCAATAAACTCGGCGTCGTGAATCTGCAATAAATTCAAATCGATTGTCGCTCTCTTTCTCTCTTTTTCATTCCCTCTCCGTCTCGTGTCTCTTTGTGATGGACGAGGACAAAAACGAGAAAAACTGTGTGTGTCGAAGGGGACAAAAGAGTTACGGCTGGTTGCAAAGTGTCCCTTTTCAAAATTCGTCAAAATGAAAAATGAGATTGGGTCTCGAAAAAAGTTCAACGAAAACTTATTAGAGGGGTTCGTCCCACACTATCCCCAGGGACATGCCATCGCTTTCATTTTTGGCAGGAGAGAGGGAAATACTTTTGTGAAAGTGTACTTTGACCAGAGTAAGTGACAATCTAATTGTTCTGGGCCGATCTGGACATTCGGACATCCGAGATCCGGGATCCGGAAAAAGGAAATGCATCAAGAGAACTGACATGTGCAACAATCTCCTCCACCATTGACTTGAGCCGATTATTGACGATGGAACTTCGCTCTTTTCCCAAATTCATGAAATACTTCTGGTAGTCTTCCCGTTTTTCAGAAATTCGTTGCACAACCTGAAATGTTTCATTCTATTTTCATCTTTTCATCTTTCTGTTGGTCCCTGTCTATGCGAGTCGCTGGGGGGAAAAGAAAAATGATAAAGCACACAGATCACGTATCTGTTCTCTGATGAGCAAGCTGTGTCAAAAAAATCATCGCAGAGAAGATAGGAAAGAGGGGAAAAAAGAGAAGAGATCGATAAATCTCAGAAAACCAAACTACATGGCCTATTGATAGCTTTTTGACGTAAAGGAAGGATAACGCGAAGAATGAAGAAAGAAAGAAAAGTCTAGTCTAGCTCCTAGTTCCCATCTCCCGCACATACCTTATTTGCAAATTCGGAATGTGGATTGTCAAAACACTGTGATATAATATCACGACCCTGTGATGAAATCGGATGACTATCCTTCTTCATCGATTTTGTACGTGAGATCTCATGGCTGTAAACACGTAAATTAGACACACTCGTAATTACTGCCAACTCACAATTTCGCTTCTCGTGCACTTTTCGGTCGGTCACGGTTACTGATACTTGTGATGCTTTTCTGGCGCGACGTGCTTGACGTGGTCGACGTTGACATCCTCGAGCTTTTTGAACTCATATCCATCATACTCTTACTTTTGTTGAACTCGCCCTATAAATGGTCGTTTTGACGTGCCACTACGTAATAACTTGCTAATTAGTGCCTCGCGACTCGAGAGACAAACTTTTTCGACGAAAATTGAGCGAAAAACAAAAGAAGAAAAAAGAGACTTACAGCTACTGAAGATCGGTTCGATTTGTGCGAGCTTCGAATTTCCATCGACTCTGATTTTTTGTTGATTCGCGAAGAGCTTGACGATGAGTTCCCCATCGTCTTTAACTAAAACAAATTAGTGGATCGGTAATATGTGAAAGAGAAGAGAGAGAGAGAGAGAGAGAGAGAGAGAGAAAAGGCGGGAGCAAAGAAAGCAGAAACGCGAAGCACCTCAAGAGGATCAAAACAAAAAGCAGCCGGATCATATCAACAGAGCGGATGAGAATGAGAATAAGCTCCCCGACTACGCGGGCAAAGTGGTTGGGCAGGTGACTGGTTGACCAAAACGGGGAACTCTGTTGTACCCCAGGAGCGCACCGAAAACTGATGGATATTTGGTCGGTTCTGGCAAGCCTAAAAAACATGTGTTTGAAATTTTATAAGCTGCGTCTTCTGTCTTTTTCTTTTTTGCAAGTGTGTATGTGTCGACTCTCTCCTCCAGACTGCACTAAATATCAATCGGGGACACCAAAAGCTTGGGGGGAGAAGCCCCCGAGCCCAGAAGCCAAGAGAAACTTTTGGGTTTCTTGGCATATTCATTTTCTCATGGATTAACAAATCAAAATGAGTGAGTGTCTGGTCTGTGGCAACAGGATTAAGTGAAAACGGAGAAAGAGGAGGAGCGGAAAAGTGAAAAGAACAAAAATGTTCTTCATCTTTGTCGTTTTTGCAATAGAAGAAACTCTTTAAAAATTTTGAAGGAATGGCGCTCGCGCCCTTGACTACCGACCAAATAAGGGGCGGGGCTTGGCCACTTCTTCCATTCCCTGTCCGTAGAGAGAAGAGGGGTCAGAGCCAGAGCCAGAACCAGCCAGCCAGCCGGGCTGGCAAGACCACAAGATCAGATCACCCTATGGTTCTAATTTTGTGTGAATTGTGAGTTGAGAATGAAAATGAAAATGTGAAGAGAAACGAGAACGAATCACAACAATGTCGTCAATGGAAAGGTTTTATGAGCCACGGAGGAGGAAGGAGGATGAGCAGAAGGAGGAGGAGAGGAAGCGGAAGATTGAGCAAAATGAACGGAAAAAAACACGCGTGTGCTAGATAGAAGCTTTTGGTGGATGGAGAAGAAGGAGGAGGGAGGATGTGACCTTGCAAATAAATGACTTTTAGTGGGCGAAAAGAGCTTTAGGTCCTCACTATCAGGTTGAAACTTTTGACAGCAACTGAGGACACCTGTGAAAAGCGGAGGAGGAAGAGGAAAAAAAGAAGTTGAAGGGGGACCCAACACACTACAGTGAGTCACATGGCTCTGCTGAGTACCGTAAGCAAACCTGTACCGTGGGTCTTAGCCGTTGATGACGAGATCCGTTTCAAGTTCCAGAACTCGAACCCAGTGAACTTTGCTTTCTCTAGCTGAATGTGAAAATTGTGGGATTTAGGAACAAAAAAAGAGAAGAAGTCTTATTTTCGGAATGCCTACGCAATCCTTCCTTCCGCTCACCGCGATTAGCTCAATTCTCTGCGCAGAACTACGGAAAAACGAGAAGAACGACGCTAATTTCGAGCGGAGCACGTCCCACATCCTCTACCGTACATTTTGCTCGGACTGAACTGTGAACTGAAAAATCAGACGGCGGAAGAGAGAATCGCTGTTTGTTCCATCAGTTATTGTTCATTTTTGCCGGATGTCTGTGTCGTCCGCCGGCAGCAGTGGCAGGTTTTCTTGATTCTTTTCCGTCGAAACTTGATACTCTTTACTGATGTGCAAAGACCAGCAAACGAAAGGTGAAGAAAATGTTGAAAGTTTCCTTTTTTTTTTTGAAAATTAGTGGAAAAAAGACGAGAAAAGGGACGGAAGATAGCAGAAGGAAGACAAAGAGGAGAAGAACTAACAAATTGAAAAAGATGGAGGGAAGAGTGAAGAATAATAAAATTGAGAAACTAGGTACTTTCTTTCCATTTTCCCGTCTATTTGGTGACGTGACGTTGGCTTAAGAAAAGACGCGAAAAGCGGTCATAAAATTGTTCATTTTGGATGTTTGGAGATGTGAAAGTGTCACCTACTTCCGGACCCATTACAGTAACCCGGAACTATTCAAAAAGAGCCTACGAAACCAAAACCAGACAAACACTAATCGACTTCCGACACGTGAGATTGAGATTTGGCCGGAAAAGCGAGCAAAATTTTGATAAACACGCTCTTCAAAAGCCCTCAATTATCATCACGCCACAACCAAATTGTTGGGGAGAAAAATGGAGGAACTTATGTGGCGGAGGGAGCGTCGGCCTTTTTTTGTCTATAACATACGATCATGAGGCGACGAACAGGAAATTGGGGTTCATAGGGAAACGTTTACCTAATTTCCGATTCAAAAGAAAACATATTTTTGAAAGCGACGTGATTACGGTAGCTCAGTGAGACAAACATTTTTCAGGGCTGGGCAATTGGCCGGCCCGGGCTTTTTGTTGGTCGACCATTGACCTGGACATTTGAACCACTTGCAATATTCCGATCGGACCCAAACTTTCCAGGATTGTTGGACTTGAATTGAGGGCCATTGGGACCAAGTTTCAGCCCGATCGGATCGTCGGGTCCCGAGATATGTGGATCGATTTTTTCCAAAAAAAGCCCGGGCTTCCGGCCAATTTCGGCCAATGATCCACATATCTCGGGACCAGATGATCCGATCGGGCTGAAACTTGGTCCCAGTATGCTTCAACCCATGTCCAAGAAGCCTGCAAAGTTTGGGTTCGATCGGAATATTGCAAGTAGTTCAAATGTCCAGGTCAATGGTCGGCCAACGAAAAGCCCGTGCCGGCCAATTGCCCAGCCTTGACATTTTCAGAATTGAATTTATTGAATATTCAGATTGCGAAGGAAATGCTTTGAATGCCGCTAATTGAAGAAAAAGAGGAAAATGTGCTCAAATAAATTCTGAAAATCAATTTACGATCAAAGTACTCAAGGTGGGAGTGTATTTTTGATCTACCCTGTATAGGATGAGTTAGGTGGGTCACGACTAGTACCGAATGAAAGAAAATTGTTGTATGAGTAAAACGTTTCATCGCCCTAACACGGAACATATTTTTCGATTTTCGACACTTGAAAAAAGTTCTTCTTCCTCATTCTCTCTCTCTCTCTCTCTCTCTCTCTTTCTCGACGCGAAATCAAAGGGCTCTCCTCTTCACTCAGAACAGGGAAGAAGAAGAAGAAAGGAAAAGAGGAAATCTCGTCCCCCCCCCCCCTATGTAGTGGCCGAGGTCCGATCGTGGCGCCTTGCGACGTACGTGTGTGTGCAATCTGAGGGTTTCCGGCAATTTGTGATACAAGCCCCGTCGTGTGTGAAGAACTTTGTGCAAAGTTTCTATAGAAATTTCGCCGCTTTTGATCGTCATCTTCTCCCACCGCCACCGCCACCACCTTTTATAAAAAGAAGTAGGGGGATGCAGTAGTGGGCTAGGCTCTCAAAGAATTAGGAAGACCGCCACACAAAATGTGACGTCATTCCCGCATCCATTATTCTCATTCTGCAACTTTCAAGAGGCACAGTGAAAGGATTTGAAGAAAAGTGAGTGGTCGAACTTAACCGACGAAAAATAAGAAAACGGGGGCAAAACATTGGGGCGCATTATAAATTGAGGTTCCTCTCCCTCTCCGCTCTTCTGTTATTCGGGTTAAATATAACTCTTTCTCTCTATATCTCCTGGCAGCTGACATAAAACTTTGGAAAAGGGGAGAGAAGAAGATGATGATGAAAAGAGGGATGAGAATAGATTTTTTGTTCTCACTTGTACAAAAAAATTTGATAATATTCGATAGTAACACTTCGAAAACACTTTTTGTTACTGATTTTTAGTGATAACGCGTCATTAGCAAGACCAGCTATTTTTGTTAGCGTATTTGCTGGAAATGTCATTTTTCAAGCAGGAAATTTTGAAAAACAAGCCGGGAAGCGTCATGTTTTGCGGACGGCAGTGGTGCTTTATGAACACTAATAACAATTAACGATAATGGGAGACAACGCTAAGTACGTTTAGCTTTTTTATTGGAAAAGTTCGCTCCGCTTTGCATGTTTTACACCAGAGTCTGTGTATCAGTTTTAGGTGTTTTCAGCAAAATATGTTTCAAAGCGTAACATTCCTGTCTGTGTTAAGAAAAATATTGGGGAAATTCTGAAAAGTGTCCAGTCTTCTGAGCAAAAACATAGACAATATAGAAAAGATCTACCAGGGGTCTACACTGAATAGATGAAGACAATAGACAATGGAGGCATCACAAATTGAGTTCCTCTATTAGCAAAAATAAGCAAGAACTGAGATTATGAGGAACGCTAGAAAGGGAATATATCTTTAGTTACTTTAATTTTCAGGCTGTCGCCGATCCGGGCTTTTCGAAAACCAGCCTGAGCTGGACTTTTGAACTGTTTGCAATAATCCGATCGCTCCTAAACTTTGCAGGCTTCTTGAACTTGTTATATTGAAGTATTCTGGATCCAAGTTGCAGATATCGGGAAAACATTTTTGTGTCTGGGGTTTAGCATTTTATCAGGTTTTCGACAGTGTATGAAAACGATTCAGCACGGAATAATAACGCCAAATTCCAGTGACATTTAAGGATGAGATGGCTTTGTAGAAAATTTTACACTTTGCTTATTGAGTGGAAAAAAGTGTTTGACCTAGAAGACAAAAGGAAGGGTCTAAAAGGAATTGCTGGAAGGAAGGCAGAAAAAAAGAAAAAATGAATGATTGCCCAGGATTATCCGATTTGATTTGTTGTTTTTACTTTCGCCGTTTCCCATTTGTTCCGAACCACTGACACGTAATTTTCCGGTTTTTACTCCATTAACCTCAATGATTTTTGTGCTAAAGGCGGCCCATGGAATTGATGACGGGATGCTATTCAGATTCAAAAAAGTGTGAAAAACGGGGAGGAGGATAACGAAATAGAAAAGGATTGTTTCATTCCATGTGATGTGAACGAAATTTGTTCTTTTCCCCCATTTTTCCGATTCATCCAAGCGTTTTTCATGCGGATTGCAACAATTCGAACATATGGTCGAATGAATAATAGTTTTCTGGAAAGCGGAAAGGGTGACACATATCCAGTGGTTTTCTCGACGTCCGTGGCCATGTTTATAGTGAAGAATGAGGGGTTCTTCTGCAAGGAATTCAGTAGATTCATATGAATGGGCCGTAATTGAGTACTTGCGACGGGGAATAACAACTCCGAACAACATATGATTTATTTTCGAGCGGACACTGGAGCAGGAGGGGGCTAAGGTTCCATATGGACTCAACATTGAACGGAATGTGAGATTTTCAGAATATTTTAAGGAAAAGCAAGTACATCCCGATATTCTCAAGTTCCCATTTCTCATTTCCAGAAAATCCAAGAAAGTGTAACCAAACTCGTTAGAAAATTTACTGGAAAACAAGACCAATACCAAGAATAGTGCCGGCTGGCTACTCAACAAAAACAAAAAAAGAAAGCAGACAAATAAATTAGTTATGTACATGGAATTCGGAATTAGTTCATAGTTCCGTACAGAACTCGAGTCCTTTGTAAATATCCGTTGGTGGAGTGGTTCCCGGTTTGACTGCAGCCAATTTTTTGGCAAAATCAGACAATTTCACTTTCTCCTTGTCATCGAGCTCTCGAGCCAGAACACTGCCAATGTACACCTTGTTGTTCTAAAACTTGGACGTAAAATTCGAAATGCAATAATAAAGGTGTTCTACCTGAACAGTGCAAGCTCCAAAAATGTACATAGTAGTGTCGGGACCGGTACAGAAAGACGGCAACAACGGGCGAATCGGCATTGGGGGTACTGTCGCATTCTTGGCTTCATTCTCTTCGGCTTTATCAAAAGCCTCGTTGATCTTCTGTAAGAATAAAATGTTCTGGAAAACCCTGCTTCCAAAAGTATCTGGAATATTGACTCACTGTATTGAAAAGATGAAGTTCCTTCTTGTACTTTTTGAATGCGTCCACTTCTTCTTTCTTCAGCTGACGGATCAAGTTTCCTTGGGAGAATAGCAAATTTTTCTATAAATTTTGGAGATGGTACTATGGTAAGGAACCAATTTATGTGTACCGTGACAATGCAAGCCATATTTCCGCCACTGTTATAGCTGAACGGGATTACGAACGGGACAAGAAGGGCAAAACACGCAAGTACTCTGAATATCATTTGGTTTTTGCTAGAAATGAACGTGAATTAGGCCAATATGCTCAAAATCAATTCAATCTTTAAAAAAGTTAACTTTTTATAAATCTTCTATCTCCACAAACCTGATCATGATAATACTGAGCAGATATCCAGAATGTTACCAAAAAGCCAACCACTCGAACACCCTTTATATCATTCGTGTTGTGTGCTCCATATATCGTAGGCGGAGCCAAGAAGAAATGTGAATGTTTCGAAATAAATTCCATTGTTCAGAAACTGCCTGCATAACGATTTTAATCTGTTCTTTCCGACCTCCCGTGGGCTCAAGTACACACAAATAAAGAGGCAAGTCCACACACACACACACACACACGGGAGAACGCGTAAGCTTCCAACTGAAGAAACGGGAAAACACGGGGAGAAAAAAGTGAAAGAAGATTGATTGTATACTATTTCTGAGCCTGTTTACTCAGGTGTTTTTTTTTTGAAAAGTGACGGGGGAGAGAGATAATGAGAGGTTTGGTCAGTTTTTGGTGATGGTCAATGTTTGCCTTGTCAAAGTTTTTTGGTGATTGTGTTTCAAACGGCCGAGACTGCTCCGGTTTCGGTATCAGACAGGGATTAGCTCATTTTTCGATCGTTTGGCTTTGTGATAAAATCCAGTTCTTCATTTGCACATACATTCCGCAAAACCTTTAATCAAATATAGTTTCATTATCATTTCATCAGCTGGCATCGATATGAGAGAATCGGTGAAAAAAAAAGTTTTGGCCCATACAAAGACTGAAATGAACCGACCAAAAGTTACAGTGCAATATAATCAACTCTAATTTGAAGAACAATGGAAAATGGGAAGGAGACCAACAGAAAGACCCATCATAACCTTTGAAAAAGCAGCGCAATAATTGAAAGAGCTAGAATTGCAGGAAAATTGAGATAACATTTGACAGAGCCATTGCCATGTACCAATCGCGCTTCCTTCCACTCATCCCAAGCCAGTGTGTCCTGATCTGGTGACGTCGGTTCCAACTGGTGACAGTTTATCCCACATTGCACATCAAACCGCAATCTTTCGCATAGACATCGAGTGACCAGAGACTGCAGAAAAAACGTTGTATCTTTGAGGACAAAGAAAGTGTATGTGTAGTTTGCTCACATGGTAGCAATTAGCGTGGTGGAGAGAGTACATCTCCGAAAGTGTGGACCTTACAACCAGACACTCGCGCTCTTTGTCCGTCTCATCGTACATTAGCAGCTTCCTTGAGGTGTCCATTTTTATTCTGAAAAACGAGGGATCTGCTCATGAAAATGCAGAAATTTCCAGAAATATCATTCAGACTGAGTCAGAGTGAGTCTACGCAATTCACCGAGTGTCCAAAGAGATTTTTAGGGAATTCAAGGGAGATTCTCAAATTGTTTCAAATGTTTAGCTTTTGGAGTAAAATGAGAGAGATCTTCAGAATCTTCAGAACTATACTCAGACATACTCAGAAACAGTCCCAAGTGGTCATTGGAAGGAACATTGAAAAATGCATTGAAATGTATACAAACCTCAATAATCTGTGTCGATCATATTGTGGATAGCCAGCCAGCGGTTTCATTTGCTCTTCACATTGACCCATGATGTTGTGGACATGGTCACTGGAGCAGTTCTTGCTTCGACTAAGTGAGCACTGAGTTTGCAAGTATCCTAGGGCAGAAATCAATTGTACAGGCGATGGAAACGTTTGTGCAGGTGCGCCCAGAATTGGTAGGGTCTAAATATTTGACGATTCATGCAAGAGTGATTAATTATTGTTACCCCTTCAGCTTTTTGTTTCTTCGATGAGTGACAACCACTCAACGCGTGTTTGTATCCAATCGCACCCACTTTTGCCACTGATGCCGCATCACATTTGCCGACTCGAGCCTCAAAGCACTCATCCAGGAACTGAAAAAAGGACAGGAAGTCAAAAGTCGAAAGTTGCAACAAAAATCCAGGAAATGATGATGATAGGGAAGATGTCGGGGTGGTGGACTCACCGTGTAATGGACACACCGGAAGGAGATTTCACGCTGTTGACACACCTCCGATATCATGCCAAACAACTCTGCAAAGCAGCTCACCGCCAGTGTTGAGTTGCACTTTGCATTCCTGCAAATAAACCAAAATTAGATTGACAATGGACACATCGTTTCCTTTGTGAATTACTGGAAACTGGGACGTGACCCGGTTAAAATCATTATGGAATGTATTGATTTAATGAAGGTCCGCAAAATTTCTCTTTATTTTTCAGACCTTACTGGACCGGTCTTACCTAAACTAAACTTAGGTCATATTTTGAATTGCGTTTGAAATCTAGTAACGAACTAACCAAGAATGAAAAAAGTGTTAACCCAAACTCACGCTGGTACAAATGATCGAATAATGAAAGCACTAGACAATTGGGCGAGGTTGAATAAGAAGAATAAACCGGCGACACGCATGAAGACATCAGGTTAACTTTCCGTTGTCATTCCCGGATTTGTGCTGTCTCTCTGCACGAATCAATGATTACGTTTATATTCAAAAAGAGATTATGCGTGTGACGATGATACCAAAGAGCAGGAGACGTGCATTGAAAAAGATAAAAATGAAAGTGGAAATCATATGTGCTTCGCTAAAAAACGGAGGCGCGATAAAGGACTAACTTGGAGAAACGAAAACGTAGGAAGAAAGGAAAGAAAAAAGATGGAAACGGAAAATGAGTGCATATAAATCCTTCGAGCTTCCTAGGAAGTAATCCCAATCTTGTCCATAGCAACCGAAACCGAAATGTTTTTATTCCCCAGTTTCTTTTAAGAATGTAGGATGACCTGGATGTTTGATTGAGAATTTTTGATTTCAGCTAGTTGCATGAATACATTTTTGCTGGTCACCTGACTTTGGACATCCAAGAATTGAATGTAAAGGCGCCAGTTCAGCTCAACCGAATGTGAATACATTCGAAATACTAAAAGTGAAAAATAGAATAGGAAATTGAAAGTACGTTTTTTCCATGACTATACTAGTGGCTTCGAACAGGGTGGAGCTTCCTGGCACCACAAAAAGTGGAGCCGAAAACGAATGGGTACTCGCCGTATTCCCCTCTCTCAAAACTATAGGTTTTAAATGGAAGAAATGATGAATTGTCGAATTCTAAGCGCATCCTCAAGTGTACTCGTTCCTCTCACCTTCTTCCTTCTTTCTCCCATCATAAAAAATTGGTAGGGGGAGGAAAGGACATGAAAAACTGGAAACTACTACTTCCAAGAATGTGTATCTAGTACGAAGTTCTCTCGAAGCAAGGGAGGAGAGAAACATCTGTGAATGTGGGGGGATAGGAACATAATCGGAAACGAGAGGTGTTTTTTGTTGACCACCAGAACCACCAAAGCTTTTTTCGGGAAAAGCACATAAACTGAACCATAGACTCAATCAAAGTTTGAGAACTTATTGAAGAATGCTATAAAGTCAATAAAAGTGACCCTGAACAGACGGAACACAAGTTGGGTTCTAGACTATGCGTTATGACCCGGCCCGGCTCGTTGTAAGTCTAAGGACAGGTAAAGTTTAGGATTTCCAGAAAAGTGAGCACGCTATAACACGCTATCCACCTGCTATACCCCTAGTGCTGAACAGAAAAATCCAAGAAAACATCTATTGCTTTCTGTCTTGGAAAAACCAAAACCAGATACCAACATGGAAAAGATGGGAAGATTTTTTAGTTGGTAAATTAAGAAGAATGAACAATGAGGCGGACACAAAACCGCCGTCAGCTCCGCGCCGAAAAGGGGGGATTGGTGGAAGCTCGAATTTCGCCTTCTTTCGTTGTCTTCTTCATTCAAATCTCTACCAGTACTACATACTAGTAAATCTGAATGACACATTGCTATACTTTTCAAGAAAAACATATTTGGATGCAGCGAAGACAACGAAAAGTGGGAATCCTTGCAATATTTCTGAAAAATGTATTTTTGCTCGACTCGACATTATCTCAGTGGCAAAATAGTCGAGAAAGACGACAGGTGAGCAGAAAAAAGGGGAAATCCATCAGTCTGCTTATCCGACTAACAAAATCCTCGACCAACAAGACTAGAGGAGTAGAACGTGGTCGTTGTATAAAGTGGAACATCAAATTCTGACAAATATTGTCACCTTCTCTAAAAATCCTAAAAAGTGACAGGATGTCTCAATATCCTAAAAGAAAGCAGAAAAGAAGAAAAAGAGGCAGAAGATTCGAACAAATTAGTCATAATTCCCTGCACAAAGCCTTTATTCTCCCTCTCCGCATTCACCAGCGCGAGAATGTTCTACATACATACATAGACGCGTATTTTTTCTGGAAGTGATCAAAAACGGAAATAAGGGGATGCAATGTGTTTAAAAATGCTAAAAATCTTATTTTTAACGGTAAAAATATATGCCAAAACTTTCCCACAAAGAAATCAGTGTGTTTTTCATTCATTTTGTAGCTCACAGGAAAATGTGTTCTTTGCATAACATTTTTGCCAACTATCATAAGATCAACAGATACGTGACAAACTAATAGACTGAAGTGCACACAATTCTGATAAAAAAGTCATTTGGGAGCGGAGACAGGACAAAAAGAACAAGTACTTGCTTTTCAAATATTCATGCCCATCAAGGAAGATCTAGATCTCGACGAAAAAGTTCAATGTTTCCACGCGGTCGACGCTTGTACTTTTAGAAAAATGGAAAGAGAGTTTGGTTAGCACAAAGGGGTTATTGAAACTAGAGCCAATTAATTGGACAGCCTAGGGAGGAGCACCGCCCAAGAACAGAATCCGAAACAGAAACAGAAACAGAAACAGAGTTTGCACGTTTCGGGTTTCACTTTTGCACTTGGAAGGAGAAGAAGGGGGGAGAAGGCACCGCTTTCGTAGGAAATGATCGTTTTTCTTTCAGTTTCATCCAAGAAATCTGGTGAAATTGAATTGAATTGAAACTTGAGAAAGTTAATGAACTAGCTGAACAGTGAGAGGGGGAGAGGCAACGGAACATTTCACAACGGGAGCAATGTAAAAATAAACGTTCAGTATAAATGTTTGGTGCAAATAAGGTATAATTCTTGAAGAGAAGGACTTGTTTACAGAAACAGAACTCTGTAAGAGAAATTAAATTCAAGTTAGATCACCTGTCATTCCGTCGCATCTTGTAGCGTTATCTGGACAAACGAAAATTAGAAAGAAATAGAGCAGATAGAGGGTAAGCTAGATCCAAATAATTTTAGCCTTAACAAAAAAATGAAGCAGTGCTGAGAACCAGACAGATTGCGATTTGGAAAAGTGCACATCTTGCGTAACGGATGACTTTTATTATGAACGTGTGCGTATATAGACGGCACAGCAAAAGGACTTTGAATGGATCTCTGGAGGGGGGATAGAGTGTGAAGAGTAGGGGTCTACTTCAGATTTCTGTTCATCTTTTCGCATTAGATCTCCGAGAAATGGAATGGAAAAGATGAAGATGGAGGTGACGAAAAAAGATTTTTGAGTTTTGAACCGAACCCGAGACAAGATAACAGATAATACATTTTATCATTTATTTGAAAAAAAAGGGTGAGTGCTATCAGGCTCAGAGAGACTGGACCGCAGTCAAAAAGTAATTGAGTCGGAGTAGTTCTGGGGCTGAGTGTGTGTGTAATCCGTGAAGAAGATGTGTCATCACGTGTGCACAAGATTAATGGTAAAGAGGGAAGGACGACGAGGGAAAAGACGTGGACTTAATCTGATAAGATTGCCTGAGCACCCCACACACACACGCACATTTGCGGCCACCACAGATATATCATCTTATCACCAATCCAAATGGTTAGTGAAATGAAATTGAAGACATGGGGTAGCAAGAAAACGGAGAAAGAAAAGAAATGATTTTCGAGAGAGTGGCCATATATTCACATACAAATCAGTGCACAAATATACTTTCCCACCATACAAGCCTGCTAAGGTGTGGGGAGGGGGAGGCCTGCTTTCTCCATTCCTACCTAATCATCCGCCAATTGTTTGCTTCAGGATTTAGACGGAACTGGCTAATCACTTCACTTGTTTTTAGGTAGAACCTCCCCGATCTTAAAGAATCTTTGTGGTGTTCGGATTATTTCTGATGTCGTATACACAACTTTTGTCGATCTCCTCGCAAAAAAAACCTCTGGGATCGAGAATTGAGTGCCGATTTAAAAAAAAACATGAACAGCACTCATCAAGATATTATTCGCTAAGGATTCGTCTGTGTAAGGTCCATATTCTTCACACCCCACCCTAATTTCTGGTCATTCTCTCAAAACAAACTCATTTTTCACGATGGAGCATAAAGAATAAGGCAATTTTGCATTTGAAATAAGCGTTCTCTAGTTGCCTTCCACCAAACAAATAAATGGGTTGTATGTACAAACTGGCTAGGCCTCATTTATTACCACCAAAGTGATCGAAAAAATGAAGAGAGCCCTTATCCATGTGCTTTCACAAATATCAAATGATTTTCTCATTTTCGTTTTTTTTTCTCTCCTTCGGAGAAGAGGAATTTTGAAACATGGGAAATCGGAAATGCGGATGTTTGTTATGAATATGAAACTGATGAAAATGAAGATGTAGAAGGTCGATAACACGCGAGAAAAACAAGCTGGATTGGAAAAGGATGGGTGAGGTCACAGAACAGAACAAACGAGAACTGAACATTTTCAAGAACAGACATTGTCAATGAACAAATTTTAGGGCTAAAAGTCAGCCAGAATACTCATAAAAAATGCAACTTCTCCAATGTTTCTCCAAACATTCAACTGAATTCTGTATGGAAATTCAGAATGGAAACCTCCAAAAACCAAATAAGGACCTAAAAAGAGGGAAAAGACAAGGACGAAAAAGATGAAAGAGAAGACGGAAAAACGGATTATTAAATGAAATAATGAAAACCGAAGCGGATGGGTGGTATAGTGTACGGGAAGAGGGGATGGAACTACGGCCGAATAATTCATAATGTTCGCATCGTGCCCATTATTTTTTCTTTACATTTTCTCCTCCTTTTTGAAGATTTCTGCTTTAATCCGTTTTGAGAGGAGTAGGAATAGAAAAACCAATATAATCTTTCTTATTTCTTCTGACTAGCAGTGATAATGTAGTCTGTCTGCTTTATGTTGATGACGTTGATAAGACAAGTAGTACAAATCCTACTATTCAAAGGTTTCTTGTTTTAACATCGTTTTTATAGTTTCGCTGAATCCCAATTCCATCTTCTCTGTATTCTAGTCAAAATCTACACGGAGGATCTTCCTAACCCATCCGCGACCTCATTTTCCTTGGGAAGATGGTAATCTCTTTTCTATTTTCTTCAATCCTTGTCGTTTGTCCGTGTTCGGGTCACTTCATCTCAATATGAACATCATTTTCTCAACTGCTATTATCCTTTTCAGTCTAGCGCATCTAGTGAATGCAGTTTGTGAAACTGGTAACAACTATATACCATATTTTTCGACGCTTCAAACTTTTTTTGCAGAAGATTACTGTCCGGGTGGTTGGAATGTGATGAGAAAAGGTGATGATACCCCACAAACGTGTGACGCCATGGCCGGAGTAAAATGTGCCAAACCGTATTCGTGTGTACATTCTCGGTGTGGGATGGACTTCTGTTGTGCTCATACATGTAAGTGACATGTTTAGAACTTTTTTAATCACCAGAAAACTCTGAAAATTTTTTAACATTTTGCTCATCCAGTTTTTGGAGGCAGTCTTCCTCGTCGGTCCCATTTTTCTGTTAGCAGATATAACTTTTCGCAATCGTATTTTCCGGCCGTGTTTTTCCAATAACAGTATTATTTACAGTGAAAATAGAGCAATTCAAACGTCAACAGGAAATTGAGCAAGACATCAAAGAAGCAGAATTGGAGGACGATGAACTCTAACAAGTTGTTTTCCATAACTATTGTGCCTTCACATTTTTGTTTTTATTTGCTCTTCGATTGGCTTTATTTTCACCAGAATTCACTTTTTCTCGCACTTCCAACAATTTCCATTGATAAAGATGTTTATTTACACTTCAATGCACAATACATTTTCCGCTTGATTCAATTTGAGGCGCTATTCCTGGTATGTGGACAGTGGATGTATCGTTTTTAGGTTGATGTTTTGCAAAATTTTCAAGCACGCTAAAAAAATCTGTTTGCTCTGCTGTTTCAGTCCCTCTTGTTTTCAACCGAAACTAAAAAATGTTCGTGACTAATCATTCATGAGGCTTCTCAAGATTCTCAAGGTTGCAGGCACATGCAACTTCCTCCTCCTTCCTCTTCCTCAAGGACAACTCGGCTTAGCCGCTCACAAATTCGATTCAAAAGTGGCTAAAGGTTGTTTCATTTCATTTCGCAACACCTTCGGTACTTTCACAGTTCTTCTCCTACTCTTCTTCTGCCTACCAATTTGTGGTGTTTACATGTTTAGAGGTGAGGGGCAGGCAGGCAAGCCTCCGCTCACAGGACACCCTTTCCAACAGGCGGGGGTCACGCTGTGCCCTCCGCGTGGCGTACATTCTCTCGTCGCAATCGTCGTCCATCACTCTTCGCGTGCTCTGACCTCTCTGCGCTCTCTTAAGTAGCCCTGTATCTCTAGCGTGTGCCGACACCATCTGCACACCATTCGTTTGGTGCGTTGCTGGACAGAGCGGACAGATAGACGCGACCCATTAAATCGGGCAACGGTCGACGTCACTGTTGCGTGTGCGCGTGTTTGTGTGTATGTGCCCCTCACAGGCGGTGGTGGGCTGCCACCAAATCGATTGTGAAAGTGAAAAATAAAGCGAGAGAGAAAGAGAGTGAGAGCACGCACACACAAACACTTTTTGAATTCTTGTTGTTGTTCGCGGTCGCTTCAATTTGCTGGGTGTGCGAAACTTTTCGAAACATTTCACAGAATCCTCTAGTACACGTACGGCTTGTTAGAAACCTATTGTAATAACACAAATCTTTCGCACAAACAAAAACTTGTTTATCCATTGCTCGCTCGCGCGCGCGAGCAAAGTTGTGATAATACTTATTCTTAGCTCTTAGCTCACCTTTCTTGGGAAAAGTAAACTTTTCCTGCCGTACAGTGTTTGGGCTTATATTTCACCACGAAAACTCTGAAGGATGAAGTCCATACCGCGTCAAAAACACGTTGTACTGCTTTGTTAGTCTTACAAACCAATTTTTTATTTTGTCCTTTGAAAAGGTGTTTTTGAGTCGTGCCAACGGACATCTGCTGCCTATGACTAAAAAAATTTCAACGTTCCCGCTGCAAAGCGCAGTAGTCTGGGACCCCGAATATCAGTTTTTCATCAAAAAGTCTCTCTGTTTGCGTTTTGCATCACAATTTTATGCACTTTTCGGCCGGAACAATGAGTATACAGATTTTAGTGCATCATGATTCACTTTACCTTTGCTAAATCAAACATTCACCAAAAAAACTACGTTTCCCCTCTTCTTCTCCCGCTTCTCCGCTGATTTTACCGCTTTTTGCTCGTCATACCGAATGGCTCTGAATTTTGCTTACAGGTACCAAGAAACACCCAAAAAAGCTGCCATGGCACCTTCGGATGCCAATGATAGCTTTGAAACGCATCACTGGAAGTCGGAGTTTGCTTCCAGTCGATCCGGACGCAACTCCCCCAACATCTTCGCTCAATTCCGCAGAAAACTGCTTCTGACGCCTCCGGTCCGAAACGCCCGATCCCCGCGGCTTACCGAGGAGGAATTGGATGCTCTCACCGGAGATTTGTGAGTCTTTGACCTGTATATTTATTCAAATTACCCTCTTCATGCAACAGATGGACTTGCGTAGACGGGATGTGGTTCTTGTTTGGACTGTACCGGGGGGAGGGTACCAACAAATATGTATAAGCATTGGGGAAACGGGGAGTAGAAGAAGAACATAGAAAGTATCAGATGACTTGGAGGGCAAGAAATCTGAGTACGTATCGGTCATTCAAGACTTTCGACTTTCGACTTCCCGCTAGGTGAACGACCTTCCTCCCTTCTTTCTTTTCCACCCATCAACCATCCATTTCCCCATAGTTTACTACTTTTTTATCAGTCCATTTTATCACAACTCCCCATTGTATATCATTCAACAACAATAACAACCAATTTATAGGCCGTACGCAACGAATTATACGTACGCGTACAGCAAAATCTACGACCCAACACTGCCCGATCACTGGGAAGTGCCCAATTTGGGCGGAGGACCATCGCCCGGATATCTGACCGAACAGGAACATTTTTCGGCAGCCAGTCTCAGCAGACAGCTGCTCTACATCCTTCGATTCCCGCTGTATCTGGTACTCCACGCAATCACCTACATCTTGGAGGCGTTCTACCATCTCATCAAGATTGCCACGTTCTCGTTGTGGGATTATATCCTGTACTTGATCAATTTTGGTAAGTTTTTGAGAGTTGCGTCAAATTTGAAACTACGAGTGCATTTTATTCTCAAGTGAGTAGAGTAGCACAACATTTCTGTGATTTTGAACGTTTCCTGTCTTTGAGCTAATTTTATTGAAAACTGCTGTGAAATTATTAATGTCTTTTAAGAACCGGCCAGAAGATGATGTAGACTCGACTATATGGGGTTTACTAAAGTTTCTACAGTATTTCTGACGTATCTTGAACACATTTCACTCGACCTTGCTTCTAGAAAATCAGAAGCAGTAGTAAACACTGTTCTACGTCAGAATGCTGTTTACTAAACAGCATTCTGACGTAGAACTTACAGCAGTTTGCAAACAATAACCAGAGCCTCATTCTACTTCAATCCAATACTAATCTATTTCATTTTCAGCCAAGTCCCGTTTCGAAGCCTATCAAGACAACCGCCGCCGCACCGCTCTAATCCGCATCCGTCAAGAACCATTTACTGCTAAAGCATCGCGATATTTTCTATCCATCTGGGAGATTATCACTTACATCGTGCTTGCCCCTATCAGAATGATCAGGAACAGAAATAATGGAGTGGAGCAGTACAACTACACATCTATCAAGGATCAGCTGGAGAACGAGAGGGCTAGCAGAATGGTTACCAGATCGCAAACTCTTGCGAGAAGCCGCAGATTCGAAGGGCTTTCGCAATCCCCGGCCCGTCACTACTCCCCAGCCGTCACCACCAGCACCATCACGCGAATTACTAAAAGAGTTTTTGGAGATGGAGATTCTGATGCGTCTGCGATTGTGCCAAGCACTCCAACCACTTCGGCTGCTGCAATTTCTGGCTCTAGAACTGTCGCCGGTCGTTCGCTGACTCCAAGAATCCGTGGAGTTCCTCATGGCGGACGTGTTAGCTGGGGGAGCACTGACAGACCGGAAAGCTCGGCTTCTCAGTACGGTCTTCGCACTCGCGGTGGCGTGTTCAGCAACCTCAACTCTCCGGAACCATCTTTCGACATTGGACGCGCTGCTGCCACCTCTACTCCCTTGTACGCCAGCAACCTTGAGAGCACCGGAAACACCAGTGGAATCTTTGATACGCTTCAAACTGGTGTGCAGAACATTGACGCTGGGAACAAGCTGCAGACTGCCGCGTCCTGGTTTGTCTACCTAATTCTCTTGCCGTTTTTCGCTCTGAAGCACGTCGCCTACACGTTCTACGACTACGGATACAGTGCCTACATGAAGATTGTCGAATTTGAACCGGTTCCTTGTGACCCTATCTATGCCGAGTGAGTTATTCCTTCTCAAAAGTTGATTTGTTTGCGAGAAGTCTTGTCTGAATCTACTCTCTTTAGCGTACAGTTGAACAGCATTGTAATTTTGACGAAGTGACAGATTGTCAACACAAATTGAGCTTACAATGAAATTGACTTCTCGTGCGGAATCTGGTTAATTTTCTCCATTATGCAATTACCGTGTCGGCTGTAGACTGTTGTGGTGATGGCTGGGGGACTAGAAAATTCTTCGCCGTGTTCTTCTCGGGGACGTTTCAGCTTTCTCGAAAATTGCACATTAAAAGTTGTAGAACATTTTTTATTTTCAGTGAAGAAGCAGAAAATGATGCAATCGCTGCGGCGGCCGCTGCACAGCTCCTCGCCCCACTGGACCCAACGGCTCAGGCCGAACTCCAATTCACCTCATGGACCGACACTGTATTCGAGTGTTTCGGAACCATTTTCACAAGTATTACTAACTTTGCATACGACGTTGTTGAAGTTTTTGTTGCTGGACTCCAAGACATTGGATCTTATGCTTTGAAAACTATCGGACTCGGAGGCGAGAGAAAACGGGAAAGGGTCCACGTGCCAAGTCGCTTCTCCTGGTGCAACATCTTTGGAATCCTCTTGGCTCTGCTCCTTGCATTCCTTCTGTTTGGCTTCCTGACTTCGGATAACACGGCGATCCGCGCAAAGGAATTGGACGGACACCCTCCGATTAAAGTGAATACGTCGCAGTTTAGTGACGGTGATGCTGGTTTTCCGATCGCTCCAATTTTTGCCACAACCAAGAAACACGTCACGCACTACGCTTGGATGATTAAGGAATACTTTATCGATCTTGGTGAGCCCTGTCTGATGATCAATTTCTTACTGTACACATTTCCAGCATTCTCCGTCTACAACGCTCTGACACCGGTGGCAGCTTGGGTTGCAACTTTACCAGGATACGTCTACCATCAAATTAGCAATGCGGCGTACTTTGTGCTTGATTTCACTGGAACATTCTTCACTTCGATTCGTGATTTCCTCTGGAGTTCTGCGACCTACCTCAATGACAAAATCATCTCACTGACCAGATACTTGAACAAAGCAATTTTCGGATTCTTCGGAGGATCGTACGATTGGGTTGCTGATACTGGTGAGTTCCACAGCTCAAAAATTACAATTCGTCAATTTTTAAACAAAACGCTTCCAGCTGACTCTACTTTGACCTCCGTCTCCAATTTCTCACTGGCCCTTTCAAAAACCTGGTGGGAGGTGATTGACACCGTCTATCTGAACGTCTTGGAAAACTTTCAGTGGGCATATCACACCTTTTGTGAGTACTTGACCAAATGTTTCTAGAATTTATCAAAATTAACTTTCAGATGACAATGTGATCGCTCCAGTTATCCACTTCTTCACCAAGCTCGCCGGGAACTACCACGAGATCATTGTGCAACCTGTTGTGAACGCATTCAAGTATCTGTGGAGCCTTGTTCTCAGTGGAGCTAACAGTGCGGTCCGAGCGGTTGGATGGTGCATTGGCACGTTCCTGTACTGGATCACGTACTCCTTCAAATATATCGCCGTTGTCTGGACTCTCATTTCCAAATACGCTCCGAACGAAATGAACCAAGTGATCCCGATCCCACAGGCCGTCATCCCAACGCCAGAGCTCGAAGTGCTTCAAAAGAAAACGGAAGTGGAGGATCAAGAGCTGACAATCAAACCGTCGCCAGCTCCGGCACCTATTCCCATCCCAAATCAAGCTCCAGTCATCATTCGTGAAACCAAAGTTGTTGAGACGGTTGACAAGGATAAGATCATCAAAGAGGTGACGGAGAAGGTAATTTCTTACTGATACTCTACATACACATTTCAATTCGTTCGATTCTCAATACATAATAAAGTTGTTGCACAATAATTCTCTAAATATTTTTCTTATAGCTGCGTGCCGAGTTGTCTGCCGAATTTCAAAAAGAGCTGAACATCAAGATTGAACAAAACTACAAGGCAATCATTGAGCAGCTGAAATCTGACATGCCCACCGCTCAAATTCACGTTGATAATTCTCATCTGGAAGAGCTCATCCGTCAGCTGATCTATCAGTATGACGCTGATAAGACCGGACAAGTGGATTTCGCGATGGAAACTTCCGGCGGGTCGGTGATTTCCACGCGATGCAGTGAAACCTATCACAGTGAGACCAGACTGCAAAAGTTCTGGAACATTCCGATTTACTACTTCGACTACTCACCGAGAGTCGTTATTCAAGTACGCCTTGTTTCCTTTATACAAAAAAAAGCAATTCTGATGATGTTTCAGCGCAATTCCAAATCGTTGTTCCCAGGAGAGTGTTGGTGCTTCAAAGGATCTCATGGATACATCGCTGTGGAACTTTCAACTTACATCGACGTCACCAGCATCAGTTACGAGCACATTCCACCACAAGTCGCTCCCGAAGGAAACCGTACCAGCGCGCCAAAGGACTTGCTCGTCTGGGCTTATCGCAACATCGATGACATGCAGAGCCGAGTGCTGATTGCCAGGAACACGTATCATCTGGATGCGCCGCCATTGCAGTTCTTCTTTGCTGATGTAAGTTTTGTTTCCTAGTTGTCCCTTTCTGCGCTCAAAGTGAATTCAGTCCCGAAACGTGAAATTGTCCGGTCTGGCTCGACCCGGCAGGTTCCAATGATTCAAAAGTTTGTTTGAATGTTGGCGGAACAATAGATCGCAGTTCTGGCGCTTACTTTTAAAAACTTTTCCGCTCTCGTTTTTCAATTATTCAAAAGAAAACTTGTTCAAGGTGCTACCGGTTGTCTCGCCTGTCACGCGGCATTCTAAGATGTAGCAGTTTTTGTTTCGAGCAGTTGACATTTGGGCACACCCTTTTTGCTTTCTACCGCGTCGTACTCCTGAAAAAAAATCATACATTTTTCAGAAAAAACCATCGTTCCCAGTCAAGTTTGTGGAACTCGAGGTGACTAGCAACTACGGAGCAGACTACACTTGCCTCTACCGACTTCGAGTCCACGGAAAAACTGCAAATTTTAACGCTCAACCTTGAAAACTTCCCAATTTTCTTCAAATTCCAAATCACACATCCCATTTCACATTTTCACTAAGCATCACTACCTACAGTGTTTCCATTCATTATTTCCCTCTTTTTCTGACCTCCTTGTTCTTTTTTCTTGTTCCGACTTTAAACATAGCGTGTGTCCTAGTATATCTTCCCTTAAAAATTGTAACATAACACCGGTCTAATCCCCCTAAAAATTATTTTGCACCAACATTCGAGAGAAAGTGACAATTTCCTATCTTTATTGTATTTGATCTCATAATAATGATTGTCTTTTTGCTTGTTTTTCTTCACATAATAAACAAATGGATTCCAATGAAAGTGAAGGAGAAGTTATTAAAATACTGTGACCACAAAGTGTGTTCTAATTGATTAACCACTTTTCTTTATCTAGCAGGGTATTCAGGTCGCCATTAAACAACAGCGGAACGGTCCACCTCTTGTTGGCTTTGTTTAATATATAAAAAAGAAGTTTCGACGAAAATGATTCATTTCAATTTGCTCAGACCATCTTCCTCGATGGAAAGCCACGTCGATTTGAAGTTACGGGCCTACAGATTTGTCGCATATTCTGCTGTCGGTTTTTCGATAACTGCTGCCATTTCTCTATGCATGACTTTACCGTTGATGTACGCCTATGCACAGCAGTCCAAACAACAAACCATCAAGGAGCTGGCTTATTGTACGGTCAGTTGGTCCCAAACTTGTAAATCATACATTATGCGAATTTAAGACGTCCGTGCATGATATCTGGATTGAAATTTCTGAAGACTTTGACAGCCCCCATAATCGAACAGTTCGTGGGGCGTATGCGGTAGCTGGCGGGGGAGGAGGATACCAAGGTCCACCACCGGGAAGAGGTGGTGGAGGAGGCTACGCTGCAGTCAATCCACGACCTGCAAAGATCATTGTTCCACGACCAAGTTTTCAAGGAAGTTGTTCCGGTTGCTGCAATCCTGGACCTCCTGGACCCGCTGGGCCACCAGGAAAACCAGGCAGGCATGGAAAACCAGGAGCTCCGGGGCGATCGGGAGTGTCCGGAAAGGCTGGAGCTGCTCCTTGTGAGCCCATCACCCCACCGCCTTGTCAGCCGTGTCCGCGAGGACCTCCTGGACCACCTGGACCATTAGGACAACCTGGGCCTCAAGGTGGACCCGGGCAGCAAGGATATCAAGCAGGACCACTCCCGCCGGGCCCGCCAGGACCACCAGGAACACCAGGATTGTCTGGAAATCCGGGTATGCCAGGAAATCCGGGACAACCTGGACAACCTGGGCCGAATATGACCACCGGAGCGGCTGCGCCTGGTCCGATGGGTCCACCCGGAGCAATGGGACGCCCAGGGGAGAATGGAGTTAACGCTAGCAGTGGAATTGGTGCACCTGGACCAAAGGGACGTCCAGGACCGAGTGGGAAACCAGGAAACGATGGAAATCCAGGTGCACCGGGGCAATCAGGTAAATCTGGTGGTCAAGGAGAAAAAGGAATCTGTCCAAAATATTGCGCCATCGATGGAGGAATCTTCTTTGAGGATGGAACACGTCGTCGCTAGATTGTGAACATAGTCAATAAACATTTACTTTTTTCCGTGTGTGACATTTCTGTGAACAAACGCTTATTATCGTTTTCGCAAATCTGTTCAATCTTGATATGTCTACTAGTTTTCAACCGAATGAGTATAAAACCGACAGCTTCATTTGGAACCTCACTCATCTGGCGTGTTTTGGCATTCTAGTCACCAATGGAGTCCCCAACTGATCTTCGTTTAAAAGCTTACCGTCTGATTGCTTACTCGGCTGTCGGATTCTCGGTCACCGCCGCTGTTTCTTTGTGCCTGACCCTTCCGCTCATCTACTCTTATGTCCAGAACACTAAGACCAATCTGGAAAGAGAATCAATGTATTGCAAGGTATCAGATCTGTTTGAGAATGAATCCAATTGTTTTATGTGTTTCAGAGTTCGGTGCAAGATATGTGGTCTGAAATCAACAATGTGAACGAGTTGTCATTTAACAGGACGGCAAGACAGGCGGGATACACTTCAGGAGGAGCTGACGCTGGAGCTGGAACTGGAGGGCCTGCAGCAGGCGGTGGTTGTTCTGGATGTTGCAATCCTGGCCCGCCAGGTCCAGGAGGAAATCCAGGTAAACCAGGAAAGCCAGGAAAACCGGGAGCTTCTGGAGCTCCAGGAGCTCCAGGAAAGGGAGCTGCAGTTCCATGCGAAGCCAAGACTCCACCACCATGCCAACCGTGTCCCCCAGGACCACCAGGGCCCCCAGGACCAGACGGACCAGCTGGACCACCCGGAGGAGCCGGAGAAGCAGGAGCCCCAGCCGCTCCATCACCACCAGGACCACCCGGACCTCCAGGACCAGCAGGAGCTCCAGGAAATGACGGAGCCGCCGGAGCTCCAGGACCAGACGGGCCTGCCGGAGAGAGCAAGTATCCAGAGCCAGCAGGACCAGGACCAGCGGGACCACCAGGACCGGCAGGACCACCAGGACCAGATGGAGCAAGCCCGACTGCTGCTCCAGGAGCACCAGGACCAAAGGGACCACCAGGACCAGGAGGAGCTCCAGGAGCCGATGGAAACCCAGGACCGCCAGGACCACCCGGAAACGCAGGAGGCGAAGGTGAAAAGGGAATCTGCCCCAAGTACTGCGCCATCGATGGAGGAATCTTCTTCGAGGACGGAACTCGCCGCTAATTTCTCGTCTCAATTCCGCACTTTTCTATTATTTTCAATGAATATAGAGCATTCAAACATCTGTTTCAATTCTTCTCCCAGACTTCTTATAATATTCAACCAGCGGGGAGTACCTGTCGTAATTATGAAATATGAGAAGGGATCTAAAGCAAAAAGTAGGTAAAAACACTCAATTAAAGTTATTGAAAGTGCATTACATTGCTAGCATTTCGGAAGAGGTATTCTAAAAAGCCCGAGTAGATAAAGCTAATACAATACAGTCACTTATGTCTATAGATTGCAGGGTCCATAAGGCAAGGCGCTGCAATCTGGCCATTTCTGGTTTAAATTTATGCAAATCAGCTTCTGTATTTTTATTTCAATGGTCAATAACAGCTCCTTTTTCTGCTGCTCAGAAAAACTTATTTGTACGCAATACCGGTGAACGTTAGGCGGAAGAAGAAGTACAGCACGCAGTCGTGTTCCATTTTTTCATTCATTTTTTGCAGTTGCCATGTTGTTCGTTTCCTTTTCGCCGAATTCAGTTTTTTCTGCACTTTTCCGCACGAATTCATTCGAAATTCGGTGGCAGTCTCTAAACATTATTCTAATTCAAGTTATCGGTATTTCATCCTTTATCAATTCAATTTTTAAACAGAACATATTGTCGTCACATCGGTAGTTGTGTGTGTGAACACGGTCACGTCCGTTGGTACTGTTTAAAGAAAAGGGGGGTCGCGAATCGATTCACTCCCTCTCCCCTCCTCTCCTCGGCTGCCACCAGGCAGCCCCTCTTTTCCCCTATTTTCTTTCTTTTTTTTTTGTTTTTCCTCGATTCCCACCTGGAGATCCCCCTATTCTACTATTTTCTTTAATTTCTTACGTATACCACTCAATACCGTGAGTTATGCCTATTTTCCATCGCATTCATCGCTTTCATCCAATTTTCACAAAAAACGGTGAATGCATCCTTAGAGATAAGAAAACTTGAATGATTCTGAAATTGATATATTTGAAGAGAGACAAAATTTATGAGAATCAAATTCTACTCGGTTTCGGCAAATCAACCTTCCCTTCAGAAGAAAAATAATAAATAATAAATTCTTAGTCAAATCATTCCAAATAATATTTCAGGAAAATAAAATTCAAAAATCGTCAGATCAGGCGAACTATCTCGAGAGCATCCGGAGAGGGTAGGAAATATGCAGGCTCTACCAAAATCCGAACGCAGGTAACTTTTTTCCCATCACAAACTGCACAATTCCATCTTAATTTTCAGTCAAAAATTGCTTGTTCAACCCGTCAAAACGTGCTCCGTTGCCGCAAGAAGTCTGTGCACTTCCGAGAAGCTTTAGCATCTTCACGTTTGTTGGAGGTCGCGGAAGGTACAACGAGAGAGATCTCACAATATGGGATCCTTTGATCAGGCAGTGGTCCGAAGAAGTGAACCAGGAACGTGAGTTCCAGAAGAGACAAGGGTGGATCAAAATGAAGGCATCACAGAGGGTAGGTTAAGATAGTACCTGATTTTGGAGCTTATGATTATACTTACAGCGTGGTACGAACAGAAGAGGACGGTACGATCTCGACAATTAAATTCATAATTTCCTTTATGCTTTTTCCAAAGTTATAATAAAAAAGTGGTTTTAGATGGTTCTAATGTCGGTTACATAGTATTACATGGTTTTTAACCATGCTCATATCTCTTCTTCTTGTATACTTTTTTGTTCAACTCACTAACAGACAATCATCAATTCTCCAATGTCACCGAGTGAAGTATATATATATATATATATAGGTTCAAATGGAGTACCCGGTAAAGGAGGAGGATGATAACGAAGTTCATGGTGAGTGAACGAAGTTCATTGCACTTTAGGCCCAAATTAGTATAAGGATTTTGTTTGCAGAGGACGAAGAAATGGAAGAAGAATGCGCTGAACTCACATTGAACAACGACTACTTCGACAATAGTTGGACAGTTCCTGGCACACAAACATTCGCGTGTTTCTCATTTCGGACTTTACTTGTGTTTTCGAATTCCGACGTGGAGTGTCTAGATATGCGAAAACCTCATCCTTGGCCTTTTCAATGGATTCCAAGTTTTTGTTTCTTTCGTCCAACACTGAAACTATTCACGTTTTCAAGCTGGACGAAAGTACTAAGAATTCATTAGGCTGGCTCAGCAGTCTCAACAGTCTCATGACGAATGCCAATGGATTGGTGATGATTGAACGGAGTTTTGCAACCGCTATGCTTCCTATGACTGGACCCAGCAAAGTTGATATCGTGGAGTTAGTTTTTTGTTTCTGTTCTCCTCATAATCAATTACTTTTCAGATTCAAAGGCCACAGTTATGTCCTGTCCGTAGCAAATACGTCGTTGTTCATCTACTGTCTGAAACCCGAAGGTGGAAATATGAAGCTGGTGGGCACTCAATACATTGACTCTGCATGACAAAAAGATGAAGGACTTGTTGGTCATGATTAAGTGAGTCTTACTTGAAGATAGGCGATTGAACGTAATTATACTTTTCAGACAACACGACTCGGCAAATTATCCCTTCCTGGAGTTCTATCAGACACTCTAGCACAAAGAATCATCATGTCCTTATACACTTTTATGTTAATTTATACCAGTTTTCCATTTTTCATCGATATCACTCAAATACTGGCGCCTCTTGGGTTTGATACCGTGTTTTTCTTTCAAACCTATTACTGGAAAGATATCAATCACTTTTCTTATTCTCTGTCATTTAACTTGTTAATTATCCCAAATACTGGTTGTATCTGTGAAACGTGTTTTATTGTTTGGTAGTTTTGGAAGCGTTCATAGAGAATGTCCCGGAACTCGAAGAGGTTATCCCAATGGAAATAAAAACGAAGAGAAATTATGAAGTAAGAGAGCTAACGCACGCATTTGGTCGGAAATCAATCAGTTCGATTGCAATCGCTCAGAAACTGAATCAAAAAGTTGAAGTGATAGCTAACAAGCTTGCTGCCAAACTTCATCGGAATTGCTGCAGAATTAACTGATTGACAAGCCAAAGCAACTTGAACAACAAAAAGTCTACAGTTTGAGTGTTCTAGATGAATTAATCTTTGATTATCCAGATGCCGACTATCCTTGTTGAACCGCTTCAAACAGCAACGCAAAATCAAACTGAACAGAACCTTCGATCAGGAGACGCGCGAGAGACATTCGTTATATTCGCAAATGTCGGAGTACCAATTGGAGCGTGAATAGCTCCGTGAGTCTCTTGAGGAGAAGCAAGATGTCAAGACTGAATGTAACAAGACAGTTGCGCAAGGCCAACTCGGAGATTCAGCGTACACACAGATTTCAGCATGTTACCACACTTTTCCCCTGTATATTGGGTCCAAGTTACAGACCGATCGGACTATCGACTCTGCGTTGATTAGATTCATATGTCTGCGAACTTTTAGACGTTTTTCTTCAAATAAACACTAAAACAGGTTTGATTTTTAAATGATTTATTGCAGGGGAAACAATTGAGCGATTCTACCAATTGTCTCCCCAGACAAACTCAACCTTATTTAGGTCTGGGTGTGTCTGGCTGTTTTGGCTCGGATTGAGCAGAGGTTGGTATCGGAGAAGAAGTCCCGGCAGACGACATGAAGAGAGCCGACCTGCAAGAGCAAAATTTCAGAATTTTAATATTAGGGCTGAATGGTTTTCTCGTGATGGAACTTTTTGCATTTTCTCTAATGCTGAACGCTTGAAAATAACTTACATCATGAGGTTTCGGATTTGTCCTGGAGAGAAGAGAGTCGAATCCGGAAGACTGGCTGGATGCGAATGAATTTCCTGGCCGAGCGGAGCGCTTTTATTTCCGAATTTTTGGTGCTGATCTTTTTATTATTCCGATCAGCGATAAAAAATAGAAGAAAAACGGAACACCCCTCTCCCATTTTTATGTATTTTCTGGAGAACGGACAGAAATGCACGTTTGCATCGCAGGCGATCAGAAAACGAGTGATACTGTAGATTGGTCAAATGTTCTGTTCAATTCAGTGATAATCATTCGGGTCTGGACTAAAGATTTACTTTTACGTAAAAGCAAAATAACTATAGTACAAAGGTCCTGGGAATGAGAAAACCATGCGATGAAAAATAAGTATATAAGCTTTTGGAATTTCCGAGGCGCCCACAGTTTTCGAATGGTTGTTGATGGTACTGCTATGTTCTACGGACTATGTTTCATCAGTTTGTAACAATTTGGGTCTTTCGGAATACCTCCGTCGGATTCCTTCTCCAAAAACCTGACAGTTGACATTGGATATTGTAAGGGACCAAGATGTCCCGTAACCACAGGCAACCGGACCATACGCCAGGGCCCACTTTTCAAACGTGAGGGCACGTCCCTCGCCCTCCCCAACCCACCGATCCTTCCCCGGAAGCTCACACCATCCACTGGTCTCACCCACTGCAAACCGACCACATTCCAGAGCACCTCCGACATCCGGCTCGCCCACGATCCCGCCGCTTCACGTGATCTCCGCGCCGACATTCCAGCCGCCTCTGCTCGATCTCCGATCTCACCGCGTCACTTCCGGACAGCTCCACATTCCAGCCGCCACTATATAATCCCCCATGCCCCGCCGACTTGGCGGTTCCCTCTCCTCCTCTCCTTGGCTTCCACCAGGAAGCCCCTCTTTTCCCTTATTTTCTTTATTTTTTTTTGTTTTCCCTGGATTTCCACCCGGAAATCCCCCTATTCTTCTATTTTTTTTAATTTCTGTTTTATTCCACTCAATAAGGACATTGCTAAATTTCTGGATCCACCTAAAACAAATAGAAACGAAAAACAGGTAAACCTCTCCGAAATGTTTCTTTTTTTTCTAACCATGTTATTTCCAGGCGCTACTCTTCATTGTCATTAACAAGGAACTATTTCTCTGTGGAAAGTGTTTGAAGTACGTGAAGTATACGAATGACAATGAGCAAGGATACATACAGTGCGGTGCAAGTTCATAAGGCCACCCCCGTTTGGCACTGCCACGTGGCGCTCGAAAATTTTTACGGCTCGGCGACTTCAAAATCGGATTCAGGGCACAAAGTTACGTATGTTTGGTGATTTTCGTGATGATACCTTGAAAACTGTCCGAACTACCTCGATAAAACTTAAAATCGGCTTTTTGCAACCGTTGCAAGTTTATAAGGCCACCCCAGGGGATAGGGGTTTTCGCTAATCGGGTCAACCCCTATGAGCACAAAATAAGTTGTACATATCTAAAAAGACGTTTTAAAGCTGTTTTTGTCATTCAGACGGTTTAGGTTTTTTCGTAAGAAATGCCACATGGAACTTTCCCCAGGATTCCGAAAAACTCTTAACACAGCCATTCAAAACGGCTGGATGGTCGAACCAAGAGACCAGTTGTCATCTAAAGTGCTTCAAATACATTTTGTGATCAGTCCAGCCAAAAAGAACATCTTAGAAAAGCCGGAAACGGGTTTCTCATGCCAAAAGGTTCCTCATCCGTGCCGTTTCAACTGCGAAAAAGTCCTGCAACGGCATGGAACAGGAGCTGGACCGTGGATTTAGAAAGTGTATGGTTTGGGAAACTGTTGAGGAGTGCCCTAACAATGTTTCTGAGACCATGTGGCCCTCTCCGTGCATTCCGTGCATTGACACAAGTCACATCGCATCGAATGCGTCCGTGGCAACATGTCGACCAATGAGGGATCGGCTGTTATGATCGGTTTTGTTTGTCCAGAAACATGTTTTCCGGTGAAATCATGCCTTCTGCTGAAAATATGGTCAATTTGAACGGTCTGGAGGAATGGAAGTGATACTGGCACGACATCCGCACTGACCGCTTTGTCTTCTCAAAGAGAACCTTTGGAGAACGAAGCCTTATGGTTTTGAACGCTTTCTCCTCGATTGGATATTTACAAAATGCATTCAGATAAACTTGTTGCACTGATCTGAAGTCCTCTAGAATCATCTGAGACCCTCCCGTAGTTTATTTGGTCTCAATCAATGCCGTTATTTGAGTTTGACGACAGGGATGGCGAACATTTTGGCACAAACATTCAGTTTCAATGTCTGCCCGGTCTTCCAAAAATTCTTTTTTGAGTTTCGACTAGTCACGAAATGGATTTGAATCACTTTAGACAACAACTGAACGATCGGTTGGGCCATCCAACCGTTTTGAATGGCTGTGTTAAGACTTTTTTGGAATCCGTAGGGAAAGTGCCCCGTGGCATGTCTTACGAAAAAACCTAAACCGTCTGAATGGCAAAAACAGTTTTAAAACGTCTTTTTAGATATGTACAACTTATTTTGTGCTCATAGGGGTTTACCAGATAAGCGAAAACCCCTATCCCCTGGGGTGGCCTTATAAACTTGCAACGGTTGCAAAAAGCCGATTTTTAGTTTAATCGAGGTAGTTCGGACAGTTTTCCAGGTATCATCACGAAAATCACCAAACATACGTAACTTTGTGCCCTGAATCCGATTTTGAAGTCGCCGGGTCGGAAATATTTTCGAGCGCCACGTGGCAGTGCCAAACGGGGGTGGCCTTATAAACTTGCACCGCACTATAGATGGTCGCTTATATGACGAAAATACGAAAGAAACGAGTACAAATCACTGGCGATGCAAAGTTTTCAAAGATTGATGCACCAAAAACATGTACATTGTGAAAAAGTAAGAATTTCTTACGTTTTCAGTCTGTCTTCTCAGAAAAATAACTATCACTGTGATCTATTTGAAAAAATTTCAAACTTTCGATTTTCTGCAATCCAAAAACGAACAACTTCTAGAAGCAGTTTGTTGCAAATATGTACTAGAAGTACAGAACACGTGTTTTAACCAAACAACTTCAACAGAGAAAAACCGACAAATTATGTAGTTATGTTTCTTTCGAAAAATAGACGTACGTCACAAGAACCAACAGGAATTTTTTCAGAAACTCAGACCGTTCATACACTTTCCCATCAAAAGTCCTCGTGAATATCGCAGAGTTGGAAGATCATTTGAAAAGAATTACAATGCCTCAATGACAACATTCAGTCAATGCAACACTTTTTTACAAAACGTAATACGATTTTCATTTTCCACTTCTAACTGTTATTTTTTTAATCATTTTTTTTTCACGTCAATAAACGTTTTTTAATAATCACTCTTCACGGCCTCTCAAAAGGAATGTACCCGATCTGCGAAACGGGGTTTGAGTCGGGACTAGGGGCAAATGAAAGGCACTAGTGAGGGTATATACCGGGTGACGGGTTTCGCCTACCTTTTGCGGTTCAGCCGAGTTATGGTGGAAAAAGTGCAAAAACGGTACCTTTTTTCAAAAAATCGTATTTCCGTCAAATTTTGAGTAAACTCGGTAAAAAAACGAAAATGTAGCTAATGGAATGGGCTTCAAGAATGCAATAATTCACGATTTAAGAAAAAAATGTACAAGAAAGTTATTCAACAAATTGTAATTTGCACCGATGTACAACATTTTGCGGTGAGATCTTCATGGGACTATCACCATTTGATTCGGCGTCCAAAATAAAGGCCGCATGCAAAAATTTCACCGTGAAAAAGTCCTTGGACGGAAAAAATGTTAGGAAGAGTTTACTCTGTCCATGATTTCTTGAGGTTCTGTACATAAAGCATTTACGTTGTACGGAGATTCTGTTGGCTTTCTGGTTCCAGTTCGGCTGATCTTGCCATGTCTGCGCTTTCGGTACATAAGGATGTACGGTGCTTCTTTGGCTACTCGCGTAGCATCATGTCGAGAAACATTCAGATCGTCGAATTTATACCTGGAAAATTATAATGAAAATGTGCTTTGTCTTAGCGCTACTAGACGTTTTGCAACCGCAACAAAACCTGTCAAATGATCTCGCTCAATCCATTGTGGTTGTAAATTGTCCTTCCAATAATGAATGGGCACTGACTGCGCAACAAAAGGAGAGATCACTTGTAGGAGGTACTGTGTAAAGAACTGGACATTGCACGGCAGAAGCACGTCGAACGTCTCGATATCCTTTCCGATGCGGTTAAAAAAGCCATTGGAATATCGAAAAAAGCCATTGGAACACGGAACAGATTGCGCATCAGCGGAGCGCGCAGGTTTCTCAAAGCCGATGCTCCTCCGTAGAGCAGGGACAGCATTCCAATGAAGAGAACGATAACTGAAAAGAAAGAATGACTTTCTGAGGACGCACGTGGCGGGAAAACTCACTTTCCAAGAATACGAGGCCAGCGTACACTCCCAGACGGACTCCAATACTGTTTCCCGACGCCATCACATCATCATGGTACTCAAAGTCCGCATCTCCTTCAGTCATGATGCCTCCTGGCTCCGAGGTGTCATCGTCGTCGTCAGCTGAAAGGGCTGCTTTCACGTCGCTTCTGGTCCACTTGCTGGCACTCGATCAGCAATTGCTCGAAAGCATCCGTCCATCCTTCATCACCATGATCAGATCCGCTTTTTCCAAGAACAACAGCTCATTCGTCACTAGGATGAGCGTCTTGTTGTGGAGCATTCCTTCGGGTCCAATCACAGAGTTGAGCAGCTGGCTTCCGACGTGAGCATCCACGGCACTGTCGAAGTAGGTAGATGTCATGGTTCTGGTAGAGTGGAGTGGAGTCCGAGTGGAAGAATTTGGAGGTCACGGTAGAGAACACAGGCGTCGAGGACACGAGAGTAGAAGTACTCATCGAATTGCTTTCCGAATGTGATGCTCTGGCGAAGCGCATAGTTTTGCATTCACGGTTGTTGGGGCACATAGCAGAGACGTCAGTGCATAGAGATACTTCCAGAATTCTTCTTCAGTTTTCCCATCAACGCTTGGAGCATCAATGTCTTTCCGGCTCCGACGCGTCCGACAATGGTGACAAATTGTCCGTGGTTGACTGAGAAGGAGATGTTGTGGAGGGATGGCACCGGCTTGCTCTCGATAGACTCCTAGGACAGCGTCGAGTCGTTGAAGGCAATGATGTCGTTATCTGCAAAAAAACAATAATCAGTCTGTCGTCAGCCGTCGTTAGACTCAAGTTTTTGGATACGGCGGCCGACGCAGGTATTCCAAACGACCCAAGCGCTTGTTTTCTGATCACCTGCGATGCAAACGTGCATTTCTGTCCGTTCTCCAGAAAATACATAAAAATGGGAGAGGGGTGTTCCGTTTTTCTTCCATTTTTTGTCGCTGATCGGAATAATAAAAAGATCAGCACCAAAAATTCGGAAATAAAAGCGCTCCGCTCGGCCAGGAAATTCATTCGCATCCAACCAGTCTTCCGGATTCGACTCTCTTCTTGTCGTGACTCGTCTCGACTTGTCAAGATCAAAAGTGCAGTATGAAGGAACATAATTGTATGGTCGTCATGGACCATGTGGCAGTGTAATTATCCAATCAACTACCAGTCTTCTTGATCCAAAGTCATTATAACTCAATTTAAAGTTATTATGTCTTTCCGCAACAATGAGGACCAAGGACAATTCTGACTTTTAAGTGCACAACTTGTGCCCCTCTGTCATTAAAATCTAGTTCCTGATAATTGCCCTGGGACCAATATAAAGGTCCCGTCTAACTCCTAGAGTTACTTGCATCTTTCCCAACACCCTCATCCAACTGCTACTGCGACTTCCCCAACCTATCTTCCTCTCACTATTTCCATATTACCTAATAAAGCATTATCTGAACCACCTGCTTTGCTTAAACCGTGCGAAGGACACCCTCTAACAACGAACGGGGTTAAGGAGCACGACATTGGTGCATCGACCAAATCCAGGTACGTGAAATAGCCCAAAGAGGCAAAAGAACCGCCTCAGAGCGAAGATAACTGCGAATAGCAACCGCCTCAGAGCGAAGATAACTGCGAATAGCAACCGCCTCGAGCTAAGAAAAACGAAACTAAACCGAAATTCAAGATGGTTACCTACAGCCAAGTCGAGCAAACGACCCAACAGTTGAAACATCAGCACTTGCCTCGTCATGCGGCGGTTTCGTTCCGTCATCGTTCCGGTATTGTCCGGAACGTGCTTCTTCGACCAATAGCCGTGAAGTAATTGTATTGTGCTGTTGTTGTAAGTGTATTTTCTTTGTTTCAGAGCCCGTTGGTACACCTTTTATTATGAAAAGGTCGACCGCTATGTTGACGTCGTGTATTATTTTCTGGTGAAGTACCGTGTTACGGTACCCAGCGAGGACATCCTGTTCTTCATGGAAGGCTTCCCAAACGAGCTCTATCCTCTCTCGGTCCTTCGGGTGACTCCGCCCATCGTACCCCGCCGTTTGGAATTCTGCTGTTTGTAATTCTGCTGTTTGTAATTCTGCTCGGCAATTATTACTCTGGCAATAATAAACCGTATGCTGTTAATCGTTTTATTTGTGTAAAATGTCGAACAGTTGTATTTAGTGAAGCTCTGCGATAGTTGTGGTTAGTCTCGGCTGGAATTTCACTTGTGCTTCGACAATTTGGGCTAAGGTCCTTCAATGATTGGTTCGTTCTTTTGTGGTTCTTCATGAAGTACTGTCTCTTCTTGCATTTCGTTGGAGATGTTATCTACCATGGTGTATGGGCAGATGGAGATGTGGTGAATGTGGTATCGTTTTCCGCATTCGACGTGTTTGCAAAGCAGTTGTGAATTGCGCAAATTACGGCAGTTGGTTGGGTGGTGGCTGTCCGAGGTCAAACAGATGCGACAGATGTGGAGTCGTGATGTTTCTTGTATTTTGTTGAGTTGAGGGATCACGTTGCAATCCGAAGTAGGATGTTCTTTCTTGCAGAAGCGACATGTTGGTGGTCCGCGATTGGGACGGCGAAGTTCACGAGCGGCTTGTTCGGTTAATGCCTTGAGTTGCCAGGTGACAGCTTGTCTCTTGGCTTCGTCTAGAACTTCTTGGGCCATTGAGCGTTTGGACATATTGCAAACAGTTGGGTTTGATGTGTTGTGTTCTGCAAACACTTTGTTGGGTTTTGTATGTAGGGAGGGTGATACAATAATTATGCGACATAGAATTGAGTGAGTGTTAGTTACGTGGAAAATTGTTTTGAAAAATGGGTGTCTTCTGATTAGTTTGTGTATGGCAACTATTGAGATCAGTGGTTTTTGTGGATAATCGATGGTCGTTGTTGTTATCTGCGGAATCTCCGTCCTCCTATCAGGAGTCTGGTGATTGCAGGTAGGCAACACATGTAGATTGCTAGGCTTAGGGAATTCCAAACAGTCATTTTGGAATTCCAAACAGTCATTTTTTCCTTCTTCTAATTCACGTTAGAGCTCTTGATGTAACCCTTTCTGATTGAAACCATTCCCACATTGCCTTTTTGTACAACCCCTCTCCTGTTTCCCATCTCCCCCATTATCCATCACATCTTCAATTTTAATATTATTGAGTGCTCTATCACTTATCATTCAATCGCCGTCGCCGGGAGTGTCGTGACTCGTCTCGACTTGTCAAGATCAAAAGTGCAGTATGAAGGAACATAATTGTATGGTCGTCATGGATCATGTGGCAGTGTAATTATCCAATCAACTACCAGTCTTCTTGATCCAAAGTCATTATAACTCAATTTAAAGTAATTATGTCTTTCCGCAACAATGAGGACCAAGGACAATTCTGACTTTTAAGTGCACAACTTGTGCCCCTCTGTCATTAAAATCTAGTTCCTGATAATTGCCCTGGGACCAATATAAAGGTCCCGTCTAACTCCTAGAGTTACTTGCATCTTTCCCAACACCCTCATCCAACTGCTACTGCGACTTCCCCAACCTATCTTCCTCTCACTATTTCCATATTACCTAATAAAGCATTATCTGAACCACCTGCTTTGCTTAAACCGTGCGAAGGACACCCTCTAACAACGAACGGGGTTACGGATCACGACACTTCTCTCCAGGAAAAAACTATCAGAAACCACATGATGTAAGTTATTTTCAAGCGTTCAGCATTAGAGAAAATGCAAAAAGTTCCATCACGAGAACACCATTCAGCCCTAATATTCAAATTCTGAAATGTTGCTCTTGCAGGTTCGCTCCTCGCCTCATCTCGTCTGCCGGGACTTCTTCTCCGATGCCAACCTCAGCTCAATCCGAGCCAAAACAGCCAGACACACCCAGACCTAAGTAAGGTTGGGTGTGTCTGTGGAGACAATTGGTAGAATCGCTCAATTTTTCCCCAGCAATAAATCATTTAAAAATCAAACCTTTTTTAGTGTTTATTTGAAGAAAAATGTCTAAAAGTTTGCACTGAGAAGGAGATGTTGTGGAGGGATGGCACCGGCTTGCTCTCGATAGACTCCTAGGACAGCGTGGAGTCGTTAACGGCAATGATGTCGTTATCTGCAGAAAAACAATAATCAGTCTGTCGGCAGCCGTCATTAGACTCACTATCACGGCCTTTGCGATCAATGGCGTCCTCTTTGAGCTGTTCAGACTTGAGGAACTCCTTCAGACGTCTGTTGGAAACCACAACTTGCACGGTTTGAGTGATAAACTCCGCGACTTGAGACATTTGCGAACACAACTGATTGAAGAGCGTCAAAGATGCAAACACAATCTCCAGTGTCAGCACATTGATCGGATAGATGCAGATAGAGGTCGTGAAGGTGGAAAGGGCGACGAGGAAAGGCGAGGCGGTGTTGAGCATGTCCGAGAAAGTGCGAAGGAATGCGGCCTTCTTGATCAGCCCCAGTTCCTTCACTCTCAAATCCTTAATGACATTCTCCTAGGCGGCTCCCACGCGTACAGTTTAATGTCCTTGATTGCTTCGAGCACCTAGTTCATCATCTTTGTCCTTTCATCCTTGTAGTACATCTGCGAGAGCTGCCACTTGCGAATGATCATCGTGATCACAAAGTTGATCGGAAACAAAAGCACCATCACGGCAACTCCACTGAAGACTAAGACTCCCAGTTGCTGGAAGAGCAGGAACAAAACAAATCCAATTTGGAATGGGTTTGACCATTACTGCATCGTTTGAGAGGTGAGCAGGATGGACGAAAGATCAGCCGATCCGAACATGGTGAACGCGAGCACGAATCCTTGCCACATCGGTCTTTCCAATTGTTCCGTGAACTGAATAAGCAATTTCAGAAAAATGGCAGAATTTTAGTGTAAACATCAAAAAAATGAGTAAGATCAATGTGGTTTGAAATTGGCGGGGGGTCCCGGTTACTGACGCACTTATGTATCGGCTGACACATTCTGCGCACAGCTGTTTGAACCACCCCTCGCAAGATTACGACGAGAACTCAGAATTCTAAATGAGAACAATAAAAACTCTGATGGAAGAGTGACTCGAGAAGAAAAACAATGTAGAACTCGAAACAATAGCTTTTGCCTGAAACTTTTCTTGAATGCATGCAGATGCAGGCTCTGCCGTGGCGGTTGGTGGAGAACTCGTCTTCTATCGCTAGGTTGATGTTTTTGTAGCCGGAGCCGATCTGCTCCATTCTGAAACTATTACTTTCTGGTTATTCCGTGAAAGGTCTCAACTGACGCGGCTAAGAAGGTGACTTTTCTGTTGAAGGCAAACGCGATTCTCATGACTTTGCGGAACTCCTTGCAGGTCATCTCCTCCTCCATGTTTGTCACGCCGTAGAACCCTTGGAAAATACTGGAGCGCGCTCGAAATGTCCAGGAATCTGAGTTGAGAGAGGCTGGCGACGATCTGAGCCAGCGGGACGTCTGGTAGAGCGCGGCGTCCAGCACTTCGGCCATTTGAATCTTGTATCTGAAAATTTCGTGTTGAATAGTGCTAGGACAAGATGTCTCGAGGTCCGAAAGAACTCACTTGTCGATGTGCTTCAGCGTTGTTCTCGGCACACGCGGATCTTCCTCTCTGTTTTCTTCAGTTTCTGAAAGAAATTAGAGAAATTAAGCGAAAGACAACAAAGGTGGTTACCGTCCAACTTGTACTCGAGCAATGCGTTCATTCCCAGCGTTTCAAGAGTTTGCAGCTCGAAATTGGCGAGCTGATGGCACACAATATCACTTCTGAGCTGAGCCTGCCGAATACTCTCCCGAAGCAGTTGACTGGCAGTCTTGCTAAAAATAACATAGTTCGAAGGTGCTACGTTCACAGAAAACTCACTAATCACCCAATTTTTTGCTGAGAATCGGAGCGAAAAGGATTGGTCACCGCCAGGCGAAATGAGCGGGAAACCTGCACCACATTTTCGTTGAGCTCCTGGTTGCCTGCGATGATTCTGAAATTTCAACGTCATCTCCAGATAACGATCCGTTTTTCTCCTCTTTTAACACACATTTAATCAGGTCGAGTTCCAACACAGCCATCTGTTTTGGGAGGTTCAGCATTAACTTAGCACTGAACTGTAACGCTTGAGCCTGAAACTCACTTGCAAAGGTGATTCGTCACATCTTCCTGGCCAGTTGTTGTGGATGTTGGCAAACGCCTGACGGGACTGTGCCAATCGTTCCGGGTTGGGGAACAATCCGTTCGGTTCGTGCAGAGCAGCGATTTCCATAAAGACGGCCTTCTCCATCGTTGGCCAGTTGTTCTTCAGCGGCAGCCGACGAGCGTGTTGGAGCCAGATACGAGGGTCTGAAAAGAATCGAGACGATCGAGAGAGAAAATTAGAGTGCACTCTGCTGAAAGACTGCCAAATATGAACTAAAAAGTGCGGCAGCGAAAAATAACTTCTGCGAGCTAAGCCAAAAAGTGTCGGGCCTGATCTTACCGCTGGAAATGCTTTGCAATAGAAGAAGCAAATCGGCGAATAGAACGAAAAGCAAAAGGGAGTGGAACGGCGAAAAAGAAATGTCTCCAATCGATATCTATCAGCGACGGGTCTGGAAAGTCCGTCTGCCCAAAAAACCAGCAGAATGGGACGATCCGACCGTCCACTAGGTCGGTTGGCCTGGAAGAATGACGATATCTGCCCAGCACCCTTTTTATAACCCCCCCCCATCTCCCGCGCTCGCGAACCAGCAGATCAAAACGGTGCTCGTCACTCCAACGTGCTTTGTTATTGTATGTCTACGGGGCGCTGATTTTTTGTTTATGTTCTCCTCATATTCAATTACTTTTCAGATTCAAAGGCCACAGTTACGTCCTGTCCGCAACAGTTATGTCCTGTCCGCAACACGTTACTGTTCATCTACTGTCTGAAACCCGAAGGTGGAAATATGAAGCTGGTGGGCACTCAATGCATTGACTGTGCATGACAAAAAGATGAAGGACTTGTTGGTCATGATTAAGTGAGTCTTACTTGAAGATATGCGATTGAGCGAAATTATACTTTTCAGACAACACGACTCGGCAAATTATCCCTTCTAGGAGTTCTATCAAACACTTTAGCACAAAGCATCATCTTATACACTTTCATGTTAATTTATACCAGTTTTCCATTTTTCATCGATATCACTCAAATACTGGCGCCTCTTGGGTTTGACACCGTGTTTTTCTTTCAAACATTGCTATTATCAATTACTTTTCTTATTCTCTGTCATTTAACATGTTAATTATCCCAAATACTGGTTGTAACTGTGAAACGTGTTTTATTGTTTGGTAGTTTTGGAAGCGTTCATAGAGAATGTCCCGGAACTCGAAGAGGTTATCCCAATGGAAATAAAAACAAAGAGAAATGATGAAGTAAGAGAGCAAGTTACCGCGGATTTGTGGTCGCCATTTGCCGAGTGGACACGGTTTGAACAGTTTGCAGAAGGCGTCGGAGTTATCCGAGGTGGTTGGACACTTATAGGATTTGGAGATGGATTGGAGTGATTGCTTCATTAGGTTTACGTCGAATCCATGGCCAGTGAAGTTGATGGAGTGGCTGGACACGTGGAGAATTTATCGCCATTTTGGTTCGCCCACCCGCTGCACCGCGTGGTCACACCGACGTTAACGCACGTTTTTGGTCGGAAATCAATCAGTTCGATTGCAATCGCTCAGAAACTGAATCAAAACGTTGAAGTGATAGCTAACAAGCTTGCTGCCAAACTTCATCGGAATTGCTGCAGAATTAACTGATTGACAAGCCGAAGCAACTTGAACAACGAAAAGTCTATAGTTTGAGTGTTCTAGATGAATTAATCTCTGATTATCCAGATGCCGACTATCCTTGTTGAACCGCTTCAAACAGCAATGCAAAATCAAACTGAACAGAACCTTCGATCAGGAGACGCGCGAGAGACATTCGTTCTATTCGCAAATGTCGGAGTACCAATTGGAGCGTGAATAGCTCCGTGAGTCTCTTGAGAAGAAGCAGCATGTCAAGATTGGACAAGACGGTTGCGCAAGGCCAACTTGGCGATTCAGCGTACACACAGATTTCAGCATGTTACCATACTTTTCCCCTGTATATTGGGTCCAAGTTACAGACCAATCGGACTATCGACTCTGTGTTGATTCGATTCATGTCTGCGAACTTACACACGTTTTTCTTCAAATAAACACTAAAACAGGTTTGATTTTTAAATGATTTATTGCTGGGGAAAAATTGAGCGATTCTATCAATTGTCTCCCCAGACAGACCCAACATTACTTAGGTCTGGGTGTGTCTGGCTGTTTTGGCTCGGATTGCGCTGAGGTTGGCATCGGAGAAGAAGCCCCGGCAGACGAGATGTAGAGAGCCAACCTGCAAGAGCAACATTTCAGAATTTGAATATTAGGGATGAATGGTTTTCTCGTGATGGAACTTTTTGCATTTTCTCTAATGCTGAACGCTTGAAAATAACTTACATCATGTCGTTTCGTTTTGTCCTGGAGAGAAGAGAGTCGAATCCGGAAGACTGGCTGGATGCGAATGAATTTCCTGGCCGAGCGGAGCGCTTTTATGTCAGAATTTTTGGTGCTGATCTTTTTTTTTTAATGGTGCTCTTGCAGGTTCGCTCCTCGCCTCATCTCGTCTGCCGGGACTTCTTCTCCGATGCCCACCTCAGCTCAATCCGAGCCAAAACAGCCAGACACACCCAGACCTAAGTAATGTTGGGTGTGTCTGGGGAGACAATTGGTAGAATCGCTCAATTGTTTCCCCTGCAATAAATCATTTAAAAATCAAACCTGTTTTAGTGTTTATTAGAAGAAAAACGTCTAAAAGTTCGCAGACATATGAATCGAATCAACACCGAGTCGATAGTCCGATCGGTCTGTAACTTGGACCCAATATACAGGGGAAAAGTATGGTAACATGCTGAAATCTGTGTAAATGCTGAATCTCCGAGTTGAGCATGTCTATGTTATGCATGTTTTGTAAAACGTGCGGGATAATCCTAATCTCTTTCTCGCTATTCTCACGTTTGTACTTTACTGTCAGGTTTTTGGATACGGCGGCCGACGCAGGTATTCCGAACGGCCCAAGCGCTTGTTTTCTGATCACCTACGATGCAAACGTGCATTTCTGTCCGTTCTCCAGAAAATACATAAAAATGGGAGAGGGGTGTTCCGTTTTTCTTCCATTTTTTATCGCTGATCGGAATAATAAAAAGATCAGCACCAAAAATTCGGAAATAAAAGCGCTCCGCTCGGCCAGGAAATTCATTCGCATCCAGCCAGTCTTCCGGATTCGACTCTCTTCTCTCCAGGACAAATCCGAACCATCATGTTGTATGTTATTTTCAAGCGTTCAGCATTAGAGAAAATGCAAAAAGTTCCATCACGAGAAAACCATTCATCCCTAATATTCAAATTCTGAAATGTTGCTCTTGCAGGTTCGCTCCTCGCCTCATCTCGTCTGCCGGGACTTCTTCTCCGATGCCAACCATAGCTCAATCCGAGCCAAAGCAGCCAGACACACCCAGACCTAAATAATGTTGGGTGTGTCTGGGGAGACAATTGGTAGAATCGCTCAATTTTTCCCCAGCAATAAATCATTTAAAAATCAAACCTTTTTTAGTGTTTATTTGAAGAAAAATGTCTGAAAGTTAGCAGACATATGTATGAATCGGGTCTATTACGTCGGCCGCTACCTCTGACAACCTGGCAGTGTGCACAAAGAAGTGGCCGTCCGTCAGGATTTTGCGATTTCTGAGGATCCCATCGCTTCCGTATGGGATCCAAGTATGCTCGCTGCTTGAGTATTATGATCAGACGCGGGGTTTTCATTCTTTCAGGTTTGCTTTCAGGAATTATATTTGTTTTATAGCTTAGTTTAGGTAGCAATGATCTTCTGATACCTCTGCAATCGCTTCGCGAATATTTATCATTATTCTTAAGAAGACTTTGTACACATCCTCCATGCTACTCGACGAGACCACATTTGCCGGAGTCATTGCGTCGGGAATGCAACTTTCGGCAGTCAACTTATCTTCGAATTCGTTATCCTCCTTAAACCTCTTGATGTCGGCTACGTTGTTGGCAACATCATTTTCCAGTGTCTCTTTAATGACTTCCCACGCTTCTGGACAGTGTTCCAGATATCGTTTGCTGGCGTCGAAGAACTGAAATTGTATTTTTGTTAAAATTGTGACTTCATAAAGCATTTACGTTGTACGGAGATTTTGTTGGCTTTCTGGTTCCAGTTCGGCTGATCTTACCATGTCTGCGCTTTCGGTACATAAGGATGTACGGTACTTCTTTGGCTACTCGCGTAGCATCATGTCGAGAAACATTCAGATCGTCGAATTTATACCTGGAAACTGATAATTAAAATGTGCATTGTCTTAGCGCTACTAGACGTTTTGCAACCGCAACAAAACCTGTCAAATGATCTCGCTCAACCCATTGTGGTTGTAAATTGTCCTTCTAATAGTGACTGGGCACTGACTGCGCAACAAAAAGAGAGATCAGGTACTGTGTAAAGAACTGGACATTGCACGGCAGAAGCACGTCGAACGTCTCGATATCCTTTCCGATGCGGTTGAAAAGGCCATTGGAAAATCGAAAAAAGCCATTGGAACATCGAAAAAAGCCATTGGAACATCGAAAAAAGCCATTGGAACATCGAAAAAAGCCATTGGAACATCGAAAGAAGCCATTGGAACACGGAACAGATTGCGCATCAGCGGGCGTGCAGGTTTCTCAAAGCCGATACTCCTCCGTTAAGCAGGGACAGCATTCCGATGAAGAGAACGATAACTGAAAAGAAAGAATGACTTTCTGAGGACGCACGTGGCGGGAAAACTCACTTTCCAAGAATACGAGGCCAGCGTACACTCCCAGACGGACTCCAATACTGTTTCCCGACGCCATCACATCATCATGGTACTCAAAGTCCGCATCTCCTTCAGTCATGATGCCTCCTGGCTCCGAGGTGTCATCGTCGTCGTCAGCTGAAAGGGCGGCTTTCACGTCGCTTCTGGTCCACTTGCTCACACTCGATCAGCAATTGCTCGAAAGCATCTTATTGCATTAGCTCTTCGTACTTTCCCTCAAACTCAATCCGTCCATCCTTCATCGCCATGATCAGATCCGTCTTTTCCAATAACGACAGCTCATTCGTCACCAGGATGCGGGTCTTGTTGTGGAGCATTCCTTCGGGTCCAATCACAGAGTTGAGCAGCTGGCTTCCGACGTGAGCATCCACGGCACTGTCGAAGTAGGTAGATGTCATGGTTCTGGTAGAGTGGAGTGGAGTCCGAGTGGAAGAATTTGGAGGTCACGGTAGAGAACACATGCGTCGAGGACACGAGAGTAGAAGTACTTATCGAATTGCTTTCTGTGATGCTCTGTGTGATGCTCTGGCGAAGCATGTGATGCTCTGGCGAAGCGCATTGTTTTGCATTCACGGTTGTTGGGGCACATAGCAGAGACGTCAGTGCATAGAGATACTTCCAGAATTCTTCTTCAGTTTTCCCATCAACGCTTGGAGCATCGATGTCCTTCCGGCTCCGACGCGTCCGACAATGGTGACAAATTGTCCGCGGTTGACTGAGAAGGAGATGTTGTGGAGGATGGCACCGGCTTGCTCTCGATAGACTCCTAGGACAGCGTCGAGTCGTTAAAGGCAATGATGTCGTTATCTGCAAAAAAACAATAATCAGTCTGTCGTCGGCCGTCATTAGACTCAAGTTTTTGGATACGGCGGCCGACGCAGGTATTCCAAACGACCCAAGCGCTTGTTTTCTGATCACCTGCGATGCAAACGTGCATTTCTGTCCGTTCTCCAGAAAATACATAAAAATGGGAGAGGGGTGTTCCGTTTTTCTCCCATTTTTTATCGCTGATCGGAATAATAAAAAGATCAGCACCAAAAATTCTGACATAAAAGCGCTCCGCTCGGCCTGGAAATTCATTCGCATCCAACCAGTCTTCCGTATTCGACTCTCTTCTCTCCAGGAAAAAATTATCCGAAACCACATGATGTAAGTTATTTTCAAGCGTTCAGCATAAGAGAAAATGCAAAAAGTTCCATCACGAGAACACCATTCAGCCCTAATATTCAAATTCTGAAATGTTGCTCTTGCAGGTTCGCTCCTCGCCTCATCTCGTCTGCCGGGACTTCTTCTCCGATGCCAACCTCAGCTCAATCCGAGCCAAAACAGCCAGACACACCGAGACCTAAGTAAGGTTGGGTGTGTCTGGGGAGACAATTGGTAGAATCGCTCAATTTTTCCCCAGCAATAAATCATTTAAAAATCAAACCTTTTTTAGTGTTTATTTGAAGAAATATGTCTAAAAGTTTGCACTGAGAAGGAGATGTTGTGGAGGGATGGCACCGGCTTGCTCTCGATAGACTCCTAGGACAGCGTGGAGTCGTTAACGGCAATGATGTCGTTATCTGCAAAAAAACAATAATCAGTCTGTCGGCAGCCGTCATTATACTCAATATCACGGCCTTTGCGATCGATGGCGTCCTTTGAGCTGCTCAGACTTGAGGAATTCCTTCAGACGCCTGTTGGAAACCACCACTTGCACGGTTTGAGTGATGAACTCCGCGACTTGAGACATTGGCGAACTCAACTTATTGAAGAGCGTCAAAGATGCAAACGCAATCTCCGGTGTCAGCACATTCTTCGGATCGATGCAGATAAAGGTCGTGAAGGTGAAAGGGCGACGAGGAAAGACGAGGCGGTGTTGAGCATGTCCGAGGAAGTGCGAAGGAATGCTGCCTTCTTGATCAGCCCCAGTTCCTTCTTTCTCAAATCCTTAATGACATTCTCCTAGGCGGCTCCCACGCGTACAGTTTAATGTCCTTGATTGCTTCGAGCACCTAGTTCATCATCTTTGTCCTTTCATCCTTGTAGTACATCTGCGAGAGCTGCCACTTGCGAATGATCATCGTGATCACAAAGTTGAACGGAAACAAAAGCACCATCACGGCAACTCCACTAAAGACTGAGACTCTCAGTTGCTGGAAGAGCAGGAACAAAACAAATCCGAGTTGGAATGTGTTTGACCATTACTGCATCGTTTGAGAGGTGATCTGTTGAAAGCGGTCAATGTCTATGGCCATGAAGTTGACAATCTCGCCGACAGTCTTCTCGCGACAAGCGGCGTTCGACAAACGGAGCGTCTGGAAAATAGAGGTAACATTTATATTCGCCGAGTGGAAGAGAGGGTACCTTGGGATAAACAGCGGCTGTGAGACACGTCTACAGACGAGTTCCGACTCGATACATCAGGCAGAGGAAGTGGGAGATCAGGATGGACGAAAGCTCAGCCGATCCGAACATGGTGAACGCGAGCACGAATCCTTGCCACATCGGTCTTTCCAATTGTTCCGTGAACTGAATAAGCAATTTCAGCAGGATCGGGTTGCAGAAGAGAAGTATATCCGAGAGCAGCTTGACAAACATCGCAGTGATAACGTCCTCCATGAATATGAGGAAGAGAGGGTCCAGATGATGGAGGGCATGTGTTGGCTGGGATGGCTCGTGGGCACCACTCCGTAGTTGCCCGTGTTCTGATCGTGGAGCAACAGAGTACTGTCGTTTGACGAGCTGCGGCGGCTGGACGTGTTTAAGACATTGGAATCAGCGCGACGACGGTTGTGGTTCTCCTCAAACTCTGAAACAATCAAAGTGTGCTTAAAAATTGCAGAATTTTAGTGTAAACATCAAAAAAATGAGTAAGATCAATGTGGTTTGAAATTGGCGGGGGGGGGGGTCACGGTTACTGACGCACTTATGTATCGGCTGACACATTCTGCGCACAGCTGTTTGAACCACCCCTCGCAAGATTACGACGAGAACTCAGAATTCTAAATGAGAACAATAAAAACTCTGATGGAAGAGTGACTCGAGAGGAAAAACAAGGTAGAACTCGAAACTATAGCTTTTGCCTGAAACTTTTCTTGAATGCATGCAGATGCAAGCTCTGCCGTGGCGGTTGGTGGAGAACTCGTCTTCCATCGCTAGGTTGATGTTTTTTTTTTGATCTGCTCCATTCTGAAACCATTACTTTCTGGTTATTCCGTGAAAGGTCTCAACTGACGCGGCTAAGGAGATTAAGGTGATTTTTCTGTTGAAGGCAAACGCGATTCTCATGAATTTGCGGAAGTCCTTGCAGGTCATCTCCTCCTCCATGTTTGTCACGCCGTAGAACCCTTAGAAAATACTGGAATCCGCAACCCGCGCGCTGAAATTTCGTCAAATTCGACAGCCTCTCGGTGACGTCGCTCTTCAGAATGTTCAGATAGTACATGATGAGCACTTCGAGGTTGCGGAATCTCGAGATGCACGTGATGTCGGAGACGCACGTGCTCGAAATGTCCAGGAATCTGAGTTGAGAGAGGCTGGCGACGATCTGAGGCAGCGGGACGTGTGGTAGAGCGCGGCGTCCAGCACTCCGGTCATTTGAATCTTGTATCTGAAAATTTCGTGTTGAATAGTGCTAGGACAAGATGTCTCGAGGTCCGAAAGAACTCACTTGTCGATGTGCTTCAGCGTTTTTCTCGGCACACGCGGATCTTCCTCTCTGTTTTCTTCATATTATGAAAGAAATTAGAGAAATTATGCGGAAAGCAACAAAGATTGTTACCGTCCAACTTGTACTCGAGCAATGCGTTCATTCCCAGCGTTTCAAGAGTTTGCAGCTCGAAATTGGCGAGCTGATGGCACACAATATCACTTCTGAGCTGAGCCTGCCGAATACTCTCCCGAAGCAGTTGACTGGCAGTCTTGCTAAAAATAACATAGTTCGAAGGTGCTACGTTCACAGAAAACTCACTAATCACCCAATTTTTTGCTGAGAATCGGAGCGAAAAGGATTGGTCACCGCCAGGCGAAATGAGCGGGAAACCTGCACCACATTTTCGTTGAGCTCCTGGTTGCCTGCGATGATTCTGAAATTTCAACGTCATCTCCAGATAACGATCCGTTTTTCTCCTCTTTTAACACACATTTAATCAGGTCGAGTTCCAACACAGCCATCTGTTTTGGGAGGTTCAGCATTAACTTAGCACTGAACTGTAACGCTTGAGCCTGAAACTCACTTGCAAAGGTGATTCGTCACATCTTCCTGGCCAGTTGTTGTGGATGTTGGCAAACGCCTGACGGGACTGCGCCAATCGTTCCGGGTCGGGGAACAATCCGTTCGGTTCGTGCAGAGCAGCGAGTTCCATAAAGACGGCCTTCTCCATCGTTGGCCAGTTGTTCTTCAGCGGCAGCCGACGAGCGTGTTGGAGCCAGATACGAGGGTCTGAAAAGAATCGAGACGATCGAGAGAGCAAATTAGAGTGCACTCTGCTGAAAGACTGCCAAATATGAACTAAAAAGTGCGGCAGCGAAAAATAACTTCTGCGAGCTAAGGCGAAAAGTGTCGGGCCTGATCTTACCGCTGGAAATGCTTCGCAATAGAAGAAGCAAATCGGCGAATAGAACGGAAAGCGAAAGGGAGTGGAAGGGCGAAAAAGAAATGCCTCCAATCGATATCGATCAGCGACGGGTCTGGAAAGTCCGACTGCCCAAAAAACCAGCAGAATGGGACGATCCGACCGTCCACTAGGTCGGTTGGCCTGGAAGAATGACGATATCTGCCCAGAACCCTTTTTATAACCCCCCAGCCCTCTCCCATGCGCGCGCTCGAGAACCAGCAGATCAAAACGGTGCTCGTCTCTCCAACGTGCTTTTTTATTGTATGTCTACGGGGCGATGATTTTTTGTTTATGTTCTCCTCATAATCAATTACTTTTCAGATTCAAAGGCCACAGTTATGTCCTGTCCGCAACAAATACGTCACTGTTCATCTACTGTCTGAAACCCGCAGGTGGAAATATGAAGCTGGAAGGCACTCAATGCATTGACTGTGCATGACAAAAAGATGAAGGACTTATTGGTCATAATTAAGTGAGTCTTACTTGAAGATAGGCGATTGAGCGTAATTATACTTTTCAGACAACACGACTCGGCAAATTATCCCTTCCTGGAGTTCTATCAAACACTTTAGCACAAAGCATCATCATGTCCTTATACACTTTCATGTTAATTTATACCAGTTTTCCATTTTTCATCGATATCACTCAAATACTGGCGCCTCTTGGGTTTGATACCATATGGCCGATTTGGCAATGTTACCATCGCTGAAGAGACAAAATAAGGGATTTTGCTACATTCTTGTCGTCGTTGATGTGTTTAGCAGATTTGTGTTGATTTTTTTTCGGAGTTTTCTGTGTGTTCTCTACCGCTTCGCCTTTTTCGTTCTCAACTGATTCGGTGTTCTCATCTGATTCTTCTTTTGTGGGTTGTTGATGGTACTGCTATGTTCTACGGACTATGTTTCATCAGTTTGTAACAATTTGGGTCTTTCGGAATACCTCCGTCGGATTCCTTCTCCAAAAAACCTGACAGTTGACATTGGATATAACTTATTCCCAATTCAGCCCTTAACTAGAACGTATTGTCGTTAAATCGGCAGTTGTGTGTGTGAACACGGTCACGTCCGTTGGTACTGTTTGAAGAAAAGGGGGGTCGTGAATCGATTCACTCCCTCTCTCCTCCTCTCCTTGGCTTCCACCAGGCAGCCCCTCTTTTCCCTTATTTTCTTTATTTTTTTTTGTTTTCCCTGGATTTCCACCCGGAAATCCCCCTATTCTTCTATTTTCTTTAATTTTTAATTTATTCCACTCAATATGGTGAGTTATGCCTATTTTCCATCGCAATCATCACTTTCATCCAATTCTCACAAAAAAACAACGGTGAATGCATCCTTAGAGATAAGAAAAATTCAATAATTCTGAAATTGATATGTTTGAAGACAGACAACATTTATGAGAATCAAATCCTATTCGGTTTCGTCAGATCTACCTTATTTTGGAGAAGTGAGAAGTGTCACGGTTGTTACTAAAACCGTCAGTTTATTTTGGTGATGGAACCGAGGTCAGAAAGACTCAGTCTTTTCCTGAATGTCTCAGTAGAACCCAAAAAAAATTTTGACGTCGTAAAAGGCTGAAATTTATTTTGGGATGTGTACATTTTTAGAGTACTCCCCTGTCAAACTTCTCAAGTCTAAAAAAATTTTACTCGTGCGTTATGATGGAAAATCATCATTTTTTAGTACTTTTTTTTTAAACAAAAAATTACGGTGTTTAGCAGGTCATTGGGACACTAACGATTGTGGAGGAGAATTGCTCAGCTGTATAGGACGTACCAAAATCGGAAGCAGTGCACTAAATTCTGAAGACGCGGAAAACGTTGAGATACAGATTCGCGTAAGTAGAGTTTTGATGTTTGTGTTTGCTTGCTTCTTTCATCCTCATATCAACGCATATAGCTGTTCTTCGAAATAGTTAGAATAAGCTGTGTTTTTCCAAGATAGAAACATTTCAAAATTTTCGAGACGAGTTGAAGCGTTGGGGGGTGAAAACAATACAAATCGTCCATCAAAACCTAGAATTTTTCAGTCAAGCTCAAATCGGAGCAGTCGGAGCAGGAACGCAAGTGCCTCATGGATCTCTTCAAGGCGAGAAGAACCATCGAGAAGAAGAAGGAGGACGGAGAGGGACCGGCAAAGGCATAGTTCCCTTTAGACTCGTGTTATCTGTTATTCTCGCCCACCCATTACTTTCTCCTGTGACCCTTTCCCAACTGTTTTTCATACTTGTTTTGTGTTCTGTCAAAGTGGGTTTCAGAGAATGAAGATAACAGTGAAATACGAAACGAGCAAGATTATTAGGACAGTAACTGGTTCCAGGACCGTCTCTAAGTACTTCTGTTGGTCTTGAAGGTTTCAGTATCAATTGTCTATTGAAAATTCGCATGCTCTTTTCCCTCAACACTATTTCCTCGGATCGTCCGCGTCTCTCCCACCAATCCCAATCGTACTTTCCCATCAGAGTCCTTTGTCGGTTTCCTTATCACTAATTTCCCCCGGTAATCAAGACCGTCAGAGAAAGGCAGAGAGAGAGAGAGAGGGTGAGCTGTCTTCTTGCATAGCAATAACGTCAGAGGAAGGAAGAGAGAGAGAGAGAGAGAGAGAGAGAGAGAGAGAGAGAGAGAGAGAGGGAGAGCTGACTTCTTGCATAGCAATATCGTCAGAGGAAGGAAGAAAGAGAGAGAGAGAGCTGACTTCTTGCATAGCAATAACGTCAGAGGAAGGAAGAAAGGGAGCTGACTTCTTGCATAGCAATAACGTCAGAGGAAGGAAGAAAGAGAGAGAGAGCTGACTTCTTGCATAGCAATAACGTCAAATCAGAGGAAGAAGAGAGAGGTGGTTGGGTGATGGGCTCCCCATGAGTAGTAATAAAAAAAACGAGACGGCAATAAATAAAATGACAATTTCTGCCTTTATATACATGTACCCCGGTGGGCGTGGCCATTCTAATTAGGGGGCGTGGCTCCTTTGTCGGGATTCTTATCACTAATCTCCGCCTTTAATTAAGATGGTGTAGGAATGTGAGCTTCAAGTGGATTTGCGGCAAGATTCAAAGAAGCCGACTTAATTACAGACGGAGATTAGTGATAAGGACGCCGACAAAGGACTCCGATGGGAAAAAACGATTGGGATTTCGAATCGTCATGGCACCGTGCCAAGATGATTCAGAAAAAGAGTGATAAGAAATTGAAGGATTTCCATTTTCCAATGCAAGCATTTAACACAAAGTCGATAGTCCAATCGGTCTGTAACCTGAACCCAATATACAGGGTGCGCCAAAAGTATGGTAACACATTCAAAGTGTTGTAATCTTTGCAAAAATAGTCGGACCAACATGAAAATTCAACTATAATTTATTGAAACCACTATAAACGAGAAAATATTAGAGTTGTTCGATGCGATTGCCTTTGTTCTTCCCAATATCCTCGAGTCTCTTCGGGAAAGCCTCTACTGTGGCACGGATGTATTCCGCAGATAGCTTGGTCTATTCTGCCTCCAAACTTTTCTTCAAAATGTCTTCACATTGAGATGCGGATGTGCCTGAACTTTCGACTGAAAAACTCCCCATACGGAGTAGTTCAAATCCGGTGACGACGCTGGTAAGTGGGAGCAGAGTCCTGTTGAAATGTCCAAACCTGGTTTCCGAAATGGAACCAGCGCCCGCCAGCTTGCGCGAAACTCGTGGGACGGCGACTGGCAGAGTTCTTCCGAAGGGCCCAATTAAGAGAAATCTAATGAGAGACAAGTAGAAGAGTATGTTACTATCATTGGATCCCATTCGGTAGGAATGGGATCCTCAGAAATCGCAAAGGCCTGACAGAATTTCATTTCATCGTGCCTAATGTCAGATTTTTAGGTCTCTCTGAATGTGTTGCTACTATTTTTTAGCATTTTTTCGAAAAAGCCTTCATCACCAACACAACCCGCGTTTTGTTGCTCAACCTGTAATTAATGTACATTTTCCTTCAGTTTTTTGTATTTGTAGCGTTTAACTCAGGGACGTCTATATTTCATTCCGTATTGGTCGTTTGATCATTTTATCTGGTGAGAAACTATTGAGAAAATAGTGAGGAATAGGGTAGATAGTTATAGTTTTCCAGTTCTTCATGATTGTTGGCTGGAATATTGATGGCCAGTACTGTACTCAATTATTTTATTTAATACGAATATTTCCTCGAACCGGCAAATTGTAGTTCTGGTTCCTCCTCGAAAAACTGAGCTTGTACCTTAGTAGATCTGTAAAAGCTGGGTAAAATAGAGGACAATTATGTTTCTTACTATTCGATCACTATTTCAAAGTTATCCGACATTGCCTTTTTTTTTAAACCTGAAAATTCTTATAAAGTGATCTCCGATTCATAATTTTCCAAGTCTGACCCTTTCTCTGTTTCTCTCTAACATAACATGTTCATCCGAATGAATGGAAAAAATAAGAAGGTCAGTTCTTCGCTGTCTCATTATAACCCACTCGAGTTTTACAAATTGCGGTCAAAACCACACACATATCTGGCCGTCCATGTTCTTCATATGTTTGCTTTGGTTCTCCGTACTTGCGCAGGGACAAGCCCAATTTTTTGAGCCGGAACCTGAACTACAATTTGCAGGTTCGAGGAAATGTTCTTATTAAATAAAATAATTGAGTACAGGTTACGCGGCTATCAATATTCCTGCCAACAATCATGAAGAACCGGAAAACTATAACTATCTACCTTATTCCTCACAATTTTCTCAACAGTTTCTCACCAGAAATCATCAGTCGGAGTTGCAACAACAGCAGCAACAACTGTTACAGCAACAACAACTAATTATGTCTCAACCCCAGCAGATTAATCACCTTTTTTCAAATGCTAACCCTATTCCAAAACGTGAGAAAGGGAATGTCTTCAGTGTAGTGGAAAAAGATAAAGAAACACAACAAGGTGACTTTTAAACTGAACAATTTCACTTCCAGCCGGAGAATTTTTCGAATACAGTACTTTCTAACATTTCAGAACTTCCCGAACTCACAAGGAGCAGTTTAACTCTTGAGCATGCAACTTATTTGAGTCTTATCAACGATAAAGAAAACTTTCAGGTATAGCTATCCGTGTTTTTTGTGTAATTAATATTTTATCAGTATTTTAGGTTTCCGGTTGTGGCTGGGATCTAATCCGAATGCAATGTCATGATCTTTTTGGACTTTGCAAGGGCGGCTGTCGAGATTTCGCAATCGCCTTGAACACTCCAATTCATGACTGCAGGTACTGTAGCATGTTCTTTTTGTGAATTATTTTCTTGTTCACAGATGCATTCCGTTTGGCTACATGGCACTTCTAAAATTGGCCGGAAAATGACTATTCGACAAACGTTTGGCGATTCCCACTGAAAAAAAAAACTAATTTTCAAACTTTGTCCCCATAATTTTCCTGTAAATGAATACACTTTTCAATCACGGTTTACAATTTTAGTTACTTCAAAAAAAAAGCAACAAGCAAGTTTGTTAATGGTAACGATTAAACGACAAATAGTGAAACGCTACAAATACAGAAAACTGAAGGAAAATGTACATTAATTACAGGTTGAGCAAAAAAACGCGGGTTGTGTTGGGGCTGAAGGCTTTTTCGAAAAAATGCGAAAAAAATAGTAGCTACGAGAAAGTCGATCCGCCGCCAATCTCCTTCAAATAACTCTTGACCTCTTCCTGATCCGGCACATCTGGCACTTCCCATGATGATTCGATCGGTTTGGCGCATTTCGTCTTGCAAATTGGACATGAGAAGTCTGTGCGGTATTCGTGTTCGGCGATGATACACCTTATACAGAACGAGTGAAGACAAGGGAGAAGGGTCTAAAATTTTGAAGACTAGACTATTGTTAGGTTTCAGAAAAAGTTCTAGCTTACGTCGTTGAGGTTCTCCATGCAAATAATGCAATTGCCCTCCACGTCGGATCTGAAAATACAAGATTAAATAATGATACTCAGGAAACAGATTACACGTGGGGGATTTGCGACAAGTACAAAATCGTTTTCCCGAATTGAATTAAAGTATATCAGGTCCAAGTTTCGGACCGTTCGGATTATTCACTCGAGAGATATTAGCCCTGCAAAACGTGGCAATCCCTCTCTCCTGGCCATGCGGCCGAGGTTTCACACCTCGGCCAATTGAAAAACAACACACAAAAATGATGGCATGGTCGAATTTTCATTGCAAGGTTGCCAATGTCTAGACACCGGCGCGACCCGGCCCCGAAAAGTCTGGGTTTTCCCTTTTCGCATCTTTCCTTTAGTTTTCCGTACCTGAGATCCCTAGTGCTTTTTTGTTTTGCACATTTGTCGAACAAAAACTCACGTCTGTGTCATTATGAACTGGGTCGTTGTCATCGGATCTGCAGTTGCATGCGATTCCATTTTTGTGAGCATTACTTTTTGAAGATCATACGCCGACGAAAATTCACGAAACGTCAACGTCTTTATGGTTCTCACAGATTTGCTCTTGACGTTTACCTGAAAACTTGTTGTGATAATTCAGCAAAATAATGATTTTGCGACGAACCTTGCAGCAAATAATCTCGATTTCCCTCTGCCAGCCCTCATACGGCCCTCGTTCCATCGCTTCACGTCGGAGCGCAAAAGTCAAGTATTCTCCGTTTTCCACGAGTAGGCTGCGGTAACTGGAACGCAAAAATTAGTCTAAATATACGAAAAATGACTCACCTTCTGTTAATTTCTCTTATGTTCTCGATAAAAGTGTCCCATGTGCAAGTATCGAATCGTGGATGATTTCGCGACTGATTACTACCCATCTGCAACAAATATATAATTGAAACCTTTGAATTGTAAATGAGAAATTAACAAAAAGATCGTAGGCTCAAAAAGTCAATGCACGTCACGTGAAACATTGTGTAAATAAACAAAGAGGTGAGTGGAATAACGGAGTTTCGTAATCGCTCAGACTGGGTGAGCACTTATTGAAAGATTTCTCGCTGACTATTGTTGGAAACGACAAGAAAAATCAGTTTTAAGCTCACATTCCGCAAATCCGCTTTAAGCTCACATTCCCACACCTTTTTTTGCTCAGAGAAAGCAACAAGTGCACAGTTTTTGTGATAAACACGTTTAAAATGATGAATAGTCAGTTTCGAGGCAAGTGCGCTCTAATGGACTCGCGTTCCGGGTAATTCAAATTCATAATTTCAAGGTCTGATCGAAAATGTTTATTTTTGATGGCTTTGAAAATTTTAAAAGACAGATACAATGGAAGATAAATGCCATGAGCGTTCTGGATCACTCGGTCAACTTCAGCTTCTCTTCGGTCTCTTTCTTCTGTTCCTTCCGGAGCACTTGAACTGTTTTGAACGACTTGGTCAACTTCCACTTGCTCTTCTTCTTCCTCCTCTTCCTCTCCAACTTGTTCTCGATCGTTTTTCTGACAGTCATTTCACTTTCCGCCCATTATTTTCCATTATTTAATAACCCTGAAACATGATAATATCTTAACAAAATAGTTGATCGGTTTGAAACTCACATTTTCAAGATCGCTGTCGATCTGAACCACTTTGTCCGGAGCGTCTCCAGCATCTACCTACGAGTCCACAATTTGACAATCCTGCAACATAATATTGATGAAATAACTTATCGAATGGAAACGCACGTCATCAGAATTGCCGGCGCTCAGCCAGTTTTCTTCCGAGCCCAAGCGCATTGAATATTAAGTTCTGTTGGACCCACCGGCCGCCTCAATTGTTCTTATCTCTAAGGATGCATTCATCGTTTTTTTTTGTTGTGAAAATTGGATGAAAGCGATGATAGCGGTAGAAAATATTCATAACTCACCGTATCGAGTGGAATAAATCAGTCAGAATTTAAAGAAAATAGTAGAAAAAGGGGATTTCCGGGTGGAAATCCAAGGAAAACAAAACAGTTAAAAAAAATAGAAGGGATGGGGGACGTTCGGACGGAAGCTGAAAAGAGGAGAGGAGAGTGAGTGGATCGAATCTCGTCCCCCCTTTCTCTAAGCAGTACCAACTGACGTGACCGTGTTTACACACACAACTACCGATTTAACGACAATACGTTCTTGGTAAGGATTGAATTGGGAATAAATTATATCGAATGTCACGAAGAAAGGATGAAATATCAAAAATGACTTGAATGAGTCAAGACTCGTGAACAGATCGAAGAAGTGGGTGAATCGAATGTGTAAGATGTGGTGTGTATTCGGTTTGTTGTAATCAAGAATTTTAAGCACGACTTGTTTATTGTTTGATAAGAAAAAAAAAAGGATAAATGAAAGGTATTTATTGTTTTAGAAGTTCCTCCTCTTCCTGCTGACAGGTGGTGGATTTTGCTTTGGAGGCAAGCTGGGCAGAGGTTGTTGGCCTTTGCCATTTCATACTTCTGCTTCGGTTGGAACGTGTTGCAGTTCCACGTCAGGTATATGGTATGACAGAAGCGACACTCCGCTAGTCTCTGATTTTGCTCCAATTGGAGCTGTCGTGCAGCGCTATCCGTGAGCCTTTTCGTCGTCCAGAGTATCGCCGCTTTCTTGGCTTCGGACGTGATGTCGTCGACTGGGGCAGATCTCTTGCTTGTTTCTGGATAAACATTGAATTGCATGTCGGCCGATTTTTCTTCGCAAATTTCTTCAACAAAATTCAGCACAAACTTGTTCATCAAGTCCCCCTTGTTGGCCATTCCGAAGTGATTTTCTTTTGCACTTTGCTCACGAGCGACAGTTGCTCAAGTTGGTCCATACTGAAAAACTGCAAAAACTTGATGAAAAAATGACGAAAAAACGAGATTGGAACAACGGACTGATAGTGGAATGTCACGTTAAAGATTTTTCAATTAGGCGAATTTCTGAACGGAAAACTATTAATCCCCAAGTGCCGTTTCGGGCCCGCCCAATCGGGCTTATGAGCAAATTTCAAACCGATCGGAATATGTTGAGTGTTTGCATCCGAAATAGGAAATCCTTCAATTCCTTATCACTCTTTTTTCGAATCCTCTTGGCACGGTGCCATGACGTTTCGTAATCCCAATCGTTCTTTCCCATCGGAGTCTTTTGTCGGAATCCTCCTCACTAATCTCCGTCTGAAATGAAGTCGGCTTCTTTGAAACTTGCCGCAATCCGCTTCAAGCTCACATTTCCACACCTGCAGTCTTAATTAGCTGCGGAGATTAGTGACAAAGGACTGTGATGGGAAAGTATGTCATGGCACCGTGCCAAGAGGATTCGAAAAAGAGTGTTGAAGGATTCTTGACACAAAGACACAAAAAAGCAAAGGAAAAACAGCTATTTTGTTAAAATTTCCAACAGGGAATCAATTTCCATGACACAACTTCTCACTGCTACAGTAATCGTTCGACCCGCGCTTTTCAGAAATTTTAATTTTAACCGATTTTGAAAGGGATTTCCAGTCCCCGATTTATCATTTTTCTTCAGGTCTCGCAGGTTTGCCTGTGACATTCAATATCACTTATTCCCAATTCAACCCTAAACTAGAACGTATTGTTGTCAAATCGGTGGTTGTGTGTGTAAACACGGTCACGTCCGTTGGTACTGCTTCGAAAAAGGGGGTGGCAAATCGATTCACTCCCTCTCCTTTCCTTTCCTCGGCTCTCGCCCTTCAGCCCTCCGTTTACCTTATTTTTGTTAATTTCTCGCATTTTCTTCTCTCTCTCTCGATTAGTTGTGAATTAGTTATGAATCGAATTGAATTGTTTTGACGTAAAAAATGTCCAATCACAACAATTTTGAATTAGGAAAAAAAAAGAATTAGGAAAATATACATTTTTCAATCCTTTGAATTATTCTGAAAAAATGTAAACAAATACAGAAGAGCCGATGAACCAAGAGGAAAAAGACGAAGAGCTCAAGGAGCTGAAACCCGCCGAAAATATGGGTTTGTCCTTGAAGATTTGTTCTCGTCTTATGACTGTCTTTTCAGCGGAGGCGCCTATGCCCGCTGAACAATTCCTAAAAGAATGCAAAAACGAAATGGGAATCTGTAAGTAGTCACTTCAATACGCCTTCACAGAATTGGAACCAATTTCAGCAGAAAATATGAATCCCCAATCTGAGGAAAGTCTCGAGGAGATTCTAAGACAGATCGCTTGGCTGCGTCAACTCAACGCGCCGGAAAGAGAAATGGAGGCAAGGTTGGAAAAAGAAAGAAAGGAAGTTGCGGAGCTGGAGAAACTGAAAATGGAGCGCGACGCAGAGATGGCGATGGAAAAGGAAAAACTTCTCGCCGAGCTCGCCGCTATTCAACGTGAGTAGTGGAAGCTTCTTTTCTTCACTCAACTGGAACACTTTCAGAATATTCAAACTACCTGGAAAGTTTGTTGCCGCATCCGGTGCCTCAACAACCAACCACGAGTTCCGAACCGTCGCCGTCCGGAGAGGATCAGGATGCGGGACAACAATAAAACGCCGTTTAATTGATTTTGATCTGAGCAAACAATAAACATGTTAACATGAAACATTTTATACATACAAGATTTTGACGTTTTTTATCACTAGATAAAAACACAAAACTTTATTTTCCCTGTTTTTTTGCGGTGCAACGACTTTATAATGGATGTGACTGGCACTAAAAAGATTCTCTAACCCATCTTTTATTTGAATTTGCACTCGTACCCCTTCCTGTTTCTGTGTTTTATTGAAGGATTCTCTCTCTCCTGGCTATGTTGTTATGCAGCCAGTCAAACTCGTAACCTTTTCTCTCTCTCTCTCCCGGCTGTGCTGTCTGTGCTGAATGTCATAGAAGGCAGTTATTTTCTCACGAAAAGGGTACGCGAGGTATAATTTTCAGTGGCATTTCTCTGGCTAACTTTTGCATGATTCACATGATCTGTGATGTGACCGGTCAAATATTGTGGTAAAAGTGAATCGAAACACACTGGTCATACAGAATTCAAAAAAAGTTTATAGAAAAAAGCAGTGCGTGGGCAAGACCAATTTTCAAGTTGAGCTCTTCTCGTCTTCTTTTTTTTTCACGATGGGTGCCGAAGGAAGTGAAGAACTGGCGATTTTACAGTTGGTTGTTCTGAAATTTCATTAGCTCTAGAGAATAAATGGGAGTCGGTTCTTACAGAATGCTCAAGTCCATAAGACTGGAACTACTCAGGTGCAACTTGTTTGACATGGCGGCCACATAATAGTTCTCTGGCGGTGTTGTACTGAAATTTGCGCGTTTTTGATAGTGGGTTCACTCTCATGTCACCTGTCTTTGAACTGAATACTCCGCAAAAGAAGAGGAAGATTCACATCGATCCGAAATCCTCTATTATTAGCGTCGACATTTATGAAACTGAAAAACTTAGGCAACTTTTAAAGAATTTTCTGAAGCCGTACTTACGCCACAGTTTTGGCCACTATTTCCATTGCAATTCGAGTTGAAAACAATTCCGCTTTGTCAGATGGGATACTGTAAAACTAACCCCTTGTTAGACTTCAAGGAAAGATAGCCTACACAGGATGCTCCGGCGTAACACTCACCGGCGCTGCGAGTGTGGTCCAAAACTCTTCCGTCTCCAAAAATTTAGATAAATGTGGATTAAACAAAAAGGAAAGTTGAGTTCTATCATTCAAAAGTTGTTGAACGCGATGATCAGTGGCGATATTAAAAAGTGTCGAACTTTCTAGGATTGCCAGTACTTCATTTCTGTGTTCTTGATCGGTAACGGACAACATTGCGAGCAAATCTTTCAGGGAGAAGTCGCTTGGAGTCCTGGCTAGTCTGAAATTCGATTTTTGATCAATGTTTTATTGCAGAACCTAAGATTTGTTCAATGTTTATACAATATACTCTGTTTTATGAAGACCTCTTCGTTTTGCAACGTGATGTTCCACTACCGTTACGTATGGGGGACGAAGAGGTCTCGTTTTTTGAAAACCTGCAGCATTTCGCTCATCTCTTCCAATCTTATGCCAGATCTTATAGCCGAAAACAATGTCATGACGCCAGGCTAAACACAGAAAAAGAAACAAAACCAGATGAGAATACATATTTTCCTGGCAAAGTAGAACAAATGTAGTGCAACTCACAAATCGTTAGGCAAAAACGAGAGTTGAAGATCGGTCCTCTGCTCCATGGGCAGTAACAAGTTTATCGTCATCAACTTGAGCAAAAAATTGGGATTCGAAATGTTCTCCAACACTTTTGCGTTGCTCAAATTATCCATGAAATGCTTGCTCGCCACCAATTTCAACAGTTTTCGATCGCTAACAATGCTAGCCATTGTTGGAATCAAGCTCTCGTAAACTGAATGGGAGGATAAGTGCGAACATTCTGAATCCTGACGTCCATATTTTATGGATCTCACAAAATTGTAGACGGTTGTGTAATTGTCCATTTTAGAGGAAGCAGTGAACACTTTCTGATTGCTGTAGGCCTAAAATGAAAGAACATATGCATAAATGGAAAGAAAGAAGAAAGCTATGTATTATTTGGCGGCTCATTTCACTTTCCGAATGAAAATGTGAGAAGGATGACATTTTTGGAGGACTACGTTGAATAATATACCAATTTTGAAACCAACGTCAGTTTTGGCGATACAACAATACTTTATGATTAAAATAGAAGGTTGCTCCATTTCTAATTCATGCGCACACCCAATTTTTTCTCAAAAGCGGAAGACTAAGCACAACCTCTATTTATGAATTTGAGCCTAATACTACTTCCCGACTCATATTACGAAGGAGGAGGGTGAGAGGAAAGGACAGGTGAGCGATATATGTAATCTTTAAAGTTTATCAATGAGGAAATGAGTTGATGAAAGATGGAAACGTAAAGTGGATATCGGGAGCCGTATAATAGGACATGAAGAAGAATGAACACGTTATTTAGATCCATGCTGGAATTACTGACGCCTCCCCTTCGAACCATTTGACATTCCAATTACTCATGCCCATCCGTCTTGTTCTGCTCAGTTTAGTAGTCTTCTCTTCTTGATTGAATGATCCACCACATCTTCTTCATCTTTTCCCCCGAAAGGTTCTTCTCTTTTTCCTGAAAAAAGAAGAATGATGGATTGGTGTGCAATCTTTTATTGTCTTACTCTTCTCCTTCCTTTCCACGACTTTTATGTGCACTATCGGAAGAAACGGAGAAGAAGAAGAGGAGGAAGGGCCTTTGATGATGAAATGGATGCTTCGTGTAGGCAATCGAGCCTTTTTATTTTTATTCTCCTCCCAATAAAAAGCCTAGTACATATTCTGGTTCTGACGTTATTCACAAATTGGAACAACTCTAACGACGTACATACTCGAGGATGTAAACCTGTTGATCATTGTAAACATCATCGACTCTGTACGTTGCTAGATATTTATTCCAATAGATTTATTTAATTTAATGTAAGGTACGTTTCGAAAAATAATTGAAAAAATGATCTTATTTCAATTGAAAACTACTCACTTCTATTTCAGTATGCTGTCGGGTGGCAGCACCGAGGTTCTTCGTCAAACAAACCATCCACTCCCCAAATCCGAGTCTATGAACGCGTTAAATACAAGAGGATTCAGCACTTTCGATTAGATCACAACCGTCAAACGTGCTTTCGAAGCGGTCCGCCAACACTGAGTGCCAGTCATCCTCATCTTCATCGACTACGACAAAGCTGTTTTTTCCATCGAACACAACACAATCTGTGAAGCTCTAATAAGCAAAGGTGTGGAAACAGAACAGCAAGGAATCGAACATTATGGAAAGAGATATTCAAACTGCACAAAAATGCCAACAGCTGACTCGTCGACCGCAATTCTTCAAGGTATTCAAGGTAAGGTAAGATCATAATTTGTTAATTTTCATTAAATTAAAAAAAAAATGTTCTCATCAATTTCTTGCTTCACGATCGCTCTTTTTTCAATGAGAACTCCGTGTTCAGCTTCATAATCGCAGATTGATCTTTTTCGGTTGAAAAACTTCTTTTTTCCTTGTCTCTGAAATATCGAGTCGGTTAGAAATAGTTTGTAACGAAAACATTTTAAATTTTCGAATGTTCAAGAGATTATAGGGTCTACTTTTCTTGTAATTATTCCCTAGTCAGGAAAACACTCCTATGGATTTTGACTACTGTAAATAATCGATAATGTGTGAACGCGAGAACCCAGGGAAAATATTACATGTCCTAGGATTTTCCCATGCCATTCGGACATGTGAGAGGAAACTCGGAGAAGGACTTACTTTTGATTTTAACTTGAAGCCTCGTGGGAAGTTCCTGATCGATTGGCTCAGCTGCCGTGCAAAACTTTTGCTTGTGATCTTACCTGAAATCAAAATTTTACAAACGAAAAATGTTAGAATGACATACGTTTGATGAGTGGCATGATGAATGCCGCTTGCTCTTGAACCTCTTTATCAATTCGAAGGAAAAGGAACGACATAGGCCTGAATAGGTTCAAAGGTCGTAGAACACAAATGAAAAAACATTGGGACACTAACGATTGTGGAGGAGAATTGCTCAGTTGTATAGGACGTACCAAAATCGGAAGCAATGCACTAAGTTCTGAAAAAGCGGAAAACGTTGAGATACAGATTCGCGTAAGCAGAGTTTTGATGTTTGTGTTTGTTTGCTTCTTTCATCCTCATATCAACTCTTATAGCTGTTCATCGAATTAGTTAGAATAAGATGTGTTTTTCCGAGAAAGAAACATTTCAAAACTTTCAGGACGAGTTGAAGCGTTGGGGAGTGAACATCGTCGGTGCGATTAAGAAATTTACTGGGCGTGGCCTCGTGACTTTCCCACGGTCCCGTGGCCGAACTTTCCCACGGCCTAGGTTCCCGCGGCCGTGGCCGAACTTTCACTACCGTACCCTTTTTTTCAGACCCCCCGGAGGGGAGCCGAACCCGCGGGCTTCTGCTCGCTGGACGACCCTCCTACCGGGTGCGCTATTTATGTAACCTAGACCGAGGGGGCGCGGGTCGTACTTATACGAGCGCTGCTCTCCCTCCCCGAACCTAGTGTAATTTTTGTCAACCCCGGTTGGGAGTCGAACCAGCGAGCGGGCGCCCTCGGGAGGGGAGCACTGTTCGCTCTCGCCACCTCCGCGCCAGCGCCGCGCAACATTTCTCTAAACCTCTCATTCTTTTCGTATTACTATTGTTTTTATACTGACTTTTTCAGCCCTATCCTATATCCATTTTCAGCTTCTATCTATATCCATTTTCAGTTCCAAAAACATTTTCAGCCCCAAAACCATTTCCAACCCCTTCCCTGCCCCTAAATACAGTTTCAGTCGAAACATTGCGTTTCCAAGTGTTTTTTAAAGTTTTTTTCTACTAACTTTTTCAGCCCTATCCTATATCCATTTTTAGCCTCTATCTATATCCATTTTCAGACCCAAATTTCCACATTAAACACAGTTTTTCTCTACAACTATTTTATTCACAATTTTATCAATTACTATTTAGCATTCTTCGGTGCATCTGGCGCCGCATTCCTTCTAAGGCTCTTGTGGTCGTCTCGCAATTCCGCCACTTCACTTGTTCGACATCCACTATCCTGCTCAACTTCATGGATCTCGCTCGACTGATCGCTGTGTAAAAAATGGCCGGGATTGCGAATGGAGCTCGACCGGCAGGTCCATTCAGCATCATCTTCCTTCTCACGACCACGACTCCATCGAATGTCATTCCTTGGCTCTTGTGGACCGTGATTGCTTCTGCGAGGACCACAGGAAACTGGTACCAGGTAGCTCCTCGAGAGTCCCGGTATGGCTCGTAAGCCAAAGGTACAACCTTTTTGGTGTCCATCCTGTAAATGTTTAATGTTTTTAAAATTGATTGAAATGCACTTACAGCTCTATGAATAAGTATCCATGGGACACTCGCTGGAATGTGCCCATCACTCCATTGGCCAACTTCTCCGGTCCTTTGAGGTTCTCGGAGATCATTATTTTTGATCCCTTCACCAATCTCAGCGTCCTCCGGATCCCGCGTCGCGCAAAGATAGTCTTGCAACTTGCAGGACATTCGGTGAGTGGCTCTATCGTCGAAAAATTCAATCACGAGTCCCTTTGGGAACTTTTCACAGGGTTCCACAAATCCGTCCACCGAGTATTTTCCAATCTGAATGTTTTTAAATTTGTCAAATTCACGTCAAATCATTCAAACCTTTCGTTCTCCGGTTGTTGAAGAAATTTCAATGGGCACCTTCTCAACGTCTCCAAACCAGGCCAAGTATTTCTGGCTAATGATTGAGGCCTTTACTGATACCGAGGGTCGCGCATCAAGAACAATAGGTTTTTTGTGTTCCAGATGATTTCGCTGGAACACTTTGACTGCTGCTGATGCGGCCGTTGTCGATTCCTGAAAAACTTGTCAATTTTGAACATTTCAATCTCGTCTAACCTCAAAAATGCAGACGTTTGTGACGGCTTCAAATTCTTTTTCAAACACTGCCAGTGCACTCGCCAAAATGAGAACATCTCCATAGCAATACTTGAAAATTTCTTCAACAAAATTGAAGACTTTTCCTTCAGCTCGTTCTTGGTTCAAGAACTGTATGACCTTCTCTTTAACTTGGGGAGATTTGTTCTCGTGGTTGTAGAAATCATTGTCCGGCATTGGTCCGACATAGTCAAAATTTTCGGGCTTGATGAAGTGGATCGGAAAATCTCCGAAATGTTTCTATAATTCAGAAAAAAAGTCATAATTATTTGCTGAGACACTTTTCAAATGTCTATTGTGAATTTAGACTCTTCTAATAATAAAGGAACTCATTGGGTCTGCTATTTAAAAATAATGGAAAGTATATACGTCCAGGCTAGGGTTTTTTTTTACTTACTTTGCAGTCGAGAAAGCTGGGTGAGAAGTTGCTGCTTCTCGATTTCCATCGCTCCGAATTGGTCGATTTTTTTTACGATTTTTGAATTTTGTTTTCCTGAAATATTATTGGGAATGATTTGACTAAGTATTTATTACTTATTATTTTCCTTCTGAAAGGAAGGTAGATTTGACGAAACCGAGTAGAATTTGACTCTCATAAATGTTGCCTATCTTCAAACATATCAATTTCAGAATTATTAAATTTTTCTTATCTCTAAGGATGCATTCACCGTTGTTTTTTTGTGAGAATTGGATGAAAGTGATGATTGTGATGGAAAATAGGCATAACTCACCATATTGAGTGGAATAAATCAGAAATTAAAGAAAATAGAAGAATAGGGGGGTTTGCGGGTGGAAATCCAGGGAACACAAAAAAAAATAAAGAAAATAAGGGAAAAGAGGGGCTGCCTGGTGGAAGCCAAGGAGAGGAGGAGAGAGGGAGTGATTCGATTCACGACCCCCCCCCTTTTCTTCAAACAGTACCAACGGACGTGACCGTGTTCACACACACAACTGCCGATTTAACGACAATACGTTCTAGTTAAGGGCTGAATTGGGTATAAGTTATATCCAATGTCAACTGTCAGGTTTGTGGAGAAGGAATCCGACGGAGGTATTCCGAGGGACCCAAATTGTTACAAACTAATGAAACATAGTCCGTAGAACATAGCAGTACCATCAACAACCATTCGAAAGCTGTGGGCGCCTCGGAAATTCCAAAAGCTTATATATACTTATTTTTCATCGCATGGTTTTCTCATTCCCAGGACCTTTGTACTATAGTTATTTTGCTTTTACGTAAAAGTAAATCTTTAGTCCAGATCCGAATGATTATCACTGAATTGAACAGAACATTTGACCAATCTACCGTATCACTCGTTTTCTGATCACCTGCGAAGCAAACGTGCATTTCTGTCCATTCTCCGGAAAATACATAAAAATGGGAGAGCGGGGTTCCGTTTTTCTTCCATTTTTTATCGCTGATCGGAATAATAAAAAGATCAGCAGTAAAAATTCGGACATAAAAGCGCTCCGCTCGGCCAGGAAATTCATTCGCATCCAGCCAGTCTTCCGGATTCGACTCTCTTCTCTCCAGGACAAATCCGAAACATCATGATGTAAGTTATTGCCAAGCGCTCAGCATTAGAGAAAATGCAAAAAGTTCCATTACAAAAAAACCATTCAGCCCTAATATTCAAATTCTGAAAAGTGGCTCTTGCAGGTTCTCTGCTCTCAATATCTCGTCTGCCGGGACTTCTTCTCCGATGCCAACCTCAGCGCAATCCGAACCAAAACAGCCAGACACACCCAGACCTAAGTAAGGTTGGGTGTGTCTGGGGAGACGATCGGTAGAATCGCTCAATTTTCTCCCCATGCAATAAATCATTCAAAAATCAAGCCTGTTTTAGTGTTTATTTGAAGAAACGCTTCTAAAAGTTCGCAGTCATATGAATCGGGTCTATTTTCCTTTTTTATGTATGTCGTGACGTCCAAATTTCCAACACAGTTTTTCTCTACAACTATTTTATTCACAATTTTATCAATTACTATTTAGCATTCTTCGGTGCATCTGGCGCCGCATTTCTTCTAAGGCTCTTGTGGACGTCTCGCAGAGATGTTAGGGGGGAGGGGTCGACGAAAACGGTGAGAGACGCAGAGAAACGAGACGGTCAGAGAAATAGTGCGCGCAGACAACGAGAGCAGCGAGAGAGTGTACGCAGACAGACAGCGCGCCGCCGCCGCCGCCACCACGGGCTCGACGACCCCCTCCGGTAAACAAACATGAACTTGTGTCTGCGAGATCAAAGGTAATTAAATTTAATGAGCTCATCATTATCAATTTTCGCAAAACTTGATGAATCATCATCAAAAAAGATTTGCCGACCAAATCGAACACGCTGATTCTAATGGTGCTAATCTCTTATCCCAAATCCGAAATTTTTTAAATTTCAAAAAATGGCAAAAATCGAACCAGTGCCTCAAAAACGAAAAAGTCCGAACATAACCAAAACACTATGGTAGTGGACAAAAGAGCATACCGCGATTCCGTGTTACATGATGACCTCTTCCTGTTACTCTCCCCCTTCGCCCCCCCTGTACGTCTCCCCCTTTTTTTCTCATGACATCACGCGCAATGGTCGAGAGGAACCCTCTTGTCAGCTGAGTCATCCTACTCCCTCTCCCCTCTCGTGTACATGCCATGGTCGAGAAAACATCTAGCCCCTCGTCTATATCCAAATCCGATATCGATCTTTCATTGTGTTTTGTTTTTGTCGTTCATGTTTTATTGTAAAATAATCTTATAAAATAAAATAAAAACCACAGTCGCTACTTGAAGTGGATGAACGATGGACTCTTTGTCAGCAGATCTTGTGCTGGATATGGTCTGTCGAAGTTGAAGGGCTGTCGACAGACCGGGCATGTGCTGTATCGGTCCAGACCGATTCGTTCCGACTTCAGATGTTCCCTACATCTATAACAAACGGTGTGGCCGCACGCTGAAAATTAAAGGTAAGCGAATGCAATTTTTATGTGAAAACGTACGCAAGGTCTGAGGGAACAGGCTCACATCCTCGTAGAGTTCGAGGCAGACCGGGCAGGTGTATCAGTGGAGCAGATCTGCCGCCGACTCCATCATTTTCGCCATGCGAGTGTCAAATTCCTGAGGAACAAAAATGAATTAAAGAAAATCTATGCAATTTTACCGTTTTGAGCTGCACACATGATGCGCATCCGTCACATGCAAAACTTTTCTTCCCTTCCGTCCTTGTGATCGCCGTGAGTGTTTCTTCTCTCCGTCTTCATTTTTTCCATCTCTTTTCTCCTTTGATGGAGAATTTCTTCGGCCTGGTGGCACTCCGCCTCCCGAGCGACCAACTCCTCCATCGAGGTTTTTTTTTATATCCCTCGAACTTTGTCTTTGTCGCGAGGAGACGGCGCAGCTCCTCTTCCTCCCGACGGACTCTTGTTTCGGCCTCGAAGGCGATTGATGGAAGGGTCGTCGACTCCTAAAAAAGAAATTTTTTCAAAAAAGAATAAACACTGTGAGCCATACCTTCGCGAGTTTCGACAGTTCCGATCGGCATGAATCCCGTTCCTTCTCGATCTCGTTCACTGTTGCCGACAGTGTGTTGATCTCTCCGCGAAGTTCATCTTTACGCTGGCTGAGCATGGCAAGCTCCTCATTGTACCGTCTCAAACGTTCCTGAGTTTCGTTGGAGACGCCCGACATCTTCTTCATTTCCCTATTGAATTATAATTGTAATAGATAGACAGATAATATTAAAAATGTGGACGAATGCCACAAAAAGTATAGAAAACTAATAAGAGTCATCAACAAAATTTTTATCATTCAGATGTTTAAGAAACTGGTTTCGTCACTAGATCATGCCTAGCAATTCTGACATATCAACTTGTTTTAATCGCTACGTTTACAAAGCTGTACCTGACGAATACATAACAGAATTACAGTTTTTAGCGTGAAAAACGTCTATAAACAGGAATTCCTTTGTTTCTGTAAGTTTTCCAAAAGCAGAACAGAAACTTTTTTTTGAGGCCGGATCAAACTTTTGAAAAAAACTCCTTTGATGTCAATCGGCAAATGTGCGAGAGTATGGTATATCGACGTAAAATTGTCCGTAGATTATAAATTTGAAATAAAATCGTGGCTATGAAGTGCAAAAAATTTTCACCACAGAGGAAAACTGCACAACAACTCAACTTTTTCACGAAAAATCCGAAATTTCTCCATGAAGGAAAGGTGATAAATTTTTGGTGCTAACATGAAAAATGCTTAAAAAGATGCGAGAAATCGAATGACCTTAAGCCTGAGACGCTAGCATTTTTTTAAAATTAGTTACAGGTTTGACCTATTTTCTGACCGTGATCGGACTAGGGACCACGGAGCCGGACCAAAACTTCTCAGACATAGCCTCTTAAATTTTTCTTATCTCTAAGGATGCATTCATCGTCGTTTTTTTGTGAGAATTGGATGAAAGTGATGATTGTGATGGAAAATAGGCATAACTCACCATATTGAGTGGAATGAATCAGAAATTAAAGAAAATAGAAGAATAGGGGGATTTCCGGGTGGAAATCCAGGGAAAACAAAAAAAAAGAAAGAAAATAAGGGAAAAGAGGGGCTGCCTGGTGGAAGCCGAAGAGAGGAGGAGAGAGGGAGTGATTCGATTCACGACCCCCCTTTTCTTCAAACAGTACCAACGGACGTGACCGTGTTCACACACACAACTGCCGATTTAACGACAATACGCTCTAGTTAAGGGCTGAATTGGGTATAAGTTATATCCAATGTCAACTGTCAGGTTTGTGGAGAAGGAATCCGACGGAGGTATTCCGAGGGACCCAAATTGTTACAAACTGATGAAACATAGTCCGTAGAACATAGCAGTACCATCAACAACCATTCGAAAACTGTGGGCGCCTCGGAAATTCCAAAAGCTTATATATACTTATTTTTCATCGCATGGTTTTCTCATTCCCAGGACCTTTGTACTATAGTTATTTTGCTTTTACGTAAAAGTAAATCTTTAGTCCAGACCCGAATGATTATCACTGAATTGAACAGAACATTTGACCAATCTACAGTATCACTCGTTTTCTGATCACCTGCGAAGCAAACGTGCATTTCTGTCCGTTCTCCAGAAAATACATAAAAATGGGAGAGGGGTGTTCCGTTTTTCTTCCATTTTTTATCGCTGATCGGAATAATAAAAAGATCAGCACCAAAAATTCGGACATAAAAGCGCTCCGCTCGGCCAGGAAATTCATTCGCATCCAGCCAGTCTTCCGGATTCGACTCTCTTCTCTCCAGGACAAAACGATCCGAAACGACATCATGTAAGTTATTTTCAAGCGTTCAGCATTAGAGAAAATGCAACAAGTTCCATCACGAGAAAACCATTCAGCCGTAACATTGAAATTCTGAAATGTTGCTGTTTCAGGTTCGCTCCTCGCCTCATCTCGTCTGCCGGGACTTCTTCTCCGATGCCAACCTCAGCTCAATCCGAGCCAAAACAGCCAGACACACCCAGACCTAAGTAAGGTTGGGTGTGTCTGGGGAGACAATTGGTAGAATCGCTTAATTCTTTCCCCTTCAATAAATCATTTAAAAATCAAGCCTGTTTTAGTGTTTATTTGAAGAAACGCTTCTAAAAGTTCGCAGTCATATGAATCGAGTCTATTTTCCTTTTTTATGTATGTCGTGACGTCAGAGTTGTTCAAAATGTTATTGTTGTTCGTCAAGTTCACAGAAATCGGCGATTGGTCATCCCTGGTTTTATTGGATTTCCGATTCTTGGACATGTGTTGAAGCATTTAGCCCACTCCCAAGAGTATTCATTGTCTTGGCCCAACTGCACTCATCGGTTTCACGTCTCTGTTCACGCCGACGCTTGCCAGCTTGTTCGTTTCCGCAAGAGTCTGCATTGTCTTCTTCAACTTCGCAATTTCCACTTCATTTTTATTGAGGTAGGTGTGATGAACCGATGCTGTTTGTATAGTTCGCCATATCCTTTTCGATTCTCGGAAGCAGTATCTGAAACGCGGTCAGGGATGAGATAGCGGAAAACGTTAACATGAGCTTGTAAGGCACAGTTTTTTTTTGAAAACACTAGATAGCACTGGTTCCTCTGGCTGAGTAATCGGTTACCTGAGGATTAAAGAAAAGGAAAACCGGATGGAAGATGACTATGACTTTTTGAAATTTGCGTTGTAAATTTTTGTTATCTTGGCATCATTCTCAATCAACATTGTCAAGCGTCGAATAACTGTAAAAGCGACGAGGAAAAAGACTGAAGCTAGGCGACATCATTAAAGTAATGAGGATAGCCCTCTTAATCGAACAATAACATTTTCAATTCCTCCTATTCAACTTACTTTCATTTATTCTTGACCGCATTGCATCCTTCCGTCAAACTTCTTGTCCGACTTCAAACATCAATCGTTGCTTTATTGAACTGAAATATTGCAGAAATTAAAAATTGACTGAACTGGTGTTTGTTTTTAACACACCTGTGGTTGAAAAGAACCTTCAGAAGTCGTTTTCGATCCTCGGTCTGGTGAACTCATCTTCATTGTTGCCCCTTCTTCGGGTTCTGTATCCTTCTTGTTAGAGAGAGAGAGAGAGAGAAATGATATCTGAATAGTGCTAATATGACTGAAATAATAAGCTGAATTGTTACCCTTTGCTGCTTGCTTTTTCCGAAACATTCTTTTCTCCACAGTTTCTTCCGATTTTTCATCTTTCCGCATTTGTTCCACAGGTCCTCCTCTTGTCTTTCTCGACGACACTTCAACATCGGAACATTGTTGGGACGATGAACTTGCCGCCTCTATCGTTCTTTCCCATCGGAGTCCTTATCACTAATCTTCGTCTGTACTTAAGTCGGCTTCTTTGAAACTTGCCGCTAATCCGCTTCAAGCTCAAATTTCCACACCTGCGGTTTTAATTACCGGCGGAGATTAGTGATAAGAATGCCGAGAAAGGACTGTGAAAGACATGCCGATGATGCCGATGATGATCTCGTTCTGTTCGTACTCTCTCCAATAGAGCATCTGAGCGAGCTAACTAGTTAGAGAGAAAGCAAACGAGGACTTAGTGGAACTAGTTGAAAAGGAGTTAAACTCAAAGGAGTACGATGACTGGGAGGACGTCTACGATGAAAATAATGAAGAGAATAGTGACTTTGACAACATAATCATTGAAATCGAAAAATGGTTGAAGGATTGGCTTACCTGCAAAACCGATATATGAGCATCTGCCCCGAGCCTAATTGCTCTTCCCCTTGCCGTGATCACAACAGTCCGGATTAAGAGGAGAAGCGGCAATTAGCGAAGAGGAAAAATATGAATTTAGGGGAACGTAAGTCGAAAAGGAAGGAAGGCAAACGATTGGTTTGGTGGAAGAGACGCGGACGATCCGAGGAAATAGTGTTGAGGGAAAAGAGCATGCGAATCTTCAATAGACAATTGATACTGAAACCTTCAAGACCAACAGAAGTACTTAGAGACGGTCCTGGAACCAGTTAGTGTCCTAATAATCTTGCTCGTTTCGTATTTCACTATTATCTTCATTCTCTGAAATCCACTTTGACAGAACACAAAACAAGTATGAAAAACAGTTGGGAAAGGGTCACAGGAGAAAGTAATGGGTGGGCGAGAATAACAGATAACACGAGTCGAAAGGGAACTATGCCTTTGCCGGTCCCTCTCCGTCCTCCTTCTTCTTCTCGATGGCTCTTCTTGCCTTGAAGAGATCCATTAGGCACTTGCGTTCCTGCTCCGACTGCTCCGAATTGAGCTTGACTGAAAAATTCTAGGTTTTGATGGACGATTTGTATTGTTTTCAGGTAGACAATGTCCTTCCTGTGTCAATTTTAAAAGACCAGGGAACCCTCAAATTTTTTGATTTTTTTGTGTCTGTTTGAATTGTCTCTTATTGCCTCATACACTGGTGAAATGCTGACTCTCCCAGAAATGCCAATGATTGAAACGGCGTGCAGTTGAAGTTGTGGCCGTGGCCTAGGAAACTCCGGTGTGAAAACACTTCCCTGTGAGCAGTTTGATGCTCTTGCACTCTGTATGGATACTGATTTGTGTGAATGTTTTGCAACGTATGAAGATTGTGCCGAACGCAAAAAAAAATCCGGAAAAGATCACAAGGCCTAGAACTTTTCTGGGCCACGGCCACAACTTTGACCAAAGTGCTGTTCCATTCACAGGTATTTCTGAAAGTTGGGGCTCGGACAGTGAATGTGGCAATAAGAAGCAATTCAGTCAGACACATAAACTCGGAGGGTTCCGTGTTTTTGACCAAATAAAATAAAATGAAAAAAAGGCACTCCATTGATTCAGAAAAAAAGGTCATAATTATTTGCTGAGACACTTTTCAAATGTCTATTGTGAATTTAGACTCTTCTAATAATAAAGGAACTCATTGGGTCTGCTATTTAAAAATAATGGAAAGTATATACGTCCAGGCTAAGGTTTTTTTTTCTACTTACGTTGCAGTCGAGAATGCTGGGAGAGAAGTTGCTGCTTCTCGATTTCCATCGCTCCGAATTGGTCGATTTTTTTTTACGATTTTTGAATTTTGTTTTCCTGAAATATTATTTGGAATGATTTGACTAAGTATTTATTATTTATTATTTTCCTTCTGAAAGGAAGGTAGATTTGACGAAACCGAGTAGAATTTGACTCTCATAAATGTTGTCTATCTTCAAACATATCAATTTCAGAATTATTAAATTTTTCTTATCTCCAAGCATGCATTCATCGTCGTTTTTTGTGAGAATTGGATGAAAGTGATGATTGCGATGGAAAGAAGGCATAACTCACCATATTGAGTGGAATAAATCAGAAATTAAAAAAAATAGAAGAATAGGGGGATTTCCGGGTGGAAATCCAGGGAAAACAAAAAAAAATAAAAAAAAATAAGGGAAAAGAGGGGCTGCCTGGTGGAAGCCAAGGAGAGGAGGAGAGAGGGAGTGAATCGATTCACGACCCCCCCTTTTCTTCAAACAGTACCAACGGACGTGACCGTGTTCACACACACAACTGCCGATTTAACGACAATACGTTCTAGTTAAGGGCTGAATTGGGTATAAGTTATATCCAATGTCAACTGTCAGGTTTGTGGAGAAGGAACCCGACGGAGGTATTCCGAAAGACCCCTCACTGAATTGAACAGAACATTTGACCAATCTACAGTATCACTCGTTTTCTGATCACCTGCGAAGCAAACGTGCATTTCTGTCCATTCTCCAGAAAATACATAAAAATGGGAGAGGGGTGTTCCGTTTTTCTTCCATTTTTTATCGCTGATCAGAATAATAAAAAGATCAGCACCAAAAATTCGGACATAAAAGCGCTCCGCTCGGCCAGGAAATTCATTCACATCCATCCAGTCTTCCGGATTCGACTCTCTTCTCTCCGGGAAAAAACGGTCCGAAACCACATAATGTAAGTTATTTTCAAGCGTTCAGCATTAGAGAAAATGCAAAGAGTTCCATCACGAGAAAACCATTCAGCCGTAACATTCAAATTCTGAAATTTTACTCTTGCAGGTCGGCCCTCTTCATCTCGTCCGCCGGGACTTCATCTCCGATGCCAACCTCAGCTCAATCCGAGCCAAAACAGCCAGACACACCCAGACCTAAGTAAGGTTGGGTGTGTCTGGGGAGACAATTGGTAGAATCGCTTAATTCTTACCCCTTCAATAAATCATTTAAAAATCAAGCCTGTTTTAGTGTTTATTTGAAGAAACGCTTCTAAAAGTTCGCAGTCATATGAATCGGGTCTATTTTTCTTTTTGATGTATGTCGTGACGTCAGAGTTGTTCAAAATTTTGTTATTGTTAGTCAAGTTCACAGAAATCGGCGATTGGTCAACCCTGGTTTTATTGGATTTCCGATTCTTGGACATGTGTTGAACCATTTTTTGATTCAAATCCATTCAAATCAAAAACACCCCAATCGTGTGAGAAATCAATAAATGGGTCCAGAAAGACTACTCATCTACAACACATCTCATAAATGAGTTAAAAAAACACTTTATATTTCAGACACCACCAGCAACCAGCGAAACCAGAGAATCTTCTTCAATTTCTGCAAAGGCGGCAAGTTCATCGTCCCAACAATGTTCCGATGTTGAAGAGGAAGAATATGAGTTCACTAAAATGATTGCGAATTTAGATATTCCAGTTAGGGAAAAATTTTTCAGATGATTCGTGCAAACCGAGAACGGCAAAGCATTATTTCATAGTGTGCGAGAAAGGAAATATGCTTCACCACTACGATATCGCAAAGAGATCAATCAGGTGGATGATGAAACTCTACGCTTTACCAACAAATAAACACGCCGCTGTTCGTCAGATACCGAAGTACTATCATTATACATGATTATTTCTCAAACGCTATTTTACAGAATACGTGACTATTACAGAAAGTTTGTGTGACAGGAACTGTCCAACTATTGTCGAATTGTTCAGTGTGAGCTGGAAAATAAACAGTTGATAAAAACAACAGTCAGTGATGTTCACCAGGCCAGAATCTTCCGTTGTTGGATACGAGAGAATAGCATAGGTTTGTCTCACTGTCAGATCCACCACTTCAAACGCATTTTTTGAAACATCCTGTATGTGTTGCAAAGTTTTCATTGTTGGCAGTTCGTATGTGAAAATGGAATGGGGGAGACACACCGCCAAAGCCTTCGCGCTGCCTCGAACGGCTTGCACGGGCTCTGCGAATCGGTGGGTAATCATGACCTTTTGTGTGGAGCGCTCAACAATTATCATCGTATTCCGGTCAGCACTCGAAATCACAACAACCATTTTCATGGAGAGAAGTCGTTCAACGATCTTTGATGTTCGATGCTGAAACGGAATCTAGAAATCAATAATAATGGATGAGTTAGAATCACCTTCATTTTCTGTCTCGTCGATTGCATCTTTGTGCAATAGAGACTCGGTTCAGTAGAATTTGAACCCATTTTTCGCTCCGACACACAGAAGTCTGGAAGTAGTCCAATGCTATCACCCCTTGTGAGTAACGAGCGAGGAAAATGGAAATTCGATAAGACGCGCCAAACAGAATTCGTGCCTAGGTTTCTTTGGCTATGGTCGTGCAGTTAAAAAGTCTTTGTCCTAATTCCCACCCGTTTTCGAGTGTCTGTAAGAAAAACAGGCCGAAACTCTCGTTGGCTCAATCTCATTGTGAGCTGATTTACCTCGACCTCCTGTCTGGCGATCCTCTCGTCCTTAACAAGACATCCAGCGCATTCTTCCTCCATTTCTTCGTCCTCAGCAAAAATCCTTATACTAATATATATATATACTTCCCTCGGTGACATTGGAGAATTGATGATTGTCTGTTAGTGAGTTGAACAAAAAAGTATACAAGAAGAAGAGATATGAGCATGGTTAAAAACCATGTAATACTATGTAACCGACATTAGAACCATCTAAAACCACTTTTTTATTATAACTTTGGAAAAAGCATAAAGGAAATTATGAATTTAATTGTCGAGATCGTACTGTCCTCTTCTGTTCGTACCACGCTGTAAGTATAATCATAAGCTCCAAAATCAGGTACTATCTTAACCTACCCTCTGTGATGCCTTCATTTTGATCCACCCTTGTCTCTTCTGGAACTCACGTTCCTGGTTCACTTCTTCGGACCACTGCCTGATCAAAGGATCCCATATTGTGAGATCTCTCTCGTTGTACCTTCCGCGACCTCCAACAAACGTGAAGATGCTGAAGCTTCTCGGAAGTGCACAGACTTCTTGCGGCAACGGAGCACGTTTTGACGGGTTGAACAGGCAATTTTTGACTGAAAATGAAGATGGAATTGTGCAGTTTGTGATGGGAAAAAAGTTACCTGCGTTCGGATTTTGGTAGAGCCTGCATATTTCCTACCCTCTCCGGATGCTCTCGAGATAGTTCGACTGATCTGAAAGTGTTCCTGTTGAGTGAACGAAATAAACTTCCACCACTTACGTTACAGTCGAGAAAGCTGGGTGAGAAGTTGCTGCTTCTCGATTTCCATCGCTCCTTTTTACGATTTTTGAATTTTTTTTCCTGAAATATTATTTGGAATGATTTGACTAAGTATTTATTATTTATTATTTTCCTTCTGAAAGGAAGGTAGATTTGACGAAACCGAGTAGAATTTGACTCTCATAAATGTTGTCTATCTTCAAACATATCAATTTCAGAATTATTAAATTTTTCTTATCTCTAAGCATGCATTCATCGTCGTTTTTTGTGAGAATTGGATGAAAGTGATGATTGCGATGGAAAGAAGGCATAACTCACGGTATTGAGTGGTATAATTTAGAAATTAAAGAAAATAGTAGAATAGGGGGATCTCCAGGTGGGAATCGTGGGAAAACAAAAAAAAAAGAAAGAAAATAAGGAAAAGAGGGGCCGCCTGGTGGCAGCCGAGGAGAGGAGGGGAGAGGGAGTGAATCGATTCGCGACCCCCCTTTTCTTCAAACAGTACCAACGGACGTGACCGTGTTCACACACACAACTACCGATGTGACGACAATACGTTCTAATTACGGGTTGAATTGATAAATGATGAAATACCAATAATTTGAATTAGAATAATCTTTAGAGACTGCCACATTTTTTATGTAGTATTCAATTTAAGCAAGGCTGGGTCCGTGTGTGCTGCTGCAAAGTTTTCAAATGAGTCAAAATCAATGGAGCGTGGCATTAGAACTACGATAAGACTATGGGATCGCACAGGAAGCAGAGTTGAGCGGAAAGGAAAATAAATAATTTTTAGATACTATGTAGAACAAACGGCGAACAGCCAAATTCTGATCTGTAAGCCTCACAGAGTGATAAGAGGCAATGTCTGAGAAGTTCAAAAACTGCAGGTCATTAAAAATTCAGAGTGCTTCAATTTGTCCCATATTATACCCAATGAGTACTTACATAACAGTGATACATCAGACAAGTTTTGGTCCGGCTCTGTAGTCCCTAGTCCGATCACGGTCACAAAATAGGTCAAACCTGTAACTAATTTCAAAAAAATTCTAGCGTCTCAGACTCAATGCCATTGGATTCCTCGCATCTTTTTGAGTATATTTCACGTTGGGACCAAAAATTTGGCACCCCTCCTTTATGGAGAAAAAATTAATTTGTGACATTGTTCAGAAATTTTTTCAGTTTTCTGCTCGTCCTGAAAAATTTTAACACTACATAGCCATGATTTTATTGCTGATTCTGAATCTAGACATTATTGTGCTTTTGCAATAAAAAGTTCAGCCCGACCCCGATTGACATCAAGGGGTTTTTTGGCCGAAATTCACAAAATTCAGAGTACTTTTGCATGGAAAAATGTTCGCGAAGTTGAGAAAAGTGCGTTTTCTCAGAGTGGCCTGACTTTTGACCCACTTGCAGTATTTCGATCGGACCCAAACTTAGCAGGCTTTGCGGACTAGGACTGAACTATCTTGGGGCCGAGTTTCAGACCGATCGCATCATTTACACTCTTGATATAGTGCCTTGGGCCAATTTCTTTTGGTATACCCGAGGTATATTGGTTTGAGGTCGAAAAGGCCGGGATTTTGTGAAGTTTTTACCCGTCTTCTCCGCATCAAGTCAGTACATCGGTCTGTATATCGGTCTGAAATTCGGACCCAAGATACTTCAATTAATATTCAAGAAGCCTGCAAAGTCTGAGTCTGATTAGAAAGACAAGAAAGTCGTTTGTTCTACGCGAAATTTTACAAACAGCAATTTTTAGCGCTCTGCAAAATGTTCGAAGAGTTTTTGGCAAAAAAGACGAGCGGACCGGTGACCTATGACGTGTCGCAAGTGTACGAGTTTCTTGACAAGATGTCCGATATCTCGCTCATGATTTTCAATCGGGCTTGTGATTTTGATGTTAACATTCTATAATTTTCAATTGTTTAGGAGACCGGCCAGTACATTGGACGTACTCGTGCGTGGATCAAACAGCAAGTGTACGAGATGATGCGTGGACGCTGCAGACATCCGGAAGGCGGCGAGAAAGTGATCGTCGGCTACAGAAGTACTTCTGAATAACCCATCCAATTGATTGCCGATCCCTCGTTATCCCTTGAATCTCTTGAACTTTTGTGCAAATGCTCCGATTTTTTTTTACGTTTACAAGACTGAGAAAAAGTAGATAAGGTTATTAATGTGTTACCATACTTATGTTGGGTTCAGATTACAGACCGATCGAACTATCGACTCTGTGTTGAGTGTTTGCATCCGAAATCGGAAATCTTTCAATTCCTTATCACTCTTTTTGCGAATCTTCTTGGCACGGTGCCATGACTATTCGAAATCCCAATCGTTCTTTCCCATCGGAGTCCTTATCACTAATCTCCGTCTGTAATTAAGTCAGCTTCCTTGAACCTTGCCGCAAATCCGCTTGAAGCTCACATTCCCACACCTGCGGTGTTAATTAAAGGCGGAGATTAATTATAAGATGCCGACAAAGGAGTCTGATGGGAAAGTATACCAGGCCCACAACAGGAAGAAGGAAAAGCCTGGTGCAGTGGCCACGCCCACTAACTACACTCAGTAGCCACGCCCACAGGGGTATATATAAAGGCAGTAATAGTCATTTTTCAGTTACCGTCTCTTTTTTTCATTCCTACCCATTTTTTTCATTCCTACCCATTTTTTTCATTCCTACCCATTTTTTTCATTCCTACCCATTTTTTTCATTCCTACCCATTTTTTTCATTCCTACCCATTTTTTTCATTCCTACCCATTTTTTTCATTCCTACCCATTTTTTTCATTCCTACCCATTTTTTTCATTCCTACCCATTTTTTTCATTCCTACCCATTTTTTTCATTCCTACCCATTTTTTTCATTCCTACCCATTTTTTTCATTTCTACCCATTTTTTTCATTTCTACCCATTTTTTTCATTTCTACCCATTTTTTTCATTTCTACCCATTTTTTTCATTTCTACCCATTTTTTTCATTTCTACCCATTTTTTTCATTTCTACCCATTTTTTTCATTTCTACCCATTTTTTTCATTTCTACCCATTTTTTTCATTTCTACCCATTTTTTTCATTTCTACCCATTTTTTTCATTTCTACCCATTTTTTTCATTTCTACCCATTTTTTTCATTTCTACCCATTTTTTTCATTTCTACCCATTTTTTTCATTTCTACCCATTTTTTTCATTTCTACCCATTTTTTTCATTTCTACCCATTTTTTTCATTTCTACCCATTTTTTTCATTTCTACCCATTTTTTTCATTCCTACCCATTTTTTTCATTCCTACCCATTTTTTTCATTCCTACCCATTTTTTTCATTTCTACCCATTTTTTTCATTTCTACCCATTTTTTTCATTTCTACCCATTTTTTTCATTTCTACCCATTTTTTTCATTTCTACCCATTTTTTTCATTTCTACCCATTTTTTTCATTTCTACCCATTTTTTTCATTTCTACCCATTTTTTTCATTTCTACCCATTTTTTTCATTTCTACCCATTTTTTTCATTTCTACCCATTTTTTTCATTTCTACCCATTTTTTTCATTTCTACCCATTTTTTTCATTTCTACCCATTTTTTTCATTTCTACCCATTTTTTTCATTTCTACCCATTTTTTTCATTTCTACCCATTTTTTTCATTTCTACCCATTTTTTTCATTTCTACCCATTTCATTTCTATTTCTGTTTTTTTATCATTTCTGTTTATTTTTTTGTTTTTATCATTTTTTTATTTATTTTTTTATTTTTTTTTTCGTTTTTTTTTTTTTTTTTTTTTTTTTTTTTTATTTTTTTTTTTTTTCATTTTTATTTTTTTCATTTCTTTTTTTCATCATGGGGTAGGCCAAAGGGAGGATAGAAGGTACGGGTGACGGGGGAGACGCCGGGTTTGAGGAACATGCTTAGGGAGGGAAATGGTACTTGTGCGTTTTGATTTCTTTTTTTAATTTTTAAGTTTTTTTCGTTTTTCTTTTTTTCGTTTTTTTATTTTTTTAATTTATTTCGTTTTTTTATCATTTTATTTTTTCGTTTTTTTATTTTTTCATTTCTATTTCTGTTTTTTTCATTTTTATTTATTTTTTTCGTTTTTCATTTCTATTTTTTTCATTTCTATTTTTTTCATTTCTTTTTTTCATCATGGGGTAGGCCAAGGGAGGATAGAAGGTACGGGTGACGGGGGAGACGCCGGGTTTGAGGAACATGCTTAGGGAGGGAAATGGTACTTGTGCGTTTTAATTTCTTTTTTTAATTTTAAGTTTTTTTCGTTTATTTTTTCCATTTTTTTCGTTTTTATTTTATTTTTTTATTTTTATTTCGTTTTTATCATTTTTCGTTTTTATTTTTTTCATTTCTATTTCTGTTTTTTTCATTTCTATTTTTTATTTTTTTCGTTTTTATTTTTTTCATTTCTATTTTTCATTTCTTTTTCATCATGGGGTAGGCCAAAGGGAGGATAGAAGGTACGGGTGACGGGGGAGACGCCGGGTTTGAGGAACATGCTTAGGAAGGGAAATGGTACTTGTGCGTTTTAATTTCTTTTTTTAATTTTAATTTTTTCGTTTATTTTTCCATTTTTTTCGTTTTTTTATTTTTATTTTTTTATTTTTATTTCGTTTTTATCATTTTTTTATTTCGTTTTTATTTTTTTCATTTCTATTTCTGTTTTTTTCATTTTTTATTTTTTTCGTTTTTTTATTTTTTTCGTGTTTATTTTTTTCATTTCTATTTTTTTCATTTCTTTTTTTCATCATGGGGTAGGCCAAGGGAGGATAGATGGTACGGGTGATGGGGGAGACGCCGGGTTTGAGGAACATGCTTAGGGAGGGAAATGGTACTTGTGCGTTTTAATTTCTTTTTTTAATTTTTAAGTTTTTTTCGTTTATTTTTTCCATTTTTTTCGTTTTAATTTTATTTTTTTATTTTTATTTCGTTTTTTTATCATTTTATTTTTTTCGTTTTTTTATTTTTCATTTCTATTTCTGTTTTTTCATTTTTCGTTTTTTTAATTTTTTTCGTTTTTTATTTTTTTCATTTCTATTTCTGTTTTTTCATTTTTTCGTTTTTATTTTTCATTTCTATTTTTTTCATTTCTTTTTTCATCATGGGGTAGGCCAAAGGGAGGATAGAAGGTACGGGTGACGGGGGAGACGCCGGGTTTGAGGAACATGCTTAGGGAGGGGAAATGGTACTTGTGCGTTTTAATTTCTTTTTTTAATTTTAAGTTTTTTTTCGTTTATTTTTTTTCATTTTTTTCGTTTTTATTTTATTTTATTTTATTTCGTTTTTATCATTTTATTTTTTTTTCGTTTTTATTTTTTTTTCATTTCTATTTTTTTTCATTTCTTTTTTTTTCATCATGGGGTAGGCCAAGGGAGGATAGAAGGTACGGGTGACGGGGGGAGACGCCGGGTTTGAGGAACATGCTTAGGGAGGAAATGGTACTTGTGCGTTTTAATTTCTTTTTTTAATTTTAAGTTTTTTTCGTTTATTTTTCCATTTTTTTCGTTTTTTTATTTTATTTTTTTATTTTTATTTCGTTTTTTTATCATTTTATTTTTTCGTTTTTATTTTTTTCATTTCTATTTCTGTTTTTTTCATTTTTCGTTTTTTTAATTTTTTTCGTTTTTATTTTTTTAATTTCTATTTTTTTAATTTCTTTTTTTCATCATGGGGTAGGCCAAGGGAGGATAGAAGGTACGGGTGACGGGGGGAGACGCCGGGTTTGAGGAACATGCTTAGGGAGGGAAATGGTACTTGTGCGTTTTAATTTCTTTTTAATTTTTAAGTTTTTTTCGTTTATTTTTCCATTTTTTTCGTTTTTTTATTTTATTTTTTTATTTTTATTTCGTTTTTATCATTTTATTTTTTTCGTTTTTATTTTTCATTTCTATTTCTGTTTTTTTCATTTTTTCGTTTTTATTTTTTTCATTTCTATTTTTTTCATTTCTTTTTCATCATGGGGTAGGCCAAGGGAGGATAGAAGGTACGGGTGACGGGGGGAGACGCCGGGTTTGAGGAACATGCTTAGGGAGGGGAAATGGTACTTGTGCGTTTTAATTTCTTTTTTTAATTTTAAGTTTTTTTTCGTTTATTTTTTTTTCCATTTTTTTCGTTTTTATTTTATTTTTATTTTATTTCGTTTTTATCATTTTATTTTTTTTTCGTTTTTATTTTTTTTTCATTTCTATTTCTGTTTTTTTTTTTTTTTTTTTTTTTTTTTTTTTTTTTTTTTTTTTTTTTTTTTTTTTTTTTTTTTTTTTTTTTTTTCATCATGGGGTAGGCCAAAGGGAGGATAGAAGGTACGGGTGACGGGGGAGACGCCGGGTTTGAGGAACATGCTTAGGGAGGAAATGGTACTTGTGCGTTTTAATTTCTTTTTTTAATTTTTAATTTTTTCGTTTATTTTTTTCCATTTTTTTCGTTTTAATTTAATTTTTTTATTTTTATTTCGTTTTTATCATTTTATTTTTTTCGTTTTTTTATTTTTTTCATTTCTATTTCTGTTTTTTTCATTTTTCGTTTTTTTAATTTTTTTCGTTTTTTTATTTTTTTAATTTCTATTTTTTTAATTTCTTTTTTTCATCATGGGGTAGGCCAAGGGAGGATAGAAGGTACGGGTGACGGGGGAGACGCCGGGTTTGAGGAACATGCTTAGGGAGGGAAATGGTACTTGTGCGTTTTAATTTCTTTTTTTAATTTTAAGTTTTTTTCGTTTATTTTTCCATTTTTTTTTTTTTTTTTTTTTTTTTTTTTTTTTTTTTTTTTTTTTTTTTTTTTTTTTTTTTTTTTTTTTTTTTTTTTTTTTTTTTTTTTTTTTTTTTTTTTTTTTTTTTTTTTTTTTTTTTTTTTTGTTTTTTTTTTTTTTCATTTCTATTTTTTTTCATTTCTTTTTTTTTTCATCATGGGGTAGGCCAAGGGAGGATAGAAGGTACGGGTGACGGGGGGAGACGCCGGGTTTGAGGAACATGCTTAGGGAGGGGAAATGGTACTTGTGCGTTTTAATTTCTTTTTTTAATTTTAAGTTTTTTTTCGTTTATTTTTTTTCATTTTTATTTCGTTTTTATTTTATTTCGTTTTTATCATTTTATTTTTTTTTCGTTTTTATTTTTTTTTCATTTCTATTTTTTTTCATTTCTTTTTTTTTCATCATGGGGTAGGCCAAGGGAGGATAGAAGGTACGGGTGACGGGGGGAGACGCCGGGTTTGAGGAACATGCTTAGAGAGGGAAATGGTACTTGTGCGTTTTAATTTCTTTTTTTAATTTTAATTTTTTTCGTTTATTTTTTTCATTTCTATTTCTGTTTTTTTCATTTTTATTTATTTTTTTCGTTTTTCATTTCTATTTTTTTCATTTCTTTTTTTCATCATGGGGTAGGCCAAAGGGAGGATAGAAGGTACGGGTGACAGGGGGAGACGCGGGGTTTGAGGAACATGCTTAGGGAGGGAAATGGTACTTGTGCGTTTTAATTTCTTTTTTTAATTTTTAAGTTTTTTTCGTTTATTTTTTTCGTTTTTTTATTTTATTTTTTTATTTTTATTTCGTTTTTATCATTTTATTTTTTTCGTTTTTATTTTTTTCATTTCTATTTTTTTCATTTCTTTTTTCATCATGGGGTAGGCCAAGGGAGGATAGAAGGTACGGGTGACGGGGGAGACGCCGGGTTTGAGGAACATGCTTAGAGAGGGAAATGGTACTTGTGCGTTTTAATTTCTTTTTTTAATTTTAATTTTTTTCGTTTATTTTTTTCATTTCTATTTCTGTTTTTTTTTTTTTTTATTTATTTTTTTCGTTTTTTTCATTTCTATTTTTTTCATTTCTTTTTTTCATCATGGGGTAGGCCAAGGGAGGATAGAAGGTACGGGTGACAGGGGGAGACGCGGGGTTTGAGGAACATGCTTAGGGAGGAAATGGTACTTGTGCGTTTTAATTTCTTTTTTTAATTTTAATTTTTTTCGTTTATTTTTTAATTTTTTTCGTTTTTTTATTTTTATTTTTATTTCGTTTTTATCATTTTAATTTTTTCGTTTTTTTATTTTTTCATTTTTTATTTCTGTTTTTCTTTTTTTCTTTTTTTCGTTTTTTTATTTTTTTCGTTTTTATTTTTTTCATTTCTATTTTTTTCATTTCTTTTTTTCATCATGGGGTAGGCCAAAGGGAGGATAGAAGGTACGGGTGACGGGGGAGACGCCGGGTTTGAGGAACATGCTTAGGGAGGGAAATGGTACTTGTGCGTTTTAATTTCTTTTTTTAATTTTAAGTTTTTTTCGTTTATTTTTTTCATTTTTTTCGTTTTTATTTTTATTTTTATTTTTATTTCGTTTTTTTATCATTTTATTTTTTTCGTTTTTATTTTTCATTTCTATTTTTTTCATTTCTTTTTTTCATCATGGGGTAGGCCAAAGGGAGGATAGAAGGTACGGGTGACGGGGGAGACGCCGGGTTTGAGGAACATGCTTAGGGAGGAAATGGTACTTGTGCGTTTTAATTTCTTTTTTTAATTTTAATTTTTTTCGTTTATTTTTTTCATTTCTATTTCTGTTTTTTTCATTTTTTTATTTATTTTTTTCGTTTTTCATTTCTATTTTTCATTTCTTTTTTTCATCATGGGGTAGGCCAAGGGAGGATAGAAGGTACGGGTGACGGGGGGAGACGCCGGGTTTGAGGAACATGCTTAGAGAGGGGAAATGGTACTTGTGCGTTTTAATTTCTTTTTTTAATTTTAATTTTTTTTTTCGTTTATTTTTTTTTCATTTCTATTTCTGTTTTTTTTTTCATTTTTTTTTATTTTTTTTTCGTTTTTTTTTTTTTTTTTTTTTTTTTCATTTCTTTTTTTCATTTCTTTTTTTCATCATGGGGTAGGCCAAGGGAGGATAGAAGGTACGGGTGACGGGGGAGACGCCGGGTTTGAGGAACATGCTTAGAGAGGGAAATGGTACTTGTGCGTTTTAATTTCTTTTTTTAATTTTTAATTTTTCGTTTATTTTTTTCATTTCTATTTCTGTTTTTTTCATTTTTTATTTTTTTTTTCGTTTTTTTCATTTCTATTTTTTTTCATTTCTTTTTTTTTCATCATGGGGTAGGCCAAGGGAGGATAGAAGGTACGGGTGACAGGGGGAGACGCGGGGTTTGAGGAACATGCTTAGGGAGGGAAATGGTACTTGTGCGTTTTAATTTCTTTTTTTAATTTTAATTTTTTTCGTTTATTTTTTTAATTTTTTTCGTTTTTATTTTTTTATTTTATTTCGTTTTTTTATCATTTTAATTTTTTTCGTTTTTTTATTTTTTCATTTTTATTTCTGTTTTTCTTTTTTTCTTTTTTTCGTTTTTATTTTTTTCGTTTTTTTATTTTTTTCATTTCTATTTTTTTCATTTCTTTTTCATCATGGGGTAGGCCAAGGGAGGATAGAAGGTACGGGTGACGGGGGAGACGCCGGGTTTGAGGAACATGCTTAGGGAGGGAAATGGTACTTGTGCGTTTTAATTTCTTTTTTTAATTTTAAGTTTTTTTCGTTTATTTTTTTCATTTTTTCGTTTTTTTATTTTTATTTTTATTTTTATTTCGTTTTTTTATCATTTTATTTTTTTCGTTTTTTTATTTTTTTCATTTCTATTTTTTTCATTTCTTTTTTTCATCATGGGGTAGGCCAAAGGGAGGATAGAAGGTACGGGTGACGGGGGAGACGCCGGGTTTGAGGAACATGCTTAGGAGGGAAATGGTACTTGTGCGTTTTAATTTCTTTTTTTAATTTTTAATTTTTTTCGTTTATTTTTTTCATTTCTATTTCTGTTTTTTCATTTTTATTTATTTTTTTCGTTTTTCATTTCTTTTTCATCATGGGGTAGGCCAAAGGGAGGATAGAAGGTACGGGTGACGGGGGAGACGCCGGGTTTGAGGAACATGCTTAGGGAGGGAAATGGTACTTGTGCGTTTTAATTTCTTTTTTTCAATTTTAAGTTTTTTTCGTTTAATTTTTTTCATTTTTTTCGTTTTTTTATTTTATTTTTTTATTTTTATTTCGTTTTTTTATCATTTAATTTTTTTTGTTTTTTTATTTTTTATTTCTATTTCTGTTTTTCATTTTTTTTTTTATTTTTTTCGTTTTTTTCATTTCTTTTTTTCATTTCTTTTTTTCATCATGGGGTAGGCCAAGGGAGGATAGAAGGTACGGGTGACGGGGGGAGACGCCGGGTTTGAGGCATTTGATGGAGTTCTGATGGCACGTGCAGATTGCCAGTTTAACATTTGTAGCGGAAAATGTTGATAACTTTTTTTGGTAACTGATGAGAAAGCTAATTGAACTTCCGTGTCGTTTACTATTTCCATTGTTCGCCGTGCGTTATCCATCCCCTCACCACTGCGGTTGCCCGTCCGTTTAGAGAGAGAGAGACAGAGACAGAGACAGAGAGAGAGGGGTGAGGGGGTTGGAGAGAGCAGGTCAACACAGAGCACTGCTAAACGCCGAGCAGCCCGTAACGACGGAACATTGTTCAAATAACCTCCTCCCCGGCTCTTTGTCTCTATTTTCTGTACAGCTTCCGAGTGTTTTCCATGGTTATTTGTGATTTTTCTATCAGTTACAAGTTTATATCCTAAAGATTCAATAGATATTACTAAACTTTTTGTCCTCTTCCACTGTTTCGTGTTGTCTTTGCTCAGCTACTCAAGTATTATCTTTGCAGGTCATGTCGAATGGAGATTTGGTCGTGCACGAAGCAATTCATGACGACGATGATGTGGAAATGACGAGTGGAATGGAAGCGGCAATGCAGATAGATGTACGTTTTTATTCATTTTCTACAAAAATTCAGAAAGACACCGATAAATTCGTTATTTGAAGGCAAATACCTGTGTTTCTGGTCTCGCAGCCAAGATTCCTTTGTAAATAGCATTGTTTTTAAAATGATTTTCATCGGTTTTGCGCATTAATTATAGAGAAAAAACGCCCGTTCTTATTCGTGACCTCCCCGATGGTCGCAATCACAGTAGAACGGGACAGGTGTTGTTCTGCCCGACAAACAACCTCTTCGAGACATCTGCCGTGGTCACAATAACGAGATTACAATTATAAACAATGAAGAGGACAGTCTGCGATGGAAAGAATACGCAAAACTCGAGAAATGCAGTTTATTGGCAGAACTAAATCTTCTCAATCTCGGCAAACCTCTGCAACTTTTCAGCAGAACTTCAGCAAGCAACTTTTATCTAACTTCTGCTGAAAAGCGGCCAATGTTGTGTGCAGAAGTTGCTCTCGCCAAAAAGTTTGCCCAAAAGTTGATGAAGTTTTGTTGAAAAGTTGATGGCGCTGAACGTTTGCTCACAAGTTGCTACCTTTCAATAATAGAATCTAGTTGAAATTCTATAAATATCTTTAAAAAGAACAAAGTATCTGACTCTTCGACGTCGTCACATAATCCCTCTTCCAGATGAATGGCTTCCCAGTTGACGAGCGCGTGCGACGGATGATCATCGATCTGCAACGTCACTGGCTCACCGACTACCACAACACCCGTGAAAAGGCGCTTGTCGAATTGGCCGAGAAGCTTCACCAAGAATTCATTGATGATCAGGATAAGATTAAAGAGGAGCTGCTTCAGCAATTCAAGGAGGAACTTGAGGCAACAAAGTTGGCGACTGAGGCCAAACACCAAGAAGATTTGGAGCTGGAAAAACAGAAGTTGATTGAGAAGCACAGCAAAGAGCTCGCTCTTTCAAAGAAGAAACAATGGTGCTGGTCGTGCGATAATGAGGTGAGCGGATTGTTTAGTATTGCCGAGCTCATTCCGAATTTGAATTCTACATAGGGTTCCTTGCTGCTCATTACGTTTTCCTCCCCGACAAGCTTGTCTATAACTGAACTTTCTTCCAGGCTATCTACCACTGCTGCTGGAACACGTCCTATTGTAGCGTTGATTGCCAACAAGGACACTGGCAATCCCATCGCAAGTTCTGCCGCAGAAAGAAGGGAATGATGGCAATTGCGCAAGCCGTCAATGGTCCACCAGCCGTACTTCCAAACCAGTAATTTATTTTTACTGAGATCAAAATGCAGCCTCACACTTCAATTTGCCACACATATGAACAATGCAATGTGTTTAATTCCACCAAAAAGTCATGATTTTTCTCTTACCCCTTGAATGGGGTTATCAAGATCTCTCATTATTCATAAGTGCTTTCGACGAACTAAAAGATCTTAATAAAATTATTTTACGTTACTTTTGAGCGAAATGTAATGTGAACGCAAATGTGTGCGCATTCGTTTTAAAGAATAAAATGATTTCGACTGTGGGCCTTACCATGCAAATTTTATAGAGTTGATTGTTCCGTTTTGACTCTGTTCTTTAGAAAAGATCAACATTCAGTCTCTGCTTTATGCCCATTTCGCATTGTTATATTCATTTTATAACCTCCTAACCACCCAATTTCCTATCATGCCACTCCATTCCATTCCCGATTCATTGTCAGCTCCACTCCAATCAGTTTTAATGACGATTCTCCTCCATCCACGCCACTCTTTTTGTGCGTCTCCTTGTCGTTATCAGTTTGACTATGAAGGTGGGGGGAGGGGACTTTGGGGCGGCAAGGGGGGTGAAAGTGTGTTTCATGACTTACTCCTTGAGCGTCAATCGTCGTTATTTATTCGTTATCAAATTAATCCTCCCCGATCGTCTTCGGCGCGCTCTGCAGTTCTTTGTCTTTCATTCCTCTCGGTCACTTCGCTTTAGAAGATACCCATCAAGAACAGGACACTATTCGACGTAATGTTCCAATATTTTCTGGCATTCGATTCGACGCTAGTCAGGGTTTAATTTAATAGACCATTGGTCTTTTATAAAAAAAAGTCCAAACTCGTTGTGTACTGGGAATCGTTCTGATTTGCCAGACCTGTGTTCTCGGGTTTTTTGCACGTTTTGCCACATGCTCTCGAAAATATGACTTTTTCAATGTGGTTCTCTGAATGGCAATGCGAAAACTAATTGCAAAGCGTTCTAAACCTTCCATCCTCCTTCTCTGGCGGCAAGTTGTCCGCGTGACCATTTGCATGTAGCCTAGAGAGTCCCCTCCCCACCCTTCCCGACTTTTTCTGCGCTTCCTCACTTATTTCCACTCTTTCCGCGCAGTCTGTGTGCTTCTGCGCATCTCGGGTCACAAATCTCTTGTTCCCATTTCATGCCACTAGTCTGCCCCCTTCCGTCTTTCCGTCCGCTGTGATTTCATTTCTCTTCTCATTTTCAATCTTCGTCTGTCTGCAGACATGTACAACGTCGTTTTCGTTCTCGGCCCACCAGGATCTGGCAAAGGGACCATCTGTGCGCAGATTCAAGAGGTTTGTGAGGAGGTTGAGAGAGAAAATGTTGGAAAGGCTGGAATTTCACCAGTTGGAAACTCCATGCCTTTACGAAATAATGCTTTAACAACTCAACAAACCTATTTTTTTCAGAATCTCGGCTACGTTCACTTGTCGGCTGGAGATTTGCTCCGTGCCGAGCGTGAACGAGAGGGAAGCGAATTCGGAGCCCTCATCGAGAGCCATATCAAGAACGGGTCCATTGTCCCAGTAGAGATCACGTGTTCTCTTCTCGAAAACGTTAGTTTACAATCAAATTTCATTATCCTAAAGAAAAACTAATTTATTTTAAGGCGATGATTGCCAGCAAGGACGCAAATGGCTTCCTAATTGACGGCTTCCCGCGAAACGAGGACAACCTCGTCGGATGGAAAAAACAAATGGACGGAAAAGTCAACGAGCAGTTTGTGCTCTTTCTGTCGTGTCCCGTCGACGTCTGCATCAACCGGTGCCTGAATCGTGGACAGGGAAGAACCGATGATAATGTGGACTCGCTGAAGAAGAGAGTCGAGACGTACAACCAACAAACCTACCCAATTATCGAACACTTTGATAAGGTTGGCATGGTGCGAGAGGTCAACAGCCAACGTCCGGTGACTGAGGTAAAATTTTGAGCGGTCTTTATTTTGCGTGAAATCGAGCTGAAAACACTAGCCAAAGTGTGTCGTAGAACTGATAATTGCATCAGAAACAGAAGGGTTCACATTAAATATCACTATTACTGGGAAAGATTGGACGATGACATGCAAAATATTTTCAGGTCTACGATGACGTCGTTGCTGTATTCGCCGCTGCCAACCACCAAAAATAAGTCGTTTCAATTTAACATTTCTACTTTCCACTCCCATTCTAATGTGAATAGGTTCAAATTTCGAATTCCATCCACTTTCCCATCACCCAAATTCATCACGGTTTCACATGAATAAAGCAGCATAGCCTCCAGTCTCAGTTTCTTTTCACCCAAGTACTAATCGAACACTCACGTGAACAACTGCATTTCACACACTCGCCCACGTAAAACACAAACAGACTACAGAATACACAACACAGACTCCCTCACCATCATTCACATCATCGTCATTTTCTCAAGTGTTTAATCGATGGAGTCTGTCATCTCGTCACACATGTTATCGGTTCTAGGAGATTGCAGGGTTCGGAACGTGAAAATTTCTGATTTTAACTCAATCGGCGATGTTTCATCTTTGTGAATGGGAAACCATGTAAAAAGAACAGATTGGTCGTTTATGGCTAAAAACTGAAGAGTAGAAAGATTATGAGGGAAAAACTGAGAATCGGATTGATATTCATCCGATTATGATGCGTGTGGGTCAAAGTACTCGCAAAATGGGCAAAAAACTGAAAGTTCAATGAAAATTGGTCGAAAAGGAAATAATTAGAATTAAAACAAGGTTTTCCTCTTTTATCCTGTGAGAAACTGCATTGTGAACCAAATGTTCCTTTTGATATCAGTTTGTTCAGAAAATTTCGGCGAGTTCAAAACGATCAGTTTCATCTCGATTCGCACATTGTAAGAGTCTGAAATTACGGTTTCAAATATGTCCCTCTCCAGAAACGCGTCAACAAAGGTGCAATAGCGCATATTACGCCTCTGCCACGCATGGAGGACACATGAACACATCACATAGCGCACCGTTGAGAGGCTTACGAAAAAAGGAACAGATTGGGTCATATAATACCGAATATTGGAACAACAGTTTACACAAAAAAAAAGAACAACTCGTGAAGAGGATTAGTTCTTTTCATTTATAAACACAGATCCCTTCCAACCTTTTCAGTGACAACCGATATCATCCAACCAATTCTTCACTTTTCAATATTAATTGTACATTATTCGCAATACGGATCGACTAACAAAGGCGGGTAATTGGAATTTGGATAATAATTGTTTTTGTCTTGGTTTTCGTTGAGGCGGTCTAGAGCAAAGAAATGCCTGAATGTGTAATAACAATATCACATTACTTTCTCTGATACTCATATTCCCCAATTAGAGCCGTCAAACCTACAACGAAGCCTCAATTCTTCCATAATCATTTTTTTCCCATTCCTTGGTGCGTTCTAGTCGCCATTCAGACATCGAAAGTCGTTGACAGATGTGGATTAGCTGGTGCGGAGAGCAGATGTGGGGCACGGTACGACCTTGATTGCATCGACACACAACCCGGCAGACCCCCCCCTTTCCATAGCTGCCGTGTTTCCCACGAGGCGACGTGGCATCATTCACGTGTGTGCACAACAAACGCCCACCCTTCCCACGAATAAGGTGGCATTCGCGAGCCTCCCGACCATACACACACAGTCGGCATTCTTCTCTTTTTCTTTGATCCCGCCACCACTCGCCTCCGAGTCTTCCCAATATGTCGTCCGCTGTTTCCAATGGACAGGGAAGTAGCATCGAATGCAATTACGGCCGAGCTCAAGAAAAAGGAAAAGGAAATCGCTTTTTCAATGGCATCTACAGTATCCAGAGATGTGTACATCATCCGGATAAGCAATGTGAGTTTTCTTGGCAAAAATATAATTTAAAAAAAAGATATGTACAGCCTCTCGGGGACATTTCTGGTGTTTTCTGGTGTAGGGTACTAAGTTTGAAACGATTTTCAAGACCTTTTGAGTTTTACCTTTTTATGCATGTTCCTGTAGTCGATACTGTTGAGAATTAGATTTTTGTTCCAAGTCTAGTATACCATATCGCGTTGCCAGGTCGTGTTTTCAACCTCCCAGCCGCAATTTTCACACCTTCACACGTTTTCCATTTGAAACCATGAACAAACAAACAAACAAACACCTGTCTATTTTTCTCGAAATATCCCATACACAAAAACAGACATTATAGATACACTGACGATGCCTGCAAGACAGCTATTGATCACCGAAATGAGCGAATTCACAACGGACGAGGTGAATGACGCGATTCGTGGAAGAACCCGACCGTTTCACAGTGTTGTGGGTGAATTCAGGAAGGAGGACAAAGTGTGAGTAAAAGTGACTCTCATATTGGGTTTCACCGGAATGAGAAAGTTCTGGATGAAAGCTGTATTTTGGAGCTGAAAGCTTTGATAAATTATTTCCATAAAGCTTTTATCTTCGTGATTCTAGTTCGTACGGCGTTCTGAAATGGTTCTGAAAGGAGCAGGGGACCTTCCGAGTTGATGTGTCTGTCTGAACTGTCGTGCCACGTTCACTGTTCGAGTACCACCTCTCAGAAATAAACGGAACAACGCGCAGTCAATGGTGTTACCGTGGCTTGAAAAACATCCTCGGCCACGTAACCTTTTCTGAGTTTTTCGCGTTTGACATAATATTCAGACGAGGCCGTCAAAGTGCAAGGTCTTCATATTGCCAGCAGGGAAGAGTTTTCAAGCGTGAATTTTCTAGGCCACGGTTACAACTTTGACTGTGCGCTGTTCCGTTTTGAGTTAGTTTAACAGATATTAATTCATAAATACTGAAATATCTCAACAAATTCTGTTTTCAGAGATCTCTTCTGTACCCCACTAACATTCTACGTCCAAAAAGACCATATCTGCGTGGAAATCGCCCGAGCGGAGTGCTTCTGCAAACACAATTTCTACGTGGAGAAGCGTAACTTCTACAATATCATCCGAGAAGTCCAAGTGCCGACACTGGACATTCAAGTCGAAGCTGATGGAGATGAACTGTTTGAATTTCTTGCTTTCACACTGCCAGGAACTTGGTGCCGAGAATTGAAGGCTCTGAATGTGGTGTTCAACAAAAAAATATATCTGGAACCTCTTTCTACTCTACTGAAGAAATCCAGAATGCTCAGCCGTCTCAGAATTGCGCACAGCGCCAAGGAAATCGTGCGAGTTTCGGATTTCATCAAGAATATGGCATGTCTGGAGGAGTTGGAGCTGAACTGCCCGGATCACAATGACTCTGGATTCTTGTTGGACAAGCAGACGATGAAGTTTATTGTAGAGCTCGAGAAAAGAACAGGTGCCGAGAAACCGTTCCGTTCTCTGAAAGCGTTCAACGCCTCCTTCAACTTCACCGCCCGCGAATTCATCAAAGAGTGTGTTCGTCTGGCAAAACTCAGCCACAATTCCACGTACAAGCAATACGAGACGATCAATGAGATCCGAGGAAGGGGAGGTGTCGACGTGGAAGCTCGAGACACCACCATCAACTTCGAAGTCACTCCAAGATTTCCAGTGAAGCTCTCAAATGAGGTGTTCGTGGAATTGTGCCGGAAGAGCAAGAGCTACCTGGTAAATTTCGACTCGCGCTCTCCACAATTCCGTTACTTCATGATCCGACACTCTCTGTTCCGTCTGATTGATCGTGATTAATTTGTAGATCAAATCTTGTATATGAGTCATAAAATTGACTAAAACTTTTGTATGTATGGATGCCATTTTAAAAAGCTAAGTAATATTATAATAAAGTAATGGTTATCAATGGTTATCCCTATTCAAAAAACCAGCCTGATTGTCCAGGATTTGCAGGTTTCCATGCTTCTATGTTCTGAACAAATCGGGGCCACTCTTCTTCAAAACCATTTTTTGGGATCACTACTGTCTTATTTCCAACCGTGGCAGTAAAATTGATAGTTGGTATAATCAACGACTTCTCGGACAGTAATAGAGAAGAATTATAACCAGTTTTGTGTCTTAGTCTATTTTGATACACTAGGAGAATGTCATTGTGTTTATTTATAGTGTCATTGTGTTTATTTATAGTGTCATTATGTTTATTTATAAAATAATCTGCATACATGTCACACCAAAAAAATCCAATAATAAAGCAAAATTTTCCAATGATTTAAGACATATTGTGCACTCGAACAGTCTCCTCGACATAAGATTTGCATCTAGCGAACGATTCGGCAATTCGGCCGAGATCTGGTTGTCCGTCAGTCTGAAGAACTGGGGAGTTCGACCAGAATCCGTTGGCGAAGATGGTCAGCGCCGCACCTTGGATGAAACTGTGCTTGTACTCCTCCTAAAAACGAATATATGAGTTGAATCCAAAAAATATATGCAATTTACATCAACTTCCTCTCTAGTCCATGGGATCTTGACTGCCTTTGCCTCAAGGGCAGTAGACAACTTGTCAAAGTAATAGTCCAAAAGTGGTTTCGTCAATCTTTCACGGGTCTCGACGGTTGTACAAGTGGAGAGGATGTGGTGGATGTCTTCCATCTGAAAATAATTCTATTGACACGTTTAGCGTTGAAGACTTGTAGTTACCGGTCCACCACGGTGAGAGATCTGCCAGTCAATGATTCCGGCAATGTTATCCTTCTTGTCCCATAGAATTTGAGGAGCCCATAGATCACCATGAGCCAGAACCGATGGACGTTCTGCAAAAAATACAGTTAGAGTCTAGAAATGCTGCAGAAAATCAGCACTTTCAAGGATATAGTCCTCTGCAAATTTCTCCAAGAACTTCATGTCCTTTTCGAACGTGTTGCGAACGAAAACATTGATTACATCCAATCCTGGTTGCTTGGCAAGATTCTCTGCGATAGTTTTGATCATTCCGTGGAAAATTTCCGCCATAGCGAAAAGCTAAAATATTCTGTTTTTCATACAATTTATTGAAATTACGATTAATACCGCTGGGTCTGGAGTAACAGCCTTCCATTCCTCAGTTGTCAGCGAATACACATGAAGTTTGATAATTTCATCCATGATCTTGTACAGCTGAACTTGTTGATTCTCTTTTGTTCTGTACACCTCTATCAGTCTTACCTTCGGCTCATCAAACCCTTCGATAAGATCATACACTTTGCAGTTGTCGAACATTTCCATCACAATCACTGGAATCGGCGCGGTCTTGTCACCGGCCTTGGCAGCACAGTAGACAATTGGCACGTTCAGCGGCTTCTCGGACACTAAGAATTGAAAGAATTGAACAATGTTCGCGCAATTTGGTGGGGGTACATTGAGAAAAGACGGTGTAGTAGTCGCACTCGGTATTGTGCATGAACTGCTCGACGGCGGCGGTGTCACGGACATCTCCAACATCACCACCGGCATTTTCGAGCACATCAGTTCCCTTGGCACTACAGGCGATCTGAAAAGAATGAATAACACTTGGCAAGGGGGATCGGAATATTACTTTTTGACGGTAACTTATACTGTTTTTTGAGTAAAACTGAGGTGTGGAGTTTTAAAAGTTCACCATTCTATCTAAAAACGTCATTTCAATTTGACTCTTATGGACAATAATATTATGTCAACGTCAAACTGATAAGAAAAATTGAACTGCAATGCACTTTACAAAGTTGGAATTCGATTGAACTATGTATTGTGATATGTTCAATGTACAAAAAATACGGTTTGTTTTCTATTGTTCCTATCATTTTCTAGTTTTTTTCCATATACAAATGATTCACAGTGATGCACAGTTTTTTCCATGTTTTCCCGTTCATCATTAATTCAAATACCAACTACATTAAAATTCAAATGCATACCTTCAAAACCACGTGTTTTGGCAGATTCTGATGTTTCTCCTCCTGTTCGGCGTCGAAATGAAGCTCGACTTTACGGATCATCGACATGTATCCTAACTCCGCATTGTCCAAAATTCCAGTCTGCCAAAATCATGCGGTTGTAACACCAAATATTATATGACAAAACATCAACTTACAGTTCCAACTTTGGGTTTCACACCAATCTTCTTCTCCATCAGATCGGCCAGCCATTCCTTAGTCAACGGAACGTTCTCGACAATTAGATCGCTGCTCATTCTGAAATTGAAGAAAAAGTCGTTAGAAAAGAAGGTGATTCAAAGTGAAATGACTACAGAAACCGCTGGTTCGACAGCCTATCTTGGACGCATGTACACGTTTTATACACAAAGACCGTGAGCGGCCCAGATTTCTGTCCAAACTGATAAGATACGACGAGCCGAGAGTGTGCTCGTGACCACTGAAGGCTCGTAGTTTGTATGATGTACAATCAATGACAACTGTGGCGGATGTGGACAGACTGTACTGTGTGCTTCATTATTTAGTTTTCATGATTTATGTGGAAAGTGTTGGGGAGGGGACGGGGTGCATAAATTTACAATTTTTGTCCAAAAACATACGTTTCTTGTAGTAGATTTGGATATTTCTCCAGCATCAAGATCATATTTAGTTTGGCCGAGTGAAGATCGTCTGAAAAAAAACAATGTCAACATACATAAATAGTGATTACAGATCAACTATTCAATGTTTGATCCACTATACTTTGACAGGTGGGCCACCTTCCCCCCTTTCTCCGGTTTTCGTAATAAAATCACTGTTTTTGACAAGACGATAAAATTATCTGACGTTCCAATTCGCGTTATCCAAAACTTTGAAAGTTATTGCACAAATGGACGCATTTGTGACTTGTGGCTTAAACTTGCACTGACTAATCGGAAATGGGAAATCGGAATAATCATAAACTTTTGCTCTGGAAAAGTGTGGCTGACGTAACTAAACTTTTGACTTATGACTTGTTCAGATGTAATTCGGCATTCCGGTATGTCACAAAATTTGGTTTCTGCTATACCTCTTATCAATTTTGAAGGGTATTTTTGGAAAAAAAAATCGGTAGACAAACCCTGTCAGTTCATACTCTTTTTTGTTTTTTTTTTCTTGAGAGGACCGCTTTTCCAGGTCAAAGTAGATTCAACAATCCGTCTGTCATAGTTTTGATGAACAAGATGTTGTACTTGCATAATCTGTCAAATTCATTTGGATTCTAAAACAAAAACTTGACAAAATTAGTGAAGTGATTTCATGATAATCTTTTTTTCTTCAAATAGAATTTCAATCAAGTTCCCAGTGGTTTCATCCATTCGGCTTTTACAGTTTCCACAGAAAAACATTGCCAATATTTCTTAGACCCTGAAAATTATACATTCATGGTACACTCCGTCATGTTCACTCGTTCTTTTACAATAGCCTCTCCTCGAGTACACCAGAACATTATTATAACAGTAAATTGTAAGACGTACTGAAGCAGAGATGTTCAGTTCCTTCGTGTTGTTCACGACGTGAACGTTTTCACCTCTGCCTCCATACCAATCCACCGTCCACTCCTTTCCGCAATCCATTCCTCGAGTTCTCCTATCGTCGTGCAGTCGTATCGTTCTTTTGTCGCCCAATTCAGTTGCCAGCGCTCCTATAATGTCTCTGTCTAAGACTACTGCTTTCAAGCTGCTCGATCTTCCCTACGTTTCACTTCGAAAGGTTTTCAGAAAATTCAGAGTTCAAGACATGTAAGTTTTATCGTTCACATTGAGAAGGGTTCAACAAGAACGTCTAAATTTTGCAGCCTCACCTTGTCCGCTTCATCTCTGAGCGTCTCCCGACTCTTGCAACTCTCCAATCTGAACCCGACTTCTCTCCGTATCGTCTGCAACCCCGAGTATACTGTTATCACCACCAACAAAGAGTCCGATGGGCACATCTATGTTCAAAACGAGGGCATTCAAGTGCTGGCCTTGCCTTCACCCTCAATGTTCGAACAAGTCATAGGCGACCACGCGGTTTCTGTTGAGTAAGTTTAATTGCACTCCTGAAAAATGTCATGATCATTTATATTTTTTTTTCAGAAAAAGCGCCATATTTGACGTGCCGATCACCGCCATCACCACCTCCGACCACCTCAGCACGACATCCGCCCTCGTTGCTCTTTTGCGGTCGTACCTCGGTGTCTCCATTCAGCAGTTGCGCATCGAAAACTTCAATTATCAGTCATTTGCTGAGTTCTTGGACTGGCCTCTCATTTCCGTCGCCGAGAGTATTGAAATTGAGGGAGAGGAGGTTGAAGACGTGCATCTTCCGGTCCTTCTCAGGCAGTTCGGAGCTCATCAGACGGTCAGTCTTCAATTCAGATGTTTCGACGTGCTGGCCGTCGAATCTGCTCTAAAAATTGAAAAGTTGACTATCAAGGAGCACTGCTGGTTTACCAGAGAACTCCTACTGGCGACTAACTTCTCTTATCTGGAAGCGGAGTGTTCTCTTCTGACTGGACTTGATATCAATGCGTTCGTGAGACAGTACATCAATGAGCCCGGACACGACTTGAAATATCTGAAGATGCGAATCATGAATGTTGATGGACTATTCGATGGACTTCCCGGAACGCGCCAGCATATGAATCAGAAAGTGCTGATGTCGGACGGAGAAACAGTGCACATCTTCAGTTTGTTGGAAGTCATTGCAGAGGACGGAGTCAAGATCAGCATCGCCATGGGAACTGAAAAAATGATCTACGTTTTTGTCTGAGAAAATTATTTTAATTTAATCCCTCCACTTGTTTCCTTAAATGTTTGTGATTCTTTTTATTGTTTCTATCAAATCATCAATAAATTTCTTATTTTTACTCACTTTATATGTCCGGATACCGTATTCTTGATCTGAAAAATATCTGATAAATAAGAAAGGAACGCATAACCGGAAACCAGATAGGTTAAAAAAAACCAATGGACGGCAAGAAGATGAATGGGACACCCGGACCCGGATATAGAGTTCACATAGTTGACCTCGCGTATATGCGGTTGCGCGTGTGTTTTGTGTGAAAAAGAGTGTTTTGATTTTTCCCTGAGAATGTTTGTATGTACTTCTAGGGGGCTCAAACTCAATTGTGAGATCCTATAATACGATGACTTAAGAATCTACCGATGCGAAGCATTTAACATCACAGTTTTGTGCTAAAGAAGAGAACGGATTGTAAATGTGAAAATGCTCACATTCGAGTTGAGACGGAAGATGAACTTTAACAAAGAGTGAGCCAAAAGAATTTATTGATAGTTTGAAAAAATAGTATTACAGAAATTATCAGTTCAAGGATCAGATGATTATTTTCAATCAAGAAAATGATTATATCAAACATCAACAAAGACGTGGATAATGTTTCCAAATTCAATGGCGATAGAGATCTTTCTTCTGGTATCCGTATTGACTTGCAGTAAGTCGAAGACAACAGCAGTTTTTCCATCCGCCATCAACAACGTCTGAATAATCCGCTCGCGATTGCCCGGGAGTCCATCCATAAGGCCATGTGAGTTTTTGACTGTTGTTTTCATGTACTTCAGCCTTTGGCCGGGCTCATTGAGACATTTTCTCACGAATGCGTTGATATCCAATCCGGTCAGGTCAGATCCGTCTATGTCCAAATAAGGAACATTAACAGAAAGCAACAGTTCTCTGCTAAACCAGGCAAAGTGTGTAACAACCAATCTCTCGACTTCTAACGTGTAGCCTAGAGACTGAACATTAGAGCACTCAAAATTCAAGAGAACATTTTGACTGGCATGGAACTGTCTCAACAAGGCCGTGAGATCGTCAGCTTTCATTTCATCTCCGTTGATCTCTACTCTCTTAGCCAATGTGAGAAGTGACCACTGAGCAAACGGGGTGAAGGAGTCAGAATCGAAGTCTTCAATTGTGAGAAGATTGATGGAAAAGTTGCAAATGGGCATGAACAGAGAGAGAAGAGCGGTTGTAGCTGTTTTGTGATCGCGGAAAGAGTAGCTGGAGGTGGGAGTTAGGTCTTCGTAGAACTTTCTGAAAAAATATATATTAAAGGTGATCCCCAAGCTAAAATGCAACGTTTCTTAAACAAACATTCAAGTGGGACATTCATTTTTCTAAAGTCCCAAAAATGTCCTGTTTGGTTAAGATTTTTCAAAAAAGGTTATGGTACCTGGGGGTGTTAACGTCACTGCACAGAAGTTTGAAGAAAAATTGTTATGCACTGTAAAAATTCGCTTTCGATAATGAAAACGACTTGAAAATTGAAGGAAATCTGTGGACTAGAAAATCTTTACTAGCGCTTTCATTACGCCGTGTTGTTTCTTCGGTAATATTAATTTTTCGACAAAACATCTGAGAATCAGGAACTTTCTTGTAATCGAGAACTTTGGGAAAGTGAAAAAATGTTTTGTTTCAACCTGGACACTGCTTTCAACAAAATGTTACTTTAAAGATATGTGAACTTACCTAACTTTAGCAACACCGCATCCTACGTCTTGTAAGAATGACGAAACTTCTTCCGAGTACAAAAGCTCAGTGCCTTCATTCTCAATGTAAATGCCTCCGTTGAAATTGCCATTGTCAGAACAGATTAGCGTGACTTCAGGACCGGAATAAATTAAAAGGTTGACTGGTCTCAACTTGGCTTCTTTGAGAATCCTAGCTGCTGTACTAGAAGTTCCGTGGAATGTAATGCTGCAAAATGTAGAACGTTTTGTCAATTTTTGCGATTTTTATAATGAAACTTACACTTCTTGAAAGGTGAATTTTCTCAGAATCATCTGGAGCGGAACAAACGGGAGATTGAGCAACTTTAACGGGATGATCGGCGGAGTCGACGAGGAAGGCATCGGAACCATTTGGTACAGTGAACAGAAAAATAAGAAGGAAAGATTTGTCTGCTCAGCGAAAGGTCGACTTGATGAATGATCTTGGAAGGCGACTGAAGGTACGATTGTTTAGAAGAGAAGAAATAATATGTTCGCGTCTGAACCGCACCAAAACAAGAAAGGGAAGAGGAAACGAACATCTACCCCTCCCTCCTTCCCCTTGTTTCCCTGTATGCACATGACGCTCGTAAAATTAGAGTGTACCACGATTGTATAACTTTCAGGGCCTATTGGAATATCAGTGAGCTCGATTTATTCAAATTTCGGGAGTAAAATAATCACTGGACCGTTGATCGAAAATCAGGTGGGTATGATTGAATTCCGAGTAACAACTGCATCCGAAAAAAAGTGGACACATTCATCATAGTACTTGAGAACTTTGCAACAGCACACACTGACATAGTCTCAATTAAAGGCAGTTGTGTGCGTGAACACGGTCACGTCAGTTGGTACAGTTTTGAAAAAGGGGGGTCGCGAATCGATTTACTCCCTTTCCTCTTTGAGATGTTGTAGCTTCGAACTTGCAGGTGACTGCAATCGACCCGAAATGGCTCGTCGAGTTCGTTCTTCAAACTCGGCGACTCGACGAAATTGTCGAATTTGAAGCGGAATCGAAAGATCGATCCTCTCATCGACAAGTACGCGGATCCGAACGCGTGGCGCATCACTCGTGTGAGAGAAGAGGATATACAATCCGAACAAATAATCTATATTTCTCGCTTTTTTGTTGTTCTCGGCCCCCATTCTCCAGTGTACCCGACGTGTACATTCGTTTGTTCTGAATAACCCCCAAGTGATTCTGAATAATCTCATTTATTAACGAATCTATTGGGGAGCGACTACGCAAAGAGCGCCAAAGTTCCGCCAAAGCAAATAGTCCGGGTCGTTGGGCGCCTGGACGAAGTTGCAGTAGATGTCGTTGAGCAGAGCGTTACAGTTGGAGTTACCCGGGTAGACGGCGAATTCGATGCACTCTTCGATGTCACCGAAAGGAAAAAGTATTGTTTTTCTAGAAGCTTCACCCTTATTTGAGGTATTCTAGTCTTATGGTAACTGTAACACTACCAAAAAGAAGCTACTGTATCCTTTTAAACTCTTATGTTACTGTAGTACTGTAATTTTAAAAGTTATAGGATTATTGTAAAAAATCCGGTGTCAAAAATCTTTCAACACTCTTTTTTCGAATCCTCTTGGCACGGTGCCATGACGTTTCGAAATCCCAATCGTACTTTCCCATCGGAGTCTTTCGTCGGCGTCCTTATCGCTAATCTCCCCCGGTAATCAAGAACGCAGGAATTTCAGCTTCAAGCGGATTTGCGGCAAATTTCAAACCAATCGACTTAATTACCGTTGGAGGTTAGTGATAAGGACAACGACAAAGGACTCCGATGGGAAAAAACGATTGGGATTTCGAAACGTCATGGCACCGTGCCAAGAGGATTCGAAAAAAGAGTGATAAGGAATTGAAGGATTTCCGATTTTGAATGCAAGCATTCAACACAGCGTCGATAGTCCGATCGGTCTGTAACTTGGACCCAATATACAGGGGAAAAGTATGGTAACATGCTGAAATCTGTGTGTATGCTGAATCTCCGAGTTGGTCTTGCGCAACTATTTTGTTACATCCAGTCTTGACATCCTGCTTCTCCTCAAGAGACTCACGGAGCTATTCACGCTCCAATTGGTACTCCGACATTTGCGAATGGAACGAATGTCTCTCGCGCGTCTCCTGATCGAAGGTTCTGTTCAGTTTGATTGTGCGTTGCTGTTTGAAGCGGTTCAACAAGGATAGTTGGCATCTGGATAATCAAAGATGAATTCATCTAGAACACTGAAACTATAGACTCTGACGTCACGACATACACCAAAAAGGAAAATAGACCCGATTCAGATGTCTGCGAACTTTTAGACGCGTTTCTTCAAATAAACACTAAAACAGGTTTGATTTTTGAATGATTTATTGCATGGGGAAAAAATTAAGCGATTCTACCGATCGTCTCCCCAGACACACCCAACCTTACTTAGGTCTGGGTGTGTCTGGCTGTTTTGGCTCGGATCGAGCTGAGGTTGGCATCGGATAAGAAGTCGCGGCGGACGAGATGAGGCGAGGAGCGAACCTGCAAGAGCAACATTTCAGAATTTTAATATGAGGGCTGAATGGTTTTCTCGTGATGGAACTCTTTGCATTTTCTCTAATGCTGAACGCTTGAAAATAACCTACAACATGATGTTTCGGATTTGTCCTGGAGAGAAGAGAGTCGAATCCGGAAGACTGGCTGGATGCGAATGAATTTCCTGGCCGAGCGGAGCGCTTTTATGTCCGAATTTTCGGTGCTGATCTTTTTATTATTCCGATCAGCGATAAAAAATGAAAGAAAAACGGAACACCCCTCTCCCATTTTTATGTATTTTCTGGAGAATGAACAGAAATTCACGTTTGCATCACAGGTGATCAGAAAACCAATGATACCGTAGATTGGTCAAATGTTCTGTCCAGTGATAATCATAGTGATAATCAGTGATAATCACTATAGATTTACTTTTACGTGAAAGCAAAATAACTATAGGACAAAGGGGCATGAGAAAACCATGTGACTAGCGCATATTCCGCTTGCACCAAGACGAAAAACATATTTATTGAAGTTTTGTAAGTTTAATGCCACACCATTTTTCAATTCTTCAAAGAAACGTCTGTTCCGTATACCGTCAATGTTGAGAGTTTGTCATGCTGGAATCCGAAAACAACTTTCAAGCTATATCTGTCGTTAACTTGTCAATTATCCCAAATACTGGTTGTAACTGTGAAACGTGTTTTATTGTTTGATTCATTTTCCATAATCTTGTACTTTAAATCCTTTTCGATTCTTAACAAAAACTGCTACAATTTTGTTTTCATGTAGAACATGGAACTTTTTGGCGAAAGCGATTGTGAAATATTGGAAAATTATATAAATAGTTATGAAAAGCACGTATGGAACAGGGAAGAAGATAGTAGATTGGTAGTTTTGGAAGCGTTCATAGAGAACGTCCCGGAACTCAAAAAAGTTATCCAAATGGAAATAGAAGCAAAGAGAAATGATGAAGTAAGAGAGCAAGTTACCGCGCATTTGTGGTGGCCATTTGTCGAGTGGACACGGTTTGAACAGTTTGCAGAAGGCGTAGGAGGAGGGGAAGAAAATGAAAATGTTGTGCAGACAAACCAAGTTCCAAATTATTCGTTCGTAACATTTCTGAAAAATCAAGTAATTCTTCATTCTGGCTGAATGGAAACCAACTTCATTCTCCCATTTGACCAGTTGAATAAGACTTTGAAAATATCCGCCACTGAAGACCATGAGAAAGAACAAGTAGAATCTTCCAGATGTTATAATAGAGCTCGGGGGCATCTTTTTCCATTTTCCATTTCCAAAATGTAAGGTCACAGTTTTGGAGATGAAGTGAAAAAGAGCACGGGAATAAAGTAGAATCGCAATGAGTTTCCAACCACTTCGATACCAGAATGGATCCAAAATAACTATATCATTAGCATTTTCTGGCAAGTTCAGAAGTGTCATAAGATTATTACTTAAGCTTCGTATGATTGCAAAAAGTACAACCATGATGTGTAAGCAATGATAAGCCAAGAAGTAGTAAAATGTGGTTGAATGAAAGGGGATTGCGAATTGCGTATCTCTTTGGATTAGAGTATAGCGGAAATGAGCAGCGCTCTCAACCGGAAATTTATGTATCAACTGGATTTGGGCAACACCGCGTGGTATATGCTGATATGTGAATTCCCACTAACATCACGTTTTTGTTCGGTGTCAGGTTTTTGGAGAAGGAATACGACGGAGGTATTCCGAGGGACCCAAATTGTTACAAACTAATGAAACATAGTCCGTAGAACATGGCAGTATCATCAACAACCATTCCGAAGCTGTAGTCGCCTCGGAAATTTTAAAAGCCTTACAGAATCTCACTTTTTTGTGCACACTATCAAGTTTTTGAGTCGGGCGGCGGGAGAGCTATTCCGAAGGGTTGCTTCTACTTTTCTGTTGTCAATAAAATGGGTTATCATCACAATTGAAGAGGCAACAGACTCAATGGTCTTCTCGGTGGACGCTATTTTCATGAGGACAGCACTGATAAAACGGTTTTTCCACAAAAGAAAACAAACATTATGAAATGTTTTATTGAAACTCTTCAATTTGTGAAGAAATACCACAAAATCCCAGTCTACCAATCATGTATAGTGCTAGTCAATTCTCAACTGTTTTCAGGCCTCTCTTTCATCATTGGACCGGGTAGTCTTCAACGAATGACTAAGAGTGATGTTCATAGAAAACTGTGATAAGACAGTGTAATAAAGAACCCGTCACAACTAAAATACGTATCGATCGACCCGGTTACACCTTTATTGGACGCACATTCTCTCAACGCTCTTAGCGATGATCTTTTTTTAACTGAACACTTGCTTGTATTTCTGCTTTTCCTTTCTTTTTTCTCAAATTTTTCCCGTAATTGCTCATTTCCGCCCCGATTTCGGTGGCAAATTCTCCTTCAATGTTTTGTATTCGATGGCCGAGATGGTGACTCAAACTGGCTCCTATTAAATGACTATAAAACCCCGTAATTGCTCTCGGAACACCCCAGCGAGAAAATTTTTGTCTTTTCAGTCAGTCTCTTTTCCTCACACCAAGTTGGGATTTCCTGTGATTGTTTCACCAAATTATCAGTTTCCAGTCGAATTCTATAAAAAACTGAGAGGGTACAGAGATTTTATTGCTTGCGTACGATTGAACTAAAAAATTTTGCGTGGCTGAGGGACGAAGATTTTTCGTCCCTAGACTTTTCTCCTCGCCTCCCTCTTTCTCGTCTTTCCCCCCTCGCGTTTTCTCTTCGCTTTTCTCTCATGTCTCTACCTCCTCGCCTTTCCCTTTTGTATTTCCCCCTTGCCTCGCTCCTTGCAAACGTTGTGATTTTCCCCAGTTCAGCTGGACTCAAGACGTTTTTGGACGATTTCTTCTGCAAGCAGCGGCGTTTCCACTTGTTGCCAGCTCTTTTGTAAATGATTTTAGTATCGCTGATATGTCGTCCATACATTTTTTTTTCTTAGTCGTGCTTGGCCTATCTTTCTTTTCATGTTGGCTCCCACTCTTCTTCGATTATCTGTTTTCGTTTTGCCACGGCAGCTTCTTTTTACTTTAGGTTGTCCGTGTTTAGTTCTTTGCGTCATCTGTCCTTTGAGATGTATTCGCTCTATTTGTCATATTACTAAACAATTGTGCTCAAACATTACAATGTTCTGTTTGAGTTGTTTTCCACCGCTTTGAAATTTCTCGTTTATTAATAATACGCTCAATCGCTAGGGTGGAAATAATAGTATTTTTTCAGCTTTCCGGTATTTTCAAGAAGAAATATGGAAGATCCGAACGATCCGAAAGAACCGTTCAAAGGAGATTCAAGTGGCCCCGGAGCACACGCCGCGAACAACCATCCTGGTCAAAAGAGAGCAAACGAAGGGCGTGAAGAGGTGAGAACAATACATTAATACATAGAGAGAGAGAGAATCTAATTGGATTTTATCTAGGAAACAAACATAACTCGCGCCAGTCTTATTTTGTCACAGAATCTGTCATGTCTCTGTGACAAATTGCAAAGAAAATTTGAGGTAATATAGGAGTTCGTTTCATGATATTGAACTAATTTTTAGTATGTTTTGTCTAGGAAACCATTGTGACTAGCGCTATTCTGACCAAGACTGTTGATCGCTTTGCTTAGCAGAATTGGTTCAACTACGCTAAATGCATAATTCTCCACTATAATTGATTTTTTCCAGATGCTTCAAGAGTCGGATCATGAAAAAAGAGCCAGAAGAAACCCCAATGTTGGAGAAAACGTCTCGCAAGAATTTGGTTTCACCTCTGGACCTTCCTTCGTCCAGAATGTTGCATTCCACCAAGCGCAGCCGGTTGTTCCACAACGCAACACCGGAAAAGAAACCAATTCGGAGGAGAATCAGGAGTTGCCATCAGATCTATTTGTGCCGAACTTCCAGTTCGAGCAGCAATATTTGGAGCCAGAGGCGGCTGGACAACAGCCCGGAATAGGAAACAGTTCTTTTTTGAATGGAAATTCGTACTTGGACATGGATCAGCATCAGCAGGCAAATTCATCGGCAATGGACATCAGGCAACAGCAAGTCCCGACAGAATTTCAATACGGTGTTGGAGATAATTCTCATTCGAACGGAAATCCGTCTCTGGCAAGTTATCAAAATCCACAGCCGAATCTGTTTGCGATGGATATGAACCTGCAGTCCGTTCCGATTGAACTCCAGAACGGGAGTGGAGATTTTGCTTATTCGAATGGAATTTCTTTTTTGCGAACGGATGAACATCTAAAGGCGGATTCGAATCAGCGGCCTGTCGTCATAGGACAGCAAAATTTGGATGACTTCGACGAGTTCGAACATTTGGAGGTCCTGGACGAGGGCCCAGTCTTGGCGGGACCAGTGCAGGCTCTTCCGAGACAGCCGGAAGCCAATTTGGAAAAGTCTCCGGAACAGCAACCAGTCATACCCAAACCCGTTTCGGCGACACTGAAAACGAATATGAAGAGAATTGTCCCAAATCCAATGGCCTTGGCGACACCCGAAGAGCTTATCGGTTATAAGCTTTTCAATTATGCACCAGAACAACTGAAATTATTGAAATTGAAACCGATACCGAGTAAGTAGATAAGAGCAAAGCGCACAATGAAAATTATTTTTCAGTCACCATGCGGGACGTACGAACGCTGGAAAATAATTATTATCTCAACGATATGATTATTAATATGATGCTGGCCTACTTTTCTGTCAACATGATTGAAGATGAATTGTAAGTGAGGGGAAATATTGAACATTTACAGTGCGTGTTAAATGTATAGGGCACTATGAAAAATACTGCATCAAATTGTATCAGGAACTCATTTAGCCTGGAAGAAAACTGAAGCACCTTGCATAAAAACAATTCAAACATAAAAAACAAGTCAATGACCACACTGAAATTATTCAGTGTTTCATATGTTTGACACATACTGTAGTAGACTTTGAATAATCTGGTCAAAACTTTAAACTTTTTACAGACTGAAAAAAATTCAAATTTGCGATCCTTATCACTTCACCACCCTGAACAACGGAATTTGTCCGGATACATTCTCAGGACGAAACGGTGTTGATCTGGAAATCAATCCAACTTTCAAACCACAAATTGAGGAGTCTATCGAGGAATGTCTTCGTGCGAACTGTAGAAAAGTGTGTGGATGGGCAAAATGTGACATTTTCACGAAAGAATTTGTCATTCTGCCGTGCAACTATGTTTTTCATTGGACCCTCGTCTGTATCATCAATCCCAAAGGAGCAGTCGTGGAAATGGACCGCGAGGAAGAGTCTCGAGCCGCTCCCAAGTGCTACATTGCTTTCTTTGATCCGCTGGGTGGCTTCAATCAAGATCGGAACGACCACTTCAAGTATTTGATGGAAACGTTCTTGCACGAGTCGTTCAACACAAGAAAGATGCCGGATACGCAGTTCAGTAACCCATTTTTTGATCCCAAAAGAGCGATATTCACAATTCCGCAAAATTTGCCTTGCCAGAGAAACTTGTATGATTGTGGCAAATTTCTACTGCACTTTTTCGAAGGCATATTTTATCCGAACCAGACAATCAGCGTTGCGGTAAGTTTAAGTTTTGTCTTATTTCGACTCAACACATGATTTTTCCAGGATTTTCCCCATTTGGATTGGTCTGCTCGTTTTCCCAAGGCAAACGAGATGGCGGAACTGATGAACTACAAGGCTTACAACGTGATTCTTTCACTTACTAATAAGGAGGGACGCGAGCACATTTCCCGATCCGAGAAGGCCATGAAGTACGGTCTCGGCCGGGAAGGAAATTTGCGAAGATCACGCCGTCACAGTGCCGAGAATCGTCGCCAGCCACGCCGCCCGGAGTATTACCGGCGTCACTACTCGGTGTCACCGCCGGCTCAGTGGATAATGGATGACCCACAATTCACAAATCCCCGTGAGCTCGTCGAGATGCCCATCACTAAAAAGCTTCGTGCAAAGTATTGGCCAATTATCAGTACATCCGTTATCTACTAATGTTTTCCGGTTTCTTTTTCATTCTGCTGATCAGGCTTGTACGGAAATCGTTTCCGCACAAAATTTTTCAATTTTTATCGTTTCATATGAACCCCGAATCCATTTCTTCTATTTAATTGTTTTGTGTTAGGGAAATTTTTCTGTCCTTTTCCGGTGTCCTCTTTTTGCCTCTATTACCGCCTTTTTTTTGCCCCGAGTTCTTCGTTCATTGCTAAACAATTTCATGGTTCGCACAGTTGATGTTGTACGTTTTCTACTGCCCAAACTTTCCATTATACCAAGTCGGCTCATTTGAATGACCTTTCAAAATCTTTAGACCCTGTTTTCTCAACACTTTTCACAAGAACTCCACCACGAAACATAGAATATTCTTGAATTTAAATAGGAATTTCATTCCATAAGTTTGTCGTTTTGTATTGTATGTATGCTCGCGGAACGTCCTTCTGGACGTTTATGTGGCTTTTGTTAACTTAGGAGTTTATTGTTCGGTCATTTTTACTGGAATAACTACTATTTCTTTCGAATATTTGGCTCATTTACAGATTCCGAAGACAGGTTTCAGGTTACTTGGTAACAAAACGGTTCCATAAATAAAGTGATCCCAAATATCAAGAATATGCACACACCGTCCGCTGGTGGTGTAGTTAGACATTTCACCAGGTGATTTGTCTACCAGAAACTTTTAAAAAGTGAAAATTTGCAAAAAATGAGCATAAACGCTTGAAGCGTGTAAGTCAACCTTGGAGCTTTCTTATTATTAAAATTATTTATGGAAATGGGATAATACAGAAAAATTCGTTTAATATACTTTACTGTTACATTTTTGGAGTGGTTATCATTGTAGAAATTCGGATCGCACTACGACAACTGGAGTACTGTATATCTGAAAAGTGGGAATTTAGTTGTTTAGTTAATAGTTAAGTTTAGTTAAAAATCACTATACCTCTTGTGAACGTGTTGTCTCGATGCTAAATCAAACAAAACACTTTGACGGCTTAATCTGGAGTTATCAAACGAGCTGAAAAGTAGGTAACTATGTAGTAGTTGCGCTTATGAGAAATTTGCTTACTCTCAAAACTCGCATCATTGGGCGGGGCCACTTTGAAATTCACTTTTCCTCCTGATTCCAACTCGATTCTTAGAATATTTATCGAGTGTGGAATTGGAAATTCCCAAATTGCTGACTCAAAAATATTGCTTTCCGTGCTTGGACCAAGAATTTTACTATATTTGCCTAGCTGATTCTCAAGATAGGTGCGGAATGCGATATTTGCTCTTTGATTTCTTTCCATCAGCTTCTATAAAGAGAAATTGGAGAATTAAAAGATTCAGGATGAAACTTACGTTTTTCATGCCGAGAATGAGACTACGCTCAAACGTTTCATGAACAAGATATGTGAATTCAAAGGGTAATTCACATATGGTATTCGCAGAAAGATCGACGGCGAACTTGGATGTGAACTTTTTCGCTTGTTGAACCTGCGGCAAATCAAATAACGGCCGGATGTTCAGTTGTTCTCCTTCATGTTTACATCCTAGATAAATCGAATGAAGAATGGTCGGTTTGAGAAACGGAATAATAGTTAGCACGTCGTCCAAATCGTCGTAAAATTTGACTAGGAGAAACTCAACGTGCAGTTGGCTTGGCAGATTTGCAATTGCTGAGCTCAACTTATGCATGAACCTCTTTTTGGCACGCTCATGTCTGATAATGGACTCGGTTTCCTCTTCATACACATCTTCGTTTCCATAAGCTAGGCGATGATGAATAAGATACTCTGGCAATGTAACAATTTCCAGCTTTTTGATGATCAATTGTGGATTTCTGAGTATGATTTGCAAATCATCGAGAAATGCTTTCACGTGGTTCTTTTCGATTCTTTTCACTCTTGGAACAACAAACCAATTGTCAAATGGTCCATATTTCTTGATATTCAAGCGACATTTCCTGCCTCCTGCTACAGATGTATATTCAATTGTCCTCGTGTGGTTTTGATGATCGATCAAACTCAGTTTTACACTAGTTCTTCTGTACCGGATTTTCAATTCGGCTACACTAATTGGCGCCTTGTCAACATAATACTTAGCCTCCCGGTTGACTTTACGGTACGACATTCTGGAATGAGCCTTTTTATTGGAAAAAAACTGGATCGCGTACCTTGATTTGAGGTCTAGACTTTTAACAACAATATCCTTGCAGTGTGGTGGCAACATATCCAAAGAGTACGACATTTTCGATTGCTGACTCGTTTTGTATCAATCTGAAATAAAAATTTTGAATGGAATAGAAAGAAAAGAACATTGGTAAAGTCAGGGATGGACAAAAATCCGGTCCATGCTTTTTGAAGCTTTTGAGAAGCCTGAGCCGGTTATTCGCCCAGCCCCGGAGAAAAGGCGATTTTTATGGTGTCTTCTAGTCACGGTTTGTTTTTAAATTAGAAAATGTCTGTTTTGAATTTGCAGAATTTCTGCAGAAAAACATGTTTCCTTACTGAAAGAGACCATTAGAGACGACTGAGTTTAAAAATGTTTAAAAAAAAGAGAAGAGAAACGGTTGAAAAAGAGGAGATGTCATTGTATTGCTGAGTAAACAGACACACAAAAGTGATTATTCGGGTTGATAAAACGTAGCGTGCATGAAAACGGAAATCGTGCAAGAAACTAGTTTGAGAAAACTCATGTGACCGCGCGATTGTTGTGAAGGGATGTAGTAGTCAATCTTTTCTGTATGAATCAGATATGATATATCGATTTTTTTGAATAAAAGCAAGAAACAACACTCGTTGCTAATCAAAATAACCAACTAAAAATGACACGCAAAAGCGTTAACATCGCGTGATGAATTCGCCCGAGAAGAGCGTTGTAACCAATGAGACGAAAATATTAGCGAGAAGACGGAAAAGAAAGAGAAAAGTGTAGTCAACGCGAGAGACGTAGAGAAGTGGAGGCAGGGAAACGGCAAGCGAACAATGAACGAGAGAGAGCAGAGAGACATATGGCTGTCGCTAGTTTCTAATGCGTCACAGAGTAAATAGTGTGATGTGTGCGGTGTGAGAAAACAAAAAGGAATGGGCCGAACAAGGGAACCCGGGACCTCACGCACCCAAAGCGCAAAGCCGCAGCCATATCATTTCTATATATCTTTCGCAATTACTTCGTGATCGTGGCAACGCAGCGGCTTCACCCTATTTGCCTTCTATGAGTGTGAACAGACATGGAACGGGAAGGGAAGAATGAAAGAGATGCTGGCAGCAAGGTTAGTGAGTCTTTTTGAAAACCTGCCGAGTCCTGGACTTTTGGCCCTCTAGTCAAATTTCAATCGAGCCCAAACGTTGCAGGCAGGCTTGTTTTGCGCATAAGTTTCCAAGTTTCAAATTCAATTTCGCAGATACCTAAACTTTTTATTGTTTGTGTCAAACAAACTGGGAAACCACGGGACAGGTACGAAAACATCTCCTGATGAATTGTAGTTGCTTTGTAGGCTACGTTTGTAGTCGGACCCGTCCTCATATCACGTGTCTACCCTGTTCATTGAGAACACTCTTCCTATCCGTAGCCTGTTCATGCAACACAGATTAATATGGTCAGATCGGGGGCGGTGTTGACCTCCACCTCTTTTGAGAAGAAGATTGTTTATAAGGACTGAGTCTTCTATTACTCGCTACACACTTGTTATGGGATTTTTGGTCGCATTTGTGATACTTTTGGCTACTGTAGCGGGGTAAGTTTTCAGACATTTTCTTTCTTAAAAAATGTTTATATTCCAGTTATTTCAAGTGGCTTCACACGTATTGGAAGCGAAAAGGAATAAACGGCCCGGCTGGACTTCCGTTTATTGGCAGTTTTTACGACGTTGCCGATGTACACAGACCAAGAGGATATCTTCTTCACAAATGGACACAGGTGACTTTATTAACAAGATTGGGCTATTGATTATTGAAGTTGGTTAAGAAAACAGTAACTTTTTTTGCTGACTCCGCACAGTTCCTCTTATTTTCAGCAATTTGGAAAAGTATTTGGATACTATGAAGGAGCAGTTCCAATACTCGTTGTCAGTGATCTGAATATGCTTCAAGAACTGTTCGTCAAGAAGTTTGACAATTTTTACGCTCGAAAGTCTACTAATTTGATTCATGGAAACCTGGAAAATTCAGTGGAAGAACCCCGAATCAACCTTTTCACTGCACGAGGAGCCAGATGGAAGAGATTGAGAGCATTGGCTTCTCCTGCATTTTCGGTGAAGGCTTTGAAGCAGGTAGGACAATTCCACACAATGTTTATTGAACATTTAGAGTGTTCAGGTACACAATGTCATGGAGGATAGTGTTATCAACATGGTAGACCTCATGGCCAAGCATGATGATGGAAAACCTTTCAATATCCATGCGTAAGCTGCACTTATAAGTGCATTTTATTAAACTCCACAGTGTTTCAGATATTACCAAGAATTAACATATGACATTATCTCTCGATTGGCCATGGGGCAACCCAATTCCGAGCTATTCAATAATAATGGAATTGGTATCACAAAAGCAGTACGTTTCCTTCAGTAATTTAATCACCGATATTGTATTTCTCTAGATTTTCAACCGAACTTATCGTGTCCTTCCTTGGTACCTTGCCGTTCTCTTTCCTCAATTTGAATTCATGGTCAAACGTCTGTTTTTCAATCATGAAAACGTTCAAGGCGGTGATGTCGGCAAGTTATTGAAATTCTGTAGTGACGCTGTGTCGAGCAGAATGAAAGAACGAGTAAGTGAAAATTCTAGAAAAAGTATAACCATGCATTTTTTTCAGGAAGAAAATGCTGCGCTCGGTATTCAGAACACTGAAAACGATTTCATTGACATGTTCCTCAATTACTATTCGGAGCAAGTGGAGGACATTGAATACGGAAGTACTGTAGAGAAGAAAGTGACATCCGAAGATGTGGTTGGCGCGTGTTTCGTATTCCTACTTGCCGGATTTGACACAACTGCTAACAGCTTAGCCTATGCATCGTATCTTTTGGCGAAAAATCCGGATAAGATGAGATTGGTACAAGAAGAACTAGATAACGTTCTGAAATCTCCAAATGTTTCGCACGATGACACTGGAAAATTGAAATATCTGGATGCTGTGATCAGAGAAGCTCTCAGACTTTACCCGGTTGCCTGGTTGTGAGTCCTTCGAGTTTATATTACCTATTTTTCTTTTTGTTTTTTGTTTCAGTGCTTGCTCGAGAGAATGCGTCAAACCAACAACTCTAGGCGATGTGCACATTGACAAGGGCGTGAAAATTGAAGCAGATGTTATGTCGATCCATCATAGCAAAGAAATTTGGGGAGACAACGCATTGGAGTTTGTGCCTGAAAGGTTGGGTCACGAATTTACAGTTTGTCATCTAAAAGTAGATTAATTTAAGATGGATAGATGCTTCAAATCGCCATGTCATGTCTTGGATTCCATTCGGCGCAGGTCCACGTCAATGCGTTGGAATGCGTTTAGGCCTTGTAGAATCAAAAACTGCACTTGCACACGTGCTCCGCCGCTATGATTTGGTTGCTGGCCCTGAAACTGAGGTAAGACTCTCTCTCTGAATTATCTTCAAAGTACGTATTTCAGAAAGAACTTCGCACTCAAGGATGCACCGCCACGTCTCCGGAAGCAGTAACTTTGTACCTGAAGTCTAGATTCTAAAATAGTTTCAAAGATCACGTTTCATTTTGTAAATACTGCTATTTTTGCTTCTAGTTGATCCTTATTTTCATAAACTCCTTCTCCTTTTTTATTTTCTGTTCGGTTTCCATAAACATGAAAAATAGGTTTCCATTTGTTTATCTTTGCTTTCAAAATCCCTCACTAGTGAAACGATCAGGAAATACAGATTATCAGGAGTAAAATGAATCTGCTGAAAATGTCAGAGTACCGAATCCACAAAACTACATCGTAGTTGGATAAGCGTAAAGCACTTGAAGCAGCGTCAAAAATTTGATTATATATCATAAGTGAGCAGGAACTTTGAGCTTCCTTCTTAGCCAATGTTTCATTGCTTTCTGTTTGGTTGGTCATGAGCATTGCGCATTTGGTTTATCCTAATCAACAACTTTTCGGATTACAATTGATCCGCATTATACATAGCTTCTAAATTTCTCGGAATAAAGAGAACATCGGAAGGTTAATCCGGTGGTCCGGCCTTTAAAGGGATAGGTTTGTCACTGAACTCTTCAATGGTGTCGTTAGTTTCGTAGGTCTGATGTGTATCAATTATTTTTTCGATTATAATGTTGCAAGTTTCATTTATTTCTCAAAGGCAATCATTGGAGCGGGAAATGGAAAATGATTAGATAAAATGTATCAATTTCTATGAAACTCGTCTAGACTGTTGGCTGGTCTTGACCCAAGCCATCTAAAAAAGTTGTCCAGACATGAACCATTAACGAAAAACCGAATTTTCTCAATGAGGAAATTGAAAATACCTTTTCTAAAGTTGCACGATCTTTGAACAAAACTCAACGCAACCCAATTTCATTGTTGAATTTTCCCCTCTTGTGTTCAAACTACGTCGTCATCTTTCCTCCTCTTGCACTAACTCAGCATGGAAAAACTTTTTTTTCATTGAAAGTGCAAGAACATTGTCCCCATCAAAGAGTTGCCGCTGCGGCGAACATAAAGATCTGTTTGCGGAAATTGATGCAACAAAGTGATCATGAGGTTTGTTTTCTTGTAAAGTGCAACAATGCGCTGGACTTTTTCGCACCTTGGTCTGGTATATAAGATGTTGGTAAACTTGTTTTCTCAAACATTTCTTTGTCGAGACAGTATACCGCCTGTCTCGAGTTTCGCTGACGTTGAAGTAAGTATTTTTATGCTCGGGGCACCCAAACACTACAGTAACCCATCAGAACGTGACTTATCTTTAACTTTTTCGATGGAATTCATCCCTTTCCCTTTCTTATTTACGGTTATCTTGACTGTCTCTTGTTCCGCTGGAGGATACAAACCGACCAGAGTAGAAAGGGGATGGGCGGGCGGAAGATAAAACTAGGCGATAGAGATATGATAAACTTTTTAGGTAACGGAAAATGGGGATGATTGAAGAAAGTATAAAACAAAAAACAATCTTACAGTTACATTTTCATAAACATTTTCCAGTCAAAACGTCTGTTGTTCTGTTATCATGGTCATTGTCATTTTTCTCGTTACTCTCCTCGCACTTCTCTGCGGGTAAGTTTACTGGTTCTTCTCTTTTTTGTGAAAAAACAACATAGTACAGTTGTTTTTCAGGTACTTCAAATGGCTACACACTTACTGGAAAAGAAAGGGGATCGATGGTCCGTCTGGATTCCCGTTTATTGGAAGTTTCTATCAGCTTGCGGATCGTAAATTCCCTAGAGGACTTATTATCAATCAGTGGACCAAGGTATGATTGAAACAACTTGTAAAGAACGCCACGATCCGTTCAGACCTATGGGCAAGTATTCGGATATTACGAGGGAGCGACTCCTGTGCTGGTTATCAGTGATCTGGAAATGCTGCAAGAGATGTTCGTGAAAAAGTTCGATTGCTTCTATCACAGGAAAATGACCCATATGATTACTGGAAATCTGGAAAGTGTTAAAGAAGAACCTCGCGTCAATCTGTTCTCAGCACAAGGATCCAGATGGAAAAGACTGAGAGCTCTAATGACACCAGTTTTCTCCGTGAAGTCTGTGAAAAAGGTACATAATTATTCGAGGCTGTTTGGAATTTGAATTTTAGATTCACGCAACTATGGAGGATAGTGTTTTAGCTATGGTCGCCCTTCTCGAAAAACATGTCGATGGAGAACCGTTCAATATTCTCGAGTATTATCAGGAACTCACATACGATGTTGTTTCCCGACTTGCAATGGGTCAACCACATTCAGAATTGTTTAATAATGAGCAAGTTGATATGGTTCGAAAGGTAACGAAACAATAATTTTGCCTTGGCCCAAAAAATAATTGCAGATCTTCGATCGTACGCAAAGAGTCTGGCCGTGGTATCTGACAGTTACGTTCCCATACTTCAAAAACGCTATCAAAGATTTTTTCTTTAAACATCCAAATGTTCGAGGGGGAGATGTTGGCAAACTTCACAAGATCTGTGAAAATGCCGTGCAAATTAGACTGAAAGAAAGGGCTGAAAACGCAGAAAAGAACGTTGAAAAAGAACAAAACGACTTCATCGACATGTTTCTGGACTACTACTCGGAAAGTGTGAAAGACGGAGTCTTCGGAGAAACCGTTGAAAAAAAGGTTACTGCCGATGACGTGGTCGGCGCTTGTTTCCTGTTCCTCTTGGCTGGTTTTGATACCACCGCCAATACTCTCGCCTACGCATCCTATCTCCTCGCTAAGAACCCGGCAAAGATGGATATTGCACAAGAGGAAGTGACGAGAGTATGCCGTTCTCCTAACATTTCCTACGATGAAATTGTCGGTTTGAAGTACATGGACGCGGTTGTCAAGGAATCTATGAGATTGTACCCTGTCGGAGCGTTGTAAGTTTATCAAATTCACAAGAAATGGGTCAAAGATTTTGTCATAATTACAGCGCTTGCTCACGAACCTGTATGAAGTCCACCACTCTTGGCAACTTGCAAATTGATGTCGGTGTGAGCGTCGAGGCGGATGTTCATGCTCTGCATCGCAGTACCGAGATTTGGGGAGACAATCCGGATGTTTTCTTCCCAGAAAGGTACATAACGACGAGGATGTGTTCGGCCTCGGCCCAGAAAAAAAAACTACATTTTGAAATATTTTTATTGTTCCTGGCCGATAACTGGAATAATTTTTTTCAGATGGCTTGATCCAAACGCCGCGCATAGACACAATATGTCTTGGATTCCATTCGGAGCAGGACCAAGACAATGCGTTGGAATAAGAATGGGAATGATTGAAGTCAAACTTGCTTTAGCTCATATCCTCCGCAAGTACTCAATGATCGGAGGAGCTCACTCAGAAAAAGAATTGAATTTAATTGGATGCGCAACAATGGCCCCGGAAAAAGTTACCGTTTATTTAGAAACCCGATTCGGCTGAACTTGTGCCAACTTATTTTTCAACATGACATTATGCTTCCATTTATGCTTATTTGTATGCATTTTTCAATTATTAAACATATGTTGTCTTCATTATGTATTTGGCAATAAATATTTATTTGGCATGAAAGTTGAGATGTTTTGTTTAGTCAGTCGCTTACAGTCTACATAGTAGGATGATTAGTAGTAGTAGTCGGCTACACGCTATCTGGACAAGCAAAAAAAAAGGTACAAAATCACAGGTTTAGATACAAAAATTATGACCAATCGTAATACATGAAATAGTTCTCCGAGAGTTCCTGATCGTCAACTTGGCAACCTTTGGACGAGGTATCCTTGTACATGCGGATCTTTGCCTTTGCACGAATATTTCCGAGTGCTCCACGATTTTCGAGGCGGATTCTCACGACCTGCAACAAAAATGATGAGTGATTCAGTGATCAAACATCGGAAATATTGTCAATTACATTTTGTTCGGTTCCAGTCCGAATAGTTCCTTCCACAAAATGAGGAATAGGTTCTCCAGCATCATTCAAAGTGATTTCGATACGATCCATCACACCTTTACGGATGGCAACACCATTTGGAACCTGAAATCGGCATTTTTACTTTAAATTTTTCTTAGGGTCCTACCGATTCAACTTTAGCTCCCAGGAACCCTTCATCTCCATTGTCAATAGTGACAACTTTTTTTGTTTTCCCTTCAATCAGCTTTTCAGTACTGAAAAATCGCGTTTTATAGACTCTATCAGTACTTGAACTTACATAGCGCCTCCAGCACCTCCCGACAGAATAGCCTTGACCTTAGCGGCAATATCATCCCATCCGACATTCAGGTAAGTTGTGATTTTTTGCTTGCTAGCTGGGAATTTGGACTGTCCCCGAGCATCCAAAGCACGCAAATGCTCTTCGACAATCTTTTTATCGGAAACAGTGAGTTGTTTGGCTTGCATCTTGGGAACACTTGAGGACGGCATTGGTTTTGATTTCTTTGGCATGTCCGTGTCATCTAAATAATAATTATATAACAAATTTCTACAATGTGCACTTACGAATATGAGCTTCCACATGTTTATCAGCCAACATAGCTCTGTGCATTTCTTTAATAGTCTCCAAATTAGCTTTGAGTTTTGAATCTGAAAAAGGAGTTTGTCACATTATGGTTATTATCATGTTATCTCTGGCTCACTTCCTGGTTGTCCTTCCGCTTTCTTCATATTCTCATTGATGGTCTGATCAAACTGATGTTTATCCTCTGCAGTTTTCAGCGTGTCACGAAACTCGTTAATCTTTTCTTGAGTAGTCTGTTGGATCAGTTTTTCAGCAGTTTGAAGGTTGACCGCTGCGTTTGTGAAGAATAGCAAACTGGTGGAGAATTGGAACAGTTCCAATGGAGTCGGTTTCTCACCATTAGCAACCTAATAAATAATGTTTTACAAGTTTTTGAAATTTTTTAGTACTCAGTGAATACCTTTTCGAAAATATTGTATCCTGAAGCAGTGAGAGCTATTCCTGAAACTGCAAAGTTGGCAAAGATGGCCGCGTTCACAGTATACTCAATGGCCTGGCTCACTTCAATTCCTTGAGTAGCCATCACAGTAAGGTACTGAAAATGTTTGCCTACATAATTTTCAGTGTTTGCTGCAACTCACAGCAGAGCCCCCAATCGCTCCAAACGACGCGAGAGACGCTGCAACCGCCAGCCAGTCCACAAAATTCTCACGGCTCCGAAGTGGATTCACATTTTCATTATGCGTCGCTCTATCTACAATGTGGTAGCCTGATCTGGCCATTGTGTAGACTCCGGTGCCGATGGCTGTGTAGAGAAGGGTTGTAGCGGCTACTGGAGCCAACGGGGTGAAAAGTCCAATAACGGAACCGATTGTAGCAGCAATTCCAATTCCCATTGCACTTCGGTCACTTATCTGATAATTACGAAGGTTTAGTGAAAGATTTTATAACACAGGGAAATTGTACCTTTGCAATTTTGCTTGGGAGCTTACTTCTTCTAGAAATATCATATCGAAGATTGAGAACACCTCCTGGCTCCATCTAAACTCAATAAATAGCAAATTCTCTTGGAAAAAGTGCTCACCTCATAAAGTCCACCATCTGGATACAAAATATTGCATTCCGGTAGCTTATTCTTACTGATGAAGTCCTCCCAATCATCATAAGCACGGCCTGTAGACTCCACGTACATAGTTTTAGTATCACTGATACGTAAACAGATAAGAGGGAGCTAAAACAGTTGGGTTAGAGCATTTCAGATTTTTCAAGTGAGCTTACAATATTAGAGTGTGATCCATCGGCGAAGAAGCTAATGAACACGAATTTGGTTTCCACAATATTCGACTCTCCCTCTTTCACTTTTTTCTGTCGTCTGTTAATATCAAAAATTTCGTCCCGAAGTTTTACTATATGTTCCTCTTGCTCTTTGGTGTATCCAAACTGTGGCACAAATTTTACGTCGATCTTTTTCTTGCTCTTTGAATTGTTGTTCGCTTCCTTGGCTTCCAATTCAATGTTTTTGATGAGCTCCTCCAACTGGTCGGGGTTCAGGCTATTACGCTCCTCCTGCGGAAGATTAGTTGGGTATTGGTAGACGGCGAAACCAATTTTACGACCCAGGTTTTTCATTTGTTCCTAGAAACGAGGAGAATGAAGGGAAATGAATGAGAAACTCAATTTACCTCATCGTTTTTATCAATTTGGAACCAATCCAACCGTGCTAGCCCAATACCGTAGTATTTTTGAGTGACTATTGCTGCTCCGATCTGGTGCTTCTTCTCCAGTTTAGGATTCGCCTGCACCGCCTCGAAAAGTTCAATTTCTTCACTTCCCTTCTTCTTGATGAAGCATGTAGCACAAATACCGTAGTCTGGACAGATTTCCGGACACCTAAATTAATAGAGAACATTTTACAAGATGGCAGTCTTCCAAAACAACTCACACATATCGGAGCCCCGGAAAAACTTTGGAACCACAGCTCGCGCACGGGTTGTCATGCACCGGAAATGCGACTGAACAGAGAGAAGTTGAGAGAAAATTGGGTATTACTCACGTTTTCCAAATGGAGACATGTTTAAGCGATAGGAATGATGCATGTGAGGATGTTCGGGTGGATAGTTTTGAGATTTTTTGGTGTGAATGGACTCTTCGACAATTGTGTCATTGTAGCACGTGGCACAGATGTGATGGTTGTCACAGAGGTTGCACGTGAACATAGAGCCTGTAATTTTAAAATTAAAAATAACGTTTTCACTCTGAAACCCCTTTTCAAAAACTAAGGAATTCTAAACTTCCCATCTAGTATAGTTACCCTGAGTTTTCACCTAAAATCACCAGTCCACAATCAGCACAGTCCTCAAACTGGCAATCCGAGTACTCGGGCCATCGTATCGGATTTGATCCTTCCAGTTTTGGCTCCATTTTCTGTATCTGAAACTGAACATTTTCACAGGCACGGAGTGAATATCAGAGAAAGAAAACCAATGACAACATTCGACGGAGTAACGCACAAAGAAAGAAAATAGGTATTTGTGAGGAAAAATAAGAACGAATTTTCCTGGTGAAAGGAAGAGAGTTGGAAGAATCATGGGAAAAGGTTTGGGCGAATTGGGAGAGGATAATTCTAGAGTGTGAGAGTAATATTTCAGCAAAGTTCATGAGAATTGCTGACAAGGCGCGTTTTTAGACAGATGATAACTTCGAGGAATTTGAACTAGTGTTTTGCTACCGACCTCACTTCAAGAATGGACATTTCGCAACCAAACCACCAGACGTTGTGTGACAGAAAAGAGCGCATGATTTCAACATGAATTACGCAAGGCTGTGAATTGGAGGATCCTCATGTCAAGATTTTTAGTTGCAAATCGTTTAAGATAGGAAATTAATTTGGAGAAACAATGTCATTTTGCAACTATTTTTAATGCCACTCGGGCAGCAGGTGAAAATACAAAAAAATGAAAAAAATTGGTTGCGAACCGTCCTTCCAGTTGCTGACACCAAAAAACCAGGGGAAATGAACAGAATAGGAGTAAGAGTGCAGATAGGTAATAGGTATCGGCGAAAAGTGAAAAGGAAAACACAGTCCTCTTTTTCTAGTCTGTGTGTGTGCTGTTTGTTCCTCTCTCTCTCTCTCTCTCTCTCTCTCTTCGTCCGGTTTTCTTCTTCTCTTCCCGTTGCATCTCGCACTCGATAACACTCTTCTCTGTTCTAAACCTCTCCATTCCACATGCCCTTTCATCACGTAGGCAACTGTTGGGAAAAAAATGAAAAGGAGAAAGAGAAAGAGCGGGGTGTTATTTCACAACTTTTCTCGTCATTCTTCTCTGTTCGATTTGGTTCGAGTCATTTCTTTTGTACTGGATGAGTCATCCCGACCTGAATTGGAATAGTCAAGTTATACGCAAAAGAATTTTGAAATTTGAATGGGAGAGGCAGTTGGTAAACTAAACTGATGCTGATATCATCTTTTTACATTTTCCGTGGGGAAAGTTGTTCACACTGATCGAAACACGAATTTGTTCACAAATAAACAAAAAAGAGGCCACACATGAGCAACAACAGGAGAAGACAGCAACTGCATCAGAGGTGACAAAAACCGACGCTTGAGAATGGAGATGGGTTGAAATGATCGCTTCATTAGGTTTACGTCGAATCCATGGTCATTGAAGTTGAAGGAGTGGTTGGACACGTGGAGAATTTATCGCCATTTTGGCTCGCCCACCCGCTGCACCGCGTGGACACACCGACGCTAACGCACGCTTTTGGTCGGAAATCAATCAGTTCGATTGCAATCGCTCAGAAACTGAATCAAAACGTTGAAGTGATAGCTAACAAGCTTGCTGCCAAACTTCATCTGAATTGCTGCAGAATTAACTGATTGACAAGCCAAAGCAACTTGAACAACGAAAAGTCTATAGTTTGAGTGTTCTAGATGAATTCATCTTTGATTATCCAGATGCCGACTATCCTTGTTGAACCGCTTCAAACAGCAACGCAAAATCAAACTGAACAGAACCTTCGATCAGGAGACGCGCGAGAGACATTCGTTCTATTCGCAAATGTCGGAGTACCAATTGGAGCGTGAATAGCTCCGTGAGTCTCTTGAGGAGAAACAGGATGTCAAGACTGAATGTAACAAGACAGTTGCGCAAGGCCAACTCGGAGATTCAGCATACAAACAGATTTCAGCATGTTACCATACTTTTCCCCTGTATATTGGGTCCAAGTTACAGATCGATCGGACTATCGACTTGGTATTGATTCGATTCATATGTCTGCGAACTTTTAGACGTTTTTCTTCAAACAAACACTAAAACAGGTTTGATTTTTAAATGATTTATTGCAAGGGAAACAATTGAGCGAATCTACCAATTGTCTCCCCAGACAGACCCAACATTACTTAGGTCTGGGTGTGTCTGGCTGTTTTGGCTCGGATTGCGCTGAGGCTTGCATCGGAGAAGAAGTCCCGGCGGACGAGATGAGGCGAGGAGCGAACCTGAAACAGCAACATTTCAGAATTTGAATATTAGGGATGAATGGTCTTCTCGTGATGGAACTTTTTGCATTTTCTCTAATGCTGAACGCTTGAAAATAACTTACATCATGTCGTTTCGTTTTTCCTGGAGAGAAGAGAGTCGAATCCGGAAGACTGGCTGGATGCGAATGAATTTCCTGGCGGAGCGGAGCGCTTTTATGTCAGAATTTTTGGTGCTGATCTTTTTATTATTCCGATCAGCGATAAAAAATGGAAGAAAAACGGAACACCCCTCTCCCATTTTTATGTATTTTCTGGAGAACGGACAGATATGCACGTTTGCATCGCAGGTGATCAGAAAACGAGCGCTTGGGCCGTTCGGATTACCTGCGTCGGCCGCCGTATCCGAAAACCTGACAGTAACGTACAAACGTGAGAATCGCGAGAAAGAGAATAGGATTATCTCTCACGTCTTACAAAATATGCATAATATAGACATGCTGAACTCAGGGATTCAGCATTTACACAAATTTCAGCATGTTTCCATACTTTTCCCCTGTATATTGGGTCCAGGTTACAGACCGATCGAACTATCGACTCTGTGTTGAATGCTTGCATTCAAAATCGGAAATCCTTCAATTCCTTATCACTCTTTTTTCGAATCCTCTTGGCACGGTGCCATGACGCTTCGAAATCCCAATCGTTTTTTCCCATCGGAGTCCTTCTTATCACTAATCTCCAACGGTAATTAAGTCGATTGGTTTGAAATTTGCCGCAAATCCGCTTGAAGCTGAAATTCCTGCGTTCTTGATTACCGGGGGAGATTAGCGATAAGGACGCCGACGAAAGACTCTGATGGGAAAGTACGAATGGGATTTGGAAACGTCATGGCACCGTGCCAAGAAGATTCGAAAAAAGAGTGTTGAAAGATTTTCAACACCGGATTTTCTATAATAATCCTATAACTTTTAAAATTACAATACTAAAGTAACATAAGAGTTTAAAAGGATACAGTAGCTTCTTTTTGGTAGTGTTACAGTTACCATAAGACTAGAATACCTCAAATAAGGGTGGATCTTCTAGAAAAACAATACTTTTTTATTTCAGTGACATCGAAGAGTGCATCCAATTCGCCGTCTACTCTCTCTCTCTCGGGCAACTCCAACCGTAACGCTCTGCTCAACGACATCTACTGCAACTTCGTCCAGGCGCCCAACGACCCGGACTATTTGCTTTGGCGGAACTTTGGCGCTCTTTGCGTAGTCGCTCCTTAATCGATTCGTTAATAAATGAGATTATTCAGAATCACTTGGGTGTTATTCAGAACAAACGAATTTACAAGTCGGGTACACTAAACAGCAAAAAAGCGAGAAATATAAATTATTTGTTCGGATTGTATATCCTTTTCTTGACATGAGTGAGGCGCCACGCGTTCGGATCCGCGTACTTGTCGAAGAGCGGATCGATCTTCTGATTCCGCTTCAAATTTGACAATTCCGTCGAGCCGCCGAGTTTGAAGAACGAACTCGACGAGCCATTTCGGGTCGATTGCGGTCATCTGCAAATTCGAAGCTACAATATCTCAAAGGGATCATGATAAGGATTACCGTAGTTATACTAAGTTCCTAGATACAGTAACTCTCAATGAATTCTATGCCAACTCTACCGTACCTCAATCAATCCTGCAGCAACGCAGTAATCCTGCCAAGTTTTACTGCGCTTTCAGTTACAGTAGCGCAGAATGTTTATAATAAAGTTACAGTTTAGAGATACCACATTCTAAGGTCAAAACTAGTAAATCAATGATGTTTTTACAGTATTCCGTACTTTTAGCTAGGATGGCGGAGGATCGCCCGCGCCCGCCTCGAGTCACGTCAAAATAGAGACGTGGGCTACCCTCGCCTCTGAAGGAGAGGGCGAAAGGCGCCCGTCGCCCTCGGCGTAAAATGCCCCAACCAAAAAACCGTAGTTTTTTTTCAACTTTTCATTTCTAAAGTCATAAAAATTGTTGAGGCCCCTTTTCCGGGTCCTGAGGTGAAATTCGTCTCTACTGAAGGCGAAGGCGACAGACGCCCTTTTATTCGGAGGCGCGGGTCGCATTCGCCTTCCAAAGAGGCTAGAGGCGCCTCAAAACGTCCTTTCTGCCAGCCTAACTTTAGCTACTTTTTCTACAGTAGCCCCTTTACCTCTCTGATGTACTCCTTGGTGGGCATGACTAATTCGTGGTAGACAACACATTCGGGCTGATGTTGGAAGCACGTCGACGACGGATGAATATAGACGTTCTGTCCGTCGGTGAGCGTACGGTATCCCTCATGCGAGTTGCGTTTCGCCGCATTTCGGAAGAATCTCGAGCAGATCGCCTTCTGAACTCTAGACACATCCCGTCCGCAACTGACCATCAGCAGTTTGTGTCTGCCCATGATCCCTAATAGTTGTTTCCGGATGTCCTGTGTTCGCTTCATGCTCCGCACCTGCACAAAGTTCTCGAAGCACCAGGGCTGCGAGAAGTGATCGTTTTTCCACGAGTTGTACACCGATAACAGCGTCAAATGGTCACCTTCCGGCTAGTGGAACTTTGCCTTCTTCTGATCCGTCATGTCCTGTTTCTCTTTCGGCCGATAGATTTCAGTCAGCACCTCCTCCGAACATCCGAGGAATCGTCATCCAACGACAACCAACGACATCCAATTTAAAGTGGTTTTAATAAATTATAGTTGAATTTTCATGTTTGTTCGAGTATTTTTGCAAAGATTACATCACTTTGAATGTGTTACCGTATTTTTGGCGCACTCTGTATATTGGGTCCTGGTTACAGACCGATCGAACTATCGACTCTGTGTTGACTGCTTGCATTTGAAATCGGAAATCCTTCAATTTCACTTTTTTTCTGAATTCTCTTGTCACGGTGCCATGACGTTTCGAAATCCCAATCGTTTTTTACCATCGGAGTCCTTTGTCGGCGTCCTTATCACTAATCTCCGTCTGTTATTAAGTCGGCTTCTTTGAAACTTGCCGAAAATCCGCTTGAAGCTCACATTCCTACACCATCTTGATTGAAGGAGGAGATTAGTGATAAGAATGCCGACAAAGGAGCCACGCCCCCTAATTAGAATGGCCACGCCCACAGGGGTATATAAAGGCAGCAATTTTCATTTTATTTATTTCCGTCTGGTTTTTTTCCATTTCTACCCGGGAGAGCCGAGCCTCCTCTCTCTTCTTTTTCTGATTTGACGTTATTGCAATGCAAGAAGTCAGCTCTTTCTCTCTTCTTCTGATTTGACGTTATTGCAATGCAAGAAGTCAGCTCTTTCTCTCTTTTTCTGATTTGACGTTATTGCAATGCAAGAAGTCAGCTCTTTCTCTCTTCTGATTTGACGTTATTGCTATGCAAGAAGTCAGATCGCCTGCGATGCAAACGTGCATTTCTGTCCGTTCTCCAGAAAATACATAAAAATGGGAGAGGGGTGTTCCGTTTTTCTTCCATTTTTATCGCTGATCGGAATAATAAAAAGATCAGCACCAAAAATTCGGACATAAAAGCGCTCCGCTCGGCCAGGAAATTCATTCGCATCCAGCCAGTCTTCCGGATTCGACTCTCTTCTCTCCAGGAAAAAACGCTCCGAAACGACATCATGTTGGTTATTTTCAAGCGTTCAGCATTAGAGAAAATGCAAAAAGGTCCATCACGAGAAAACCACTCAGCCCTAATATTCAAATTCTGAAATGTTGCTCTTGCAGGTTCGCTCCTCGCCTCATCTCGTCTGCCGGGACTTCTTCTCCGATGCCAACCATAGCTCAATCCGAGCCAAAACAACCAGACACACCGAGACCTAAGTAAGGTTGGGTGTCTGGGGAGACAATTGGTATAATCGCTCAATTGTTTCCCTTGCAATAAATCATTTGAAAATCAAACCAGTTGTTCATAAGACTCGACTATCCGGACCTCAGCTACTGTATCCGTCACCGTCCTTTTACATATTCAGTTTGCGGGAATCGGCAATTGGTCAACCCAGGTTTTATTAGATTTTTGCTTTTAGGACTTCAATCGAAGTATTTCAGGACCAAGCTTCAGATCAATAGGATTGTTTACTCTAGAGATATGATCTGAGGCCAAAAAAGCAAGCCTTTGCTCAACCCTGTTGCCAATGATTCCAGGCTAGTGCTACTTGCCTGGAGGTGTGCATGGCTGTTTTAAGTGCTTCGGAAATATCATTACTAATCCGTTTCTACCGTGACCCGGCTACTTGAAAGAGGAGAAGTGCAGACAACTAATCAGTCACGCGCTTAGTTTTGTTTCTATTTTGAAGTGTGATTCATCACATAAAAAGTTCCCTGTTCCCTGAAAAAAGATTCATTTCAGTGCTATTCAGCGTTTCTATCTGATCCGGTGGGCGTGAGAAAAATCTGCCCACCTAAAAATGTTTGTCCTTTTCACATGCCACAGATTTGAATTCTCACGCGTGTTGTTTTTTGAGAGGCCCACGTGGGGTCCAATAACTGGTCAGAAAACATAATTAAGCAAAATTTTACACAAAATAAAACCAATACCTAACAAAATTTGGGCTATCTGAAAAGTTTTTTCATCTTCAGGTCTCCGGGTTTTGGAATTCAATACTCAGCTTTCATTTCCGGACCCGTTCATCACTTTATTTCCTCTCCAACTCTTCAACATTTTCAACTTAATCCTGTGCATATCTAGTCTGAGAACAGCACTCACCCTCTCCACCCTCTCATTTGTCTGACTTTGTATCTGAAAGAGAGAAGAAAGAAAGCGAAAGCAACGTGATTTACTCGTTTGGTGCTAGCGGGTTGCCTAAGATACCGCCCGCCTTCCACCGCTGCATATCCGGTCACAACTTCGAGTTGAGCCGAGGTTGCTCACTAATCACGGTGGATGCCGTCCATCTCGTGGCTCGTTATTCTCGGAGCGCTATTGTGCGGATCTGCTTTTGGTGAGTAGGGTGAAGTTAGTATTATTACAAGCTTTGTGAATACTGGAAAACATTGACCGTTTTTGAGCTTGCTAGATCTCTGGGTTTTTCCGATCAGCCATTATTGCGGGTCGTCCAGTTTTTAACATTTTCTGACGTACCAGCTCATTGTAAATCTTCTCGCGTGACCTTAAGGTTCATTTCCCTCAGCAGTGTTATTATCTACTCAACAATTCACGGTGACCCCGTCGAGTTGGCAAGATTTTTGATGTACCTCATTGCGTCCCAGTGATATCGTAGTCTAAAGAGCGAAAGGCTTTAATAACGGTCTAGTTTGATCAAAGAATGTTTGAACTATAATCATTCCGTCATGATTTGATGACGCACATCAAAATATGTGTACTATTATCTTCTTCAACTAATTTGGAGCAGAATTGTTTAAAAGTACACGCACACACTCTCTTTCTTTCTCCCTTCTTTTTGACATTTCCAAATGACATCATTCTTACTCATTATAATGTCATATCGCAGAAAGACCAAATCTAATTACAACACTACCTCGTTCATCTTTGATCACTTAACTTCGGCTTCCAGTTTTCTATGCGTTTAGAAAATCTCATAAATAGTTTAGACAAAAAAAGTTACGAAACATTTATATCATCCACAACGATAATTCAAATTTTCAATGATTCATTAGTTTTTCAAGCGTACCTGAGCACTCGAAATGTACCCAGACATGTACATCGTTGAGTTCGCACATGACTCACATAGTCTAATCACTTTTTCTGTTATTGCCAAAAAGCAGAGCAAGAAAACAAACCTGATTAGTCAATGATTTTGGCGAATGAAAATATTTCAGCTGGAAAAACAACCAAGGACTGTGTTTTCAACGGAACCATCTCTGCTCTGGACGACAACTGTACTCGCATTACTGGCTCGTTGACGTTCTCAGGAGCCGATGATATCAAGGTAAGCGAGATCGATGTGAATGGATGATATCCATGAATATTGTTCAGACTCTCTACTCAAAACTTGCTTACGTGGAGGAAGTCAACGGATGCATTCAAGTAACCGGGACTTCTTATGTTCGTCTCGACTTTTTCGCCCGTCTTCGCTCGCTTTCCTGCAGTAACACAAGTAATCACTGCAGTGCCGTGACTATTTCCAAGAATTCACTTCCGTGTTTTTCAGGCGTCACCAGTGATTTTATGATTGCTAATAACTCAGCGTTGGAAAGACTCGGAATGCCAGTTCTCAAGTACTTTGTTGTTTATCACCAAAAAACCAGTCAAATGTGTTTAGAGTAAGCCGGCTTGGTCTCACGTTTAACCCCAAATTATGCATCACCAATGAGGAGGCGGCCAGATATACGAATGTTCAGCGAGGAGCTGCGGATAACTTCACTATATGCCAGGGCAGAGCTGGTAGGTTCATAATTAACGGTTTGTCGAGTAGAGACTTTCTATAAAATACTTTCTATAATAAATACACGTTTTGTAGTTTAAAAATCTTTTTGCAATCAAAGATACATAAATAGACACTTTGGTGCTCTATTCCTATTAACCTGAAACTCTGATATAATGTATTCAGGTGTTCTGAAAGAGTGCAACTCCACTATGAATGACGTGAATGGAGGATTGCCGGATGACTGCGAGCTAATCACCGGCAACTTGTACATCGAAGGACAGAACAACGCAAACATCAGCGCAAAACTACAATATGTAAAAGAGGTGTACGGAAGAATTTACGTTAGATCCACATCACTGAGCAATCTGTCTATTCCTCTTCTCGAAAAGGTCTATGGTTCGGAATCTACTTCTTCTACATGTGAGTAAAATGTCAAGTAGGTAGTGTCATGAAACAGTACGACACTTTTCTAGCCTTCGACCCGAACATTCTCCTCTCGAGCAACACAAATTTCACCAAATTGGACGTGCCAAAGATCAACTTTATGGCCATGAACGACTTGTCATTCATGACCTACGACGCCTCCTACGTCATGGATCAGGATCTTTGCAATCGTCTGTCTCCGTACGGAAATGTAATGTCGAACGGAACAGTCTGCGGTGGGTCACATTTGTTAACCTATCAATCATCAATTAGCTCTTTTGTTTGCAGTTCCAACCAAAAAATCTCCGGAAATTGGTGTCTGGCTGTCTATCGCCGTCTCATACGTCATCTTCGGGAGTTTCTGAATGAAATGTTCAACAATAGCACTTCAACATCCACAAAATTTCCAAGCATATTTAACCAGGCGTCATTTTTCAAACAGTTTTTAACAGATTATCAAAAAAAATGTTGTTCATTTGAGGAGCCCGATGTGAAACAGAAACAATGACACGTCAAACTTACGCACCGCCCTTGTTTTGAGAAAGTTTGTCGAGAATTACTCAAAGTCATGGTTTTTCGAAAAGTTTCATGATAATGGCCCAATTACGATGAATAAACAATCACCGTTTCGAACATTTTGAGGAGCAATGCTAACAGCTCCATTTGTTAAAAAAATAATTCCACCTTCAGACTTTGTATTCTAACTATTAATTTCCACTAAATAATAAAACTATCCAATCCAAAAGGTGTGCGATTCACTATCGAACAAATTAAATGATAACATAACAATGATAATAAAGCGTCGGCCCACAGCATTAATTGTGTTGTTCGTGCGCGTTAATTGAGGAACAAAAATCGAAATTCGAAACATCTCATTAAACATATACGATTTCGATTTTGAGAATGAAGAAGGACCGGTTCACAGATCTACATCTTCCTCTTTCCACCACCCCGCGCTCTTCCTCCTTCTTCGATTTCATTTCGAATCGGTTGCAATAGAATTGCATTGAATGCATTGAAGTCAATTGAAAATCCTGCTTTTCCTTTCTTATTCTAACCCTACTCTCCTGTTATTTTTACGTCGTCCACCACTCCCCGATTTTATTTTACAACTTGTGTCCTCCTTCATGTTTATCACACTAATTGACCTCTTTCACTGGAACTACAATTGATGATTGATACATTGTGACTTCTCGCATTTCACGTCCTACAGGTTCTCAGTTTAGTGTGACCGGACAAGAGCGATCTTGTTCTTGAGTTTGTTAGTTGTTAGACCGCCACTTATGCTTTGTTTTTCGCCTCATACATGTCTGGAGACCAGATGAGGTGGTTAGATGGCTACAGTATCCCGAATTGACAGCGGTAAAAATTATGCTGAACACGGAAAGACATGTAAACGATGCCACGGTTAGCTGCCTTCTTCCTTCTCCTTCTTCCTCCCACCAACCATTTTTTTCCACTGATTTTGCCGCTCATCTTGTTTCGCGACCGCCAAAACTTGTCCTTTGCCAAGTTTCGAAGGCTGCAACGCAACGCAAGGCTACGGCGCGCCTATTACCGGATATATTTCGTCGGCCATCCTATCAAGGACACCCCAGCGTCCATTTTTCAAAATGATTCTTATCACTTTTTTGTGTGCGCATCCCTTCGTTGCGCCACCATCGCCACTTTTTAAAGGAGGAGCGGAGATGACAGGAACATGAGGCGGGCAGTGTTGCTAGTCGGTTCTCTACCTCAAGACAACACGCATTAATCTAATTTTGCAGTATTATTTTAACTCGTTTTTTTTTCTAGTGTTTCTATAAATTGTCCATAAGGTTACTGTATAGAACTATGTATATGACTCTCTATAAGACTAAAACTAATCCGTGATGTCGTAGAGTGAAAGAGCGCATGCTGCTTGTTAAAAATTTGCGAACTATGTCTATAAAAAACATTAGTTGCTTTCACCTGATAGCTCTGGTCCTAGTAGTATCCTAGTACACTGATAGAATTTTAAAAACCGCGAAATTTAGAAGTACTGTTCTGGCAAACCTTTTTCAAGTGTTTTGGTAAGTCGATACCAAGACAGGTTTTTGGATCATTCACACATTTTGCTAATAAACAACCGAAAGTGGGTTAGTACACCCGGAAAATATGAACAATTTCATTTGATGAGAGAAGAGTCAAATGCATTTAGGCGGTGTAAATACTTTTGTATAGTCCGAAATAATTTTTTTTTAAAGGTTTCTTAGCCAATGAAAACCAAAAATTGCTGTAATTTCTGAATCTTAGCAAACCGGTGTCCACTCTCGAGTTCCCTAAGAGGTTAAAAGGTGGAAAGTTATCGATGTTCTTCTTTGTCTATTCCTTCCTTTCTACTTTCACTCATCATCTCTCACAACTATTCCTGATACCAGTTTCTCCATATTCTCTCATTCCTTTCTTTACACATCACACTCTTGCTTTTTGCAGTTCGGCCACTTGTAAACCAACCGTCGATTACTCTTTCTCTCTCACTCCCCATTCTCGTGTGTTTAGCAGTCGAAATACGCCCATTCACATCATCAACCAACATGCTGAGGCTGTCTTCTTTTGTTTTCCTCTCCGCCTGTGTTTTGTATGGATTCGCACAGGAGAACGGCATTGATTTTGACAATCCGGGAGTGAGTTCTAGAAAAAGTGTCGATAAAAATAATTGCGTTATTGTAGAACTGTGGAACAGAGGCGACGAACTGGAAGCCGTGTATCGAGCGTAAAGTCGCAGATCAAGTGTTCGGAAGTTGCTGCTCACGATTTGTGCCGCCAGAGTGCCGTGGGCTCTGCATCTATGAGACCAATCCGATTGAAGCCAGAGTTGTGGTAAGTCAACTTTCAAAAAAGAAACCGAGAGTGTTATATCACGTAAAATGGGCTGTCCTATTATTAAATTTGTAGCATTTGAATAAAATTTCTAACTACCACTGCTTGTATGCTTTCGGCTAAAAAAAACAGTCTTATTGAGCTGAAAATGACAGCAAAGCACACTTTTGGGGGAATGGGCGGTGTCAAGGTTGAACGAAAGGTTTCAATGAGAAATTGAGAAAGCACCGTTTGACTTAATAAAGAATCAACGTAAAAGCACATGTTTATTCAAAACCTTTACTAATCTGAACCCAAATTCCAGTTGATGCACAGCATCCAGCCATCCCGATGCCGTCTCTACAAGTATCTCCCAGCAATTGTCCACTGTGCCGCTCAAACCCATGACAACACTGAATGCTGCAAAGCCACCGGTGTTGAGGAGCTCGGAGAGCAATGCATTCAGATGTGCACGCCGCAGGTAAACACAAAATGTTTTGTCCAAATTCGAAATGAATTTTCAGAGCAACCCACGACGATTCTGGGGAGTCAAGTCTCTGCGCAAGGACATGGTTATCTGTCTCGCTCGTTGGGACCAGATCATGCAGTGTCATCAAGCCGGACTCAGGGCGCGAAAAGTTCCACGTGTGACCGCATAAAGTTCTAGAGCCTCAGACAATCTCATTTCGCACATTTATATATACATATAATTATCACTTGTTACTCATATTTTTCTCCGTTATTTAATTCTCTTCTCCAATATTTTCTTTCATATAAACTCCAAGAAAATGCTCATTTCTCGGCCAACCATATCATAAACTTATTTTTCTTTCCGTATAAGAAGTATTCGCTTGATTTTCTTTCACGTAGCCTTGTGGGAATGAAATTAGTCGATTTGAGCAGAAAAACACGGAAACGAACTTGCTGTTTTTTTCCGGCTTTTGTCTAATTTCAGGCATATAGGTGTTCGTTTCTCTTTTTTCCGATTTCGTTTGTTAGGCTTCAATTCTAGATATTTTTGCAGATTTTCAGTCACAACTTGACCCTCCAATTCAAATGAATTTCACGAGGATATGATACAAATTAAAGGTTAGATATTTTCAAAAACACTTCACCTCACCAAGCTAACACTAATCACAGGAAAAAATTTGCATCTAAATGAGATCGCCCCGTGATACCTTTTTGATAGGCACCACGATCCTTTTTTGCATATGGAAACAACGTGGGAATCGTTGACTCGAGTGTAGTTTTGTGCGCATTTCTATCAACATGTGCGGAGCTGTTTCTTGAACTTTAAAATGGTTTCGAGATTGGTGTCTCAACGTTTTTCTGTGCATATTGACGATTCAAAATCGCAAGTGCTGTTTTTTAATGACATCGGCTTGGAAAGCATGGGGATTGGCGGACTCTAAAAGTGCAACTGAATTTTTTCAAAAGTAAACTCTATGTAAACATGGATATAGCTGTTGTCTAATTAGAGTTGTGCAGAAAGTAATTCTATCGGGATCCATGAAAAGAAACGAGATAGAGCAAATATCTACTTTGCCACTGTTCTCATTGTGTCAACCAGGGCTGGGCAATTGGCTTTCCCGGACTTCCCTTGACCTGGACTTTTGAACCACTTGCAATATTCCGATCGGACCCAAACTTTGCAGGATTGTTGGACTTGGATTGAGGACCATTGGGACCAAGTTTCGGCCTGATCGAATCGTCAGGTCCCGAGATATGTGGATCATTGGCCGATCTTCTCCAAAAAGCCCGGGCTTCCGGCCAATTTTGGCCAATGATCCACATATCTCGGGACCCGACGATCCGATCGGGCTGAAACTTGTTCCCAGCACGCTTCAACCCATGTCCAAGAAGCCTGCACAGTTTGGGTCCGATCGGAATATTGCAAATGGTTCAAAGGTCCAGGGTAAGGCCGGCCAATTGCTCAGCCCTGGTGTCAATTCTTTCAGCACTCTTTCATCAACGCAAACTTGTGAAAATCGGAATAACAGATATGTTTTTTTAGCACGAAACAACAATGCAATAAAACTCTCCTCTTTCTCCTTTTTTCATGTGCTCTCATCGCTTTCCCATATGAATAACTTAATTCAAATTGACGCCCCTAGGCCCACTGAGAAAACAGTGATAAAGAGGCGTGTCCCTCTTTTGTTTTCCGGAGGTGACCAGAACGCGTGCTTCCAACAGTTAGTCATTCCACACCGTTGGTGTTGCGTCGAACGCGCTCTCTCTAGTTAATCAGCAATAAATTAAACTATATTGTAGGCATCTTCAATGGGGGCTGCGACTCCGAGCAAAGGAATTGTGGTTAGTTTCTTACTCGTGCATAAGCAACAAAAAACCAAAAATAAGGCGCGTGAACCCGATTTTTTATATTTTTTCGTTAAACTCCCATTTATCGTCACCAAAGAGAGTTCCTTAAGTAGGTCCGTTAATCAATCGTAGCCTGTCTTATTAATGGGAAGCGAAATTGCCTTCTTCGAAACCTTTTCTTTCTCGTCCAGCAACATCTCGTCTATTCGAAGGCAGTCTGACCCTGTGGGACTCATTAGAACGGATTATGTTCTGAATCGAGTATCCTGGAATAGCCATCGATCTGATGAATTTTTGACTGGTACTTTATCTTCTGAATTTCATTCCAGAAAGCCACGTCACACCGTGGCTGCTCCAAGCTCCCACATCTTTCTTCATCCATTTCCCTCACTGACTCATCATTTCTCACTCCAATTTCCGCCGTTTTCCAAAATATATTCTCACACACAACATTGTGAGACGGCTACTGTAGCAGATGAATGCCACGTTTTTGGACGGCCCAGTCATTTTATTCCCTTCGTAATACATAGGTGCAAAAAATGAACATGTTCGCGATGTTTCGTAGACTACTCAATCTTTTTTTGACGGTAAGTGTCTGACGAGATGCTTGAACAGATAATGATAAGATTTATGATAACTTTGCAAAAGCGAGGCCACGAGAAGAAAGGAAAACGGAAAATGAAAAGAGAGAGAGAGAGAAAGGAGAAGTTCGCATCATTACGAAAGAGTGACGTTTCCAACCACTTTTCTCCTCTGCTTTCTTTGACATTTTTTTCTATTTATGTGCATTGCATTCGGACAGAAAAGGGGAAAACTTAGATTTGACCGAGCTGCCCCTCGATTTCCTAGATGTCGCTTCTCTTCTTGTTTTTCTGCTTGTTCGTGTTCCCTTATCCTTCCGCTCCGACGTTTTTCCTCCTTTTTTCCTAGTAGCTCAGTGTCAATGGCCCGCAGCTGTCATGAACCGAAAGTGAAACAAAAACAACAAAAAATCACCTGACCCCTGACAAAGCGTGGGCTTTTTTAAATTTCTTTTCTCTTTCTTATCTTTTTTCGAAACGTTTCGAAACGAGGAAGTCCCCCATCCCTCTCTCTCTCTCTCTCTCTCTCTGTCATAATTTCCCAATGTTTGTTGATTATGTAATGTTCTCGTGATTATTTCAATTCCTCCGAAGTGTAAAGCGAATGGAATCAAATCAAATCACAAGACTCAAACACTTCCACGAGAGATTTAGACACCTAAAGTTCCATGAATCAGTCTAGTTCAGGTCGTTCCGACTCGAAACTAAGAAGATAAACACAAAAAGCGAACGCACGATAGAAATCCTCATCAATCTCTGCGTCTCCTCATCGTGTTCACTCTCTTTTTACTGCTTCTTTGAAGAAATGTGCACATGCAAAGGGAAGGTCTCCCCTTCCTTCCTATCGCTGGTGACTGACCAAACGACATATGCAAATTCCTCAGGATTTTACTATGCTCTTCATTTGATTTCTCTTTTCATTTTTCAAGCTATTTTCCTCTTTGAATCATTGTGAATCATTCAGCGTCGCGAGTTTGAGCGATATCTGGTGTCGCAAGGTCAAATCTTGCTAGCGTTTAGATGAGAATTTACATTGTATTGTTTGCTTTAAACACTTCTACGTCCCTCAGCTTTCGAACGCGTTCCCAACCCTCCCCATCTCTCTTTCACGCTCTCCAATTTTCAATGAAAAGCCATAAAAAGAACTGAAAAGCGATGTGATGACAATATGAATATTTGAGTAGCCAGACGTTCTTTTGACTCGTTCGCTGCACCCATCAAAATCGAGAGCGAGAAAAAAAGAAAGAGAGAGAGAGAGAGAGAGGGAGCTCTACTATAGCTCTGTCCTGCTTTGCTCCTCAGCTCACTAGCTCATGTTTGCACTCGGACGCGGACGAGAGAGACCAATTTTGTGTGGAGACGCAGACGTCATCATCATCAAAAAGAGTTTTGCGGCCTTTTTCAAGCCTTTTCCGTGTACAATTTTTGATGCAAAGTACATTTTGGAGAGCGGAAACGAAGAGATAAAATTGAGAGAATTGCATTTCATTGCTCTTCTGTCTGCTTGCCTTTTTTTAAAGTCTTGAAATAGAAATAGGAATAGAATCTTCAATTTCTCCAATTCCAAACCAATTTCATCGCGTCTCTTTTGTCCTCCCCACCACTTTTTACTAGTTGCCCAACAACCTATTGAAGGAAAACTATTTTGTGGCTTTCCTAAACAAACTTCTTTTCCTTTTTCTTTCTCTTCAAGTAGTATACCTTGATTTTACGAAGTGTCGTGATTTTTTGTCAAAAATCAGGAAAAGGGAGGTCCTATTGTACTTTTTTTTTGCGGGCTTGGAAGCCCAGCCCAACAGAAGAAACCTAATTTCTCTCGTAATTCTTTCTAGTAATTGCTTTTTTGTGAAACATTTGGCTGACGGACGTGTTTTCAAGTTTTTCATCACTTTTTCTCATAGAACTTCATTTTCAGCTTGGTAGAATTTAGCTATTGTCACCCAAAATCAGATCAGCCCAATTCTCTCCATCTTGCACGCACAACTTGCTCACTTTGATTCGTCAAACACATGTGTGCATTACGGAAACAAAGAGAAAGAGCAGAAAAACGAGAGGGGGCCATTAGTTCACTGGGCAACATTGCATAATTCATCTCACCGCCTGCGTCTTCCGGCCTTTTCCATTCTCTCCCCTACGCATTGCTAACGTGCGCTGCTCATCCCGTTCAAAGTATATTTTGGTTTTGCTCCCAGTCACGTATTTCATGATCTCCTTTTCTATTTTTCATTTCCTTGATCAATCTTCTTTTCCTATTTGAAAACAAACTGTAAATCACTTTATTTCCGCAATTATTCCTTCTATCTCTTGAGCCTTGTGATAGTCTAGTTGAAGATAGGGCCCATGGCCACCCCAACAACTTTTAATGCACACTGAGGGGGGGTTACATATGACGTGACCTTCAGCAATTTCCTCCCTGCTGCTACTTCTTGGAATGTTTCTCTTTCTGAACTTGTACATGCGGAGTTTATAAAAAGATGTGGATCTCCGTAAATTCTTTCGGACTTTTGATCTCTATAATCTTCTTGTCGGGCGACTTTTCCGTGTTTCTGGGAATATCATGAGTTGTGATTTCGTTTTCTTGTTTACCATTTCGCCCAGAACCTTTTCCTGCTGTTCTCAGCAGAGCACGACTGCGCAATCGGCGAATCCTAGCTCTAAAAACAAAAAAAATCTGTAAACTGAAATTTTGACCCAGGTTTCTCATATCTCGATTTATTTTGCACTTACACAACCCCCCCATTTTTGAGATAATTGTCATAATGTTGTCTTAGACCGTTTTATGTTATTGAACTAGGTTCTCAACTTCAAAATGTTGTGGACCTACAAACTTTTTTGTGCAATCGAGCATAGAACCGGTTTCGTAGTGTGAGTAATTTCAATTTCCGTTTCTCAATGATTTCGACACGTCATTTGCTTGAACCATTAGCCCACTCGGCCCCGGCCTGCTGTGGCCTCCTTTGAGGGCCCGTATGTGTTGTTTGTGTGTGTGTGTGTCTGTGTGTTTGTGTGTGTGTGTGTGTGTGTGTATGTGTGTGTTCGGACCATAAACATTATAAAAGATCTACTGAACCATCTGACCGCTCATCCCGACTGTTTGTTGGAGGGTCTATTCTCCTTTCTTCTCCTGTTCTTTTTGTTGGAGCTATTCCGAGCAAATGTAAGTTACAGTACCCTGTCATTTCTAAGTGGTTTCTCAAAAATCTCTGAGAAGAAGTTGCGGTTCTCACAGCGCGCTCCAGAAGTCAACAATAGCTTCCTTTCACATTCACACCAGTTTGTTAAGAATCTGAAAAACGGGCGGTTTGAAGAGAGTCAACGGTCGCCTCTTTGGTCCGGTTCGCAATCTTGAAATTTTTTTTCCCCAATATGAACTGCACTACTCTCCATAGTTATTTGTTTTTTTGTATCAATCATCATCGTGAAGTAGTCTAGAATAATACATGAAGGTCAGACAGGTACATCGTCGGACAAATTATGAATAAAAAATTTTTCGAGGACTATGCATTTGACCCATTTAAAATTAACTAATCGGCAATGAACAGTCCACATTTTCGCGGGACCCAATATTTTTAGATTTTTGCAATGAAATAATCCCAACTAGGCTCTCAAATTGTTCAAACAAACCGCCAAAACAGGTGTTGAACACCTGACCCCACTTGTTGTTCAAAACACCGAAAAAGGACATTTCCTCACGTTCCCCATCCCAATTTTTTTCTAGAAAAATTTCGAAAACGTTGTCTCCGTCAATAACTTTTGTCAAAACATGTTTAAAGTTCGCATAGTCACGTCATTTTCTTGGTTTGGACACCGGGTCATGAGAGAAAGGTATCGGATTCCAAACAGATGTTGCGTGATGCTATTGCTCCAACAACTCTTCCTTCCGCTTCTTCTTTTGTTGCTCCCCAGAGAATTTTGAGTGTTCCCGTGATGAGGGGCTTCGAACCAAAAAAAAAAGTGAACATATTTTTTCCAAGAATTTTAGAGGAACTCTCCCTAGTCTAGACATATATAAATGACTATTATAAATCCCATCGAAGTGAAACGGCTTCAGCCTCTTTTTTCATTCCTCTTGGATTTTCTTTTCGTAAAAAAAAGTGCTGCGTGTTTATACGTCTCAATTGCATCCGTAATCCGTATAGGCGTCTTTTCCATTTCCTTCCGGTCCCCCCCACCGCGTAGTAGTAGTTTTTCACCTTTTCTTTCTCAAAAAGTTTTCTCAACTCACTCAAGCGGCTCACGTGAGCTTTTTGGAGGAAGCGACGAAACGGTTGGGCGTTTTTACGAAAAAGTAAACGAAACCAGGCTTTTCAAGATCGTTTTCGTTTTCGCTTTCTATTTGAGACCATGTTTACCGAGTGAACTGAACTTTACCTACAAAGCCTACGCAGGCTCTTTTCTCTATCTCTTTCTCTCTTTATCATCTGTGTGACGTGGTTTCTGAGCACGGGAGGAACCGAATTACATAGAGAAAGAGAAAGATGAAGAACAAAAAAATGTAGGAGGGATGGAAAGACACATGGTGCTCTGCTGGGATGGGTAGGGAGTGCCAAACTTGTTGTTTTCCGTGACTTTTGAAAAATTCACTACTCATGTAAACTGAACTGGACTGCAAGTGGAGAAAGATGCGATGGCAAAAGTCTAAGGTATTCACTCATGTATTCCATATTTTATAGTCATCTACTAGTTAGTATGTGTGAGGTCCTCAATATTTCAAACTAACATCAGCTCACAATACGAAAACTTGCACTATTACGATAAAAAACTGAACTTTGGATCGAAACTAGAAGGGCTTCCTCCCTCCAATCTCACTAGATCCACGCTTATCTCCCAACAAGTCACACGCCTTCCCCGAATATGTTATTATATATATTCCTTGTTTGTATGCTTCTCTCTTACACACAAACGCACCTGAACACAAGTTCAATTTCAGAAGTTTCTATCAGCTTTCATCGCAAATCGATTCATCCCGTTCATATGGTTGATCCATACTGGATGGCAAACCACAATTGTCAGTTTGAGCAAAAAAAAAAGAAGAGAAATGTATCATTAGTATAGGCGTGTGGGAATGCAAAATTATGGGGACGAGAAGTTTGAGCGAACGTTATAATTCTGATCGATTCGATTTCAGCGCCCGGAACAGCCAATCGAAATGGCGACAAAACGAAGACCATCCATGCGACAGCGCATGAAGGCGGAAGACGTCTCCTGCTGGGTCGAGCACAACAAGGTACGTTCACTGGATTGACTAGGAGTGTTACTGTTCATGAACTAGAAAGACTTGATGAAAATTTTGGTAGTACCGTGCAGGTGAATTACAATAGAAAAGTCAGCAGACTTACTCAGGATAAGTTACTGAGAATAAACAAGAGGCATAGCAGTAGATCGACTAGAACTATTGTAGAGTTATTCAGGGAACTTAAAAAACTCTAGAAATAGCAATATGTAGGTTGTTAGACCTGTATGTTTTTTTGGGGATGAGAGAGAGAGAGTGAGAAACTATTTAATTCTCTCCTTTCTCATCCCCAATCGGGGAGAAAAAATCGGTGCTCTTGCAATATTTCGTGTCCACAATCCTCTACACAAAACCTTTTCTCTTCATCTCGCTTTGCAATCCAACCCAAACCTTAGCCTTTGCTCCAAGCCTCATGTGATAAAGCATCTATTTTATGAGTTAGAACACCTGTCATTCTTTCTCTCTTACCACTACCCCATCCCTGTTGATTCTCATCATAATTCAGCTCCTATTTCAGCCCATCTACACGCCACAAGAAGACGACGAACTGAAACACTACGTCAGATTTGATGTTCCACAGCCGAAGCGCACAGACGATGAGAGTTCTGATTCGCGGACGACGATTGCGGAAGTACCGATATACCACGATGGAGGATACGGATGGTTCGTCGTGTTCTGCAGCTTCATCATGCACGCCATCTGCGACGGAGCCAGTTTCTGCTTCGGAATTCTCTTTGTGACCATTCAGAAGGTGAGATTTTAAAGTACTCGACATTCTAACAGTTGTGTTCTTCCTTTTTTTTTGGTTGTTCTAACTCTACCTGTAAAATTTCAGCACTTCAAAACCAACCGAGTTGCCTCAATCGCCGCCGCCTCCCTGTTCCTCTCTCTTCCACTCTGCCTCAGTCCAATCGCCGGAATAACTACTGACATTCTTGGATGCCGTGCTGCTATTCTCATCGGAGCCTCAATTTGTACCATCTCATGTGCCCTTAGCATCTTCTCCACTAACATTTGGTTTTTCACCGTCACTTTTGGATTCGGCTGTGGAGTTGGTGGGTACCTTATTTGTTAAGAAATATGTAATTTTAAAGAGTTTAGGTATGAGTTTCATTTACAATGGCGCAATCTGCATTGTGACGTACTATTTCAACAAAAAACGAGGATTGGCGACATCTTTGGCGGTGGCCGGTACCGGATGTGGAACATTCGTGTTCCCTTTATATATTGCTGCGGTAAGAACTGCAGAAATTTAAAAGAAACACCAGAAATTTGTGTTCCAATGTTTCAGGCTATCACGTGCTTTAAACTGTTCTTCAACGAATTACAGTCTATTTTGCTTGCCTTTACCTTCGCCTACTTTCTGATTGGGATTATTGGCTATGTAATTAAGGATGTGGAATGGCAGTCTGACACCGAAGAGTTCAAACGCCAGCAGTTTGAAAAGAACTCGAAACGGCTCCGTGAAGACCTGCGGAATAGTCTGGCCAAGAAAGAGATCGGTAAAATCCGTCGCGCCATTTCCCTGCCGACCTTGAAATACATGAAACCCGACTCCGGAAGCATCCAATCTCTGTGCGACCTCGGAACTGATGGTAAAGGGGAGAAGCCTACTAGATCGAAGTCAGTGGCCGCTTTCGAAAATCAGCACCCGTCGATGCCCACGATTCCGGAGTACAGTATGCTGAACACTCGCCTCGCCAACTTGGAACATTTGGATTTGGAGGTTATCTTGTCACTATACCGAGTCTGATTATGCATGTATAACAGTTTCAGCTGGCCAACTCTCCGTGTACTACCGTCAAAGCCCCGCGCCGTCGTGTCTTGAGCAAGGTTTCGATGAGTGTGGACCAGATCAACGAGCTGGATGAGGATGACTTCAAGGTCAATCTCCTTCTTTCGTCGACCGATTCTTCTGAGAAGAGCGACACTGAATCGAGTTCGGATGACTCTGAAATGAGCAACGACGGCGACTCCTCCAGCTCGGAACTGTCCGAGAAGATGATGGAGACCACCACGACACTGAAAAACAAGAATCTCGCCGTCGCAACCACTCGTGCCGCGTCCTCCGTCCCTTCCTCTGCCCGTCTCCGTACTTCTCTGGCTCCTGGCACAGCCAACGTTTCTGGAGGAAGAATCATGGCAGGTAACGCGATCCAGAGCCAGAGCCGATACGCTAGCAATCTGCTGACGATGGGAAAGATTCCGTCTGCTCCGATGCTAATTGTAAGAAAGAAAAGAAAACACATGATTGACAAGATGAATTTGGCAATTTTGAAAAGAATGACGGAGAATGAAATTCCTGTGTATCAAGCAACAATGAAGAATCACTCATTCAGATAGTAAGCTGTCGCACCCAATCATAGGATTCATACCAAACATTTTCAGTCTCGTCGCTTCTGTCATCTTCCTCTACCTGGTCCTGGACGTCCCATACGTTTGCTTTTACGACTATGCCCTCGAAGAACTCCACATCCCCGAGAACACTGCCTCAGCCATCTACTCCGTCATCGGTAGCTGCAATTTCGTCTCAACCATTGTCTATGGAAAACTCTCTGATTTCGACACTGATCACAAATTCATACCGCACCTCTACTCTGCTTCCATGATCGGCGTCTCGTTTACTATGGTTTCCGCTATGTTCGCTTTTGCCGGATGGCAGCTCATTGGGTGTGGAGCTTTTTTCGGAATCTTTGTTACTGCCAACTACGTTCTTCAAACGATTATGATCACCAACTGCTTCGACGAAATCCACATGTTCCAAGGAGCTTATTCGCTGATCGGAATGGTGGAAGGCATTGCTTCTCTGGTCGGACCCCCTATCTTTGGTCAGTTGTTTTGCAATAGAGGGGTGGGGAGTAGTTCTTAAGCAGAAATGTAAAATCTATTCCATCACTTATTTGTTCGATTTCAGCTTTCATCCGTGAGATGACCGGCAGCTACCACGCTGTGTTCATTCTCGGCGGCGTCTGTGCCTTCTTTTCGGCTGTCTTTGCCTTCCTCTACACAATCGAAAAACGAAAGGAACAAGTCAAAGATGATGTGGAGGCCGCCAATGCAAACGGAGCCGCTATAGATGGAAAGAATGAGTGAGCTTCCTCGTTTTTTTTGCTTCAAGCCAATAACATGAAATTTGGCAGGTCAGCTGATGGAAAATCTCGTCAGAACGGCAACCATTCGGGACCAGAGCTTGAGAGTCTTCTCGACGTTTAATCATCTCATAACATTTATTCCTCGACCGATGTTTTTCGTTCTTTTTTTTAATGTTTGTGGTAATTTTTGGTGACCCTTCTATTTTCTCCTAATTGTAAGTTTAATGTTTCCCCTCTCCAACTTCTAAATATCATTTTCGCTTCTTTGCCGCCCATCTAGAAACCCGACGGAAATTTGAATCATTACAAGCTGATTTCAAAATTCTGCTTAGCTATTTTCACTTAAATCCCTCATTGTATTTTTGATTTTTATTTCTCATTCTCCTCTCACTTACTCTCCCGTTTTTTTTCATGGTAGATTGTTCCCGACTGAAAACAAAGAAGCCTTACCTGTAACTTGGCTACCGGTATATGGTACGCACTCTGTGAGCCTTTACATTCCCCTTCCCCCGCCCCCCTCCCCCACTCTTCCTTTTTTTCATGTTTATTCCGTTAACTTCCCCTTTTTCCCCTTGGTCCGCCACCCCTACACACACACTGCAGAAAAACACTTTATAGCCAATATGTTTTATGATCCTTTTTCTGAGAATCTCTTACATGTGGTCTTAGCTTCTTTCCTTTTTTTTGAATTGGTAATATTTGCAATGAGCGATGACAATAAATATTGGATGTATTGGATTTGTATTGGATTTGAGTGAGAAAAGAAGTTTTTCCGGAGCTTTTGGACTTTTGAACTGATTGGCGTAATCCGATTAAAGTCGAATTTCGCAAGAATATCAGTGTTAGATTGGGCTGCTTCAAGAAAGCGCGGATTTTGATAGTTGTTATAGGAATCGTGGCCGGAAAGATGCAAAAAAGCCCTTCCATCAGGGAAAACTGTTGAAAATGCGGGTCCACTGAAAGACGTTGTTCAAAACATTTCTGTGAATCTTCCTAATTGTGATTTACCGTACTTTTGGCTGCTTGCCAAAATTAACCTTGATGTATGACTTAGAGAAAAAGAGAGAAAACGGGGAAGGACGTGATTTTTTTGTCTTACTCGCAATTATTCTAATTGGACTGACATTCAAACGTTGCAAAATTGCCAGTTACAAATCCCCAATTTTTTATAGACTTTGAAAAGCTCTTAATCTATTCAAACAGATCAAATAAATAGATAAATTATATGTGACAATATTTCTCATCTTTTCTCCCTTATATGGCGGCATTTTTCTGTAATTGCGTTCTGTTCCTAATCTGACCGAGTTTTTTTCCGCCGCAAAGTAATTTTTCAGTTGTGTTTGTGTGGAAACATGGAAACGAGTTTTTCTTGATTTACCCAAGATTTCAGTGCTTCTTCTCGATTTTCTAATTCCAATTATATTTTATACAACGTTCTGGCGATCAAACTCAAAACTCTCAACCCCTCCTCATTTCCTAGAATACGTCCATGAAAAATAAAACGAGACATACCGGTCAGTACACAAGTTAGAACACTAGTTTGTCAAAATGATGAAAAATAACATCCACTCCACTCCACTCCACGCCCGATGCATCGGAAGGGGAAGGTTCTCTCGCGACTTTTGATAGTAGAAAAAGGAATAGCCCGTGTTTACCGTCAGGCTGCTGTCTCTGGGCTTGGCTGCCCTTCCGCCCTCTAGCCTCCTGACATGCAAGTGAATGAGTCTATATTTCTATTCCTATTTCTACTTCCAAAGTGGCACTTCCTCCCCATCCGCCACGAAGAGACGAAATAATAACATGTAGGGGTGCGCAGCAGGGGGAGAGACGGGTGGCGGCCCGGTGTTCATTCATTCACTTTTTTATGTTTGGCTGCTTCGAGAAGAGAACATTTCTTGTGCCCCCCCCCCCTTGCTTTTCTCTTCCTTTCATTTTATAATCGTTTCATATTACAACAATTCTATTCAAATTCTGGTGCTATTGTGTTGTTCTTGCTATACGAAATGTTTCGCTTTCGCATTTTTCTGGTAATGCACATATTCGACCAACGAAAAAAGTGATGATAACTCATCTTCCGACGGCGCCCGTGCTCTCTCTTTTTCTCTCTCTCTCTCTCTATTTTTGCGTCTTCAGTACAAACTATTCATTTCCCCGCGCCCTCACTTCTCCAATGACACCAAGGTGCGGAGAACTGAGAACGGAATGGTGGGAGGTGGGGGAGTCGACAAGGTCAGTCAGCAAAAAATCGAAAATACGTCATCTATCCCTTATTTCTTTCGAAATCTATGCGTTCAAAAAAATCCTCGCCACTTTTTCGCACGCAACCTTCTCGAAAAATCAGTGGTCGGGTGTGTGTAATTGATATTGTATTGATACTGATATCATACACACTCACACACATACACACACATTGCCGCTTGGTGGTTTTTCTTCTTTTCCTCGCGCTCTCCCCAATTGTCGCTCAACTTTCGATCAAAAACCAGCAAGCATTTCGATTAGAATACAAATACAACCACATGTCCCTGCGCATCTCCTTCATTTCTCTCTTCCTTCTAGGGTTTCTCCAATTTTCGACCTATTTCCTGACTGAACTGAAAAAAAGTACTTGATACTTGACGTCCATTGGGTCTAGCTAATAAAGCTGCGGACGAATTCTCTTCATTTTGATAGGTCCTTTCTTGCGGAAGTAGACCAAGTCGTTTTCGCTACTAGCATCCTTGCTCTTGTTATATATTTTGTATGATATTATAACTATTTGTAAGGAGAGAAGGGTGCGGGCTCCAATTTCATCCCACTTCTGGCTTCTTCGAGAAACTTTGTCGTATGAGTCACCAAAAAACATGAGAAAAGCTCATTTACATGTGGCCGAGGCCCTTCAAATTATGTTTCCGCCTCCCGTCGTCTTTCGATATTTGTCGTGTTCGTTTACGTTTGTGTGTGTGTGTGTGTTTGCCTCAGTCATTTTCGTCAAAACGAACCCCGAATATTGCTTGTCTTGTTTTTATCGGCATTCTTTTTAGTATTTACTATATACTCTGTTTCTCACTCTCTCTCTCTCTCTCTCTCTCTCTCTCTCTCTCTTTCACTTGCCATGTTTTTTCCCTCCCCGTTTCGTTCGGCACATTGTTGACCAAACAGTAAAATTGTGAAGAACGTACACTTTATGTCAGGCTTTTTATGGAAAGCAAAAAAAAAAACTTTTTTTACAGTATTTTAAGAATTTGAGCCACGGCCACAATCTCTGAGAACTTCATGGTGTTTGAAGAGAATTACTAATGAAGTTAAAAGAAGAAAATAGGGGAAAACGAAAAGATTTTCTTCCCTTTCTCTCTCTTTTTCCTGTTGCTTTTTCTCCGCATAGTCTCCGCCTTTCTCCCGCCTCTCGTTTTGATTAATTCCCTTCTAAAAGAGTAGAAATCAAACATCTTCATCAGCTTTTCCATCTTCTCCCATTCCCACCGAAAAATCTGAAATCCGTTTATGACCAAGTATTGGTTTCCTTCTCACTCGATCGGAAAAAAGCGTTTCCTGCTATTCTCCAGTTGATTATAACGATTATATCAGAGTTGTTTTTGTCGCCAAAAAAGTTTTTGTTATTCACTTTTTCGCTCGTCTGCATCGATTTGCACGAGCGTGCACGGACAGTTTCTCTCGTGTTCCAACTCGAAACGCATGAATCTTTCATCTTTCGCCTTTTTTCTCCTTCTTTTTCTCTTTTTTCCGCCTCACTTGCATCATACAAGAAACTTTGCTCATTTTTCATCTTTCTCCTGCACTCAGACTCTACTCCGAGTCGCCATGAACAGCTCACAACGTCGCAGCATCATGTTTGGCGAGAAAGCGGTCATCGAGATGGATATCGATCCGTTCGTTTCGAATCTAGACACTCCCGCCGATATCAAAGTGCCAACGACCGTTTCCAAGTGAGTTGTTTAGTAAGTGTGTGGAAATAATGATGAAAGGCTTTTCCCCTGAAAAGAAGGCAAACAAATGAAAATGATTGTTATTCTTCAGATACGTCACTCCAATTCTGCCTCAGCAAGGAGCAGCTGTGACCACCATTTCAAAAGCAAAGGCCGCCGAGAAAAAGGTTCAGAAGGACGACGAGAAAAAAGAGAAGTGAGTAATTTTCACCTTTTGCACACGTCACTGCTCATTTTGGCATGAAGTTTAGAATAATGAAAAGGCTCTTGGTGAATTAGACAGGTCACCGTAGACAGGTAGTTTTTCTGAGAAAAAAAAGATATAAATTACGAGACAGGTGAAAGTTTTCAAATGCTAACCCGACTATTTTCGTTTTTCTTCTCGAAAATAAAGCCAATGTTACACTTGTTCTACATTTTGCCAGACGATTCAGAAAATGTCAGCCAATTTCTGACATTTTATCAACAACAAAAAATCCGTAAACAATTGAGTCCGGTCACGGGACGTTACTGTAGACTTTTGTCGGAATTCAGAGGTTTTTTAGATTTGTGGTGCGGGCTATGGGTCAACTTTTCAATTTATAATGTACAAATGGAGTTGTCAACAACTTGTAATTGTTGCTTGGAAAACCTGAAAATAGGTCATTTTCTCTGAAATGTTTCAAAGTTTTTAAACTCTTCCTGACCAGGCACACTTTTGACAAGTCAGGCAAAGATATTTCCCATGACTCTCACAAGCCTTCCATAGAAGTATAATTTCAGTGACGCAAGTGAAATCGAAGAGCCGGTCGCCAAGAAGAAACGCTAATCGCCTGGAAGTAACTCGAGCAGCGCTCAGCACTCAAGTGCACTCAAAACCAAACCAAACAAAATCTATTCATATTTATTACGTCGCCTGAATATGATCTCTTGACGTCATCAGTTCATCACTTTTCCTTTAGTTCTCCTGGTAGTCAATTTTTTAAATGGTACTTTTTCTGCTTAGAATTGCTTGTAGATTGCCTTTTCTTTCTTCTCCTCATCCCGAATTCCACGTGTCTCCCTGTCTACCTATATTTTTTTCCATTTCCATTCTCTTTTCTTCCTTTCCATTCTTTTCACGTACAGTTTTTATTTGACCGGTCTTCTTCATGATTTCCTCCCATTTCCTCTTCAGATTTCTCTGGTTTCCCTCCCTCCTGTATATGTTGCACTGTAATTTGCTTCTCTCCCACTTTTTGGAACAATTGATATCAATTTTACAACAATTTTGTGAATGAAACAATCAGAATTTGTATTATGTAATAAATTGATTTTTCCTGTAACAATTTTTCTATCATATTCAGTGTTTGGCACAAGTTTGCCTTTAATGGCGTCTTCCAAGAAAGATGAATCAATGTTGGACGTTCCGCAACTGAAAGAAGAGTAGGGAACATTGTAAAGTGTACAGATCGAAAAACCGACGAACGGCGACAAAGAGCCAACAAGAAACTTGAAAGAACTGAAAAATTCACAAAAAATAAGAAGTCAAAGATCAAACTAGACCCTCTTCCAATTCTCAGAACCTTAAAGGAAATGTGAAAAACTCCGCGGCGCCAATGGCAATGGCGTGTTAGCACACGACATGCTTCTTCTTCCTCTTCATGCTGCCTTGTTGTGTTTTGTCTTATTTTCCGTTAATCTTCTTAGGATTAAGCTTCTGACCACCTTCTTCCCGAACAACTGCCCCCCGACAGGAAGTCAACAATGAAGCGGATAGTATAAAAGGTGCACAAATCTTGGAGAGAACTGTATCGCTTTTTCTGATTCTACTCCTTGAACTGTCTCGGAGATTTAGCTTCAAACGGTAGCAATTCGAATTTCTGAAGTTTCACTCATCTTGAAAGGTTTAGACACGAAAAATGATGAAAATTGGTGGAATTTTGGCAGCCACGCTTCTGGTCTCTATTCATGGATATCCGGCTGCACAACATCAACAGGTATGACTTTAGAAAAGTTATAACACAATAGCAATATCAATATTTCAAGACCGCTCAACAATATCCTGGTCAACAGGAGGGTAATACCCCGTCTTCAACTCAACAACAGCCTACAGCTCATCATGGTTACATGTATGCACCTCAACAACAAGTGATTTCTAAATAGTCAATAGAAAAATAGTTTTAAAATAATTTAGGCGGCTCAACTGTCTCAATTCCCAACTACAGTAGCTCCAGCGACAGTTCCAGTTCCACAATTGCCATTAGATGTTCAAAAAACCGCCCAAGTTCTTCTCAACGACCCAGACTTCCAGATGTTGGCTAGAAGTTTGCACACGGGTACTGGAAGTGTTGGTTTTAGCAATCCGGTTAGTTATGAGCCAAGTTCAGTGGACGAAATGCGGGGCCAACAAGAATGCTTCGAAAAGCAACCAGAAAAGTAAACATTCCCGTAAAATTTGAACATTTCATGCAGAACTGAGCTTTCTGGATCATTTCTTATTTAGGAAGCGTAATGATTAGGAGTTGACGTGGAATCGGGCCAGATGTAATTGATTAATAGAGATTTGATGACATCCAGAATCCCTTTGGAATAGTCTTTTCGAAAAGTTCAAAGCGTTCACTACAAATCCAATAAGCTTGGGATTATTACTATTCCAAGTATAAATCCGGCATTATACAAACACTCTGCTAATTATCATTTTGCGCCTTTCAATCATCTAAATAAATAAGCACACACATTTTGCAGCTAACCCCCCGTGAGCTTCCTCCATGCTCCACAGACGGTCGATCAGTCACCATTGATCATTTGCGAATCTCGCCTGAATCACTCGTTCAAATTGCTCGTCTCGCGCAGGCCTTCGGGACCAATCCGGATTGGAAGAAGCTGCGGTTGGCGGACATGAAATCCGCTTTGAACACTCAGATGCATCCGACTCATCAGTACGCGGCCAGATCAATCGGGCTTTAGATGGGATCAACTTTGTTTATCACTATTTATTGACATCATTGTATTTATTTATTTATGTGCACCGTGCCCTGGTATTGATTTATACACAAAGTTATTTGTTTGTTTGTTTCAACTGATGAAAATGTGCTCAATTTCTCATAAACGCTGACTTTTTGAGACCAGAAAATCTGTAGCTGAAAAGATTGCCACAACATATATCTGAATTGTCTAGTTTGATCGAAGTTTGAAGTTTATCAAAGCTTTATTTACGAAAATGTTGCCAAATGCAAGCCTGTTATACACTTTCATCAGTACTCGAGTGATGTATGCACTACTTTCTCTGATTTCAACTCACTAGAGGACATTTTCGTGTTTCTGATAAGTATGAACTGAAAAATGTGCAGAATTCGTTGATAAAACCAGTGCGGAGTGAGCATAAAACCTGAAACTTCCGTGTAGCGTGAAATGGCATGTCATAAGGTGAAAGTGTACAAAGCGCATAGAACAAGCGAGCAGAATAAAGATATAGTACAGTGATATTATGAAATTATTTGATCTGACACGAGAAATGTCTGATCTGTGGGTACAATATGTTGATCGGCGAACTTGATTGGTGTGGATTTGGTCTGTGACGTGACAAGATCACTTTTCTTGTTCCCGTTTCCCTATTCCGATCAGATCTCTGGTCAGTACCCCGATTTTTGGCTCAAACCGAAAAAAGATCATGTATATATTACCCATTTTTTGGAGACAATTATGTTTTGTGAGTGAGATTCGGATTTGGTGTTATTATAAAAGAATTGTGTCGGTTTAGTACATCGTGTGAGATCAATGAAAAATCAACTGGATTTGTGTTCGTTGCCCCTCTAGAGGTGGTAATGATCTCGATGTTCGGATGACAGCTTACTGTATCTTCGGTTTTCGGACTTCAATGTGTTGTGCACTTCATGATCTATCACTTTTTGGTCACGTCCCTCCGTCTGGAAACTATTGAGTCCGATTTTCGATCTACGAGTCCAATTCTCAATTCCTATTTCGATTGCATTTCCCGAACACAAAACGTTACCAATTTATGTTTTTCTTTTCTTCATTCCGAGAACATGAGAATTGCCAATCATACATGGACATTCCTTTTTCAACGAAATTGAAGACAAGGACGTCTGCACTTTTATTATTTTCTTCCTGAAAACTGTCAACATTCCTGTCAAAAGATCAGAGTTCGATATACAGTATACTACGTGCTCGAGCCCACCCTGAGAGCCAGGCAGAGGCAGGAATCTCGGAAGATGATGCAAGCTAACGCGTTTCTTACACGCCGTGAGGAGGAAGGGACGAGCGGGAGGTTTTGGCGAGTACGCCTCAGTCATCATTGACGTGTTTACCACAAAGAACGATCGGTTCTGTACTACGGTAGCACGTGAATGGGAGAGGCGAGGCTTCTTTTCTACGTGCCAATTCAGCGAAACAGTGCATTGCAGAACATTCCATTGTTTTGTGTTGAACACAAAATATATCAAATTAGGATAAGATCTGAGAGGTTTTATGCAAAATTAGAAATTTAACTGTACTACGACCACGTAAGGAGAAGAAGAGCAGGCGTCTAAAAATAGAACTAGACTGACGAAAATGAACCGAACTGTACGCAGTGATGCTTGATAATGATGCATTGTGTTATGTTCGGGGTACTTCAGGTACAAATTTGAATAATGACATGATGCTCACAGTCTTTCTACTCGCTACCGTATTTACGATTCTGACCAGCTAGCACTTGGTTGAACGGGAGTACTGTTCAGGTTCAAATTCTAAGCCCCTTGAAGTGTCAAAGGAAGTTTCTATCATACGGTCATAATGTCTCAACTCAACTGGTTACCGTATTCCTGATTTTACATACTTCCCACGATTTGTTTTACCCATTTTCTGCGTACATCGGCGATTCTTTCTTTTTAAAATTCAGAAAAACAGAAATGGAAAAGTTACTTTTCCCACTTTTCCCACGGTCCTACAGGAGCAGCAAAAATCCTACTACGCTGGTTAAGTCGGAGATACAATACATAGAAAGATCAAGCACAAAAACTAAGAAAGTAAGAAGTCTTAGTTGTTGTGCTTGATCTTTCTATTGTATCTCCGACTTAACCAGCCTAGTAGGATTTTTGCTGCTCCTGTGGGACCTCTTCTATTACGAGATCTAGGGATGTATTTACAGTGAGGTATTGTAGTTTTGCAATTTTTTAATATATTCTCTTCAGTACTCCACCATTCACCAACAAATTTGACTGTTCAGATTTTATAAAGAATTCCCCGTTCTAGTCGAGGAGTCGCATTCATTAGGTCAGTATTATTGTAAACAATAACTTTTTCCGCCCCCTCACTTCATCTCCCGACTCCATTCATGGAGCATTGTACCCAAACATCATCCCTAGACTACATGCACGTACAACATGCTTTTGTTTGGTTGAGGTTGATGTGTACCCTGACCTGCCAGCTCCGGAAGAAGAGATGGGAGATTCTTCTATTAGTATTGCATCAGAAAACTGAAAACTGAGCTGCGAGAAGTGCACGGAAACAAAGCGACCCCCCCTCCCCCAAATTTCGGTTTCTCTCGCGTCGGGCGCGCGACGTTTGTTGCGTTTTGAAAGTGCAATCGCATTTTCACGTGAATCGCACCCCGGTCGTTGCCGTCACGTGTCGATCGGACGTGCACCCACCACTATTTCCTCTCTCTCGTTCTGTCTTCCCGGGCGGGAGGGGTAAAAGAGGAAGAGTGAGTGGGAGAGACCGACCCGCGTATCATTGAACAGTTTGGTGGACGGAAGCGGCGCAACGTGTTGACAGCGTGTACTGGGGGTTCACTCAGAACAAATGAATATCGTGCTGTACATAGTGGGGCACTTGTTGAGGAAGCACTGGAGAGAATGAGAGATAGATCATGGTTCAAACGATTGGTTTTGGTTTAATATAAGTTCAGGAATTTTATAATAAGTGGGACTCCATGAAATCATTGGAACGAGTATGTATCTCATCTCAAGTTCCTGGAATATGGTGACGTCACAAGAACTTTTTTGACTGGTCAAGACCAATGCGACCAGATCAATTTCATGAAGAAGCGTGCTTTCATTGCTTTCTCCAATCAGCGGGGGTCCCCGTGGTCTCTCAGACTATACGGATCAGAGTACGAATTCATTCAGAAATTCCTCAAACAGCCACATGAGACTATATCGTGAATTGCGAATGAATCATACCACTTCCGTACTTAGTCTCAGTGTCAGAATGATGCAAACAAACACGAAATAACACGGTAGCTATAGGAATCCACATCATTTGATGATATGTGATCTTGCTACCGCCCAAGAATCACAATCGTCCGATACTTCATTGTTCTTTCTGCACTCTACTGCACTCAATTTCTCTGATACTAAAATACACTCAAAAGTGATGATAACTAGCCTCTTCCTCGTTTCTCAAACTATGAAACAGTACGTGCATATACATACACACTTGTACGTTCTCTGGCAGCGCTAGTCGGCTTATAGTGTAGTAAAACCAAAAGAAAAACTAGTGATGATGATGTGGTTGGTTGGTAAATACTAGGAAGTGTGAACTGTATGATCAGGAAGAAAAGTGAATGCAGTGAAACGAGAAAAGTACACGGGTTTTGCATATGCAAAACGTCCCCACGCACACGCACTGTGGCATTTTTCCGTGATATTGCATCAGTCTTTTGAACCGGCAAAAGGGGTTTCTCCATTTCATTTCAATCGGGTACTTTGACGTCAACTTCCACTTGTCCGTTACATGTAAACCAGAGATAAGAGGGATTCCCCCGAATACCCCCCCACGTACCCGACTTTTTCTTTCGTTTTTCATGGCGGACACACAATGAATCAGTACTTTGTACTTTACACTTGATTCCGCTCGAGAGTAACGGCAGAGAGGAGACAAAAAGGAAGTTGCGTTTTTGTTTGTGAGATGATGATTCTTCAAAGATAGCAGGGTACGGGAATTGAAGAATCCAATGGAGCTTGGCTCGTGGTTCCTTTTCTGGATTTCTAACTCTGAAAAGTGACATCGTCATGTTTCTGATTTTCAATGAGAAGTTCAAAATAAAACAACAATAACGCTACTCAGCCCTTCCCCGAGTTGTTGCAACCTTAATTAATCACTCCAGTCTTCCCAGCGATTTGACGATGATTTGCGGCTGATTTCGTCAGGTACTGCAAACGTGTCAGACACCGCACTTCTCTTATTCATCGGCTGATGCAATGAATATCAACAAATGATCTATGTGTAGTGAAACCACTTCCCCCCATGCCGACAACACGTTTTTGTTCTTCTCCATCTTGACTTTGATTACCAACGGAAAATAGCTTCTTTAAGAGAACAAAAAACGCAGTGGCCATTCTGGGAATAAGAGGAAATCGGATTTGATCTCGGGCGTCTAAGTCTGAGACTGATTGAACGAAAATAACTGAATCAGCGCGAGCAAATTTGCAGAAGCAGAGTTCAGTTTGAGACGGAAAAGGTAGAAAAGTGGTAAGGCCACGTGACGTTCTGTTTTGGTCATAGTCGTAAATTTCTGAAAACTTCGGGGGAAGGAACCTTGACCCTAAATAATGTTTCGGTTACTCACGTGGCAGCTACTGAAAATGATGATAAAGGCTGTGTATTTCTAGTCACAAGACACAACAGATATATTTTGTCCGGGAAAGTCGTCTGAAACAGAAAAGTGCATTCAAATCCTTAACCTCTGAAAAATCACTGCCCTGATCTGCGTTCATCGTTCACACGATTTCCTCGGACTGTTTCTCCTTTCTTAAAATGACCCCCTCCCCTCCTTCCAAAGCTTTTGCTATTTGATCAACCTCAAAACTACGCTATAGGCTGGCCTGTTACTCTCATCTCGCCCCGTTGCCGTTTCCGACCAACGCGCGCACCCAGCGTTGTTTAGTACACATTGTAGTCACACTCACCGCCACCGGAGGAAAAGGGAGACGACCGATCGCAATTTGTTCTCTGTTCACCCCCGACTTTGACAACGCAGTTTTATCTTTCACTCCTCGCCTTCTCGCCGAGTGTTTTCTGGCGCACACGGGTCGCGCACGTGAATTTGATGCAGAGGTACTTTTCAAAGATACTCTATTCTTGTGGGCGCGTCGTCGAGCTTTCTGACAGTTGGCACCGGCGTAGGAAGGGGAACTAAATCCACTGAGCAATTCAGATCAGCGAAACAAATGTTGTTCCGAGTAGCAGTAGCAGACAGCTGTTGTTAAGTGTCGAGACATGAGTCCACCCTCACATTTAGCTAATATCACGGATTATCATAATTTATCAGATGTCCAAGAGCTTGAAGTTCAGAGAGCTAAGAAAGTGTTGGAGAAAAATTTGACAATTTCTCAAAATACCGGTTGCATAGAAATTCTGCAAATCTTTCTGATTATTCTAGCCAATTTTTTAGGAAATTGGACCTCCCGCCAGCACCGGATAATCTTGCACCTTTATTCTGGCTTCTGAAGACTAAAGAAGGAGCTACAGATAATCCTAATAAGAGATTATGCACAGATATCACGAGAGAGATGGAACAAAATGAGCACCACCCACATCCGGTGGCTTATAGTTTTTCAGCAGATTATCAAAGGATTTCATGAAGCTTATCAACCACATTTTTCCCACATGTCCACTTAGGACTTTGTCCATGTATCCACCCTCACACGCTCTTCTCTTCCAAATTTTTAGGAGTAGTCAAGTGTATGCAGTCGTGCCAAATCCCTCTCTTTCGTGACTGAGTGATCAACAGGATTACTGTAGAAGACCAGACCATCATGATCGTTCTCTGCGGCAAATCAGTCTGTCCACCCAGAGAACGATCACTTCTCAGTGTCGCACGTCAGAATCATTCTAGGGTTCATGAAGTGTTAGTGTCGGCCACTTACGCTAGAGCAGAATTCATTTGAGAACCTCCTCGTCCTTTTGAAAACCGATCATTGGGTTCAAAACGAAGCGCGCATGTGAGGGAAACGTGTAAAATTGGTGTGGCAGGGGCAAATAGAAAAAGCTTTGAATAGGACGGACGGGTCAAACCAAACAATCCTGCCCCTGTTGTTGAGTTGACTTGCCATCCTCAAATTTTTTGCAAAACTTTGTCTATGTGGTGTTCGCCCAAAAAAAAAACAAGTATTATAGTAAACATGCGGGACAAAGTCCAACAAGACTGTTTGTTTGTTTTCAAAATTTTGCACACCACACTCTACGGTAATGTCTATTTGTCGGTTGGTACAGGTACAGGTTCAGGTACAAGGCTCACAAATTTCCGCCGACACTGTCATCACACCAGACATCATTCGGAACCGATCTTCCACCACATTTTGAGCTCTCAGCAGCTATCATGTGTCACAATTGTTTCGTTTTTCTACATAGTTATCATCAAGCGGTCTCCGTGTGTTGCACCGGTGTGATACCAGCGTGTGTGTGCAAGGAAACAAAGTCTAAGGCGACCCCGAGGCAGAAAAGAACGTTTTGTGGCGAAAGGAATACACGTGAACTATCATGTGAATGTGCTGAGGTCGGGATTGCACCCAAAAACAATGGGTGAGCAAGAAATGCTCATTCATGGTCAGCCCAGGCTCATTCTTTGTGTTTGCCCTTTCCAGTCACCTACCCACCATCCACGCCAATATTTGCATTTGCTCAAGGACCTAAAATAAGACCAATGCTTTGTTCCTTGTCCCCAACTGCTTCATCACTCATCCACATGTCTACTGATTGAATTCACATGATTTCTTCGGGAAGAGTAGAGGCTACAACAATGCTCCGTAGTACCCAGTAGTACCGACGAGCATGAAAGAAAAGCGCGCCAAGCCACGCAGTAGGGGTGCAGAGAACACACGCTGACCGCGTGTAGGGGCGGCGCCTCGACTCCTCCCCCCGTCAGACAGGACGCCCCCTTTCCCCTCCCTCCTCCCTAGTTCAGGCTTGCAGACCAGACCACATCAACCGGCATCGCCCGGCGAGTCGGTCGGCTCTCTTTTTTCTTTTTGTAGATCAGATCATCTTGACCCTTGACCATAACTTTCATTTTCAGAAAACAACATTCACTCCCACATTGACATAATGGCTGGTGCGGTTGAAGACATGTACCTCTATTCTTCCTCCATAAAATTGGAGAACAAAAACCGCCACGAAGATTTCCAACGCAAAAGACATCACTCGGTCTCTTCTGATGTAAGTCACCAGCGAATCCTGACTAGATCACAAAGCTATATATTTACAGGACGACGCATCCAGCCCAAAATCCGCTTCGCCATCCATCGACGACGACCGCCGAGCTCATCACAACGAGCTGGAGCGCCGTAGACGTGACCATATTAAAGATCACTTCGTAATTCTCAAGGACTCGATTCCGCTGCTCGAAGGAGAGAAATCGTCGCGTGCTCTCATCCTGAAGCGCGCGGTCGAGTACATCACTGTGATGCAATCGCGGCTCAATGAGAATCAAAGAAGCATCGAGGAGCTGCGCCGCAAGAACGAGCTACTTGAGGAGAAATGTGAGTTGAACCTGGATTCAGGATAGATTATCAATATGAACATTTCAGTGCGTGAACGTGAGCCATCGGTCTCTCCGCCTTCTTCCACGATTCCATCCCTCGGAGCCACCCCAATTCCAATGACTCAACTTACCATCCCGCAAATCCAACAGATCCCACAGATCCAGCAAATACAGCAGATCCAACCTTTGCCCCAACTCCCTCCGACGGCTAAGTAAGTCGCAAATCCGTTCTAGATCTAGATTCTTATTGCTTTATTTTTAGTCCACTTGTCCTATCGACGATGGACCCTTTCCACCTGAGCAGTCTGATCGCCTCGAACCAAGACGCCATCATCGCCCTCACCCAATCCCTGGTCGGAACGGTGCCCACGCCGAGCCCGGCTCTTTCGGACACTTCCTCCGTGACGCCGCCAGCAGGATTATACCCCACCGCATTCTCCCCTGTAGACCAAATAATGGCTGTCCGGTTTTAAGACGATCGTTCTGACCTATTTTTGTCAAGTAATCATTTGATCTCAACCCCGGTCGTCTTGAACCTGAACCCCCCTCAAAACCCTTCGGAACATTCCAACCAAACTCCTGGGTTTCACGTGTACTTTAACAAAAAAACGCCTGCTTGATCTTGACAAATCCATTTCTACTGCTATTGTATTCTCACATACTCCTGCTTTTCTTTTCTTGCATAAATTAATGATTATAAACGAATTATGATTATAAAATTTGTTCTGTATAATGAGTTTAACATTGCAGCGAGATAGACCAAGTCTACAGTATACTGTATATTTAAAAAAAAGAAGAGTAAGAAGTCGCATGTCAACAAAAGTCTGCAAACTAGACTGAAAGGCATCTAGTAAAAGGAAAGATAAAATATCATTCTCACAAAACCCTCTCTACAAAGTCATCTGAAACAGCACAACAGTTTTCTTGATCTTAATTTGATATCTTGGATTCCTCACTTATTTCAAGCAACTACTCATTGCAGAACTTCCTTGAACATAACAATTTCAGCTGCTTTTCTTGGCGATTCTATCAGAGTCAAGAGAATTCTACTTCCATGATTCCTTGGACACAAAATACGCGCTTCGACACATCAGCACATTTCCGAAAGTTTCAGAGAGTTCAAAAATCTTAGTGCACTATCGAATTAGGAACTATGGTATAGTGCAGCTGCAATTCTCAAATCTCCCATACTTAATTCGATACACTTCATCGTGTCGTAATTATAACGGAGAAAAGTGAACAATTTTCGTTCTTTGAAGTCATTTCGGAAGACAATGTGTGAGATATCGGACAACACGTGTCATCAAATGAGTTTATATGAATGGTTCAAAGTATCCAAACCAACGAAGATCACCCTATCTTCTTCTTTTTTTTTCATTGACACTGCGACCAGATTAGATTTAGGAATGGAAAGAAAAGGTTTCGGTTTCAAACATGGGTGGAAACGATAACTGAGAGAACGCGCAAAGATCACTAATCAGTCGGACTATGAACCCATCGAGTACCCATTGAAGAACGGAACGAAATCAGGCATCTAGCCGCGTTTTTCAATGGAATGGTTTTTGCGAGGCGATGGGGTGGGCTTCAGATATGAAAAGAAACGGTTTGCAATGTACTGTGGCTTTGCAGAAGTGTTTACCAGCGTGGATTGATAATATTGTTCAGGATTTTGATGGATTCGGTCTACTGATGAGTTAATGGACATCACAGTTGCACCCACTTTCTTAGGTTCTTACAATTTTATCATCTGTCATCCATGAGTGACTCCATGAAGATTGAGTATCTCGACAAATACTCAGAAGCCTGTCAAAGTTATTTAGAAGAATTATTGATGCCTCTGAAATTGTGGAATTCCACGATTTCCCAGCATAAAAAGCGAATATGCTAACAAGTTACAAACACTCTCAAAGTATTTCGCAATTAGAAATTTCATCATTACCGTACAACTTCATCATATCATCATGTGTGCCAAACTATACTATTATTCCTCTTCAAAGGTCGCCAAGCGGATAGTCACATTTGGCTATAAATGAATTTATTGTAGCCAATAATATTGCAATTATTTTTGTGAGAATGTCATGTAACGTAATACTTGACAATTATTGGCGCAGTTTAGATTAAAAATATGAAAATGATTGGAATAGAAAGTTGGTCACAATTTGAATCTATGAAAGGAGGAAAACCGTGGAGCAAACGAAGAATTCGGGATGATTTGATTGAAAAACGTGTGTGACAAGTGTGGGAATGATGTTGGGCGAAAGATTTCTACAAACACAAGGAAAAACGTGAATTAATTTATTGTGGGGGTGAATAGAACCAATGGGTACCCGTGATCACATCCGGAAGCATGTTAAGGAAGATTTGGATGAAAAACGCCAGAATCGTGCCGAGCCCACAGAAAGCCAAGTTGGTGAAGGCGATGGACTCGAAAATGTTGACGTGGCAGAATAGAGCTGGTAGGAACACTGCGATCGAGCAAATTACACTCTGAAGTTCCTCTTTTTTGCTTTTTAGGTTATGTAGGGTTCCCATTAATTTCCTGCTACATGAGACAGATCAAAATTTCTGCTGTTAGAAAGACCAGATTCATTTTCCGGTTTCGGAAACGAGACTACGCTGTGTCTATTCACTTCCTGGATAAAAGAAGCAACACCGAAATGTTCTATGATCAAATTATAAAGTGGAATGTATTCAAATTGGGTCTCGATATCAATGTCCAATTTAAGGGAACTTACCGAAATACACGGGAAGAAGCATTTCCGCAACATTTCATTCATTCGGTTGACTTTTTGAGCTTTAGAGTTGATCCGCATGGCCTGAACATTTTGTTAAGCCCGTTTTACACGCGCTGTTATTGTTCACCTGCTGATAATAATAGCAGAATTGCGTTGTGAAGCTCGGCGACAACGCAGCAATGATCAAGAAATAGGCTGCGTTGAAGGGGTTGATGTTGACACCGAAAAGCGACACGAATCCGATGGTTGCTGAAAGAAAAATTAGTGGGAATTGACTTAAGCTATGTTGGAGCGTCTTTTTATCTATTGTGATCCATTCGGTTCAAAATTCATTCAGGCATAGTAAACCTACATGCATACAGTAATCCAGTGACAATTCCGTTCACCACGGCAACTGCAAAGTTGCCAATAATAATAGCACTTGCAAAGAACATCGCGACGGTGGACACCAATGGGATTCTGAACAAATTTCCTGCTCTTCCCGAAATTTCGGTCAGAAACTTACACAGCAATGACAAGTGGAACTTGAAGAATAATATCAGCAAATCCGATTTCTGTATCGAACGGAGTTGTCAAGAACTCTGGATATTTGTTGGTGATGGCTCTGCACTTTTCGAAAAGTCGAGCCTTGTCAGCCAATGACTTGGTTCCGTTGAATGTGGTGATATGGAGCATGCTCGTGATCACAGGGGTTGTGCTGAAAATAATTTTTACAGTTTCTGGATAAAATAGTTGTGGGTACTCATTGATAAAGTAAAATTTGACGCCGTCCTTCCAAGACTTGTAGATTCCATCTTCAATAAAGCTTTTGAACCGAGTCATGTTAAGAGCTGAAAGAAAATAAATATTGGATGCGAAACTTCACAAAATAATTCTAACAAACCTTCATCACTGGGACTACTGCTTGTGTGTCTACAAAAATCGTTAATCCACACCATATCCGTGGAATTTGGAAGTTTATTCTCAATCGAATCAATCTCCGCCAACATCCTCTTGAATCTACCATATTCGTATGGATCAGAAAAGTTTGGGGGTCGATTCACAAAGAACATGATCGAGAACCACGTGGGCCAGACAATATCACTCATCAAATGCACTCCGTATCTCTTGGGAGAGTCGGATTTGAGAAGTTGTCGGTAGTCCAAGTTTCCTTCCACCTGTATGTGAATTTGATTATTTCTAGAAGATTGAATACAAGCTATGGGGACTTACAGATTTACATCCAATGTACACAGGAACAATTAGCAAAACTATCATCCCAATCACCGCAAAAAGTTTCACGAATCTTGAATCGTCAACCCGCTCACAATAGTAATCTGAAAATGGGTGCTTCTAATCATGTTTCAGTCAAAAATGAGTAGAATTAACTTACTTCTCACGTTCTCAACGGTCTTCAACGTGGTTTTTCGATAGGCTGAAGACGACGTGGTTGGAATTGGCGAGAAGACTCGGGCTGGGCATATTAAAAGAATTGACGGGGAGAAGAAGAAGGTCTGGAAAAGAGTATTGATGAATCGTAGTTTGTGCCAGCGGTTCAATCTCTATACAAAGGTCCCATGAATAGGAAGGATGCTAAAATACTGATGTCAACATGAAAAATGCTCAAGAAGATGGGCTTTTAGGGCTCTTGTAAATTTTCAATAATTTTTTGGGTTCTTTTGTTATTTTTATTGTTTCTCGAGATCCTTTTAGCATTTGGTCACAACTTGGGACTCCCGTAAGATCATAGGGGGTCCTTGTATTGAATTTGTACCGTTTTAGTTCTTCACACTATTCTGCCAGTCTACCTACCACAAAAATGACGTCAAACACCATAATGACTCCAATAAGGAATGAAACGGCCGCGTAATTCTGGATAGGATAAACCACGCACAACACGAATGCAACTGCAGGGCTCGAAGTGACAAGCAGGGCCGGCATACATGTCGCGAACACCTGAAAAGCCCACATTTTCCATGCATCTCCCAGAATTCAGCTTTCTGCTCACTTCTAATAGGTGCTCGTCCGGCGAGTCCCTTCGCAGCTCGGAGTCGCTGAGCCAGGTGTGGGTGAGCATAATGACAGTGTAATATCCTGCGAAAAGGAAAAGATGAATGGGGGTTCGAATGCATTTCTGAGGTGTACTGACCATGAATCAAAGCGAGGAATGGAGTAAAGATGGTGAGCGGAGTAATTGCGAAGCCCAAGAAATTGTAAATTGCGAATGCAGTAACAAAGGAGAGAATCGGCACAAAAATGGCCACGAGCCACAGGAGCACGATTCTGAAATTTAACCAGTTTGTCTGCATAACAATGAGTGAACACACTTGCAGAATGAGAATTGGCTGAAAATTCTACTGAAGAACAGAAAAACGGTCAGAAGGAGGAGCATGGAGAGCAGGATTCCAGATCCCAAGTACTTGAACGCCTGGCTCATTCCTTCGGAAACAGCACTCTGAAAATTTATGAAGTAAAAACATAATGACTGACTATATAGAAGAACAACTTACACTCATTCCCTTCTCCCCGTGAATCGTGAAAATAACGCTGTGATTTCCAGCGTTGTGCTTATTCACAGCCCTCTGGATCGCCTCTTCATAAAGGCCCAGATCAGCTTTCACCTCTCTAGTTTGATAGAAAGCCATGTAGACGAGCATAACTTTTTTTGCGCTTTTCAAATCTCCGCTTTCCGTTGTTTCTACATCGTAGAAATGCTTTCCAATGTTCGATTGGTACATAAAGATGTGAGTAACCGGGTATGAAAGTCCGAAAAATGACATTTTCTGCAATTTCTTCGAATTCTCAAAAGCATCTTATTAGTAGTTGTTTACCTCTGTTGTGAACAAAAGCTCGTTCAAATCGCAAGTAGACCCGCACAAATCGTAATAGGTAATGCCTCGTTCTAAATCTTCGTCGTATCGTATCGTCATGTTCTTGATTTTCTAAAAAGCAAAACAAGTTTGTAGATTTCTCGAAAAATGAAATGCGATATAAAAGTCTCACCCTATAGAACCACTTCATCTCGTCGAATTCCGTACCGGTATGCATCGTACTGTTCTTATTTCGTGGCTCCGCAAAAAGAGCTGCGTACCATGGATTTCCCTGCAAAAATTGTATTGATTGATTGTACACAACGGAAAAAGTGATCAACTTAACCCGAAAGCCCAGAAATTGACAGCTCTGGAAACGTTCAAAAAATTCCGCAAGAGCTTACCTCCTTGCCTCCGGTAAAGAAATCCCGTTGATTTCTCATTTCGAGAATAGAGGGGGCATCCGGCGTCGTGTACCCCGTCTCAAATCCCAAATCGTTTTTCGGTTGATGCATGTAAATCGTCGATAGGGAGAAAATGCCGCACACCAGGGAAACGACAATCCATCCCCACGGCGCTCGACCCACCAAACTGCCGAGATGTCCTAGCGAGGGTCCAAGTATCATCTGAAATGATAGCATATTTTGTGATTTGGAGAGGGTAGTCTTTGTTTAAAACAGAAACCTGACGTGGTCAGGGGTGGGATAAGGTGTCAAGTGTCAACATCGAACGTTTTGGACAAAATATGAGAAAGTTGACGTTTTGGGTGAGCAAGAGCAAGAGCAAAGTGAAAAGTAGAAAGGTGGTATTGACTATAGTTAATCAATCACAAGTGATAATCGAGTTTAGTAATTTTTTGATAGATATTACAAAAACTCATTCAGTTTCAAGCATTTTTTGATGACTAAACAAAAAAACGTACTAGCTAACAGTTGGTCGCTTCTTTCTGCTATTGTTGTTTTGTTTATTGGGTATTTCATTTCTTATCTGTTTTTCGGAGAGAAAGAGATAGAATCCATGAAAAAGCTTTAGGTAATGAGCAGAGCAACTATGATCAGCTATCTAGGAAATGACCGTCTTGTATAGCAAGCCAAAAAAGAAAAGAAATGGGAAGACAGGGAAATGAAAATGCAGTATTATTATACGAACAAAAAGCGAAACGAATTTCCGATGACCACCGCCCGTGCATTGTTAAAGAAAAACTGTGATAAAAAGAGGAGAAGCACCCGCGAAGAACTATTGTCGACAAAAAACAGTAAAATGAGATGTTTGGTTTGTCACCGAGAAGAAAATGAATCCATCTCTCCAGCTGTTTGGTGTGGCAACCGGACCCACGAGATCAATTGGAAGAGCAGACTAACAAGAAGAGACGGAGAGTGCCGAGGACCTAGCAACTGACGACGGAGCGAGAGGAAAAGAGGTGGAATGTGACGGAACACATGATCTACCTGTTTTTTCGGAGTCGCCGCTTCGCTTTTGCTTGTGGTTTGAAGGATATATGAGTATGAGTCGGTGCTGGTGAGGAGGAACGTGAGCTTGAACTTGCGTTGAGAAAAACACATGTGAAATACGATTCATCGGTTTTCAGAAATTGATCGATCTATTGAATCATTTCAGATCGAAATGATTTTAAAAAATTTGCGCCTTAAGTATCACATCGAGATCTTCGAAAAAGTAATGAAACCATTAGTTGTGAAATAGCTAACCCCCTATATTGTAGTTTCGAAATTCGCTCTAGTACATTCCACCTTCAGAGAAACCGATATGGTTCCTCTATCCGAAAAACTACAAAATGGGCAGATGAAATGAAAAGGAGCAGGAGTTGGGCTCTTGACGACAGGAATGAAATGATGAGGGAGGTAGTGGTGGCTGTTATCAACTGAACGGGTTGGGTTAGTCGAGGTGATCAACTGTACGGCCGAAAAGAGGTGAATGCGAATGAATGAGTGAGGAGGCAAAACGAAAATGGGCAGATAATACTTTGATAAGCGTTACATGGACGGAGCCACAAAATTTGGTAAACCAACTGTCTTTGATTTAAATGGAAATTGGAAATTACCTAATTTTGATCATAATTTATATCGTTTTCAAGAGAAAATCAGAGATCTTTGTGATTGACATGAGAAGACTGTAAAAGTTCGAGGTCTCCTCCTCGTCCTCGGCGTCCTCCTTCGTGCAAAACTTTAAGAGCTGAAGTTTGCGGTCTGTCTTGCTATCTTATCGTTCGCCGATGAATACTAATCTGTCACAAAGAACTGTTTAAGACAAAACTGTTGCTTCGGCTAACACTAACAAACTGGGCACGCTTAGCCCTACGATTGTTCATGAAGATTATTGATAAATTTTTGATCAGTATCAAAACAGAAAATGTGGCAATATACAATAGGAATGCAAGTTTTGTAGTGTACTCTAAACACAGAAACACTTATTTTTACCTGAATGAACTTTTCAAGCAGTTTGGTCAAATCAAAAAAAATTTCAGTGAAAATGACGGTACAAGATGAAGAACTGCGCCGAAAAACGGTACGTGTTATCGGTTACGTACACGCAGACGCCGACGCCATTCTCCTTCTTTTTTGCTCTTTCGAAAGCTGATAAGAACGACACATTTCGAGAAAAACGATGTTGGCTTTAGTTGCAAAGGAATGTGGAGGAGATTAGTGGACAGTTTAAGAAAATTTTGGAATGAGTTGTTCTTAAAAAATTGAAAAACGGTTATGTAGGGAAAAAAACTCACATATCTAACAATCTTCGCCATACTCCGAACATTTGCCAGCGCCACAAGAATCGCCAGTCTCAACCAGGATAAAGGTGACCACAAACCAAGGGCCGTGCCAAAACGATGTTGTTGAACAAGATGAATGGTGACGCCGTATGGAGCCACGCCGTCACCCGGCTTCTTCGATTTCGGTGAAGCCGAAGGCCAAGAGGGTGGTGGCTCGCCGAGCTCCGCCTTCGTCGCACATTGACACATTCTAAGTGGATATGAAAAATTGGTGGTGGTGCTGTTGGTGGTGGGTAGAGGGAGAGGAGAGATGGGTAAGGAACCGAGCGGGAGGGTGGAGTAAAAATAAAAGATGAGATGAAGACACAATTGTTTCGTTTTCATTTTCTTCTCTCGAAACGAGTTGGAGTAGGAAGAGTAGGGTGAGGCATGTAAAAAAAAATGGAATGATCTGAATACTGGGAACTTGCAATAAACAACTGGTAATGGAATCGGTTAGGCTATGATCACAAACACAATGACGGCAGCTTCCGTGAAAATGAGATAGGGGGGGGGGGGCTAGTCGGTAGGGCCTTCGGCTCTTGGTTTACCTTTTGATTTTTCTCACTTCAAACGTTCAACTCAATCACAAACGTAAACAAAAGTTGAAGAAAATGGCGGCCAAACTTTATCATATGTTATAGTTTTTCAATTTGATCTCTGTCTGATTTCCGAATCGTTAAAATTCAAATAATTCAAAGATAATTTCACAAGAAACTCGCAAGCTTTGTGAGAGAGGTCAAACGGCTGGTGTACATCACATGGTCGGTCATCAAAAAAATACATATCATTCGGCTGTGTGGACCCACCCTCCTCTTTTTTCACCCGTTTCGTTTCGCACTTTTCCGCTATTCTTCTCCTCTTCTTCTTCTATTTTTCTATTTTTCATTTGTTCTCCCTCGTCCCCACCAAGCTCATTGGGTACTACCGCGTGCGACGGCGCCCATAGACCTCTCTGACTAATCGAGTTTCGTCTCCCTCCCATCTTTTCGTTGTTTCATCTGGCGTGATGTGAGCCCAAGCTTAGGATGAAACAAGAAGAAGAAGAAGGAGAAGGAGGAGGAGAAGACAGAAATAGGAATAAAAGAGAAAAGAACAAATAAAAGTTGAAAAGCAAGCCGAAAATTTAATTTAAAAGACCAGTGACATGACAGCGAATATGGTCATCAAAAAAATGAAGGAAGCGTGTGACGAGGAGGAATTGCATCCCATCGAGCCGAATTCGGAAACAAAGTGATTGAAGTAATGTGTGTGTCGGTAGGCGCCCTGCAAATGTATTTTTTGGAATTGAAAAAGGAGAGGGAGGTGCCGAATAGAAATTTATTTATAGTATCACTATAAGAAATCTTGAATGGTTTTCTTTTTGAAAAATGAACAAGATAAATTTGCGTTCCAGATACAGAACAATTTGAAACCAGGCGTTTCGCAACCGGACAGTTCGAAACATCTTTTAAAAGTCTCGGATGTTATGTTAGATTCAAACAGTTGCGAAACGTCATGGTTACGAATAATCACAATAAAGTTCAAAAATGGCATTGAAAAGTTAAGAATGAACACCATCCTACCTTACTGCCATAATTCCAGAACCGTTTCTTATCACTGCACCCCCAATCTTCTCCAACAACGGCACTGCACAACACAAAGTCCGAAAAGTCGTCATTGTACCTGGAAAAACCCAAATATTTCACTCCGTCTTGCATGAAAACCTTACCAAATTTCTCTGGGATGATGATATGGATTGCCCGGAGCTGTTTCATGGTCAACATTGAGTGGAGGAAGATGTGGAATCGGATCGGTATTGTGAACTACTCGGAATGCGTATGGGACCATGTCCTGGAACGTCAATCGTGATTTGTGATTGGCCTCGGCTTTTTGTTAGAGCGTACCGTGAAATAACTAGCAAATATTATATCTCCAACTCTTGGCTCTCCGAACGTGTAAACTTTGATCTCAAAAAAAAAGACAGTTCTATGCGGTTAGATAAACAAATAGGGACGGATTTTATTACCTTGCTTGAGAATTGACGGAATGCTAAACGGAACGCTGTTAACGTCGCCATTGCGCCGCCAAGAGAATGCCCAGTCACGAGAAATGTGTAGTTTAGTCGGCTGGAACAATTTTAGAGGTTTTTTACAGGATATGTGCGGAATTAAGACAAATTTTATGAGAATAGTATGTACTTCATCTTATTGGAATCTATTTTTGAATTACGTTACAGCATTGATGAGTGTTAAAACTAACTTTTTGATGCTTGGCTGCACCATATCTTCCCACATTTGACTCATTGCGTTCAAAAAATACACATTCACATGTCCAACAGCAACAGTGTTTCCTGACCCGTCTGAAATGCTCTTTTTCAGTTTGTCTTAAAAGAAAAGTCAACTTACCAACTTCTGTATATGAAACATAATCTTCTAAACCGTCGCCAAACTCCGAAAGCAGCTGTCCACCACTATTAGTACCTCGAAACGATATGATTACTTGATTGTTATAATCGGAAATCGCCACAAATGCCTGACACTGATTTCCGCGCTGAAATTTTGTTCTTAAAATATGATGAACACAAAAGTCACAGAAAAATGTGTGAGGCTGACTCACCTTATCGCACGGCGTCGACATAACCATTAAAACATGGAATTGGTCAGTGGGAAACGATACATCTATACACGACTGACGAGCGGTTACGTTACCTTTGAAAAATTGAACTACACTGCGGAAAATGTTTTAAATGGTACAAACTGGAGTCTGCGTACGCGGCTGCAGCTAAATTTAGAAATTTTTCCGCTTCAACCTCACTGTAGAGCGCATAACCGGAACTTGACGTGGGAAAAAGTGCGAGAAACTGAAAAATTAACCGTTTTTGGAAGCAAATAATAGACTTCGGAATAGTTACCAAATAAATGATTGGTGTGATCGCTACACTTTTGGTTCCGGGCTCCATGAGCAAAAGTGATACGATACGCGGCTCTGCGTGTTTGATTTTTCTCCCTGTTATCATTCTTCTTCTCCGTCTTATCACCTTTTTTCCCTCCAACCACTTTTTCCTTCTTCTCTGACTGGATTCTCTGCCGCGCCAGACCACGGGGACTGTGAAATGTGGAGAAAGACGATAGACGAGAACGTCACCTCCGTTTCACTCTTAGACTTTTACATTTTGAACAGCACAAAACACGAAAAGACTTCATTTGTTTCTTGTGTCATATCACACCGGAAAAAACGTATTTGACACACACACACACACACAATTATTTTAATACTAGAAAACGCGTACAAACAAATCAGTTCCTAGACTTAAAATAAATGACAAACCAATCACAATCTACTCAAAACATCCGAAATTTTGTAATCAACTTTCATGGTTGCCATATGGTCTGCTCTTGTCGGCCCGATGTTCACAATAAACACTGGTTTCTTTTGCATGTTGGCCTGAAATTACACATTATTCAGTCGGAATTTGATGCAGACTCGGGAACTAAAATAAAAAATTGAAGGTAGAATTGGATTTGGAGCACAAAATGTTGTCACATTTCTGCGAGAATGACTGAAACCACTGTTGTATGTATTCTATTCCGAACTTACATGATGAACAAAACGGAATCCCGACAGAACAGCGAGAGAGGTTCCCAGTGAAAGTATTCCATCGCATTCGTCCACTTTCTCATAGCAAAAGTTGACTTTATCCATTTTCACGTTATCTCCGAAGAAAGTCACGTCAGTTTTCATCAGTCCTCCACAGCTCGGACACTCCGGAATTTTGAAACCCTGGAAAGAAATCAGAAATTATGGAATTCCGAAATTTTAACTCACTTTCTCAGTGCCTAGTGGCAAAATGATATCTCCATCAGGCGCTATTTCTCCAGGAGCAACGTGCTGCTCCTTGAATTCCGGATTCGCTTCATCCAGACGTTCCTGATAGGCTTGTCTGCAAAAATAAATGTTTTGTCAAGCGGAAACGAACTAATCGACCGTGTGAGGTGTGGTTTTTGTCTATCTAAACACACCAGACCACCCACAAACCGTTAATAACATCTAATTTGAAATAGTTTTAGTGAGGGTTTGGCGGAAAAAGTGTTGTCCTTGAATGAACGATCAGACCTCACAATGTTAACATTTCGCATTATCAGATTAAAGATATGTCACCTTGATTCGGTGTACTCGCACGTAGTACATTTGACCTGAAGAGCGCTGCCGTGAAGTTCTGTGACCATATTGGATCCGGCTCTGAACATTAGCACATCTTATTATGCATGTTTTTTTTTTGAAAAATTTAATGTCAGCTATGTAGTTTTTGAATTTTAAGAATTCTTTGGCAGGTTATTAGGCCCTCACTCAAAACCATAAATGAAAAGTTCTTCTCGGCGCTCTGACGGAAGAAGTCAGGAGGTTTTTCTTTTTTTTAAATTGGAACTGACCGTTTCTAATAGCCTATTGGCAATAACATAGCCTTTTTATTTGAATCACGGACCGCCTACTCAAACGTGCATATTCCGACAAGGGAAACATTTTTTCTTCATTTTTTCGACTATTCCACGAAAAATAGCTGACTTGAGATGAAGTCCGTCCACATTCTGAGTAATGAGCCACAAGAATCTCTCGGAGACCTCCCATTTGGCCAGCGCGTAGTGGTTGACGTTAGGCGCCGCTGAACCGAAGCGTGGCCAGGCCAAATAGTTGCGTGACCAATATCTGAACTAAAACTTGTAAAAAGTCAGCAGAAAAAGCGACATTACCGTTGCCTACATCTTTGAGATCGCATGTAATCTTGATGATAGATGGGTTTGTGGGCGATTCTTGCGTACAACCCGACGTCTTTCGATCGATAATCCGGGATACCTGGAACTGTAATACTAGGCAAATGAGTATGGGAACGATTGAATATTACCGGATTCGGTGGAGATGCCGGCTCCGCTGATTACCAGTAACTTTTCGACTGACCCGACTTGCGAGACAAACGATTTCAACGTCTTCTCACAGATTTCCCTCGCTTGAGGCACATATTTACCAGCCATGCCTGAGAAAAGAAGAGTTCAGAATAATATCGACGGGAAAGTCGAGTTCACGTGATACACCCTTGGTTAAACTAAAGTGATAAACGCGGAAGAGATCAACGAATCGTGGAAAAGTGTAATGAAAGTATGATAATAAGAAAAGAGGACACTCGTCAGCAGTTGCGCTCCAATCGCGTGGCGGGAGAGTGCGGAGAGTACCAGACAGTGTCAGAACAAAGAGGGTACACGTACGCATATGACTCACCGAAATTCGAAGCCATTTTTGGTTGAAATAGGATGGAATGAGATGGCTGCTGATTTTTGAAACCAATTTGTCTGACGTAGTAAAGAAGTGTTGAGAGAAGATAAAGGTGAGTGAGTCTGGTGACTTTTCACAAAAAAAGAATTGGCGTCCGCCTTATCAATTGGAAGAGATAACAGAATTACGAAGATTCGCCTCAAATTGCATGTTCACAATGTGAAAAGTGATCAAGATGAACTTTTATTATATATTATTCAAATCCAAGTTGAAAACACCCGTAGAAACTCCCATGACATATTTTTACACAACCCCGCAAGCGGTATGGAGAACACAAGATCGGTGGATACATAACAATAATAATTCACTTCTAAACGCAACACAAAACGGTGAGATCGTTTTGAAGGAGGGGTTTATATGTACAGAGACATTGAGATCATGGGTTCTAACCGGAAATAACAAGTTTTCGGTGATTTTGTACAAGCCTTATCAGTTTCAGTTATTGTTTCTTTTCTAGACTGGAATCGGTTGCCGCAGGAGGGGATGTGATTCGATGTTCAAGTCTTTCAGCTGGGATTCCATATCACTTGGTAGAGACTGAAATTGAATTTGTCTTGAAGTTTTTGGGAACTATTATAGCTTACATCTGTAATCCCTCCTGAATCTGAACTATTACTTGACATTGATGACACGCCCGAGTCCGTGCTATGCGTTTTGCAGTCCGGTGAAATATGCACACTGTTCTCAGCTACCCCAATTTCTTGAGGGGATATCGGCACTAGCACAGGACAGTCACCCGGGATATCGATGATCAGCGGGTCCGCTATTGTGATTCCATACGCTTCTTCCAAAAGTTTCTGGTCTCGAGGCATCACGAACTCAACTTCACGGGGAACGTTTTGTTGAGAACACGGGGAGAGGGTGATATGAGCAAGACGAGGGTCCGTGCAAGGAAAGAAGTTGTTAATGACGTCATAGACACCACATCGAGGCTGATAGGCGTTCGAATGAAACATCACAATCTGAAAAAAAATGTAATGGTACAAATCACCGACAATTTGCAGGCTCTCAGGTTTCTGAGAAAATTGAAAGCGACCCATCAAGTTTCAAGCTAATTGGCCACGTTCTAAGATAATTTTCTAGTATTCCATTTAGTTCCCGCACATTTTTGTATGTTTGTTTACCTTTTCAGCAATCTGTGTTTGTTGGTAGACCCAATGCAACATGTTCTCCTCCGCTTCTTCGGAATGCTCCTTCCATCTATCGCAAACCACTGTATTACTCGAATTTCTCATCGCCTCCGCAATTCTCATCATATAATCATGTTCCCTTCCTGTCAGTTCAGGACAAACTAGCATAATTTTGAAGATTTCTGCAACAAATGTCGGATTGTACACGCTAAACGCGTGTGTGATACGTACTCTCCTCTCTGATTTTTTTGTTCGGGAATTGGGAAGTTTTGAGAGCGTTGAATGCAACTTTCTGCTTCCAGATCACTTTGTTGTACTTCTTGCAGCACAAACATCCGATTATGAGAATCGCAAACACGACGCCCAGTGCTGTGAGGCACAGGAAGATGTGAAGGATGGAGAATGGCTCAGATGACTTATGTATGGCGTATTTAGTTGTTGGGGTGATCGTTGTCTGGAAAAATGTATTTTTAGCTGGGTTCTTTTAGACTGTGCTTTTTTTAGAGTTTGATGATCTCTTTTTTTCAATCCTTCGTGATAGAACCCTCTCTGGTCAGTATTCAACTAGTCCCCCTCTTTTTATGTAATGTTCATGATCATTTGTTCACGTACCGTCCGAGTGATAGTCGGTATCGTAAAATACTTGGACTTATCAGTGATACAATTGCAGTTGACACAAGCACAACCGCCGTCAATTGAGTTCTTGCCGCGAACCTGAAGTAGGATAGTAAACATCATGAACGGCCTTGTCCCTTTCTCAAAAAACCTTGACGTGCATCATCTGATCTCTTGCCAGTTGCCTAAAACTGGTGTTTGCCAGGAGTTGGCCCGGTGTGACCTGAAAACATTGATAATGATTATCCAGTTTGTTGCGAATTTGTAAGATAATTTATGAAGCGCGACGGGAGAAGTCCTTGATTTTTGCAAAAAATGATTTATAACTCGTCCAGTTTCTGGCGTGTTCTTCTGTTCTTCTCCGTCTTCGTTATCAATGCGCGTGATGAGAATAGCGACGTTACCGATCTTTATCTCCTTATTTTGAAACAATGTCTCACTCACGCACACCCAACCCATTTCAACGAAACGATTACACAACTCACATCGACTTCGGTGATGTTCAGAATGAATCCCTCTCTGTTTTGCAGAACCACTTCATACGTTTTGATGCAAAGGAACGATGGTGCTGGCTTCCAAGACAACTGAAAAATAGATCATGATGATTATGATGATTGTGGTGATGACGTCGACGGAATCAGATCGTTGAGATCATATTTTCAACTGTTCATTGCTTTGCTTATTCGGATTTGACGGATAATCTTTTGAACTGTCCAGTCCATATCTGTGTCGGGAACTGGGGTTAAGCGACCGATTTTTCGGAGGTCTAGTTATCAGGACACTGGTTTCAAAAAATCCAAGATTATTATCATATTTTCAGAAATTTTCCGGTAGTACAAATTGTCATCCCTATCAGACTTAATCTTATCATAATTATGATAAAAAATGCTTAGACTTCATCCATAACCCCGGTTATCTGATCAAGAAGTACCTCAACTTCAGCAGTTGCATCAAACACATCGACCATGACGTGTGGTGCCCATCTCTCAGCCAAACCTGAAACACAAAGAAGATAAATGTGCGCCGGACCGCTCCTCCGATTCTGATCAACGATTTATGATGGTTCGCAAACGCCTGGAGATGCGCCAGAATCATAAAATTCCGTCGGCAGGAGGAGAAGGGAGGGGAGAGGAGAACAAAGGAATTTTCAATAGTGGAAAAGATAAAATTATCTTTAAATGATCAAATTATAAACAAACCGGTCATCGTCGAGCACTTTTCGCCCTCTAGCTTTCCCATGATCGAGATGAATGACGAGGCGGGTGCTTGTTTTCCAATCGGAAGAATGTTTATCTGCAAGAAAAACCAATATTGTGGGAGCGCCAGGTGCCGCAAACCTTTGCATCATATCTTCTATCGAATCCCAGAACATTATCCATCTCCAAGCGCATTTCCAAAACCTCATTGTGCTCGGCGAAATGCTCAAACGGCTCCGTCATTGTCAACTCGTAACTGTCCACAGTTTCATTCGTATCGTGATCCATAATAGTGACCAAAAATCCTTCAAGTGTCGTGTCGTTCGGACTCCAATTTTTTAGTTGCACTTTCCATTTGACGATGCCTCGCACGCCCAGATCATGGCCATCATCCAATGTCTGAAAAGAAAGAGACAATTGCCTCACACTATTTTATGAGCTTTTTAATGGCTAATGGGGACGCGAAGGGGGCGAACCGAAGGCGTCTAACAAACAAGAGATCAGAAATTAACCGGTGACTGACTTTAAATTTGAGTTCATGAGTCCCTCTAGCGGCTGAGCGCAAAACAATAATTTACTAGCCTTTGGACGCAAGAAGCTCGGAGCAAGCTCATTAGAAGTAAGGACAAAGTTTGAAGAGAGAAGGAAATTGGTTGTTTCTCATTGCGTTACACCAAGAATTGCGTTGCGCAACATTTTCTTGGTGGAAAACAAACCGATTAGTTTTCTCCTATTTTATTTCTACTCTACAATAGCGTGTGGATAATATGATATGGACAAAGGGTCGAAGACTGGTTATGTTGGAATGAAAATCAGTGTAAAGATCTACATATAAAACTGAACCAAAATTACGGAGATCCATTAGTTTTTGCGTGAAAATTAGACCAATTACTCACCCTCAGATAGTACATGAATCCAATGTTCTGCGGACGAATCTTCCAGTTGACCGAATGATTATTGGATGACGATAATAGCTCCAAATTGTCGTCAGTATCCGTGCTGACCATACACGTCCCATTTCCATTGAACGAGCAAGCGATACTTGCGTCACACGCCGGAACAAAGAATAGCAGATGAACAATAATAGCGAGAATGTAGACAGTACTTGGCGACGAACGTGTACTTGTCAAAACAGTACGTGTGGTCTGGGTGTGACCACTTTTGTTATATTTTCTGCTGCCACTCATCGTCGCTGGGGCATGTAGTAGGCGATGAATGGCGGCGCGGTGGCGGTAGGCAGCAAAAGGGGGAGAAGATGATGGGGCGGGAGAGGGGTCACACGGCAAGGCCCAAGTTTTCTCCTATTTTCCAAATAGTTGTCGGTTCTTCTCCTTTTTTGTTCGAACTTTCTGCTGCTGCTGCTACTGCAGTTTCAGGTTCAAGTGAGGTTCAAGTGAAAAAGTCGAATGAATATTGTAGTGCTCACCTGAATATGGCGGGATAATTGAAGAGAATACGATTTGGGTACGGTAGACGGAGAGAACTATCAAAAGGATAATAGTACAGAAGACAGAAAAGTGGAGAGGAGTGACTTGTAAAAAGGAGAAAAGGCCAACCGATCCTTTAATACCAGATCTATCCCCCCTCCCATCATAGTTTTCAGATTATAACAAACTATTATAACTTTTTTATTTGATCTTTTTCTAGACCACAGTCACACATTATTTGACAAACTTTGCATGAAAAAAGAGATGAATAGTGTCAATTGTGTGGTAGGTCTAGAAAATGTGAACAATGCGACTAGATCGTGGAAACCAGACGGAAATAAATGAGGGAGGGGGGAAGGAGTTGTAAAAAAGTGGAAAAGCTGGCTCTCAAGGGTTATTGAAACCATTTTTCTGTAGAACGAAAGAGTATTCAGTACGGACTGCTTTGTTTTGGAAATAGAAGGCAAGTGAACCTGCACATGCAGATTACGAAAAAAAACAACACTGTATGATTGAGAATTGAATAAAAACACGAATAGTAGAGAGGAGGGGGAGGGGGGAGAGGCAAAGATCAAATGTTGCAGAAAAAAATCGGAGGGAAACCTGGATACTGGATAACACGGACAACGATCTCGTGACCTTCTGCTGGGCATCTTGAAGTAAATGCGCTCTGTTTGAATCACGATTTCCGGCCTGATCAAATGAAAATCAAGAACGTTCTTCCAGAAATCAGATTTTAAGCAACGGAAATTAATTTCGCACAAAAAGTTTGCAGCACAGTCGTTGAGAAGGTTAGAAGAAAAAGGGAAAATTATTAGAAACTGAGCTTTCTACCTAATTTGTAGAAAGTGACCAGAATTGTTCTCTATTACCTATGATTTTGAGAATAGGAAATTGAACACACATCACTGATAGAATAGGAAAGACAACGATGATAATGGTAGCCCCCACGAGATGATAGAGATATGGGACAGTGATACACGACTGATTCTTCGAACTCATTCTTTCAAATGTCTTATTTTTCTGTTTCTGCATCTATTTTCAAGTGCAAATGAACCCTTGATCTAGAGCAAAACACACGCTTTGAATCAAAAGATATGTCAACAGTTGATGGGTACTCGAGAACGAGACGAGAAAAAGAAGACACTGGTGTTTTTATCTTCTCAACTTTCACACATAAACATATATCAATCGGTGTGTGAGGAGAAATAGAGTGGGAGAAAAGAAATGAGAGAAAAGCGAACCGTATTGAAACAATGCGCGTCGGCAGGCGACGGACGAGTATTGCGTAAAAGAGAAACAGGCAGAAAAATGCTTCTTTTTCTTCTTCTTCTTCTTCTCTAACGAATTCAGTTTTTGTGTCTTTCTCTTTTACCCCCTCCCCCTCACCTCATCTGACAGTGGTAGGGTAGTGGTAGCCGATGCGCTTTCCTTCTCTCTTCACTTTTTGCTTTTTGCACGGGCGGACGAAAAAAAGTGTGATTGAAATGGAAAAAGACTGTTCTGTGCTTTGCGTTGCCTTGCCTTTTCGCTTCTTTCTTTTTCAATAAAAACTGGCTGCAACGAAAAGTTACAGAAAAACGAAAAATGATGGAAGAGAAAGAGTAAAGTTCAAGAAGCGAAAAGTATTGTATTTCATTTCAAAAACTAGGTGGGCAGGAGACACCGTTATCAATCGATAATTTTAAACACTTTTTATCGCAAAAACGCTGAACATTATGCTATCATAAAGAGCACTTGCGGAGGCGCATAACAATGCTGATTTTCCGATTTTTTCCCGCAAATGGAGAAGTTTTGAACATTTAGAAGTTGGAGCTGTTGTAGAAAATGAAAGTCTTCAATAATGAGATAAAAAAAGAAAAGTGGGAGAAATAATGAGAATTTTGCATGCGTTATTGCCATCAACATAATTGCAGACAAAAATTAGACAGGCTAGACGAAAAATTTGAAACGTCGATCAAAATGCATTGAATTGAAAAGAAAGAAAGAAAGTTCGGAGATTGATAGGATGCGGAGCATCATCAACGACAACACACACACACTCTCTCACACATAAGTTTAAAGTTTGAACGGGACAGCAAGACGTTTGGCATCAACTCCTGTCTCATCTGTTATTACAATCATGAATTTGAAAGCTCTGTCATAACTGTTTTCTCGGCTTTCTCTCTCGATTAGTTCTGAGGAATTTTTGCGAAAACTATTGAAGATCAGATGTTTTGAATATCGCAAGCGATTTTTTGAAGAAGGTTCTCACAATATCTCTTCTGATGTTTTGCCTCTATGAATCCGTCAGTTGGTTGAGAAAACACAAGCGTAAGGACTCTTTCATCAAGTGAAGTTACACCAAAAGGTCATTTGAGAGCCCCGTCGGCGGTGGAAGGAAAGCAAGATATCTTCTTGATGCTCCCCCCTTTCCGATCCCCCAGAAAAACACACGGTGTGTATCATGCGACGGCAATGCGGGCCTCAGAGTGTTGTGATGTTTGTCGCCGTTGCTACAGAATTTCGGATCGACTCTCTTTTATTGGTCTTGTCCCACTAACATCAGTCTCAGAAATTCTCAAGTCCTGGTTTCCAAAAAGAAGAATGTGATCCTAATGATTCCTTTTCATGCTCATTAGTCTTTGACGAAGCCTTAGGGACCGTTCCAATGAAGCGGGGTTTTGTGAGCCGATTGAGATTATTCGGTTCAATATGCGACGAATTCTAATAACGACTAACTAGAAATACATTGGAAATAAGAGAGCGAGTGATCTCTGCAAAAAGAGCGAGGTTTGGAAAAAGTACAAAATCTCATCAGAAGGACATAGTTATATCTATGAATGTTGTTACATTTCACCTTTCCCCGCCACGCTCCATATCTGCCTCAAAAATCTTCATCAGTGCGGGGTAAGGTGTGCGTCGGACGAAAACAATGTTTCTTTCATTTCTCAACTTTACGCTGCACTTCTCCCTATTGTCCGCCCGACTTGGGACACCCTAAGAATAAAGATTAGTTCAAGTTCAAAGTACCGGCCAAAAAAAAAATGAGGTAAAGGGTAAAGGAAGTGTGGTTTGGTCCGCACACAGAGATATCAGAATGCAATGAGGCAAACAAGCAAATCTCATGAATTGGAAATCACCTACCAATTTGGTTGCTGCAGAATATATGGGCTTGTTTGCATTTGGATTTAGTGCTTGGAGTAAGCCTGAATCAGAATTGAAATGAGTCAGTCACATTCTGATTTTTCCTTTTATACTATGTATGTAATCCACCACGAGCTCATCAGAGGTTCTCACAAGTACGATGCGTACCCAAGGGATTTTGAATAGTCTGGTGAGGAATAGTATTGTCTAGTTTCATAGGACTAGAATAGAGTTTGAGTTGAGTCTAACGAGGAAGAAGAATGTTACAAAGGCTGAAACTATCTTTGGAATACTGTATGGTCAGCGTAAATACACTGAATTGGAGAGAAGGTGTGAAGTAAGAGACAGGATGATCATTTTTATCAGATTATTTTTGACTCATTTTATCATATTATAATATAAGTCAAAAAAGTTCAAATAATGAGAAGAAAAGCATAATATCAAAAAAGTTCAAATAAAGAGAAGAAAAGCATAATATGAGTTCACATTCTATCTGGGGGGAATTGGATCGAATGATCTATTGAACTTTTTCGCTTTCTGGGTTACAAAGTACATAGTGATCAGAAATTTGACTTTGGAAATTGGATGTTGCAAGTGAATGAATTGTTATGACACAACTGTACTTGTCAAGTTCAATTCACTTGACTTGACTTGTCATGACAATTTGGCAAACATGTAATATCTGTTTGAAGAAAATGCTTACCTCCCCTTCCCACCCACGCACTCACTGAAACCATTTTGAACATAAAGCAACAGTAAACAGATGACATCACAATTATTTTAGTTTCCAAGAAGAATGTGTTTGATCTTGCCATCCTAACAATACTAAATTAAAAGGGGGAGAACTGGTTTTAAGGTTTTTGTCGTCGAAACACATAATCATCACGCACTATCGGATCTTTACAGTAACTTATTTACAACTATTTAATCATTCCACTCGAGGGGTACAAAATGACGCAAAGACTTCAAAAAGCAAAGAGCGTGGGTGGTCAAAAATTTGGTCTCAAAAAGATAAACGATAACACATGAGAAATATTTAATGTATTCTTTGATAAATCATCAGAGAGAAAAGAGAAATGAAGAGATAAAGAAAGAGAAGAAGAGAGTGTTGCGTGTCGTGCCCGATTACAGTGTCCGAAGAAATTACGAAGCAGAGAAAAAGAGGGAAACGAATCTCATCAAACACACGTCCAAATAATGAATAATTAGATAGTTCAGTCAACCGAGGATATGTCGCAGAGACGCAGAAATGAAGTGACACCAAGTGTTTTGGATTGGATGCCATGAAATTGGACAAAGTCATCTGAGTAATTGACTAGACTAAAGAGAGAGAGAGGGTGGGGGGGGGGATGACGATAAGTGAAATAAGTGCAATGGAAATGCGCGATAAAGTTTAACTGCTATTAAAACTAAAACTGAATCTAGGATCAAACACTTGAAATAGAACAAGAGTCATAGTCCAAATAATTTTAGGTAGCATGTACCAGATGATGCTGATAATCCATAAGATTGAAATCTTGAACATTTTCAGAAATCGGTTTTCATGTGCATATTGAAGAAACACTTCCGTGGACAGGACTTTTGAGATAATCTGATCGGAATGAATGTTGTAGGCTTCACTTGGATTGAAATGTCTCGGGTCCAAGTTTCAAGCTAATCGGATAATTCAGAAACTTAGAAAAAACTGCTAGTTAAGATTCAATCGGTTTATTGAAAGTTACTCGTAAGTCCAGACCTCAGCATACCTTCGAAAAGCTTCGGCCGGCATTTTACCCAGCTCTAGACAAAACTTAACCAATCTATGATCTTTATGACCCTACTTCTCACCTCCCGTCAACAAAAGATCATTCAGCAGAAGCGCAACACAAACAGCAACAGAAAACAAACAGAAACGGCAATTATATATAATTTACGCTTAATTAACGATGAATTAACCTCGTGGAAGATAAAAGAGGGCATGAATTCGTCATCAGCCATGTGACGTGAAAAGAGCCGCGTTCTTTCTGCTTTTTCTCTGTCTGTTCCTTATAAAGAAAACCTGAAAAGGGAAAGTGCAAACATGCTGGTACTAAAGTCTAACAGGTTCAAAAGATGCGCATAAAAGTTGTTCTCTGTCAAGAGTGTAAGTTGTCATACACATCATACATGAAATCAAACCGTTCCCAAAAAATTTCAACTTTTAGATTTTCGCTTTCGATTTTTGATTTGTTAGCATAGACATTTGGTGAGGTTGTGAGAAGAGAAGGATGGAGAAACGACAATAATTTTGGACAAAATTAGATCAAAATTGCAATCAGGGTAGCGTTGATTGAATGTGTGTACATGTTTCTGATTTCTGAGTATACAAATTTTAACAGACTTGATCAGATTAATTTGCAAATTACACCAGTTTCATTACAATTCCCAAGAAGATTCGTAGAATTTCAACGCAAGTGCTTCACAAAACAGCTCCAATTTCCACTGATATGAAGTACACGTGTTTCCCTTTCCGAAAAGAGAAGGCCTTCTTATTATTGACACTGCAAAATCTCAAATTGTGCACAACGTCACTGATAACACAGACAAACCGCATCGTGTGTTTTATTACTTTCCTATACTCGTCCTACCCCTTTCTCACTCATTCCTATTGGCTAAATATGCTTGCTAGAGCCTCTCTTCATTCAAACGGCTCAGAATTCCATACGTTGGAGTATGCAGACCAAAAAAAGGTAAATTGAATAATTAAAACGAGGAAGGATAATTTTTTAGGACAACATAACCGCTCATCATGCGCGAGACTTGGTGCACATCAACGCGGGAGGTACTCGGTTAGTCTGATTCTCTGAAATTTGATATTATAAGCCTGAAAGGTTCAGATTCACAACCTTGTATGATACTCTTGCCCAGTCCAACTCTTCGTACTTTAGCAATTTTATTCGAGTTGACCCCACGTCTGGAAAAATTTGCTTGCTTCAACAGAGAACTATCGTGAGTCACTTTTTGAATTGTTTTAAAGTTTCAACACTACTTTCAACAAAACTAGTTTCAGCGTGATGAGTCAGGAGCAATCTTTGTAAACCGAGACGGTCGTCTGTTTGCCCATGTTCTTCAGTTTATGAGAGACCGCAAGAACACTGTCTTGCCAAAAGATAGAGACATTCTGGCACAGCTTAAGGTGGGTTTCAAAAGATTGGAGAAGGATGCTGCCAAGAATCGTTTCATTGCCGATAACGAGCCGCTGACTATGCGTGTCTACGCCTTTGGCAAATGTGTACATTGTGTTTTAGTAGTAAGCAAGGCGTAGTAATGGAAATTTAAATCAGTAGTGTAGGATTTATTTTATTGGACATTTTAAAAAGTAATAAGGAGAAACATGAGAAACTAACCAAACCAGGTTCTTGAAGTTGTTCGATGAGGCTCGAATCTTGTTCAGTCATGAGTCCGGTTTTATTATTCGAATTTAAGAAAAAGGAGTTTCTGAACAAAGAGTTTGTCTGATAACTTCCGAAGGGTTAAGAGCACTTGCCCTTTACGAAGATCCACTGACAATAAAACCTTTTTTAAGAGAGAAGCCGAATTCTTCGGCATGGAAGCATTCAAGTACTCGATTCAAGAGACACTTATCGACATGGATAAGGAACAACGTGTCAAACACGACGACATGTCCGACATTCGTGCGTCGGTTAATCAAATCGCTAACAATACCTATTTCAACAAATGAGGTCGCACTCGAATTCTTGTAAACTATGTTATGGGGGTTTCGCAAATAAACATTCATTATTTAACATGACCTCTTACTATTTTGGATCACAGCACGACTAAGGAAAATTGAAAACAAAAATTGAAAGGGCAGGTCCAGCCAGTTTTTTCTTGTCCCGTATTTTGACTATGAAGTTTTGGTCTCATCGGAACAAATTTAAGCTTTGGCAAGCAGGCAGACCTTAAAAAAACCGGAGCCCCCTAATTGCCCAGCCCTGTTCCCCATGGAATAAAAGTGAACAAATTCAAAATATTTTTTCAGACATGTGACTTCAGCAATTGATGAAGTTGAAGATGACTGGGCATAATCAGACATTCTTTCGGACGTTCCTCAACAAAAACTCACTAGATCATAAGCATTACGTCTTTGTACATTGTTCACCACAAGTCCTGTCACTAAAAACTTCCGGAAAGTGTTTTTTTTAATGTTTTCTTGCAACGCAACACGCAACCTTCTGCCCCTTTATTTCCACATTTGCACTAAAACCATTACTTTCTGGCCGTGATAATGGGCCCATGCTCTATTCCCATTTTGTGCTTTTATTGAACGATGGATTTCGTTTACAACACGTGTGATTCAGAAACAACAGCGATGAGCACTGAGAACACTGCGCTCTACATTTTCGCTATTGTCTTTCCGCTCGTATTTTTCACATTCGACACCCTCCTTCTGGCTGCAACTATCAGTAATCGCAGGGATAGTAAGTGATAGCTGACTGTTAGTGCAATTTTCAATAGTTTTCTTTAAAGCTACTCTCCCGCTGGCGTACATCGCCGTCATGTGCATGAGTGGCATGGTGACCACGTTCTTCCTTGCTGTTCACTACACCATTTTCATGGTCCTCTCACCTGAGCAATATGAAGGTGAGCTTCAATATTCCTTCAGCGTTACAAGTTTCTGTTCAGTCTACCTGATTTCTTTCGGTGCCGAAACCACTCTAACCGGGACATTCTCGTACCTCTTTGCCCTTATGATCAGTGTACTAATGACTATTAACAGGATTACCGTAATTATAACCCCCTTCATCAACAACACATTTTTCTCTCAAACACGCATATTTTTCTACTGTGCAATCATCGCAATACTAGTGCTGACTTCTTTGCTCATACCATACTTCAGTCCGTGTTTTGTTTTCTTCCGTGTCGACAAAATGTCATTTATATCTGGATGTTCCCCAGATCGCCATCCGGTTAGTTATATGATATCATTCCATGTCTTTTCACGTGTTTACTTAGAAAAATTCTAATTTTGTTTGCATGTCTTATTAGCAGTTTATGTGACCGAAATGTATCACAATTTTTCTAAAAACAGAAACTGCATTCAGAAGAATGTATTAAGACAGTGGAAAAGTTGATTCCATTATCAGAGGTTTTCATATTGCATAACGTGGACTGTGACTCATAGTGCATTAGTCATAGAAACACCATTTTTCTTCAGTTTGCGCACTACACACTCCCTAGTATCGCTAGTCAGTCGAACAAGAGTTTACTCCCTAGAAAAAACAAAAAAGAATGGGCCGAACCGGGGATTGAACCCGGGACCTCTCGCACCCAAAGCGAGAATCATACCACTAGACCATTCGGCCACATGTATGCCTCTTTTCTTTCCTAAAGACATCCTGGCTGCCCACTCTTCGTTTTCTTTGCTTCTCTTCGCGTTTGCGCCCCTCTTGTAAATAACACTCGAGGCGGCCAGGGAGAGTAGAGAAGCAGGAAAATGGGTTTCTTTCCGAAAGAAAAAAGGAATATGGCGTGGCCGAATGGTCTAGTGGTATGATTCTCGCTTTGGGTGCGAGAGGTCCCGGGTTCAATCCCCGGTTCGGCCCATTCTTTTTTGCATTACTTGATCGTGGTTATAAAAACAATTTTGTCGTTTGGTATGGAATTTTGGATATTTTCAAAATGAATAAATAACATAATTGCTCATTGCAGATAACCATTTTTCAAAACACTTACGCTATTGTACTCCCATGGACGTGCATGATGGTCAACATTGGCATCATTCTTCACCTCCGTTTCAAACGAACTGGTACCTACACAATTATTACAAACTTTTTCACCGGGTGTATGTTTGAATTGAAAGTTTATTAAAAATGTGTTTGTTTTTCAGCCAACCAGCTGCTCCCTCCCTCTAACAATTATGCAGTTACCCAGAACACATCTCTGTCTAAAATGCAAGCCAGACGGGATCTGATTATGATGCGACAGACTATTTCAATAGCTTGCTATCTCTCCATGTATGAACTGGGCGCGTTTTTGATGAGAATGTTTCCGGTTAGCCAAGTGTTAAAAATTTTTAAGCGATACATTAAAAATTTCAGGAAACATACGCCAGCTTTCCTCAATCAGTCCGTACCGCGTACTTTTACATACGTCTAGAGTCCATTCCCATTATGGTTTTCTTCATTTACTTTGTCGAAACTGGAAGTACCCGTCGCATGTTCCGGCGGTTTCTACGTATTAAGGACAGCAACAACTCGGTTCCAAATGCAACAGTTATCACTATCGCTCAAAGGAATCCGATCAGAGGAAGGGTTGGAACAGCAACTACTAATAGGATTGGATGACATGGCTCACCGTTTTTCTTTTTCTTTTTCTTTCTTTTCCTATTCCGTTTTCCTGTCTTAAAAAAATGTATTTTTTCTTCTGCCTTTTCAAATGTTTTGATCCGCTCTGCTGCCTGTGCTATCTCAAAGTCAAATTATAGCCGTCTCCATCCCTCCAAGGTTCAATAGATTTTGACAGCGACGCATCAGGACGCTGTCGGCCTTGTCATGTCGAGACTGTTCTCCTTCTTCTTTGCTAACTATGAGTTTGATGCATTTATTGATCTTATTGTTCTATTAACAGTAGTTACGTGAAAGAAAGAGAAACTACGATGCAATCCTAAATTACGACTAGAAATTTGATTAGGAAGACCATTGAAGTATACAAATAATATGTTAAAGAGAAGACAACAAATTTGATGGAACGATTACATCCAAAATGTTGCTCAAGGCATTTGCGCCAAAACCAATTCCGCTGTCGTTCTGAAAGAGAAAAAGTATTGTCTCTGGCTTACTCCATTTTACAAAATTACCTCATTCATCGCTCCCCGGATGTAACTGGCAATCAAATGTTTCCAGTATAACACATGCTGAAATGTAATATTGTAGCGCTGTTATTATCTGTCAAAGTACCATGAAGAATGTGTTGTGGAGTGTATAATTGTTATTTTCAGAACGGCATGACGCATGGAATCCATTCACAATAAGATCGCCAGTAGTGGTCATTGGAGCATAGATTCCTTTCTTGATCACACTACTAATGCTTAGAACTTTTACGCGGGAGTATTTTCTACCCTCCTGAACATGTTTCAATTGAAAAAATCACAAAAACCACCCAATGTCATACTTTTTCTTGGGCAATGTACAGACAGTCTCCAATTTGCACGTTTTCTGCAGCAACCGGGTTCGCAATCGTGTTTTCGGTGGTTGGTTTGAATGGTGGGCAGTTGATGACATAGATCAAGTGTTTCTCGGTTAATGTGATTTTGTCTCCGGAATCCACGAAGATTCTGAAATGTTTTTTGTCACGGTGCAGTGCATGTTTTTTGAAAAGCATCATTTGAATAAAACGGGTTATTCCACTCAAAATGACACAAATTAAAACATCAACAGAACTGTGCACTCATCAATAATAAAAATGGAGAAAAAACACTTACTCCAAAAACCGCGCCTCTTGTTCAGGATCTTTATGCAGCCAAAACAAAACAGGTACAATTTTAGTATTGAATCCATCTGCCTGCAACGCATGAATCCAGTCGCCAACTTCTACCTCATCCATTCTTTTACTCTTTCCGTCTCTGAGACTAACAATAGCGTCGCCAGGGAAGCAATAGTACATTTCTGAAAACAAAAACATTTAATTATTAAATGTTTGATAACAAGGTTACGTAAAGCTGTCGGTGACACAAATCCAAGTGGCATATATCCATAGTTGGCTTGTGCAGATGCTGGGAATTGCTGAAATAACTTTTGTCTAACTGATAATAAACCATGTCTTTTTGTAGCTTAAAACTTATAACATAAACTCAGAAAAAACTTGTTTGATTTTGATCAAGAATTTATTTGAATTAAAATCAAATCATTCAAAGAACATAGAGAATCAAGGTACAACTGATATTATATTAATGTTATCATTGAAATGATTAGCTCATTATTATTAGTATTATCATGATTATTAAAATTTGAAATGAAGATCATAACTTAATTGTAAATTATAAATTACAATTACACCTCACCACTGGTTGTTGGACTGGCTGGAATCCTTGGAATCCTTGTGGCTGTTGGAAAGGCTGTTGGAAAGGCTGTTGGAAAGGCTGTTGGAAAGGCTGTTGAAAAGGCTGTTGGAATCCCTGTTGGAATCCTTGAGGTTGGACCTGACCATTTGGTGGCTGGATTTGACCTTGCTCTGGCACTGGCGGAGGTTCCACAGTGCTTTCCGGTTGAATAAATCCTGGTTGAGCGACAATCTCTTCGATAATTACTTCTTGTCCGTCAACAACTCCATTAGGCACCACAAGTTCTCCAGTTTCGATTGGCGCTTCAACTTGGACATTTGGAGCTTGATGAGCGACAGCCTTCGCTCCATTAACATGTCGAATGATGTTCTCCGCGTTTAGCACTTCAGCTGGAAACACGAAACCAGTCAGAGTTCTCAGCAATTTTTCCACTCACCAATACTTCTATCAGCAGTCTGAAGATCTAAGCAGGAGAATCTTCTAATGTTAACTTCATAATAAACTTCTCCTTCTTCGTCAAGTTTCTTCTCAATGTTACTAATATAGTCGAAAGCGTATTGTTTCTCATTATCCTTCACTTCTCCTCCGATAACAATTTGTCCTCCCGCAACAGTGGCGATACCGCGGTCGATCGAAGCACGGAGAGGAGCGTAGGTGCAGCATTGATAGGCAACACTGAAAATTGTGAAAAATTGAGAGTTATATACAACTGAACTTCAAAAAGTTACAAGTATTGTCACTAATAATACCAGTGCTCTCCTAGTATTCTTGACTCACATGGTAGTAGTCGTTGCATTCATGACTGGGGCGATTCCTCCAACCCATTGATCCTCAGATTCACAAGACAGTGATTGGAACTCTTTCTCGCATGTCTGAAGTACACACACCATGTTATCTTTGGAACTTTCTCTTTTTTTTTCCGCGCTACACCTCCTATCCTTTCCATTGTCCTTGCCTGGCTTATCCCGTTTTTTCTGTGCGCTTCATCTCGACTTATAGGTCATCGAGAACCGGTTTTAGTTGCCTTTTCTGTCTCGATCATCGTGATCCCATGTTTCATTTTCGTTATCACTTTCCCCCAATCACTAACCGCATGTTGCTGGCCGTAGACTCTCGGATCAGACGCGTCAAACGTGTGAATGGCTAACGGATCGTCTCGGAGAAATCCGTCAGATTGCTGGTTGATCCGGAAAAATTTGGCTGTTGTGAGTAGTTGGTGACCGTTTGGTTGGTAGCCAAAACATGTAGGCCGGGCACATCCGAGAATTGGTTGGCCTGATGGTAGTACCTGAAAGTTCAGTTAAAGAAATGTTCTCGGTAAACGCAATTTTTTTGTAACGTGTTTACCTCTAAGCTGAAAGGTATTGTAGACTCTCCACATTCAGAAGATGAGACCTGATGATAAATACAGGAGAGAGAAACTGCTAACGTTAGCAGGAATTTCATGGTACCTGGAAAACAGAAACAAAAGTTCAGGTTAGACTAATGATAAATAAAAATGAATAGAAGCTAAGCCAAGACATGACAAGCGAAGCGAAACATACCCATTTAATGATGAAATGCCGGCTTAAATATTCGGATGATGCACGCCTCCGCTTATCAATGGGCGGCGCTTTTTGACTTCATCCAAGCGTTATCACCATTATCCCTACCTTCTTGGATCATCCTAGCATCTACCTTGCTGCCTCTACGCTTACGCGTTCTGTAGATTGGTTGATGGATTAAGAGGGATGGATGGTACAATCACTCAAAACCGCTTAGGGCCGAGAAAAAGCTGGCACCTGATTCCGCGGCACAACTTTTTTCGCCGTCTCTGCTGATTTATCTCAAGTCATCAACCACACATATCACCACAACAACATTCTTTGGCAAAAAATGGCGGTGATGGTGGCCTAGCGGGACATAAATAACCTGATGTGTGTGGCATTTTTCTCATTTATTTCTGACAGTTTCAAATCCTGAACGGCAATTACAAAGCTTGCGAGAATTTTCAAACTTTTTTAAAGCAAAAGTGTCGTTTAACTTTAGATTAGATTAAAAACAGTTTGAAAGTTGAGAAATACGAAAAAATATGGCTTGGAAGAAGACGAAAGTTTAAAGATGTGAAGCGGAATGGAAAATGATAATTTCGGGCTTTCCGATTTCGACGATAAAGAAATGCTAAGTGATTTGCTTGATTGCCGAGGTTTGCCAAAGAGATTCCAAGTATTCAGCGGAGTGCCGTGAATATTGATAATGATAAACGACGAAATCGTCGAAAATGTGCTTGTCGAACCCTTCGTTGTGAATGAGACCAAGTCCGGCGCAGTTTGAAAGAACACCTGAAGGAGTAATTTGAACTTGGACGATTTGTACTGTAAAACGAGCGAAAAGATGTGAAACGCTTAAAAATAGGTGGAATAGATTGATACTAATAGGTTCAGCCGATCTAGAAAAAAGTTTCGTTCTATAAAATAAAGATCTCCAAGTGATTCGATTGTAGCAGAGTTACAGATTTCCCAAACTTTGATATTAGTGCTCACCCATAAAAACATCATCCAAATGAACCATTGGCACCTTGCATACATTCTCCACTAGCAACTTTGCTCCTTCTTTCGACAAAACAAACGATGAACCCTTCAAAAGCGGTATTCTCATTTTCCCTTTTCTTCACTCCCTGCGTACCTGTACAAAAAGTGGATAACACAAGTTGGGATACATTTCCGACGGAACATGCCACGTCAGCCAGGGCAAAAAAATGCGAGGATATCCGCGCGACACTTTGCCGAGCATAACTGGACCGTCTCGCATGTGTAACACCTATAAAAATCTGATAGAAAATTGAAAAAAAGCGTTGAGATTGATGCCCTTGTTTCTTTCCATTCACGGTTTGACCAATCCAACTTCTTTTTTTAGTCCCCTCTCCCGCGGAAGTTAATGTTTCAGTGTTTCGGTGCCGTGCTAACCTGTTCTAAAGCGGTGGCGTTCACAATTGTGTCATCGTTTGTGACTACAATTTGATCCACCGACGGCAGTTGATCGATGACAAATCCGTAAATGGCCATCATTTTCCAAGAGAGATTATGATATGAGTCCTCAAAGTCGAATTGTAGAATATCTGAAAAACCAAAAATAATGATATTATGATCTTTATGGAATGTGTCTAAACCTCGATATTTGTTCGCTTCAATCTTTAAAGTGTCGTTCTTCGATGTGGCACACACGAACACGACCGGGATAAGTTTATCAACCTGACGCACGAGGAATTTATTAGAATCATAATAGTTGCTACAATTAACCTGTGATTTCCATGTTCTTCTGATGAAATTTCTGTAATCCAAAGAACCTGGGCCGGATCTAATAACTAAGATTCGTCTTGGGGCGTGTGGAAGGTCAGGTCGGATGAGAACATCAGGAATTTTATCGAGTTTGCAGTTTTCTGGATCAGGTTGGCGGTTTGGAAAGAACTTGTTGACGCCTGGACATTATACGAATTTTGGCTTCAGGTTAACAATTTGTCAAAAAGTGTTGTGAAAGGATGACTTACACGTCTGAAAATCCGAAGCTCTCGGTTCTGTAGAAAGCAGATCACTTTGAGTATAGCACAGCACCCGAAGAGGTAGGAGACATGACTCAAGATAATTGGCAAACTGCAAAACATGAACGTGTTTTATTTAACTTCTCCAGAATAGAATTTTGAATAAGCGCTACATAACAGATATTATCTGATCTTTTTCCCAAATTCAAATACTTCACCTAACATCATTCTAATAACTCACAATAAGATACGGGATGACCCATGAAAAGAGGAGAATAAATAGCTTGATTGGTGAAATGAGTAGAATATTGTTGTGCAACACTAGCTGCACACAGTACCTGACGAGGACTCGAAGCGGCCGCATGCCTCCTCGCCGTCGGGCCAATGGTGTCTTTCGCAGATATGATCTTACTTTTGGATACGATCTTTCTCTCCTCTTCCACCTCGGAACACGGAGGGAGGAAAGAAGAAGAGGAAGGGGTTAACCTCTTTTCCGATTTCTTTTCATTCCGCAAAATTTTGCATGCCTGTGTGTGTAGCGCTCCTGGTGTATGGTGATCTTAAAGGGCGATCAAGAGCGGAGATTGTAGTGGGGTTGAGGATCGATGAGATACCTTATTTTGAGTAAATGGCTGACCTATTTCCAAGGGGTTTTGTAGATGTTGCTTGTGGCATCGAATTTAAATGAAAACTTTATTAACAACGTTTAGCTTTTTTTCAATTAAACTCATATAATTGCATCAAACTTTGCAGAAGCAGAAATCTAATCGGATTTCTTGACAGCATATGTTTCTCCAATGGCGATGACGTCAATCTCCGGCTTGACTTTATCGTAAAGTTTTGGGAATGCTCCGTCGCAATGGTACGTGTCACGAACTTCGTTGTAAAGGGTCATGTCGAACATCTCATTGAACTCGTCCTCACTCATGAAGATGTCAGCGTAGAGAAAAGAGTAGCCACCGACGTCGCGGGTGAATCTACAAAAGTAGAAAACATTTCAACTAAAAAATATTGAAAACTGACTTTTCCATGGCTCGCATGGCGTAGGTCGGGTTGTACGGCTCACGACGCTCTACAGGTCCAGGGGTTCCGTAGACTCCGAGATCGTTGAACATGGAGTAGTTGGTTCCAGGTACGAGACGAGATTGTGGTGGGGCTCTGTAATAGTCTACTTTTTGATTGTCACTATGTATAATGAAAGGTTTGGCTCAAAACCCACCTTAACTGTCCTTGTGGAGCACCATTCTTATGATCATAGACACGGCACGGATAGACCAGAAGTGGAAAGGTGTCAAACAGTTTGATAGCAGTGTTCACTTGATCTTTAAGGGTGTCCAGAGGCATGACAATGTCTTGGAAAACCTGCTTGGCGAAAGTCATTTCTCTAACGGCTTGGGTTGTCGTGAACTTCAGAAACGCTGGCTTGGGCGGACAGAGCCATCCGAGTGAAGCGCGAAAGAATGGATTGTTTCCGAATGGGATCATACTCTCCAGTACCCAGAAAATAGCACGATTATGACGAAGAAGATAGGATTCCAGTGGAATGTATTCCTCTCCTCCTTTTTTCAGAAAGGTCTCGACATGCTTGTAGAACCATGGCTTGTAGAACCAGCAGACGTCGTTAACTTTAGCCTTGCTGCTTCTGTCCAAATCGGCAAAATTCCCAACCATTATCACTGCCTCTTCCTTGTTATAAATAGTTACTTCCAAGTAGTCGGCAACTTTAGTGTCCTTGTTGGTAGCTCCGGACAGTTCCATGATCTTACTACAATACTCTTCTTGTGAGTGGCACTGAAAACATGCTCATTTACGCAAAATGTTTCTTACAAATACCGGGATATATTGCATGTGCACGTAAGGTTTGACTTTCACAATCTTCAAAGTAAGTCCAACCAGAAATCCAAGGGTTCCATGGGACCATGGCAGGCAGTAGAAGAGCTTCGAATGCTCATTGGAGTTGGTGACTTTGATCACGTCCCCATCAGCTGTGACAACCTCGTACTCCACAATTCCTTCCTGATACAGTCCAACTTTGTGTGAGTAAGTTGTCATCCCGACTCCAAAGGCCAATCCTCCAAGTGTCGCGTCCCCAATCTCCAGGGTCACTGCCAGAGTGTATCCTCTGCAAAATGTTTCTTGTATTCTGGTCGCTTATCAATTAGAGCCGTTAATTTTTTTCCGTGTTTTATGACCAATATGATATGATAATATACATTTTCCATCAAATATCATAAGATTCAGCTATTATTGTTATCAGTTTGTTTGAGTCTGATATCACAATAAATGGTGCCACTTCAAAGTGTACTTCCACTGGAATTTAGAAGCCAGAATCAAAAATCAAACGAACCATAAGTGAAAAGAAATCGACTTACTTGGGAATGAGGTACTTGCAGATTTCACGGACTGTAACGTTCGGCTCGACGGTGACCGTCAAATTCTCTTCGTCTAGAGCCAGGACATCGTGAAGATCAATTGGAACTTGGTGGCATTTTTTCTGAACAAAAGGTTACTGTGGTGTTTTTCTTCATCATTGACCTACTAGCGTGATCTTGTCAACTAAAATGCCAGTTTTCCGACTAACATATCTAATTTTGTTCAATATCTACGGTTCTTACGGCTATGTCTATTCAAATAAGCTTCGATTACAGTTGTTTTCATTGGGTGATTCATAGAAAATAGATAACGGAACCAAAATCACATACCTTGTCAAAAAATGTTGTGGACAAACTGAGCCAATTGTGACGTGCTGTGCACAACGGTTTCTTCAGATTTTCCGGAAGGCGTCCCCATTGTTTCACTTGATTTTGAATCGTTTCCACGCGTTGGCTATGGGAGCTGGTGATGGAGAGTTTGCGGTCGAGCCAGATACGGAATTGGATGAACAGGTCGAACAACTGAAATGAAATATAGTTATGCAATTTGAGTAGACTGAAGCTTACAAAACTGGCGGGAAGACAGAAGACAACAATAACCAATCCGCGATTGTCCTCCAACCATCGAATCGCCCGGGCCTTCACTTGTTCGAGAACCATTTCTGTAAGTAAATGTAAATTGAAACAGAATTCAGTGAAAAGATAACTAACAAGTGGTTATGAAACGAAAATGAACTGATAATGAGTAAGTAGGCCAAGGGAGAGTGTGAGAAACGCAGACAGCAATAGGGAGGCAGAAATTTGTTCCGATAAGAACTATGTACGGCCGAACTGACGTTTTGTGTGTACAAGCAACGGAGTTTGCAATGGCGAAATGTTTCGGTAAACGGGAGGCTGCGAATGAATCAGACAGGAAAGGCAGACGATATTTGAACTGTTTTTTTTATGTTTTATATATAAAAAATCACTAACAAGTACAAAAATAACACAGAAAAACGATATTTTCGTAGTAACACAAGCATAAAAGTAAAACAACTCACACAAACAAACACGGTGAAATTTGCATGTTTTCCTTATCTTCTTAATAACACGGAAGTATGGAATGTTTATGGCCATGACAAGCATAGTACCTCTATGTATTTAGAACTGTGAATTAATAGAAACAATGGATGGGCCGAACAAATTCGGTTTCTGTGGCCTTTTGAGTGCTTCAGAGAAAGAAATGAGGTTGATTGTTTGCTGAAACACAAAAATATATTATTTTTCCCAATATCAAATCAACTAGCCTGTCTTATAGATGTTCCTTGTGAATTGGTGTGACTTGAACGTTCGTTTCTCCGGCAGTTTTCGTATTCCGAATCATCACTCTCGGTTTTGATTTCCTGTTTGACATAGGTAATTGGTTTCCGAACAGTTTTGTTTAGGGTTTTCTTGGAGATGCAGTCATTCTTAAACAGAATTTCAGTTAATTCATATTATATATTTAGGCCTCACTAAGTATCTTGCTCGTAGAATCGTTGCCCAGTGAACTGCGTCTTCAGGAGTAAAAAATGAAGTTTGTGGCCGCAAAGTTTGAGGTCGTTGATTTGTTCCTTGACTCATTTCCCTGTAGAAAAATTCAATATTTCAATTAAATTTTTTGAATAATACATGAAAACGATCAAAAAGTTATTAGTTTCGAGAGGCCCAGCAAGCGAAAGACTAATGTTTGTGTGGTTTGCGGCGGCCATCCGACAAGTGGCGACTGGGGAAGAGAAGGAGAAATAATGCGGGTTTTGAGGAGACGAGAACAGATGGTACGTATTACAAATAAACACAACTATCGCAGAGATAGAGGCAGAAAAATATGTGCGCGTTCATACTTGATAGGATAGACTGATAAAATTGATTATAATTTTACAGCTCTACACTGGACGAGCGGTACTTTGCTGGAACCAGCGGTACCATGGCTGAATGGGTGGTAGGACGGTCTGAATTTACGAAAACGCGGAACGAACGGTACCATTGACTGAAAAAACGCACAATCAACAAATCAACACGGCATAATTTTTATGCTGAACTCGATTTTCAAGTTGTCGTGTTAGCGTTTTTGCTGAGAAACCTAGTGTAACTAAATTTGAGGGTAAACCTATACTCTTGCAACGCACAATATTTTCGAAGTCTACATCCTCAGAAATCTGGGTGTTCTCACTAAACTCAAATTCTGTTTCAAGTATCGGGCGTTCACCATCAATGCGGGGTTAGTTACATTCAGAAAACAAGTTACTAATTCCCTATATTTCAGTCTTTCTTTCTATAACATTAAATTTCGCAGTTAACCACTTTTCATCCGGCCCACAACAGTATGATTCTCGTTTTAACATATATAAACCGTTATTTTTCACTCTTTCCATTACCCGTTTCCGTCTCTTCTGTTCATTTTCTCATTGGTTAGGGACAATTCTGATATTGTAGGGAAGCGATTCTGCGATTCCCGTGGTGTGCCGTGGGTCATTCTATGTATGTGGTATTTATGTGTTATATTTTTGTTCAGCTTTTTAGCGCATGTAAACACCGATGATGTTGAATGCGGAATTGTCTATGAATATGTCCACTTTTTACTAGGAAAAAAAGTTATGTCACACTTGCGTCCAATTGAAAGTTTACTTCATGCGCAATCAAGCCCTCTCTCTCTCTCTCCCTCTTTCTCTAATATAAGATTTTAAAGAATTCTTCTAATTTGGTCTTTCCTGTCCTATTCTTTACTAATTTGCACACAAGATTCCAAACTTCCGGTGTGAATGGCATGGATAATTTGAACCAAACTTCATTTTATCCTTATTTCTTCTATACTTTGATTCAAATTCCAATCTCGATTCAATCTGTCACTATGCGTTTCCGTGTGATTGTCGATCGCAGCCAAACTATTGCCCAACACCCGTATCGCACCAAGTGGGACAAGCTCGTTCAGTTGCTGTTCAGTTCAAGCTCTGGGCCGTTCAGTTGGTGAGTGAATTTGTTTCGAAAATTTTGGAAGAAAAGAATTCAGCCTAATAGTCATTTGATTTTTGAGAGAATGTTCAGTTTCATTCACTGTTTATTTTTGCCTTTGTCACGTGACTTTAGTGCGCTTACTTTCCTTTTTCTGTTTTTGATTCATGTTGCAGAAAAATACTTGCTTTTTAATTAGAAGAAAACCGCATTACAAGTGTTTCAGTGAATACAAAGTTACTAATTCTCTGATTTCAGCACAAAGACGGATGTCTCTGGCGCTTCGCAGTGGTCGTTCTCATCCTGATCCTGCTCCTCCTAGTCTTCTTCCTGCCGCTTGCCCTTCACAGCCTCACGTAAAACGACCTGAACCGTCTCTGTTCCCAATCCCTGCCTTGTTTGCTTATTTGTTTCGCAATTGTGAGAAACCACAAGAATGAAGATATTTTTAGACCATAGTCCAACCGCCCATTTGATCAGAAGCGCTCCGGCTCAAACTCCAACACGAGTGTGTCATACATTCCGTGTGAAATCATACATTTTTTTCGGGACAGAACCCGCCCCGAAATCGTAAATCCTTGGGGACGCTCTGATTGTGAAAAAGACGGCGCGGAGGATGAGAGCCTTCATTCACCTTTTCACGAAATTGCTGTGCACACGCTCTCCTTTCCCCGTCACCCATTTCGAGCTTCACCGACATAATGGTGGAAATTATCAAAGTTCAACCCGTCAATCCGGTGAGCCCCACTCCCCCGAGCAACGATAAGTTCTGGACACACAAGGGGTTAAAGAAGTCAAACTTCTTAGTTCCAACGCACCCGAGCTGCGGACGCCAGGTTATCCTATGGATCAAGAAGAAAAAAGTGAGTTTGTTGGATACTTCCTACAGATTTGAAGGGCGGTAGGGGGAGAGCGATTTTGCTAAGGTTTTTTGGGTAGTTTCGTTTGCTAAATGTGAAAAAAACGTTTGCAATTTTTTGTCGCTCAATTTTCTGAAAATCTCGGATGCAAAACGTTGAGAAATTGCGAATCGCCCGTCTGATTGCTTATATTTCTTCAGTGGCCTCTTTCGATCATCGCTGTTCTCCTCGGCATTGGCGTCATCGTCGGTGTGATCGTCTTTGTGGTGGTGAAGAACACGAACACCTAATTTCATCCAACACCGACTCTTTTTCTCATCTGGCACGTTTGAATGGTAGTATCCTGATAACTTTTCGTTAATCTTGTTTCTCAAAACGCTATACCTCTTGCCTAAATTTTTGAAAACCAATTCAAAATTTTTTTGCAAATGGCGTGCGTGACTGACCAAATTCTTCAAGCCTCTCGATTAAAAAAATGAATTCATTTTCTATACTATTGTGAATTTTGACAATAAACGAGTTTGATCGGAAGTCAATCATCGATACAACGAGATGATACACAGAATATGTGACTGAAAACAAAATAAATGTATGCTTTCACTTTCCCCGCCAAACATTCTCTTTCCTAAAAAGAATAATACGCTTTGACAATCGTTAGTTTTTAAGGGAAAGGTTCTTGTCGTGCAGGATGAATACATCGCTCTGCAACTGTGATATTTTTTGTGGCACATAGACAAAGGAACTGTGCTTGGCTCTGAAACTGTAAAGTTTTTTGTGGCACGTTCAAGAAAGGACTTTAGGAGCGATGCACCGCTCCGGCTACCAAACCGAACAAGGTGAATCAAACTGTGACCGAATCTCCTGCTGCTGCGAAGAGCTGTCTACGTCGTCATCGCGTTAATGTCAGTTCGAAGAACTGAAAGGATGAAAAGGATAATTAACATACTCAACTTTTACAAGGCTCTCTCAGACCATACCAGATAAGATAATCCTTTTCAGGACAATCTTCCTAGCCTTTTTCAGGGCTCTCTCAGACCATACCAGATAAGATAATCCTTTTCAGGACAATCTTCCTAGCCTTTTTCAGGGCTCTCTCAGACCATACCAGATAAGATAATCCTTTTCAGGACAATCTTCCGAGCCTTTTTCAGGGCTCTCTCAGACCATACCAGATAAGATAATCCTTTTCAGGACAATCTTCCGAGCCTTTTTCAGGGCTCTCTCAGACCATACCAGATAAGATAATCCTTTTCAGGACAACCTTCCGAGCCTTTTTCAGGGCTCTCTCAGACCATTCCAGATAAGATAATCCTTTTCAGGACAATCTTCCGAGCCTTTTTCAGGGCTCTCTCAGACCATACCAGATAAGATAATCCTTTTCAGGACAACCTTCCGAGCCTTTTTCAGGGCTCTCTCAGACCATTCCAGATAAGATAATCCTTTTTCAGGACAACCTTCCGAGCCTTTTTTTCAGGGCTCTCTCAGACCATACCAGATAAGATAATCCTTTTTCAGGACAATCTTCCTAGCCTTTTTTTCAGGGCTCTCTCAGACCATACCAGATAAGATAATCCTTTTCAGGACAATCTTCCGAGCCTTTTTCAGGGCTCTCTCAGACCATACCAGATAAGATAATCCTTTTCAGGACAATCTTCCGAGCCTTTTTCAGGGCTCTCTCAGACCATACCAGATAAGATAATCCTTTTCAGGACAATCTTCCGAGCCTTTTTCAGGGCTCTCTCAGACCATACCAGATAAGATAATCCTTTTCAGGACAATCTTCCGAGCCTTTTTCAGGGCTCTCTCAGACCATACCAGATAAGATAATCCTTTTCAGGACAATCTTCCTAGCCTTTTTCAGGGCTCTCTCAGACCATACCAGATAAGATAATCCTTTTCAGGACAATCTTCCGAGCCTTTTTCAGGGCTCTCTCAGACCATACCAGATAAGATAATCCTTTTCAGGACAATCTTCCGAGCCTTTTTCAGGGCTCTCTCAGACCATACCAGATAAGATAATCCTTTTCAGGACAATCTTCCGAGCCTTTTTCAGGGCTCTCTCAGACCATACCAGATAAGATAATCCTTTTCAGGACAATCTTCCGAGCCTTTTTCAGGGCTCTCTCAGACCATACCAGATAAGATAATCCTTTTCAGGACAATCTTCCGAGCCTTTTTCAGGGCTCTCTCAGACCATACCAGATAAGATAATCCTTTTCAGGACAATCTTCCGAGCCTTTTTCAGGGCTCTCTCAGACCATACCAGATAAGATAATCCTTTTCAGGACAATCTTCCGAGCCTTTTTCAGGGCTCTCTCAGACCATACCAGATAAGATAATCCTTTTCAGGACAATCTTCCGAGCCTTTTTCAGGGCTCTCTCAGACCATACCAGATAAGATAATCCTTTTCAGGACAATCTTCCGAGCCTTTTTCAGGGCTCTCTCAGACCATACCAGATAAGATAATCCTTTTTCAGGACAATCTTCCGAGCCTTTTTTTCAGGGCTCTCTCAGACCATACCAGATAAGATAATCCTTTTTCAGGACAATCTTCCGAGCCTTTTTTCAGGGCTCTCTCAGACCATACCAGATAAGATAATCCTTTTCAGGACAATCTTCCGAGCCTTTTTTTCAGGGCTCTCTCAGACCATACCAGATAAGATAATCCTTTTTCAGGACAATCTTCCGAGCCTTTTTTTCAGGGCTCTCTCAGACCATACCAGATAAGATAATCCTTTTTCAGGACAATCTTCCGAGCCTTTTTTTCAGGGCTCTCTCAGACCATACCAGATAAGATAATCCTTTTTCAGGACAATCTTCCGAGCCTTTTTTTCAGGGCTCTCTCAGACCATACCAGATAAGATAATCCTTTTCAGGACAATCTTCCGAGCCTTTTTTTCAGGGCTCTCTCAGACCATACCAGATAAGATAATCCTTTTTCAGGACAATCTTCCGAGCCTTTTTTTCAGGGCTCTCTCAGACCATACCAGATAAGATAATCCTTTTCAGGACAATCTTCCGAGCCTTTTTCAGGGCTCTCTCAGACCATACCAGATAAGATAATCCTTTTCAGGACAATCTTCCGAGCCTTTTTCAGGGCTCTCTCAGACCATACCAGATAAGATAATCCTTTTTCAGGACAATCTTCCGAGCCTTTTTTTCAGGGCTCTCTCAGACCATACCAGATAAGATAATCCTTTTCAGGACAATCTTCCGAGCCTTTTTTTCAGGGCTCTCTCAGACCATACCAGATAAGATAATCCTTTTCAGGACAATCTTCCGAGCCTTTTTTTCAGGGCTCTCTCAGACCATACCAGATAAGATAATCCTTTTTCAGGACAATCTTCCTAGCCTTTTTTTCAGAGCTCTCTCAGACCATACCAGATAAGATAATCCTTTTCAGGACAATCTTCCGAGCCTTTTTCAGGGCTCTCTCAGACCATACCAGATAAGATAATCCTTTTCAGGACAATCTTCCGAGCCTTTTTCAGGGCTCTCTCAGACCATACCAGATAAGATAATCCTTTTCAGGACAATCTTCCTAGCCTTTTTCAGAGCTCTCTCAGACCATACCAGATAAGATAATCCTTTTCAGGACAATCTTCCGAGCCTTTTTCAGGGCTCTCTCAGACCATACCAGATAAGATAATCCTTTTCAGGACAATCTTCCTAGCCTTTTTCAGAGCTCTCTCAGACCATACCAGATAAGATAATCCTTTTCAGGACAATCTTCCGAGCCTTTTTCAGGGCTCTCTCAGACCATACCAGATAAGATAATCCTTTTCAGGACAATCTTCCGAGCCTTTTTTTCAGGGCTCTCTCAGACCATACCAGATAAGATAATCCTTTTCAGGACAATCTTCCTAGCCTTTTTTTCAGAGCTCTCTCAGACCATACCAGATAAGATAATCCTTTTTCAGGACAATCTTCCGAGCCTTTTTTTCAGGGCTCTCTCAGACCATACCAGATAAGATAATCCTTTTCAGGACAATCTTCCTAGCCTTTTTTTCAGAGCTCTCTCAGACCATACCAGATAAGATAATCCTTTTTCAGGACAATCTTCCGAGCCTTTTTTTCAGGGCTCTCTCAGACCATACCAGATAAGATAATCCTTTTTCAGGACAATCTTCCGAGCCTTTTTCAGGGCTCTCTCAGACCATACCAGATAAGATAATCCTTTTTCAGGACAATCTTCCGAGCCTTTTTCAGGGCTCTCTCAGACCATACCAGATAAGATAATCCTTTTCAGGACAATCTTCCTAGCCTTTTTTTCAGAGCTCTCTCAGACCATACCAGATAAGATAATCCTTTTTCAGGACAATCTTCCGAGCCTTTTTCAGGGCTCTCTCAGACCATACCAGATAAGATAATCCTTTTCAGGACAATCTTCCGAGCCTTTTTTTCAGGGCTCTCTCAGACCATACCAGATAAGATAATCCTTTTTCAGGACAATCTTCCGAGCCTTTTTTTCAGGGCTCTCTCAGACCATACCAGATAAGATAATCCTTTTTCAGGACAATCTTCCGAGCCTTTTTTCAGGGCTCTCTCAGACCATACCAGATAAGATAATCCTTTTTCAGGACAATCTTCCGAGCCTTTTTTTCAGGGCTCTCTCAGACCATACCAGATAAGATAATCCTTTTTCAGGACAATCTTCCGAGCCTTTTTCAGGGCTCTCTCAGACCATACCAGATAAGATAATCCTTTTCAGGACAATCTTCCTAGCCTTTTTTTCAGATCTCTCTCAGACCATACCAGATAAGATAATCCTTTTTCAGGACAATCTTCCGAGCCTTTTTCAGGGCTCTCTCAGACCATACCAGATAAGATAATCCTTTTCAGGACAACCTTCCGAGCCTTTTTTAGGGCTCTCTCAGACCATACCAGATAAGATAATCCTTTTCCGGACAACCTTCGGAGCCTTTTTCAGGGCTCTCTCAGACCATACCAGATAAGATAATCCTTTTCAGGACAATCTTCCGAGCCTTTTTCAGGGCACTCTCAGACCATACCAGATAAGATAATCCTTTTCAGGACAATCTTCCTAGCCTTTTTCAGGGCTCTCTCAGACCATACCAGATAAGATAATCCTTTTCAGGACAATCTTCCGAGCCTTTTTCAGGGCTCTCTCAGACCATACCAGATAAGATAATCCTTTTCAGGACAATCTTCCGAGCCTTTTTCAGGGCTCTCTCAGACCATACCAGATAAGATAATCCTTTTCAGGACAATCTTCCGAGCCTTTTTCAGGGCTCTCTCAGACCATACCAGATAAGATAATCCTTTTCAGGACAATCTTCCTAGCCTTTTTCAGAGCTCTCTCAGACCATACCAGATAAGATAATCCTTTTCAGGACAATCTTCCTAGCCTTTTTCAGAGCTCTCTCAGACCATACCAGATAAGATAATCCTTTTCAGGACAATCTTCCTAGCCTTTTTCAGATCTCTCTCAGACCATACCAGATAAGATAATCCTTTTCAGGACAATCTTCCGAGCCTTTTTCAGGGCTCTCTCAGATCATACCAGATAAAATAATCCTTTTCAGGACAATCTTCCGAGCCTTTTTCAGGGCACTCTCAGACCATATGTCGAAAACAATTGTGACAAACTGATCGATGATCGTGAACGGAAAATAGAAAAGGAAATTGAGAACAAATGAGTTCTTTTCAACTGGACACTTTGCAACTAATCGTTTTGCTACTGGGCACTGCAACTAGGGACATTACACTTGGAAGATGAATTCCATTCTTGCTAAGCCGAAAACCTGCACTCTGTCCGGTCCGTTGCAAGTAAAAATTCAAGGTTTTGTCGTTTATTATCATTATCTTATCTCTTTTGTGATAATAAACTGGCTTTCTATTCAGACACGTGTTCAAATCGCTCATCCATCCCCACAATTCTCAAGCAGTCTCTCAAGCTCAGTCCACTGCCATTGGACACAACGCTCAAACTGCTGCATGAAATTAGTGGCATTTGAGAGAGCATTGAAGTCGTGGAGATTCGCGATAAAATCATCAAAAAGCGGGGAATGACTCTAACGAGGGAATACCTGTATGTAAAATATTCTAGCTTTCATTTCATTTCATTGTTTTGGCTCAGCTTCTCTTTGAAAATTTTCGATCATAACTCGACCTAGAAATGCGCTCAGAATTTGAAATTTCGGGAGGAGAGTTAACTGAATATCAATTGTGTGTCGAATAAATCTTAGCGTATCACAAAGAATCTGAAAAAAATTGTTTTGCGCATTTTTAAGCACACCCCGTATCATTCTACAACGCAATTAGGTTCTAAAAATGTGAACGTGGCAATTCACGAGCTTTTTTCTAATAAGGAAATTATTTCAGGCAATAATGTTGTGGTACAAGCCAAAAAACATGAAACGGCAGGAAAAACAGATCCGTGTCATTACAATCGCACTCCTTATTGTCGAGTCCGCGATACTTCTCGGGGGTGGCACCACGGTAATCATTACCGAAAATAAGTGCGACCACGTCGTCAGCACTGCACCAGCTCTCATCGCTCCGCATGCAATTCTCCACGTTATCGAGATCTTCGGAGCTGCTCGACTTCTGAAAAAGATTAGCATTCAACCGCTGCAAGACTGGAAGCGTCGTTTGCTTCCAGTCAACATTGTCCGAATCCCCGTACTTCTCGTTCAATGTGCCGTAATCGCAACGCAACTCACCCAACCGTTGTGGATTCAAATTGCCGGTGCAACTGCCGTCGCAACATTCCATTGCGCAGTCATTATAGGTAAATATTGGCAAATATTAACCCATATAATAGGTTTTTTTTTCAGCGGAAAGACTACTAAACAAGTATCTCGTTAAACCGTTGATCAGAGGGATGACTGCGGAAGCAGCGAATCGTGTGTTCACTATTCGAACCGTTGGAATGGAATGAGCGAGCCTCGTTTTCCTAGCTGAATTTGTGTTTCAACCAATCCGATTCCCTCCATTTATTACCTCATATATTTGAACTACAATCATTATAATCTAGTAGTCAACTTCCTGTGTTCCCCATCATTCGTAGTTTGGTTGATTTTCAATTCAACTTTGATGTTTTCTGGAATCAGAAAATTCGCATCACGCTCGCAACTGCATCATTGTTCCTGTTATTATCCATCCGTCAACAATAAATCTGTAACATGTTACCCAAAAAAGTGTGCTCTGCTGTGTTCTCCTATACTCCGGGGGCGTCCGGAGGTTGCGTGAAACAATATCCTAGTCTTTTACTTTTTTCTTTTCAACTTTTCGGCTGATTGTCCACTTCCCTTTCCATACCCACTAAACTCCCCTCTCCCGCTCTCTTCTGTCTCTCAAAGAGTCAAGCGTTTGGAATCCGCAAGCTGGAAACTGAAAAGGATACGATCACGTCATCAAGCTCTCATTATAGAATGGAAAAAGAGGAAAAAGATGATATAAGCACATGAGTACTACTATAGTGCTGACTAGAAAATCAGTAATAGTAATTGAGCACATTCTGTGCTTTGTGAAAGATGATGCTGGTGTTTGTACGTATTGAAAAACAACGGAACTTTAATGAGAGCAATACAGAACAATCCTTTTTTAGATGTGAAAACCCACAAAGAGAGCATAATTTTTCAAAATCAAGAGCAAATTTTGTGGTCTCCATGTACAATGGACAGAGTATAACCGACAATCGACCACCTGAATTCGCCAAGCTCCCTTTCGCTACTTATTATTTGAGAGGAGACCCCGCAGGCACGTTGCCTATATGATATGTTTCCTAATTTTGCGTCTAGTATGATCAACACCACATTTTTCCATTTAACCGCATTACTCATCAAGTCATGAGTACCGACAAATAAGTGGAGAAATACGGCACCTCAGAGAATTCGAATCACAAAAGAACAGAAATTAAATTAATTCGTTCAGACATGAAAATGATATCGACAATAAGAAGAGTTGTGCTCAAACTTGAAGGGCTTGCCCACTTCGCCGCATTCGCCGACGACATCAAGATCTTCTCTCATGATCCTTCCGCTTTGCAGTGTGCTATTGGCCTAATTGTCGAATGATCAAACACTAATGCTCTTCCCTTGGCCCATCAGAAAACAGCCCTTCTCCATCTCGACTCCAAGAATCTCATTCCTTCGTACATGATTGCAGGTCTCCCCATCTCACGTAACTGATAATAGTTCATCCTACCGCGTCCACTTAACATGCACTGCCTCTTTAGCTTCAATTATTCAAATCCAAGTCCAAGGCGTATAAAAAATAGGTGTATTGTACAAAAACGATGGAATGAACGCGAGTTCCCGTTGAAAATTATCGAAACCCGTGCCAATAGGCGACCGGCATGATCAGAGTAAAAGGGAAGAGCGGGCGAGGAGAAAGGTTTCGGTGGAATTACATACATTATTCCCGCTTATGCTCGTAAGAATCAACGGTTTCTTGGTCAACGATCCACTTGCTTGCTTGTTTCTCTTACTGGGAAATAGGAGAACAACGTGACGTTCACGGAAGTATCATATTTTAAGAGAAAACATTTCCCTGTGTCCCACACACTTGCTTTTCTTTTTCTGAACCACAGTGCACTAATAAGCTCTCAGGTTAAGAAATGCAATACAAACTCACATAATTTTTGAATGATCTTTTGATATTAATAAATTTCTATGAACAGTTTGTAACATTCTCTGAATAGAAAAAATCAAGACTGTTAAGATAATTGTACTCTTTTCTAGCTTGGAAACACAATGGATCCACAACTGAACAATGAAGTAGAGACTATAATCAGAGTGATTCGTCTTGATTCCGACTCGAAGCCCGACGGTTATATGATTAACACAAACCGACTGATCTGCTTTGTAAGTCAATCATGGGAAAGGGTTCCTAAAGACATTCGCAAAGATTTCAAAAGGGGTCCGCGTAATTTTGTAGATTATTGAGCTCAGATGATGAATAACTTGGTTTTAGTAGACAATATGGCTTTTTAAAACAAACAAAGGAATTTTGGCAGATAAACCAGGCCTGTCCCGGCTTTTCGTATGCCTTCCGAGGCTTTACTTTTAATATTCCCTATTTGGTTCGAAAGTACACTGGTTTGTACCCGAAAACGTCGGGGTTTGTAAAAAAAAAATACGGCATTTTCTGATCAACATATCTCGGGACCAGATTGTCCAATCGGTTTCAAACTATTTATGATCCAACATGCGCCAATCCAAGTTTGAGAAGACTGCAAAGTTAGGTCCGATCTGAATATTGCAAGTGGGTCAAAAATCCAGGCGTTGGTAGACCTTCGTAAAACCTAGAGCGGTCTTTTTCCCAGTTCTCAAAATTAACTCAACTAATAAGCTTTATTGTATTTTAATGTATTTGCAGAGCTTCTCCGCTTGCAGCATTGTTATCGTCTACTTGTACTTTGTCTTCGATTCACTTATCACTAGAATTTGAAAATTGTTTGAATGCAATAAAGTCGTACTTAACATTTAAATATCCATTCACATCCTGCTATTTTGCATTACCCTATGAATAAAGCGTGGGAACTGAATGCACTGGCCAAACACAAGAAGAGTACCGGCCGCGCCCATTTCTTTATGGCCCCAGCGAGCCGGACCTGCTTCAATATTTTACCTTGTTCGCCACATTTACAGGATGCACCGACATCAGGAACATCCGAGAGTTCTGGTGAATTTTAGAGCACCAGGAAATGACCATCCAATTTTTTTGTATTTTTTCTATGCGGTAAGTACAGCGCGTTACAAAATCATTCGGCCACCACCATTGCGCGGTGCCACGTGGCGCTCTATGATACTTCACACTAGGCTTTCACACTTCAAAATCGGATTCATTGCACAAAATTACGTAAGTTATGTATGTTAGTGATTTTGGTGGCGATCCCCTCTACATCTGGAAATATCATTGAGCGCCATGTGCGCACAACGGGGCTGGTTGTATAATTTTGAAACTCACAGTAAACGTTAAACGTTGAGAATTGTACAACGTTTTGTTTGTGTCCATTTGGATTTCTGATGTCACAAGGTAGTCAATATATTGTTTTGACAATAATAATCTTTCTGACTAGTGACGTCAGATTTTTGCAACATTTTTGAAGTTTTTATATGTCACAGATTAAGAGAGAAGGTTAAAAACAAGTTTTCCAATTCAAAAGTAGACGTGAAACTGTTTTTTTTTTAACACTTGTACTAATACTGAATTTCGACTTTTTTTTCCAGTTCGCCTTCTGCTTCATTCTTTACGGCGGTGCCACGTGGTTCTTCTGCTGCCAAATCCTCAACAAACTCTGTCTGAACTGAACACTTTCTCGGCTTGCATAAATCACCTTTATTGCAAAAAGGTCGGGTTTTTCAGTACTGACGACGGGAGTTTTAGGATGAAACCAAGTTGTTTTTTTTAAGCCTGGGTCGGTTTTTTGGCTACTCTTCGATCAAACTGAAAAGTAACTGATAAATAGATGAAATTGAGCTTCTATGCTCGAAATTTAGACATTTTAAAAGTCAGGGTTCAGAAGAAATGCACAATTTCCCATTTCAGATCTGCTACACCATTCTGGTTCTTCTCCTTCTCGTCATCATTGCTCTCGGATGCTATTACTTATATTTTTATTTATCCCATCACTAAACGCAGCAATAAAGTAACACCTGTTTCCATGTTTTATGTGTTGAGTAACGGAATGGAATTGGTCCGTGCGTATGCGCATGTTGAGTCAGAAAAAAGTGTACTCATCAACAAAATTTCTTCGATGTAGCTGGACGAATAAACGAGAGAAGTGAGGAGGAAAAGGAGAGTAAGAGCGACACGGAAAGGTTGAAAAGAAAAGGAGAAGAGGGGAGAGATCATCGAAGATGTATGGAATGTAAAAAGTTGAGATTATACATACAATATCATAATATTAATATTAAAACACGTGTATCGTGGTTCTATCGCCTCCCATCTGATGAATACTTTGCAACCAGGCTTCCGAGAATCTCTGTGCTCTCTTAAAGGACCAGGGAACCCAAAAATTTTTTGATTTTTTTGTGAAATGTTTTTGTGACTGTTTGAATTGTCTCTTATTGCCTCATACACTGGTGAAATGCTGCCTCTCAAAAATGCCAATGAACGAAACGGCATGCAGTTGAAGTTGTGGCCGTGGCCTAGCGCCAATGGCCGAAAAATATATAAAAATAAATGCGCTTCTCGGCCATTTTATTTTTTCCGCTTTTTTACCGGTTTTTTTCCAAAAATTCACGGTTTCTCCCATTTTTCAGTTGATTGACATTTGTTCGGCACTTACTTATTTTTTCACTGCTTAAAAAAATTGTTTTCATTCAGTCGATATGAAGTGCCAAAATGGGAGAAACCGTGAATTTTTTTGGAAAAACCGGTAAAAAGCGGAAAAAAATAAAATGGCCGAGAAGCGCATATATTTTTTTATATTTTTTTCGGCCATTGGCGCTAGGCCACGGCCACAACTTCAACTGCATGCCGTTTCGTTCATTGGCATTTTTGAGAGGCAGCATTTCACCAGTGTATGAGGCAATAAGAGACAATTCAAACAGTCACAAAAACATTTCACAAAAAAATCAAAAAATTTTTGGGTTCCCTGGTCCTTTAAAACCCTTTTTGAATTAGTTTATCTGCTTTCCGACCCCATTGTTTCTATCATTATCATTTAGATTTTCACACATGAGCCACGCGTTGTCCACAAAACGATTCACCAATCTCCTAAGCTTTGTCCTCGTTTCCGATTGCATTCAAAAATGAGCCTAGGCTTTCCAGTTGCTTCTGTTGCTATAAAAATGTCGACATCAGCTCAAGCCCCCGCCCACCCACGAAGAAGTTGAGCACCCAGTTTGCCAGGAAAAAATAATTGCCAGAGCGCTCAATGGCCGGCCGCAAGATGATCCGAAGAAATCGAAGCGATACGAAACGACCCCGATCGAAAAAATCTGATGACAAATTGGTAATTTTAACATTTTCTTTTAAATTTATAAAAATTCGTCTGATTACAGGGTGCTCTGATACTCTTGCTTTTTGTCTTTGTGCTTGGATTTGCGTTCGAGAAAGCGAAAAGTGCTGATCCACATTCTAATGGATACTAGCACTTCCTTGTCAAAAAGGTACAAATCTCTATTGTTTCTTCTGCTTTAACGATATCGGTATTGATTATTTTTATAATACCAGTTAGCAATGAGAGGCTGATTCCAGATTTGCAATACTTTATACACTCATCCTCGAACCACCTCTCCTTTATCTCAACTACACTCACACACCTCACCCAACAGCTTCCGTCATCCACGCCGTCGGCCTTGTTCTTTGAGCACTCTACAGATATTTGCGTTGATGATAATCTGTTTATTTATCTTGAATTGACTGTTATGATTAGTTTCAAACCGTACAGGCCGTCGGCAGCTGTTAATAAAACGTTAAATTAACAATGCGTCATGAACAATGCTGCCTACTTTCATCGTTAATTAAAAGTTCAAAAAAAAAGTATTTCTAAGCGTGTTGGAACTTTATGAGTCACTTCTGCTTGGCCACAGGAATCAGAAGTATTTTTAGGTACTATCATCATGGGACGTCAGCGATTTCGTTGAAATTACTCTATAAAACTTTAAATTGACAACAACGTGTTTCATCGTGATTAACTTGCTTTTTCTCCTTGTACAAGTAGACCGCCAGGTGCAGCCATACTCTCTAATTTATTGGTCCTGCACAAGTATGAACGCACCCCACCTTAAGAACAAGTTACTATGTAGCATGTATATAATCCGTTTCCAATACAGTCCTGGAGTATGTAGCTTCCGTTGGCATGTTCTCATGAGTATACATATCAAGAGATTGCATTGAATGCAATGCATTCCCCATTCTTCCCTATAATTATACATAGTATCTACAGTGTAATAATCAAAGATGATGGAATTTTTAAAACCACGTTTACACAATATGCTTTGTCTATTCTTTTTTTTTCGTGGACTGATCAAACGTGATTTCCCGACAAGAAATGTGAACTCTGCTCCTTGACGTTTTTATTCTCGCCGAATTCGATGCGTGCGCACGGCACACACAAACGTGCCCGCCGACTTCCTTCTCTCCTCCCCGCCACTCTCCCTCTCGATGTTGGTTTGTTCCGCAGTAGCGGGCCTTGTTCTGCGCTTTGTGCAAATCTAAGAGCGCGCGAAGGTGTCCACTGGTCTCCTCCGATAATTCGGTCTCGCCGTCTCGCTCGCACGGCCGAAACCCTTTAATATTCGATTTCTCGCAATGTCACTTCGGGTATAATTGCGAACAGAAATTTGGACCGGGTTTTTGGACGATTTTTTGGATGGCGCTTAATATAAGAAAGACACGCCAAGAAAGAGACGCTGAGAAAGACAGTAAATGTGTTCGTAAAAAGACTTGTGGCCAAAGACCAGCAGTTGCTAAACTGGATTCGCATTTGGGAGAGATGAGCAACGGAGCATAGCAAAATGCAAAAAATATTTGAAGGAAAGATAATCAATGAGACATTTTCAACTGAAATTTCAAAAATATCCTATTCTTAAACTTTCAGATGACCACTTTCAGATGACCACGGATATGCAGATGAATGGAAACGTGTGAGGAGCATGTACAATAGTGTTGATATTCAGAAGAAAAACTGGCAGGAAAAAATCAGTTAACGTCATTTGATTAAGTCATAGAAGCCAATGCATTATTCTTCTGTATTTCTTAGTTCCGGAAACGACTTTCAAGAAACATTTGTCATACTTAGCGTTTTTTGATTCTTTGAAAAATTGCGTGTTTGCAACACTGCCCAATAAAACAGCATCATACAACATATGAAGAAAGAAATTTCAATTTTCAACGTTTGCAACTCAATTCCTTGTTCTTCTCTTCTGGAAATGTATGCCCAAACATACGGTGCCTCACAACACATCCCTGAATGCCATCCTTCCGCGTCCTTTCCTGTCGATTGGAGATGAGAGGGTTCTGAAGGTGACAAACTTCGGAGCGCTCCCATCTGATATTCATCCTCCATTTGAACCATCAAAATGCATTCCGAAACGAACATGTACCTTTTCCGAGACTTGCAAAATTCCAGGCCGGGCTCATTCTTTTGCTGGTCCGACAGAAAACAAAAGGTGTAACTTTATAATGAAAGAAATGCTTGTGTGCTTTTTGATATATTTTGTTTCAATTTAAACGAAAGGTTATAAATGAGTTATTATATGAGGGAATATTCAACAATATCAATTCTGAATGTTTTGCGCCAACGGATCTCGTGGTTTTACCGATAACGCGTTTACACCATGACACATTTTTTGCGAGTCCTCAAGACCAAATATCCTTTAACCCAATTACTGTACCATTCAAACACGTAATTACATAGTAGGCGAATACACATCATGTTTGCTATGGTGCATCTGTCACCGTTGTGCAGGGCGGGTCGAAGACTCGCTCATATATGCCAATTGATTTTCTCTCGTATTAGTAACCGGTCGTCTTCGTCTCTCATTCCACCTAAGCAAACGTATTAGCTAATAGCAATGACCTACTATTCTGAAAGCGTTGACGAGATCCGTGCCGAGCACATTGCTGAAATCGACGCTTTTGCGAGTGTTCTTCGGAACAACCGCGTAAAGAAACTGTCCGATTGGGATGACACTTCCAGAAACGTCGAGTTTTCAGTCCAGGTAATCCGTTTTTCCATAAATTTTCTTAGAGATAGTCGAAACAACCTGAGTTATTTAAAGTAAACTTAACTTTCAGGTGGACTTCGACACTGTCAGAGTAAAAGATGAACAAGGAGGACAAAAGGGACAGATTACGCTCTCCGGACCGCATAATTCCCGTCGTCTTTGCTTTCTCCCACCTGTTCTGCTTAGATTCGAGCTTCCCGACGATTATCCGCTGAAATCGTCTCCAAAATTTGAAATTGAGAGTTACTGGATGACGGAAGAACAAATTGAAATGTGCAGGATGGAAGTGAACACGACTTTGAAGAAAAACGAAGGAATCATTGTCTTGTTCTCGTGCTACTATTCTCTGATCGAAAGTGTCAAGAACCTGAACATCACGTTCATTGACCTGAGCACAGTCTCCACCCAAACGGAAGTTAATGCGCAAGAACTTTTCGATAAAAACGTGGCCGTCTATGAGGATCTTCTTGATGACTTATACGATGGAAAAAGCGTAAATTGCATGGTATGAAACATCTAAAAAAAAGTGAACGATTATGAAGAAATGTTTCAGACTTGTTCTGCCTATGTGAGACTCCCGGAAACCTTCAGATTCATAAAGTGCAGACATGTTTTCTGCAAAACGTGCGTCAGAACGTACTATCAGAGGCTGGTTAATAGACCGATAGTGAGTTTTTATAGCTTTTTTGAATAATCTGTAACGTGTCCTTTCAGAACAACCATTTTCTCTGTCCACATCCCATGTGCGACACCGAGGCGGAGCAGCAGGTCATCAAAGAATGCCTTGGAGAACTCCTTTATGAAAAGTGAGCCCAAACTATCACAATTTTTCGGAAAACTATTTTTACAGGTACGATCGGGCTCTTTTGGAAAAGTGCATCCGCGAGAGCGGCGAACTGTTTCCATGTGCCAGAAGAGAATGTCAAAAGCCAGCACAGATTCTCGACAAGTGAGCTCATTATGCCATTTATCTAATAAAAACCTCCCAATCAATTTCCAGAAATAGTAACCTCGTGCAGTGCACCTTCTGTGAGTACAACTTCTGCAAACTATGCGGTCGCGCATACCACGGTAGCGCCGAGTGCAAGATTAAAAAAGGTACTTTATTTGTGATTGGGAATACCAATTTGGGATTGAGAAAGTGCATTTTGTAACAAGGAATTTCAGAGGAATATGAAGAGATCATGAGAATTTACCGAACAGGAGAAAAGGAGGAGCGTATTGCTCTTAACAAAAAGTACGGAGGGATCAGTAATGTGGAGGATCTGGTGAGCCGGATTCCAAAAATGGAATGGTATACGGAGAAATCGAAAGAGTGTCCCGGATGTTATGCTTTTATTGAGGTTAGTTGAAAAATTGAGCCGAATGTGGTGCCCGTAGGAGAAGATGCTCAGTGTCCGCATATTATTAAGTTAAAAAACTCTTCAATCGATTCCTTTCAGAAGTCGGACGGATGCAACATGATCCATTGCATTCAATGCAACGTCAACTCCTGCCTACTCTGTGATGAAATCATTGCCGGATACACCCATTTTAATGAGGCAAGGCACCCAAACGTCACGACTTTCAATAAGTTGTGCTTAAATTTCAGGGTACCTGTGCCGGCAGATTGTTCGAAAACACAGTGTCAAACGCGGAGGCCGAACTGTAGGATCATGGACCCTCTGTATCTAATTTACTTATTTTTCTGTTCTTTTACATGTTCATCTCTTGTCTTTTAACGTGTTTTATTCCTATTCTGCATCTCATTTTCTTAAACCCGGAATTATGACAAACGTGTTGATCCTTATGTTCTCTTGTGTCCGCAACAAATTTGTATGTTTCTCTAATCTCCGTCTCACTGTCTCGTTTTCTTTTCCGGCCATCTCTCGCCTTTTTCTCGTGCTGTCTTAGTCGTCTCGACGAGAGAAAGGGTGACGTTTGCCGCTACGCATACACGCGACGCAACCGACGACATTTGTGAGCGGCAGGCCGGCAAAACAGCGGTGGGCAGAGGGAATGAGACGAAGAGTGGAAGACATTGATGGCCGGCCGGCTGGCTGACTACAATGTAATGCAATGGCAAAAAAGAAGACGTCATTGGCAGAACACTAGGAGGCCGGGCAGATTAGAAATGAGAGAAGCACCAGGGAAACTGAGAATATTCTATTTTGAAATGGCGAGTAAATGCTGCGAGGAGTCGATGAACTCTGATGAGTTCCGAAACTGCATTTCCGAATGATGAAGAACACTGAAACCAAAAAAATCAGAACCGAGTTCAAGAATACACTGACAGAAGCAATGTTGTTGGGTTCTGTTTGTGTCACGACTAAAAATAGGAAGAACTACTGGGGAAGATAAAATATTATTAGGTTGTTCGGAAAGTTCCAATCATTTTTCATAGTATGTTTTTGAGGATTGTTCTTTCTAACGGGAAGCAAGCGAGTCAGTTGTCGTTTTATCAGTATGTTGGTCAGGTATTGAAGTGTCAACACCGCAACGGATATAATTCTCCTGTTCCCGAGTAGTGAGATGTGCCGAACGTTTTCGTCCCTTACAACTTACATTTCCGAAATGTTAACGGAGGTTTACAACAAAAATGCACCCACTCGAGCTACCATTAGTACTTGGTTTCATCGATTTGAAAAAGGAGAATTTTCGACGGATGATCATCCACGTTCAGGAAGACCGATAACTTTAGACTTGGAAGCGTGTTCGAGAGGGATCCATTTCAAGCTGCGAAAGCTGCTGCTGAGAAAACTCAGACTCCATGTAGATCTCCATTGGGGGAAAAATGCAAAAGTTTACTTTCAGCATGATTACGCTCGTCCCCATGTCGCCAGAAAGACCAAAGCTGAACTCGCCCAAAGCAGGCAAAAATGTGTTCTAAAAAGTTCAATTTTAGGAAGGGAATAGTACAAAGATCTCACGGGGTGCGGCTCGGGTTCCAGGTTGGGTACCGCAAACGCCGCTCTAATCTTGGTGCTCCTCTCCAGTTCTGAAAAATGAGGCTGTGATTTTGTTTTTCAGTTTTTGAGGGGAGAAGAAAGGAGAAACAAAAAAAGCTCCAGATTAAGCAGATGTGACTTATGTAAAGGTCAAAAATGACAGGTGCCGGGTGTCCAGAAGACTGTAGCTGAAAACGAGAAAAGAGAAGTTGCTCTCAACGTTCATCCCCAACACAACTTTAAGCGATGCGTACAAATCGATCAAAGTGATTTAGACTAATTTTATTAGTGTATAATATAAATACGTCATGATACAAAATATTACAAACAATTGAATTGTTCCAATGTTTAGTGTAGGCCAAGTTCCGCTGGCTTGTCTTCCGTCCAACAGCCATTAACTGGAGCGGTCCTCTCTTCTTCCATATCCTCAACTTCTTCCTTTGGTTGTAACAGTCCGAGCTGCGCATCCGGCTTCTTCTCAACGATCGGTGGTTGGTCTGGAACCTCCTTCGGCACTTTCTCAACAAACGATGCGATTCGCGGTGGCTGTGGTTTCGCCAGTGCCTTCCTAACCGTTCGAGAAAAATACGGCGGCGCAGGTTTTCCTGGAGAAGGCCTAGGAACTGGCTTTGGCACAGTACGCACGACTCTCGTCGAATCAACTTGTTGCGTGAAGGTTGATGAGACTGTTGGTTCCAACGAGATTGGTTCACCCAAATGTGTTTTGTAAATCAATTTGCGCGCCAAATTTGCGAAATTCGTCGGATGAGCTCGAACTCTGGCCTGTGACGATCCTGCCTCCGGATTATCTTTCTTCATCTTTCTAATTCGCATCATTTCCGTCCGGCTGCTGACGTTGTTCTCCTCGAACACGGTGTCAATTGGTGCCATCATGTTGCGGAATTCCGGCGGATACATGTCGTAACGACGATTCCGCTCCTCATTCCTTCGTCTGACAATACTTTCGTAAAGCAAATCAGCTTTCTGCTTTTTCAGTCGATTAGGAATGCCAATTTTGATGGCGTCCAGGAGTTCTTGCTCTTCGTCTGAGGTGATGCTCACGTTCTCTTCGTTGAGAAAGTCTTTCAGACTTTTCGACGGCGGTACCTGCAAGTAATGTGAATTAATTTACGTATACTGTGGTTCAATTTAAGGACACAATATCACTAAATCGCGGCAGGTCTCGAGACGATCACATATGTTTTGATTTTGAAAACCCGAGTTGAGTCGGGATACTTTTCAAGACAATAGCACTTGTTTCGAATAAAATATAATCTGACTAACCTTTTCCAAAAGAGCTACAATCTTAGACGTCTTCTGTATCTTAGCCTCAAGATGTTTCGGTGTAAATGCGCGATAGAACGATTTCAGCGACATTTTGTATGACCCAATCGGCGTTTTTGGCACAGATTTCCCGTCCAGCGTGTCACGAATTCCCTGAGGAAAAAAGTGTTATGATGAGATTGGATAGAATTGAGATCTAACCTTGAGGTGCTTATAAATGTCCATACTCGGCTGCAGCTTCTCGTACGGCGATTCATCGACCTCTTCCGCGGTTCGGGCTCCGATTGCTGTGCACATCATTTCGTACTGAAAAAACGAGAGGAAAACTGTTTTTCGGCTGAAATAAAATACAAAACGTACCACGTGAGTCACATGTGTCATACACATTCTCAGCGGATGCTTGATGATCGTCTTGCAGGCGTACTCCATAGTAATATCGCCGTAAACCACCGCCGCCATCAGAATTTTCACTGTTTCGTTAACGTTCATGATTACGCCCTTGTTTGTGGGGCACGGGATTCCACAAAGAACACACGGAGGATCAAACCTGACGGTTGGGGGTGGAGATTTGCTTGAACTCGGAGCGGAGGCTTTTGATTGTAAAGTTGTACGGTCGGCAACGTGTTTCCTTTCCAGATCTCTATACTTCCTGGGTTTCTTTGTTTTCTCCATCTCATCGAGGTTTGGGATTTGAACACAAGGATTTAGATGGCGAATTAATTCGTGAAAACAGTTGAGCTGCGACGCAGAGTTCGGGATACCCGTCTCTTTGAAAAACTTTCCAATGAGCACGTTTGACGTCTCTTGGAACGACATTTGCCTCCATTTGTTCGAATACAATTTCATTTTGTCGATTACCGGACCGTCCTCCATTCTGCAAAATTTTTCAGTATAGCTTGCCGGAAGTTGCCAACTTGGCAAACCTCTGTAACTTTTACGCAACTTGCCAGCAAAATTGCCTAAACTTTGCGCAAAAGTTTTCAGTGGTTTGCCGAGCAAATATTTGGACTACTAGACCCGAAGTCAACTTCAATAATCAGATATGCATTGGTATCAACCAAACAGACGAAAATACAACATTAGCACTCTCAATAAATTTATTGGGTCTCATATTCAAATAAGCGCAAAACAATGATCAACTGGCGATATTGTAAAAATGAGTATCATGAAGGACAAGCTTGTGATACCCATAAAACCAATTGATTGGGAAAAAGCGACGATTCATGCAATGTGATGGTGAACAAATTCAAAGTGCAGAATAAAGTAAGAAAAACTAGACTCAATTGGTTAGCATTATGTTCACCGTCCTAGAAGACAATATTGATGACGGTTGGGCGCGCGGGTGAAAATGATTTTTTACGGAATTCCGCTCAACACTGGTGCCGATGTTTTACTTTGGCAGACCCCGACGGTCCCGGCTTGTGATCAAAATCATCGTCATTGTCGGAATCACTGCTCGGATGCGGCGACTTCTCATCTTCGTAATCAAAGTCCTCGTCGAAGCGTCGCTTCCGGCGAGCTCTTGTTTTTGTCAGATCAATGCTCGCATTTTTCTGCGTACCATGTTTCGCTTCTTTAAGCTTCAAAAACTTGTTGCCATGAATTCGGTAGGTGACTTCAACTTTCTCCACTTCCGTAATCGGGAGCATTCCCTTGAGAAGACGTCCGCGTGTGCTGAACGCCGACTCCGCAAAATGGGTACGGCAGATAAAGTTGTCACTATCCGCCTTCAATCTTGTGGCAAAACTGAAGCCGAGCTTGTCGAGCCACATAGACAGCCTTTCCTCACTTTTTGGAATTTTTACCATTCCAGTACGTTCGTCGCGAATCAAGCAGAAGCAGCATACTTCGGGTTGATCCAGGTGGACGTTGCCGTCAAATTGAGCAGTTGGCAGCTTGAAATCCTCCTTTTCAACCAGCTTGACCGTCGAATCGTGCTGGTCTCTCTCGAGAACCTGTTTGCGTGGCTCACGGTGGTTTTTCGGAGTGATTCGGTGATCTGCACGTTTACCGGGGGTGGCTTTTTTGCGGGCGGCTTGTCGATCAACATTTACGCCCTGAAAATTTTTATTTCATTTTATTTCTACCAATTTACAACACTTACATTGGGCTCTTCCCAATACTTCTCCGTGAACACAATGAGCAATTGCTTTAGCTGAGAAGTGTTCAGATTCTGTTCTCGAATCTGCGTCGCCACAATAAGAGCATTGGTGATAAGGTCCTTATTGCACAGAGCAATTTCAGCCGGCTCGCTGACCTCGAGATTACGGAAGATTTCGTCGCATGCCTCGGCAAAGTGGACTCGACACATGTACGTTTTTGTGGTACGCTTCATACATTCACGAGCCTCCGGAATATTGAGTTCTTCGCGATACACTGCACCCAACAGTATCATGAGCTTTTCCGTGTTGATGGTGACATTCTTCAGGTTTTCATGCTCCTCCATGCTGTTGCAAACAACACATCGACGGTTGCACGGCTTTCTACGGTCTCCAAAGTGGGGCGTCGAAACCGTTTTGTGTGAAGGTCCTGCCACATCAGCCTCATTGACTATCACATTGTATCCTTCGTCCATTGGTTCCAATTTGATCGATTCATCATCGGCTCGCAAAACGCAATGCTGAACAGCTGGCAGCAAACTTTCCGGCTTCTTCTCGGTCGTTTCTTGAAGAGTTTTTGACTGCGATGACGGTGTCGGCAATTGTAGATTCATTCTCAGACCGGCAAGTTTTCCCGGCGTCACATAGTTTTCCACAATACGCTGTTGAACTTGCTGCTGCTCGGTAGAATATTTGAGCAGGTTGACTCGATTTGTCGGCACTCCTGGGGCTATTGGTCTTAAACTCGATAGTCTTGAGCTCGGTAGTCTTGAACTAGTCGAAGCGGGTTCAACGAGTTTCGGCTGTGGTCTCGCCTGAGGCAGCTGCTGAGATAGTGGAATTGCCGGTTTCGGTGCCGCTGGCGTAGTTGGCTGAACAGTTCGAGAGACGTATCGAATTGCCGGATTGTTGGCCACTGGTCGAGAAGTATTAACCGTGACAATGGAAGGTACAGCAGACTTTCCAGTTGATCCCGATGATCCCATGTTGTTGTAGTTCAAACCATATCCGGAGTCTTCAACGGGCTCCTCCTTGACCTTCTCCGCCGGTTCCGCTACTTTTCCGATAACATCATCCTGCGGGATATGCATATCCGTTGCTTTCTTCTCTTTCCATGTCGGCTTTGGTTGCACTGTTGCTGGCGTTGGCTCTGGCGTTTGAGCTGGAGCTGTTACCAGTGCTGGTTCTTCAGGAGCTGTCACCGGCTCTTTCTTTGGTGATAGCACTTTTGACGAGGTGGTTGGATCAGGGACACTTTGAAGAGGGAGCTTCGGAAGCTGCTTCAGACGAGGCTGGACTTGAGTGACTGCTCTTTTCACAGGAAGTAATAGTCCTTGAATGCGTTGCACAGGAGCCGGAACTTTCGGAGGAGGCACTGCCGGCCCCGCAACCTCTTTTTCCTTGGTCTCGTTCGTGGGTTTGACTAGTGATGGTTGGCCAAGGTCCAGCGTCGGTTTATCTATCTGCACCGCACTTCCGCCAGAGTACATTCCCAGCTTGAATTCCTTGATGCGACGAAATGCGGCGCTGTTCAGCTGCTCCATTAGATGTTGCGGAATGGTATCCTCTCCGGCGCCACGTCCGCGAAACTTTTGTTGAAGGCCGGCCACGTTCAAATACGACTCGATATCTTGCTGAGAGAACTGGCTGATGACATGAGTGAACTTTCCGGAAGTTGAAAAGTAATAGAGTGCGTCCGTCGTGACTGCCGGGCAGGCAATATATTCTCTGGCAAGCACGCTCAAGAATTCCATGTTGTTGGACCGCCGACACCACCATTGAAACGGATTCTCTTCAGTATCGGGCCTTTCGGTCTTGCAAATGTGACGATAATACTTGATTTCAGCAAAAATCGTTTTGAGCCGCTCCTCTTTGCTGATTGTCGTGATATCCGTCTTGAAGTTGCGCTCACTGCTTCCCTCCGAATTGATAAACTCATCGGCAAGTTTCTTCTCGATTGTCGTCCAAATTTGATGCGTGTAGATATTTTCACGGTGGCCATAATGCGGATCCAGAAGCGCCGCGATGTCATAGCGTTTGGACATAGGACCGGAAGTGATCGGTGTGAAAGCCTTCGAGAATGCGTCGCGAATTCCCTTCTCGAACGGAAAATCCATCGAGTTGGTTGTGATATAGTTCCGCATCGCCATGATTGACGGGATTACTTGGGAAACGGAACTATGTTGGGAGCTCGTCTCCCTCGAGTACTTCACGCATTGAGCCAGAATGCGTTGCAGGAACACAAGTTTGACAAATTTTTCGTGGGAAATGTACGGAGCGGTTTGCCAACGATCTCCAAAATCGGTAAACGTCTCGTGCTGAAAAAACAACGAATTTTAGTTTCGGTCTCAAGATAGTGTCGCTGTAAAACTTACCAAAATAAGACACTTTGTGAGGAATGTTTGAGTCGTTTCCCATGAGGATGGATGATCGAGAGGTGGCAGGTTGAGATCAGCGTTCTTCGACAATTGAATTCTGAAAAAAACTTCATTGAATGGGTTTCACAACGAAATGCGGTTCACTCACCTTCTGAACTTATTGAACAAGTCCGCGTGGTTCTTGATGAACCGGACATAAGTCCTAAGATCATCCAGACCCGATGAAAACTCAGGGATTTCCATTAGAAGGCGGGCAAAGGTGGTCATGTAAGTGTAGAAACACACGTACGATCTTTTCACAACATTAGCTTGTTCCAGAACAGCATTCATCTTTTCGTCGGTGGTAACCAAATTATTAAATTTAACGTTGACGTAGGCGTAGTTGTTGACTGCTCGCCGGATAATGGTCATCAGACTATCGCCGTCCAGTCTGTAAAAGTATATTATAAAACTCAAACATTTTATTTCACTTACTCGCTCAACACCATCTTTCTCAGGTAAACGACGTTCTTTCGTTCTATCGCATTTTCGTGAAAGTGAACAGAGAAAGCGAGGCATCGGTTATCATCATCTCCGCACATGTCCACCGTAACACTCATTGGGCCAATCGTCTTCTGATAGTTCACTGTCGGTTTGGAAGGGTTACCAATGCGTTCGGCATTGGTTTCCAGAACATGGACTGGGGGGAGCTTGCACGTTGGATTCACGTACGCCATGAAATCTTTGAAGGCCCGATTGTAGACGCACGTATACGGAATCCCTTGGCTTGCGAAGAATTTTGTCAGAAGCTCATCCGCCCTGTGGTCGGTTACCCATAGAGCGTCATCTTCACTTTGATGGCGGATCAAACGGGAGCGCATAACTCCGGACGACCGTTGATTTGCATATCGACTCGCGAATGCTGACAGGTTGGTAGAAGAACTCGTGGCGCCGGTTGTACTCGGCTCGTACACCAATTTCAGCGAGACGTCAGGATCACTAAAATTGAACGTTTCTACATTTGGAAAGCAGTTTTATCTTTCAAAAAATTTGTTCACTTCTAGAGATATGGTTCTTGTTTTACGCATACACTGCTCAAGACAAGTTAAACAAACCCCTAAATTTTGGAAGTTTCAACAAACTAGAAGAGATATTGAGACTTTATAGATATAGCTTTGCACTAGAAACTTCAGCCACATAACGCACACTTCCTAAAAACTGCTTGAAACTCGCTTACCCCGAAGGTCCTGCAGGCGGATTGGACGACATCTCGATAATTCCGTTTCGTAGCCAAGATAGTAGATGAAGTTCGAGTAGGAAATTGGCTGAAACACAAAAAATAATAGGGGCAGTCGTCGGAGAAAACAAAAAATCAATGAGAGTAGGGTGCGGGCAAGAGTGTCGACCGTGAAGAGAGAGTGAAAGTGGACGTGCTCGCCCGTACGCACATTGCCCCGCTGTGGCCGCGACGCGACCGCCACGCAGCCGTATGCACGCGCGTTTCTCGTCGCATCTGCGCCCCTATCGAGTTCTGTTTGAATGCACGAGAAACAGCGTGAACAGATAGTGAGGATGATACTTGCAGGCAAATTTCTTCTCAGGAACATGGAGGATTACATATTTCCTGCCAAATTTGTGGAAAAACTGTCTGTTTTACCGGAATATCGAGAGAAATGAACAGAAAACTGGAAAGGAAAGAGCAGAAGCAATAGGTTTTACCTGATTCTACAGAAATTCAAAATGACTAGCCACAGAAAGAAGCAAGGCAATTGAACTAAAAACGATGGCTGCCGAGCGCACACCCAAACGTACTATCCTGCGTGTGTGCGCTATTTCGCCGGTACGCACTCACGTCCGCACTCAGTTGACGCGATAATGCGGCCAATGTGCAGAGGGGGACACGCATTGATTCTTGGCAGACAAAGATGGAATAGTCAGATTTATTGTGCAAGGGCGTATGAAGATGGCAAATTGATGGTTGTTATTGAAAAGTGAACAGAGTATTCTTAGGCTTTTCCGTGATGACGACGTTTTTTGTAGAGGATATCACGGTTGGAAGAATTGACACCATCAAAGAGTTTGCATTGTACCCGAACGGAAAATTCATCATTGCAACTGAAAAAATTCGTTTAAATAGTGGTGTATGTATAAATAAAAACAGAAACAGAAGAAAACAACATTTCCTCACTTTTTCCTCCAACACTCAATGTTACCGGTGGCTGTACGAATTTTCGAGTATGTTGTGCAGGTATCTGGCTTGATGGAATATTTTTCAAGAAGCTGGAATGGAAATATGAAGTCTGTTAGACAAAAAATTTGAGTTTTGACTCACAGATTCCTTATACTCGCCCTCGCTCTTTCCCGGAGTGTTTTTGGCAGTTGACACGTGGTTTCTCACGTGACGCGTTAGTTGAGAAGGCCATTTCTGAATGATGTAATCATCAAAGTCTATTTTTTCCACTGGAAATTGGGAAAAATAAATGATAAAAGAAAGAATACCTTTGGCTTTCTAACGTCTTCCTTAATTTTAGACCATAATTCGCAGTTGAACTCGTTCAAAATGACATCGTCGTTGCAACTGAAAACTAATTAACATGAGGCGGTTGAGATAAGTTTGAAAACACTTTGCAACTACCAATTTACAAGGAAATTTAAAATTTACCGATGGCGAAGACATTTTTGCATTGAATCACGGGTTATATAAAATTTGTAGGTGATACAAGCTTTTTCATCCAAGATTTGATCGATTTTCTAAAAAGAAATTAATGAGTTCTTGTTAAGTATTATAAAATTGAGAGTACCATAAATCCTTTTGCTTCAATATAGGACAACATTTTTGCGGGGGACTCGGTAGAGTTCTTCTTTGGAGCCCTTGTTACTTCACCGTCATGGGTGACCACATGGGCATCCACGAGAACGCGCAATGATGATGAAGTGAGTATTATTAGAAACGCGGTGGACAGTAAAGGTGACATGAATGAATGGAATCGGCGGGTCGATTCGATATGATTTGATTCACAAAATGAGTGAATGAAACCGTGCCTTATATAGGCGACTGACACATGTCTCATACCCATTCACAATATAAAGCACACATTTTATTTTATTCACTCGCGCAAGGAGATTGATAAATGCGTTAGTGTTATTGATCACTTCCACCGATTCCACGAGAGGCTAATAATTGAAACTCGCGCAGGCATTGTTCGGACGAAATGGGAATTCTTTGTCCTCTGTTGCAGCTGAAAGTATAAAGTCGACTAAATTGACGTTGTTTTAGAGGGGGGAATAGGGTCATAGTGTTTGTTGGTAAAGTGGTGATTATAGAAATGCGGGGAGAGGGTGAAACTAGAAGCATACCTGTGTTTGGTACAGTTTTGTCCTTGAAGAATGTAACGCCGACAGCCTTCGGAAGTGGTGAAGTCACGCATGATACGGAAACGCTGGAAACCCGGATATTATATGAATCTTTTGAACTGTTCCAACTCACATTGTTCTCCTCGCTCGAGTGATTACGATGCTCATTAGAACGAGAATCCGAGTTTCTGGACTCATCTTGCTCGTTTGAGTTGGATCTGGAATCTTGTCTGGAGTTATTCGAGTCACCTCGATTTCTTCCAGCTTGGGCCAGAATAGCGGACGTGACTGCCAGAAGGCCGATAATAAAACGGAAAAACTTCATTTTTCCTGCTGGGAATCTGGATTCGTCACTTTTATACAGTTTTTTGGCAAAACATTCACGGCAAACAAATGTTTTGTTTCGTACCATCAATCGCGTATTGTCCTCTTTTTCCCTTTTTGGAAAAGATCGGGTGTTCAACTCTTACTGTAAATGCAAGTTTTCAAATAAAATAGCGTGTTTGAATAGAAATCATTTCGTTTTCGCAAGAATAAAAACGTAATTATTTGAATATTATCATTCTGAAACTCCAACAACGATCTTCCAGTCCGGGAAGTATGCTTCACAATTTGAAACTACGCGATACCAATTTTCAGTGCATCTATAACAAAACAACAATTGAACGATTGCACACAACAGAAAATATTGTCGACTTACTTTCTCTTGAAACAAACAGGAATTGAATGTTGCGGAATGGATTCTTGACCGAACAACACAACGCTGAGCTTGTATTCCACGCATTCTCCATTTACAGTTCGTCGAGTTGTCAAAGCAATCTGTAAGAGTGATAATTAGGAAGGAAATTTTGAAACAGAGCGACTCACATTTTGAGAACCGGATGCTTCACTTGGAGTTTCCGATGATCCGTTACCACGTTCAATTGTAGTTGTTCCCCATGGTCTTTCGGTAGTCCCGGTTGGGATCGTCCATGGTCCTTCGGTAGTCCCGGTTGGGATCGTCCATGGTCCTTCGGTAGTCCCGGTTGGGATCGTCCGTGGTCCTTCGGTAGTCCCGGTTGGGATCGTCCATGGTCCTTCGGTAGTTACGCTAGGTATTTCCGATGGTTGGTTGCCTCCACCGTATGTAGTTGTTCTCCATGGTCCTTCGGTAAATCCGGTTGGAATTGTCCATAGTTTTTCGGTAGTTACGCTAGGTATTTCCGATGGTTGGTTGCCTCCATCGTTTGTAGTTGTTTTCCATGGTCCTTCGGTAGTCCCGGTGGGGATCGTCCATAGTCCTTCGGTAGTTACGCTAGGTGTTTCCGATGGTTGGTTGCCTCCACCGTATGTAGTTGTTCTCCATGGTCCTTCGGTAAATCCGGTTGGAATTGTCCATGGTCCTTCGGTAGTTACGCTAGGTATTTCCGATGGTTGGTTGCCTCCATCGTTTGTAGTTGTTTTCCATGGTCCTTCGGTAGTCCCGGTGGGGATCGTCCATAGTCCTTCGGTAGTTACGCTAGGTGTTTCCGATGGTTGGTTGCCTCCACCGTATGTAGTTGTTCTCCATGGTCCTTCGGTAAATCCGGTTGGAATTGTCCATGGTCCTTCGGTAGTTACGCTAGGTATTTCCGATGGTTGGTTGCCTCCATCGTTTGTAGTTGTTTTCCATGGTCCTTCGGTAGATCCGGTTGGGATTGTCCATAGTCCTTCGGTAGTTACGCTAGGTGTTTCCGATGGTTGGTTGCCTCCATCGTTTGTAGTTGTTCTCCATGGTCCTTCGGTAGATCCGGTTGAGGTTGTCCATGGTCCTTCGGTAGTTACGCTAGGTATTTCCGATGGTTTGTTGCCTCCACCGTATGTAGTTGTTCTCCATGGTCCTTCGGTAGATCCGGTTGGGATTGTCCATAGTCCTTCGGTAGTTACTCTAGGTATTTCCGATGGTTGGTTGCCTCCACCGTATGTAGTTGTCCTCCATGGTCCTTCGGTAGATCCGGTTGGGATTGTCCATAGTCCTTCGGTAGTTACGCTTGGTATTTCCGATGGTTGGTTGCCTCCACCGTATGTAGTTGTCCTCCATGGTCCTTCGGTAGATCCGGTTGGGATTGTCCATAGTCCTTCGGTAGTTACGCTAGGTTTTTCCGATGGTTGGTTGCCTCCACCGTATGTAGTTGTCCTCCATGGTACTTCGGTAGATCCGGTTGGGATTGTCCATAGTCCTTCGGTAGTTACGCTAGGTTTTTCCGATGGTTGGTTGCCTCCACCGTATGTAGTTGTCCTCCATGGTACTTCGGTAGATCCGGTTGGGATTGTCCATAGTCCTTCGGTAGTTACGCTAGGTTTTTCCGATGGTTGGTTGCCTCCACCGTATGTAGTTGTTCTCCATGGTTCTACGGATGTTACATTTGGGGTTTCCTCAGTCTGGAATGTTGTTGACAATTCGGCCAAGCTTGCTGAAGTTTCAGTTTTTGAGAGAGTTGAAGGTGTCTCTTTTTCAGAACTGTTCTCTACAGGAATCTCTCCACCAGACATCGTTCCATTCAACTCGATTTCAATAGGATATCCATAAAGTACATATCCGTCCACAGTCAGCACCATTAAAATGGAAAGAATACAAGCAAATACTGAACAAGTGAACATTTTTTGCATTTTGAAAAGTTGATGCTGATCTACCCACCAACTTAGTTGTTTTATAGTTGTTCGAAACAAAAATTTTGGGCGGAATTCTTTTCATCTTCAGAAAGGGTTGGGTATACGCTTTTCTTTGAGTCATTCCTCTCGTCATGTCAGGCTTTTCAATAAAAATTAATATCGTGGTATTTACAAGTTGCTGACAAAAAAGATACCATGTTACCGTGATCATTTTTACTGTGAGCAATGTGCGAAATGTAGGAAATAAAGTGTGTAATTAACTTTTCTGAAAAACAGCTCATACGGCAGTGTTGATTGCGAATGTCCGAGAGGTCACGAAGTGAAGTCCACCCTTAACCCCTGGATTCACTAAACTTCGCATTGAACAGTAGTGAGCTCTCCAAATTTTGCCCAATTACACTCTCTAGCCCGACCGTAACTTAAATCAGCCTCAAGTCGGTTCATCACCTAGTATACAGAAAACCAAGATTCGGAGGGAGCCAAAAAAGAAGGCGTGTAACCATACTTATTTTTTCTGAACCGCACTTTTAATCGTGGAAAATAAAGTTAGTAACGTTTGCTGAAACTACTTTGCCTTGATGTAACGAAAAAACGAATTGTAAAAATGCAACTGGTAAACATTTTATTTGACAGAGAAAGAAAAAGTTCAATGAAGCAGATGCAGTTTCAAATACTTATAGAAAGATTATACACATATTTTGCAATTATTGCTTGACTCCAAAAACATCTCTCCACGAGGGGAAGTAGATGTCACAATCCACAGTTCCAAGAGGCCAGTTATCATTGCACCTGAAATTTCCAAAGTTTTACTCATAAAACCAAGTATCATCTTCTTACTTTTTCTCAACGCAAACTGGAATGTTATCGGCCGGGTTGTTATTTTGAGATGAAGCAATAACGGTAAGTGTATATTGAAAGCATTCTCCATTGATTATTCGTTGAGCGTGTAGATAATACTGTAAGACATGAATAATAATAAAAGTCTTATGCACTTGGTATTGAATACAACTCACAGTCTTATAGTCGCCATATGTTTTAGGTGTGAACGTGCTGACTTCGTTACTGAAAACTGGTGTCGGAGAAGTTTGAGTCTCGACAGCATTCGTCGTTCCGGAAGAAGTTGTGCTGGTTTCAGTTGATGTAGGAGGAGAATTCGGTAATCCGGGGGAAGTTGTGCTGGGTTCAGGTGATGTGGGAGCAGCACTCGGTGTTCCGGAAGAAGTTGTGCTGGGTTCAGTTGATGTAGGAGCAGAACTCGGTGATCCGGGGGAAGTTGTGTTGGGTTCAGGTGATGTAGGAGCAGAACTCGGTGATCCGGGGAAAGTTGTGCTGGGTTCAGTTGATGTAGGAGCAGAACTCGGTGATCCGGGGGAAGTTATGCTGGGTTCAGGTGATGTAGGAGCAGAACTCGGTGATCCGGAAGAAGTTGTGCTGGTTTCAGTTGATGTAGGAGCAGAACTCGGTGATCCGGGGGAAGATATGCTGGGTTCAGGTGATGTAGGAGCAGAACTCGGTGATCCGGAAGAAGTTGTGCTGGTTTCAGTTGATGTAGGAGCAGAACTCGGTGATCCGGGGAAAGATATGCTGGGTTCAGGTGATGTAGGAGCAGAACTCGGTGATCCGGGGGAAGTTATGCTGGGTTCAGGTGATGTAGGAGCAGAACTCGGTGATCCGGGAGGTGTTTGGGTAGATCCTCTAGGAATACTGGGTTGGTCAGATACTGCTTCTCCATTGGATTCCACGGCATCAGCAAGTGTTTTGACGACCTGAACATCCGAAAGTGCGTAGCCATCCACAGGCCACGACATTACTAGTCCGACAAAGAGAATACTAGCTAACACGGAATGAATGAGAATGCTCTGCATCTTGACGATATGATACTGATCAACTTGTCACCCTAGTTCTTTTATACATAACGCAAACAAAAACTTGAGGCGGAATTCTTTTCATCTTTAGAAAAGAGTCGAATATACGCTCTCTTTCTCTTTTCATTTGAGCTTTCTTGCCCAAAAGCAATATGGCAGTATTAACAAAGATATTTCATGATACTGATGCATATTGTTTCATCGGGGCGGAACACGAAATTATGAAATGTTTCAAAAATAGAGAGAACAGTTGACACTTTCGGCCGGCCCAAACACATCATCACATCTGCAACAATATACTTTAAAATTTTACAAAAGTTTGCTCAAAAATCTTACTTGACAACAGTACAAAACGGTTTACCATCAGTCAGATCAGGAAATGGGTTCTTTTTTGCGTTGGCATTCCAATGGAACGAAACGTAATCGTATTGCAAACATTCGTTGCTTTTGTTTGAAATCCACTGTTTCTCAGTCTAAAAATGTCAGGCATATAAGGTAACCCAGAACCGAAAATGAGGTACAATATCCAAATAATGTGCTTCCTCTGGTTTGGCATCCAAGTATCGAAACACTATGTTGATGTGGTTAGGGTCATTCTCCTGGGACACGACAGTGACGACGTGGAGAATTAAGAAAAGAAGCGCTTGGAATGAGAGAGACATCGAGGAGAAGAAGAAGAATGAGCTAATATTGTGAAGCAAACATTTTATAGGTAGAATGAAGATGAATGGAGCGGTGCGTTGACAATTGAATTATTCATATGCAAAAAGAAATGCTGTGGGAGAATAAAACATTCCTTTCTGTGTTTTTCCCGGGTTTTGGTTTCTCTCAAATAAAGTAAATTGGGTTTAGTTTGCGATTGTGTGATCCAATTAAACCATCGAAAAACGGATTTTCTACAAGTTTGGTTAAAATCCGTTCACATTCAGTTTGGAAAAAGTGGCCACTCTGAATAGTTCTTCTTGACGTATCCGATTTTTTTTCTCAGTTCAGAACCCTGCAATACAGCCCGAGCACATCGGCCCGGTCCAAGTTGTATTCGATCCGATCAAAGCAACCATTCAATTTCCCTCTCAACCAGCACACATTGTCCACACGTTTTTCCCGCCATCTCTTCCATTCGTCTGTTACAACGCACACTTGACCGCAAAATCTGTCGTGGACAGACAGCGTGTTGACCGCGCAAAAATCTGCGTCCTCGCGTGAGCGATTGTCTAGGCTTTTCTCTTTTTCAAAGATCGTAAACAAATATCAGGTCACTTTCACACATCTGGTGCCCTTTGGCCGTATGGCGCGCGGAACACAAAGGCCCGCTTTTCATGGGCAAGTGGTTGGAGGGTGGGGGTTTACAACTGTTTTTTCGGTCGGTCAGAAAACCTTTTGAATGATTGTTCTGCAAAAAATGCGGGCGATGGACCGCATTCCTGATTTAATGGATAAAATACAAAACAATTGAAAAGCGGGCAAAGTCCAAGCGCGAAAAGTTAAAAATAGAGCAGAACCAACTTTACGAGAAAAAATTCCACTCAAATCATACAATTCTCTTGAATTAGGTTCAAAAATTCAAATGTTCCTGCTCACTTTGGTCTATTATCATAATCTGATTAAAGTATTCCATGATTATGTAGACAAATTCATTCAGTTACCACTTGTGCACACTTTAACGGCTATTGTAGCTTTGAAAATGATCCCACGTGTTTAGTAAAGTGAGAAAGGCCTACATAAGCGGTGTTAACTCGCGTGTAAGTACTTGTCAAGCGCAACTGATAAAGAGCGAACTAGTCTTTTATTCTTTTTTCATTTCACAGTCACAAGTGCATACTTACGATGAGAATTTGTTCGTTTTTCGAAAAAAACCCAATTTTAGTTTGAAAGCACGCAACTCTTTCTCTGAAAAGCGCAATACATTTTCATGCAAAAGAAGTTCATAATGATGAACCGAAAGTGTTGTTCACTATCTGTACATGTTTGCAATAGAATTATAGCGGGTTTGACCATTATCGGTTATCAGTTATTGTACACTTCACCTCTACTGTCCATTTGCTTGAAAACGTGGCGGTTTAGAACCTGCAAATTGTGCTGCCTGAGTTGTACAGTAGGCTTTCATAATCTCCCAGACGTGCACACCTTTTCAGCACACTTCAGAATCCCGTTTGAACTTTCGTTTCTTTTAACATTTGAACGTTTTCTCATTCAGATTTTTCTCGTCCCCCTTTCATTCTGGCGCCAGCTTGCAGACAGACGAGCAGACAGATTGGATAAGCGCCACCCTTGACTGTCTAGCTCCTCCCATCCTTCCATCAATCTTTTCATATTGCCTCGTCCGTCTATCTGCCATCGCCACTGCATCCCCATCCTGGTCAGGGGGAGAAGGGTGGCTTTTTCGATTGGCATCGTCATAAACGGCAACTTTTGAGTACGGCGACCCAGCTATTTGCACAGTTATTCCTTTCTGTGTATTTTGTTTTCCACTCTTCCTCCCTTTCTATCAATTGACATTGACCTAACCCCCATCTTCTTCAGAGCAAACAACTTTTTTATTAGAGGGGGTCGGAAGAGTTACTCCCAGCCAAATCCTCTCATCTATCATCGCATCGCTTCTCAATTTCCCTCATCAAATGATAGCAAAAATGAGCTGTGAGCTGTCTATTACACTTTTCTAGGACAGATGACCCCTTTCCCCGCTTCTTTCCGAGGTTCTTCGGAGGAAAAGAGGTAAGGTCAGGCAACGTCACACGTGTGGTGTTGGTGAACACCTAAAATCGATAGTGTGCACAGTGTGGCTGTCCGTTGCCCAACACCCGAAGCGAGGGCGCGTCTCGTGGTGTCTGCGCATGTGAGTTGCCTTCTCTGCGTGTGTGCCCCTTTCTTTTAGGCCCAACCTCTACTCTCTTTTTCAAATCAAAGCCCGCTGGCCTTCGATCACCGGGCGAAGGGAAGTGGGATAAGGGCTACTAGTTTTTCATTCATTTCCGCTCTGACTTTTCACTTTTTCCCTCACGGATAACACTTAACGCAGACTTGTTTACGTCAATAACTTTATATGTCACGAAACGAAATCATCGAATTTCCTGTTTTCATTCCAGGGTATCATGTCCGGCACCGAACTTCAACCTCTCAACGTGACCAAGAAAGACGAGGAAGCCCTCGAGGTCGAGGAAGAGGCCCCGAAAGACAAGGGCAACCTCGTGTTCCTCATAATTCTGCTCAATGGAATCGGAACGCTCATGCCATGGAACATGCTCATCACCATTTCCTATGACGTGAGCCTCCTAAACCTACATTTGTAGTACACAATTGTCCTTTCAGTACTTCGAATCGTACAAAATGCTGGCCAACTCAACGATCGACATGGAGACAGGAAAAGTGAGCGGAACGCCGACGACCTTCTCCTCCAACTTTCAAAGCTTCCAAACGATTGCTTCTCAAGTGCCGAACCTTCTTCTCAACCTTCTCAACATTTTCATTGTCGTCAAGTAAGGTCTTGGGCGTGTTATCAGAAAAGAAACATAGGCAGGCAGGCCATGCGCGATAAAGAGAGGTCGACGGAGGACGCGAATGATGAATGTGTTCGGCAGGGGTGAGAGAAAAGAGAGGTTCAAAAGTGTTGTATGTGACATGGCAAGATGTGATTAATTTGTTCGCAAGGGTCGAATCAGATAGGGCTGGCTGTCATGAAGAATTTGAGTTGGTTTGGGGAATTAAATTGAGGGGTCTGGTAAATTTGTGAAGCTGGAAAGATGTGTTGAGGCGACAAGTTCCAGAATATGATGTTGATGAGACTTGTGAACAACTGAGATCCACAATTTTTCAATATTGAGCGCTCTAAAGGCGGTAGCTTCAACCACAATCTAGTTTCAGAAATCCATAAGTTATTGTTCCAAAAACCTAGCTTTGAAATCAACTCTGACCCAAACCCACTGTACTTCCTTTGCAGGGGAGGACTCGCCAGCCGTATCACCGTCGGACTCTCCATCGTCGCTGTCTGCGTCGTCACCACGATGGGCTTCATCTACGTGGACACTAACTCATGTGAGTGATAAAGTTCAGGCGCCCTTTTACTTCAGCTCAAACATCAACTCTCCTCTGCATTGGAAGCAACTGTTGCCCTTTTTTTGCAGGGCTCACACTCTTCTTCGTGCTCACAATTGTCACCATAATCGTGTTGAATGGCGCCAATGGAGTTTACCAGAACAGCATTTTCGGACTCGCCTCTGAGCTGCCATTCAAGTACACCAATGCTGTTATCATCGGGAACAACTTGTGCGGAACTTTTGTCACCCTACTCAGCATGACCACAAAAGCAATGACCAAGAACATCCTGGATCGTTCGTTCGCTTACTTCTCAATCGCTCTCGTCACCCTCGGATTGTGCCTCTTCTCCTTCCTGATTCTCCAGAAGCAGCGTTTCTATCAATTCTACAGCACTCGTGCCGCGAGACAACGCTCTAAGAACGAGGAGAGTTCCGAGGGAAAAGGATTTGCCACGTACGTCGCTACCTTCAAGGAGGCATTCCCGCAACTCGTCAACGTCTTCCTCGTCTTCTTCGTCACTCTGTCTATCTTCCCAGGAGTCATGATGTACATCAAGGATGAGAAGAAGGGCGGAACCTACGATTTCCCTCTGCCGAGTAAGAATTCTAAAGAAGTTCGAGTAAAAATTATGGATTTTTTCAGAGAACTACTTCATGGACGTCACCACTTTCCTTCAGTTCAACGTCTTTGCCTTCATTGGATCTATCGTCGCTGGAAAGAAGCAATGGGTGGGTTCCGAGCTCTGTCTGAAAGTGATCTAATCTTTTTTGTTTTCAGCCAGCCCCGAACCGCCTGTGGATCCCAGTCTACCTCCGTCTCCTCTACATCCCGTTCTTCGCTTTCTGCAACTACCTGCCGGAGACTCGTACCCTCCCGGTCCTCTTCGAATCCACGTGGCTTTTCGTCATCGTCGGCGCCACCATGAGCTTCGGAAGCGGATACTTCTCCGGACTTGCCATGATGTACTCCTCGCAAACTGTCGATGCATCCCGTGCTCAGGTCGCCGGAATGATGGCTGGATTCTTCCTCATCTCGGGAATCGTCTCGGGACTCATCTTCACCATGGTCATCAAGTTCGTGGTCACTGCCTAGACAATTGACTCCCCTCCTGAAATTCTTGTACACTACAAGAAGATTTTTTTTGTTTTTTATCTTATTTTCCAACAGAATATCGTCAACTTCAAGTGCACTTTTTCCCTTTTTCTCCCAACAACCCCGACACCCTAAACTTTACTTGTTTCTCTTTTTGTAACCGTTAATCGGCTCTTCTCATCAATTTTTGTCAAATAATTCGTTGGTCCCCAAGTATTATTTCAGTTACATCTCATGTTGTTTCAACCGAAGCTTTCCTCAAGCCCCCATCCCTCGCCCTCATGCTGCTTGTACCACTTTTCTCGTTTCAACTTCACATTTTCTTGAAAAAAATAAAGTTATTTTGTTGTTATTTAACGTAGTATCGGGCATTTGAAAGCAGCAAAACTTCATACTCGCAGCGAACGTTTTCCATGGGTTTCAGATTTTCAAAATGACAATTACAGATAGACACTTTGCAACCGGAACGTTCAGCAACTACAGAAGGTTCTGGCATCACGTCAGAATCGTTCAAGAGCCGTTTCCCTTTGTTTTTGCGTCAATTTCTCGTTTTACACTTGTTATTCCGATCTTACAATTCAAAAAAGTCGCCATACGCCCACGTACATGTTTTCCTTCTTTGTGAAACCAGGTTAACGACTCACTGTGTTGCGAAATCGAAACTAGAACGAGAATAGAAAATCTGAAAAAGCAATTAGTTACACGATCGGTGACGCCGATATTCTTTAAAAATGACAAAAAAACAGTGCGAAGACTGACAGCTGACTATTTATAGAAAAAAAAAGAGGACAGTGACGTTGACAAAAAACGCTTTTTGATTTGGGTTTTTTTAAAGTGATTTTGGACCGATCAAGTTGGTGTTTGTTATCACAACGCAAGAAAAAACGATTTTTGACTTAGAGGCACCAAAAACTACAAAGAATGTATGCGGAAAAATAAGTGGGCGGGGGTGTTTTATTATGATCGATTCACAGTTCGATGATGATTTAAGGGGGATGGGGTGGACAGGGACAGGAAATTATAATATAAGTAAAAGTGACACAAAGATTCTTCATTTTTCTCGTCGTTATTACTGCTTTCGGGCTGGCATTTTATGAGAGAGACACACACACACACCAAACGTACAAATATTACAAGAAATAAGTTATGAAGGGTTCCGACAGGTGAAGAGGTGGGAGAACAGTCCGGAGAAGGAATGATTGGGGGACTTGGAGGCCTAGAGACTGACTCTTTTGCAAAATCGGTACTTCTAGCAGTTGCAGTCCTTCTTTCCATTGTTGTCAGCGGCACGTGGCAAGCTCTGCTTCGGCTGCACACCGGTGTCGGCGGCATTCAAGTCCAGGCTTCCGTCCTGGATGTTCTGGTAGATCTGCTTAGCAGTCTCCAGGAAAGCGTCCTCTACGTTGCTGCCACTGCAAATTCATCTATTAATTTTGATAAGAATGAAAAAGAATCCTTACGTCTTGGCGCTACACTCTAGGAAAGTGAGGCCGTTCTCCTCGGCGAAAGCCTTTGCCTCTTCATACGGCACGTCACGTTGGTCTTCGAGATCCGCCTTATTTCCGATAAGGAAGATGGCCTGAAATAATTGCTTTTTATTGTGCTTTGAACATTTAAAATATGTTATGTGTTTGGATAATGTCAGATTTTGTTCGATCGTCTATAGATTAGACAAACGAAAGATTTTCTCGAAGGGGCTAAAAATCGACACTTTGGAGTTTTGAAACTTGAAAAACAATGTTTTAATTTGCGTTCTTTGCTGCAAGTGTGCCTAGATGCCGTTCTCACAACGAGTCCCTCAGTGCCGAAACGCGTCGCCATTCCCCTACAGGTCAGCTGAGCTAGTCTGTGCCCCATTCTCCTACTCTCCTATTTTCGTTTCTGGTTTATCTATCGAATATTGTTGCTTTCATCTATCTCAACAAAATCGGGCAGAGTCTCAGTCGGGTATGTCGCATGTTTAGGCGCACTAGCGCTCGCAAAGCTTCGTGTGCCACTCGGAGGCCATTTTTGTTGCACGCGTTGTTGGCAATCGATCGGTGCGGCTGGCCATGTGCGCTGAGCTAGAATGCCTCCTTCATGAGTTCTAACCCTAAAATTAACTAGAACAGCGGTGCCGATGACTGATTCTTGTCCAAATCTGCTGTGAACAAGGTCCGCAAGAGCTAAACAACTGCCATGTGCCAGTTTTCGCCTCTTCGACACTATTTTCGGCCCGAAATGTCATTCATTTTCAAAATCTGCAAGCTGCTTTCTCTACCTACCGTGTTCGGATTGGTCAGACTTTTAGCGTCGGCCAGCCAGCTGCTGAGATGGTTGTAAGTCGAACGACGGGTCATATCGTAGACCATAAGCGCTCCGGCGGCTCCGCGGTAGTAGGAGCGGGTGACAGCGCGGAATCTCTCCTGTCCTGCGGTGTCCCAGATTTGAAGCTTGATCTTCTGTCCGCTGACTTCGATAATCCGGGTGCCAAATTCTACGCCAATTGTGTGCGGGCAGTCGGCCATGACTGAAAGTTATTCTATGTTCTCCTTGTTGTCGCAATCGTCACTGATCGATATATTGATCGATCGACTGATCTGATTCGATTAGCGATGACTCACACTTTTTCTCAGTGAACTGATGGAGCAAGCAGGATTTTCCAACTCCCATATCGCCGATAATGATGTACTTGAAGATGTACGAGTAGTTGTATGGAGCAGCCGTCATTTTTCGAACTGTATTATCTAGAAAAACTGAACCTAGAGTACGAAAAAAGTGAGGAAGAAGATGGCGGATGAAGAGAAGAGTTGCCAAGTTGTCATTAGTTGTTGGAAAAGCGGTGATGGGGGAAGGGGGAGAACGCAGAGAAAGCCAAAAGAGTCTGAGAACACCACCAAAAGCAGGCCAGAGGCATATATGCGTGTGTTTGCGTGTGTGTGTGTGTGAGTGTGTAGCCCCCTACATTTTTTCTGAAGAAGAGAAAGAGAGATGGAGATGAATGAGAGGAGAGCAGGAGGCCGGGGCCGGGCACTGGGCCAACGCGACAGAAATACATATCACGAGAATGGAAGGGAAAACAGAGGAAGGAAAAAGGCCTTCTTGCTTTGAGATGCGTCGCGTACTATCGACCGCATCGCGCGAGCGTGCGCAGAGGGGCGACTAGTCCCCTGCCTCTGCGTCTCTGACTTTCTCTCTCGTCTCCTCATCTCTCTCCAGCACGAGGGACGGCGAATTGTGTCTGGTCGTCTGCTTCTGACACTGTTTTTCATCCCTCCTTTCTTCTGAGCGCTGGGTTAAAGTAAGCGCACGTTTTCAGGCAATTGTGGGCTCTGGCTCTGGCGTCGCTGCTGTCTTCTCTAGTGTTTTTTTTTGAGCGTTAAGCTAGGCTCTTTCATCCATCCCCCTCCATCCATACAATTATTTTTCGCTTCCCCATCCTTTTTTGTTTTGCCATTTACCCTTTCTCTTTGGACTCATTTGCCGGAAAAGGGGACCGGTAAAATCACTCCAATGCTCACATTCAGGGCTTACCGGAAGCGGAATTTCTTTTTCAAGCAGCGCAGCACATCCCTGTTTCTGTTCGGGCGACAAACTATTCGCAAACAATCTTACCCACCCGAGGCATTTGATTTCGTCACACTCATACACAACGGCCTCTCTCGCTCCGCTCTCTATCTCGTGTGTCCGCCGTCGTTACTTGAATATTTCGCAATACCTTTCTGATAGAGGCAGAGATCGCACTCCACGGCGCCCAGCACTCTCTCCTAGCGGCCCAGGCCATGTGGGCGCCAAGAGAGAAAGAAAGAGGCGGCCCCCCGCTCCAGTGTATGTAGTATTGCGAAACATTGAGAATTCATCGCTAAACCACCCCGAACCTCCTACCACCACCACTTGTCAACGTATTTCGCAATCAATTTATACATACATGTTGCTTCCCCAGTTCTATTCAATTTCATTTCAATAGGACCGCGTTATCATTTTGTGATGTCTGCTCTAGTTGTGTGCTTTTCCTTTTTGGAGTACTGTAGTTCAGTTTCGTCTCAACTTTCAGACGCTAACCGGAAAACATCGTAGTTTTCAAGCAATATCCTTTGACTAATAATAATTTGGCTCAGAAATCTGCATGACGAATTCTGATTTCGCAATAGACTTTACTCGATTTGTTAATTTATACCTCGCACTTCTCGGTCTTTTGACTTTCTTTTAGCATTGTTCCGCTACTAATATTTCTTATTTTCAGGGTATGTCTTCAGCCAGACGTCGTGTGCCCGTTCAGCCGAACGAGCACGACGACAGAGAAACGACGTTTCATCGTAGACGTCGGCTCGAGGAGGCTCACTTGGCCCGCGTTCGCCGTGATCACGCAATTGCACAATCTACCCGGAAATATCGTTTCGGATGGAAGCACGGCAAGACGATGGCTTATCGCGACAAGTACGGCGTCGAGGTGGCCGGATACTTCAGCTTGAAGGAGATGCACAATCATCGTGTCCGCTTTTTCCCGAGAAACTGCAGACCACGGGATGTGTCGGCGCCGGCGATTGCGTACACTTGCGCTGGGCACGCTCGTCCCATGTGCTATCGTCCGTTCGGAATGCTTCCACCGCATATTATGAATGCGTTGGAAAGCCACTACTTGCAAGTGACTAAAGGACTCATGGTCCCTGAAGCGGATTTGTACAACAACATTGATCAACCGACCGAGCCAAACTTCCCCTCGGTGATCGATCCGGCTTCTTTCCAGAAGCTTATTCAGACAGCTTGTGAAACCAGTCTGAAACTCAAGGAGCAGAATGAGTATTTGCGCTCTGGCCCAAAAGGAATGCCGAGATTTTTGACTCATCCGCGTCCGTACAAAAACCAGATTTTGGTACGTTTCCACTTCCATTCCGGGTTTCCACCTCATTACAAAATTTTCAGACTCACGGAGAAATGATCGGCTCGTTTGTGATGTACGGAACCGGTAAGAATGTGAGATCGGTGTGCATGAAGACGAGACAAGTGTTCTACGCGCACGTGCTTCCTTTGTGGAAAATCGAGAAGATAATCGAGGTGATGCAGCGTCTGCAGATTCCCGACGACAAAATGTATCACAGCCCTGATGATCGTCGTTTGAGGTAAGAAAGTCGATAATGAAATAGGTGCAACGGAACGAATTTCAGCGAGTTGTGTGTTTCGAAGCGCACGGAGATCATCAAAGCCGATGATCGCTACATTCTGTTCACTCCATCCGAATCCAACACTGTTCACTCATTCGCTTTTGAACGCATGGATAAGATTACCGAGAGAGAATGTATGGAGATTTTCAAGAAGGTACGAAACTGCGCAAAATGTTTGCCTGAAAGCCATTACTTTATTCAGATGGTAGAGCTTGTCAAATTCTGTCACAGCAGAGGAGTTCTCATGCGTAACACCAAGCCCAGAAACTACTATCTGACAATTGTGAACGGAGAGTTCGTGGTTCGTCCTAGCTTCTTGGTCGATTTCTGTGTCGAGGCGGACAACACTGACGCGATGTACGCTCGCCAATCCGTCTGCCTTCCGTTCTTGGCTCCTGAGGTTATTTATCCGCTGTGGGGATTTTGCAATCAACTCATGCTTCAGATGCTCACCGCCAACCCGGTACCAATGCACAACCGTGCCAGTGAGATGTGGTCTCTGGGAATAAATTTGTTCATTCTGCTCACTGGAAAATATCCATTCTTCGCCAAAACTGAGCGCCTCTTGTTCCGTGCCATCAAGCGCAAGCAGCAAGTCTGGCCGATCAACTACATCTCGCCTAGAAGTAGGCATAAAACCAATTAAATATCAGGAACTTATTTCGAAATTTCAGCTAAGGCAATTGTGGAGGGTCTTCTGATCAAGATTCCGGCTTTCCGCACAACTTTGGATGAACTCTGCCTGGAACTCGAGTACACATTCCCGGATATCAGATGCCGTTCGAACATGCTCTTGAGATATCAGGATATGAGAGTCAAGAAGCGCCTCTTGTCTATGTACTGGAATAGCTATCAGAACCGTCTGCTTCCGCACAATATTCGTCCAATCCGCGAAGAGTTGGATATACTCCTTCAAGACCTCCCACTGGCTCGGGAAATGTCGGAGGCCGATACTCGCCTCATTCACGATCAAGTCAGACACAACATCAGAGAGAATCTAACCGACATACACATGGGAATTATCAATTTGCGTTTGGATCAAATTAATGATCTTGTGCAAAAGAGGGACGAGGAAGATTGTCGAAGACTGAACTGTGAGCCCGATCCAGTGACGCTGACTATCGACGATATTTCGCTGGAGCTTCTGCTGCCTCGTTCGATTTACCCGACGAGCCAGTACTATCATCCCAGCCAGAATGATGTGGATCATCTGGTCTACAAACTCCTGCAGGAGACCGGAAATCTGGAGTGGCCATTGTGCCTCTACAACGGAATCGAGACGGTTTTCCCGGCTCCCAAGTTCAGGGGCCGTGATATTTCGACTATCTAGACTCTCTGTACTTGCTTTATAATTATGCCCTAGTTTTTTTTGTCTACCCGAACAATCCGCACGATTCTTATCCCCATTATCTGTTCTTGTTGAGACTTTGTACTTCCAGACGGGATATCGTCTCCATTTCTCAATATCTTTGTAAATTCCACTCTGTTCGAGACTGTGTACCTCTAAATAGAATATTTCAACTCATCAAAAATCCCGCGTCCGCCCATCCATCACCAAAGTCCTTTTTCACAAGGTTCACAAGCAATTCTATGTGTCTCGTTTGGAAATTATTCCCCTCTTCCAAAACTAAATTGGCTTTTCATCAACTCACCTCGAATCGGTTTACTTTTATTCCGAATTTTCAATGTAATATCCGACAAAATTAGCTCGCCGTTGCCCTCATTCCCCCCTCCCATCCTCTACAGAATTCTTATCTTTTGTAAGTTGTATAATGTCTATTTAATCAGCAGATAATGAAGTTTGAGTCGGAAAGTTACGGTTTTGACCAAAATTTTGCTATAATTGTCAGCGTTTTCAGAAGTTTCTCGGACATTGATGTGTTTCGCAATCGCTCACGTGACGTTGGAAGTGGCAAACACTTTGGGGAACAAAAATGTTTATGCAATCGACCTTTTTCGAGAAAACATCAGGGTAACGGAAAAAAATTTGGAAGCCGTACGGCGTCAAGTTGTTCTAACTGTCTGAATTATTTCTATGGGTCATAATCGATCAGTTTCCACGCATTTGAACCCACTAGGATACCTGACACGAGCACTACAGTCCACTAATGACCAGATTGCAAGTCGGGTTTAAGGTAGTTTTCTGAATTTTTACGATGTTCTCTGATCATATGGAACACATTGATAGTCGGAGCCAGAGTTTCTATGCAGAATAACTTGAATAGTCAAGGAATTATGAGATAAAGAATAAACCGACTAATTAGAAAAAATGTATTTATTACTATATAGAAAACCAACCAAAAAAAGAATAACATAAATAACAAGACAACATTCATATATAAATACTAAGCAAAAACAAAAAAGACCAGTGGCCACCCGAATGTTGATGTATGAGACTGTATAGTGAAATAATCGGTTACTATTATCGATGTTTAAATAAGTTTTCCCCCGGCCATTCGACTCTTCATGTAGCGTGAAGAGTGATAGATGATAATATCGACTAGTTGAGCCATTGCGAACACTCCTCCGACAATGGCGCACAGAGAGACTAGGAAAGTCGCGAGAGATCTGCAATTTAGAGTGGAAAACTAGAAGTTCAGGTTGAAGCAGGGCACTTACTGTCTGTATTCCTCGTACTGGATCATGAGTGGACTGAACTCGTATTGTAGGAAGAAACCTGGGAGTCCTGATTGACCTGCAAAAATTTAGTGAGTGTACAATATTAGAATGAGATTGAAGCTCACGTAATCCAAGATCCTTTTTGTGAGTGGTCACTGAAAACTGATGACTTTGATCCACACGTCCGTCCAGGTAGTCATAACGTGTTGGCACCACTTTCACATAGTACTGGTACATGATTCCACCGCGGCTTTCTTGGTTCACTTTGCCATCCAGTGGATAATTTTTGCCCGGGAATGATTTTCCGAACGAAATATGGTTGACTGTGTGGGAGGCGTCAAACTTCGAGGGGTCCAAGTTGTGCAGATCGTGAACTAAAAGAAAAACGGGCTAAGACTGAGTATACTATCTGGTCCGTGGCATAACGGATCATTGGCCGAATTTTCCTAGAAATTCTGGCTTTTTCGGCTTCGACATATATCTCGCGACCAAATAATGGAATCGGTCTGAAACTTGGAAATGGCAAATCAGCATTACCATGAGATCGCATTGCTTGATGTGGGTCCCCTGGGGCCAAATGGAAGTTTCCGGCGACTTTGGCCACTTTCACAGTTCCGTAGACGCGACATCCTTCGTTTTTGTGTTCATTGAACTCTTTCACCCATTTATCGTTCTGAAACGATAATTCAAACAAAACCGGTTAAAACTACGCTTATACCTTGCACTGCTCAACTTCCTCAATGTTTACCTGCCATCCTTTCACTGCATAAGCGTTCTTGACGTCCTCACAAGTGTTACAGCATCTGAAAGGTAAAGTGGAGAAGTATAATTTGCTGATCAACTGATATTATCCACTCACGTTCCGTCCGGGGCAGCTCCATAGCAACTTCCGCACTTGATTTCATCAACCAGATCAGCAGTTTGTACTGACGTTTTGTTCTGGTTGATCTCTGGAAAAACAAATGATTCTTTCAGTAGTTTTGCAAACAATTATGTCTCACCGATTCTCTGGGCGCTTTCCGAAATGTTCCGTCCTTCAGGATCCAGACGCAGACGGTAGATATCATCGTTGATGTTGTCCTGTGCCTCGCTACTCACATCCATCACGTCCACAGTGATAACTGCAAGGATTATCGTCAAAACTGTTAGAGATACACCGATTTGCATTCAAGATGGTCTGTCCAAGTCTGCATCGGGTTCCAGAATCTCTGGACAACCCATTCTCACACAAAACAATGCAAAAACCTACAGTTGCAGGGTAATTTGTTGAATGTGATATCGAATTCGATGTGTACTCGTTCGTCCGACGTCGTAGAGTCCACAAAAAGATGCTCCAGCACTTCCGTTCTCAGAAATTGTCCAGTTTCCAGTACGATCAACAGTACTATTGCGATAGAGGCTACCAAAGTCACTGTAAACGGAATTTATTGATTTTTGCCACACCGAAAATGGTCTTACCTAATCCACCAGACAACGTTTTGACTCGGAAGTCATCCATTGGTTTCCGATACGCATCGAAATGTTTTAAAGACCAAAGAAAAGACATTTTGCCTGAAAAAATGTGCTTTTAGTTAAAAACAATTGGAAAGAACGTTGTACTCGTAAAATGCCACGATGCCGAGAGGATGCAAGTGCGCTCTGTTGACACAAATAATCGCTGCGTCTCTTTCTGACGTTCGAATCTAACAGGCGTTCCCTTTGGCATTTTGATCATTTTTTGTATGTTTTACACGTGTTTTTCTGCAATTTTTGCTCTTTTCATAGCTAAAAATCATTTAAATCTAAGAAGAAAATTTGACTTTTTTGTATTTTTCAATTGTTATACAGTCTACTCTGTTTAGTCAACGTTTGGAATTTTGGGCTCGAAAAAAATTGAAACGATATCGATTTTAAATAAATTCTCAATTTCACTCGACGTTTGAAAAATAAGAAAACAAAAGTAATTTGAATGATACTTCGCAAGTTCTAACATTTGTTTGTGTGCTACGTTCGTTTTTGAAGATTTAATATTTCAGGTAAGCCAATAGAAAAAATGGACAGAAACATCCTTCTGGCCAATGAAGCACCACCTAGATTGCTCAGAGATGCTCACGACAAGCTCAGAACGGGATACAATCAGTTCGGAAGACATTTTCTTAACCTCGTGCGGCACGAGCTTCCCTTGCGCTTCTACAAACACGGATTGAAAATTCCCGGCAACCCGTACGACCTCAGCATCGTCTCGTGCACAAATCTGGAATTGGAACGCCTGCGCATCACTCATTACTTCCTAATGCCTGATGTCCCTACTTCCGAGCAGGAGCATTTCCTTGATTTCCTGGACGAACTAATCATCTTTTGCGAGCGCGATTTAGAGTATTGCCAGAAACTCGGCATGGTGGACATTCCGGAAAAGGGAAACTGGACCTATTGGTGGAAACGCGTCTACAAAAAGTCAAGAATGCTCGAAGCAGACTACCCGGAAACGTTTCCTCGTGCTGTCATGCAGTTCGTGCAACTTCACAGTCCACGCTTCTTCGAGGAAGAGTATATGAAATTTATGAATGACAACACGGACTACAGCAAGGACACTCATTTTTTGGTGGCTATGTGGCGAGCCGTTTGCCATTTGTTGAAAAAATGTCAGCATATTGGATACTTTCTTGCAGTGCTTGAGTACTGGATGGATACAGTCAAAATTGAGTTCAAGCGTGCGCTTCCGCTCGGCATTTCGGATATCAACCCGAAATGGAGAGAGCTGACCCTGAAGCTGAAAGCCAACCACATTTCGTCGTCGCAAATTGGGCCCCTGAGCCGCAGACGGCGCCTGTCGCCTGATAATCGTCCCCATGTGCCAACTTGCCAACCAGGTGCAGAGAGTTCTACAGTTGCAAAGAAGTGCGCTAATAAAGGTCTGAAAAAGTACTACTGTTTATTCCACAAACTTTTTTTTTTCAGATTAACATGCCAGCCATCTCTATGACACAGTAATCAGTTTTCCGTCATGTTGGGATCTCCGTTCTTCATTTCGGTCGTCTTGAAAACATTTCCTTTTTGTGGTTTCGTGTTTCGCCAGCCGCTCCAATGAACAATGCATAAGAAGCCATAATACATAATCATCAAAACTGTTATCTCCTATTTTCAATATATTTTGGTCGGGAGTTGTGTCTTTCTCATCAGTAAAACTGTTGAAAATCTCTTAGACAGAAAGAATAGACAGTTGATAGGCATAGTTTTAGAGTTCAGATGCTTTCCAGTTATCAGGATGTCGTGTGCACATGTGTCCTAACAGTCCCATGGAAGAACAAGCAATCCGAAAAGAGGATTACATCTACGAGAAGCGAACAGGAGGTCCCATAAGTTAGTAGCAATGTGTATCCAAATTAATATACACAGTTGTCCGTTCGACCATGACAATTATGTTCAAATCAGAGGTGAAAAGTTTAGGAGAACATCCTTATTTCCAGACTTGCAAGATTCCGGGCCGGTCTAAAGATTATGCTGGCCCGGAAGCGACGAAGGCTGTAAAAGTGTGGAAATGTTGCTGAACGTGGATGCCAGGGTTTCGATCTATCACTCCGCAATTACAACGTCTATTTTTTAGTTTTTCTCCCTAATCTCGTCTCCCAAAAAATGATGAAATATCTGCTCCCATCTCACTGCCGACCGGTCGTCATTTGCTAAAGAACGAGGGATCTGCAGGACTGGAAGAGGGTGGTAAAGATGCAGAAAGTCTTGAAATTGGCATGAGGCCAGCTAGCCTTGCTTTGTTTAGTGGCGAATGAATCCTTCATGAGATATGTAGACAGACTTATAATGAAATGACGTGTTACGATCGACTTGGATTCTGAGAATGATGTGATACATAAAATAAACGTCTGAGAAATGGATAATAAGTGGAAATGTGACCGGGAAATCTCTATTAAGGAATCTTGTTCACTTCCCCGAAGAATTAGGAAATTCTAGCTACTTTGTCGGGTTTGGTTCTGTGTATCTCCAAAAACAACCATTTTTTGTGTCTGTTATGTATTTTGTGGCGGATTCTCCTCTCTAAGTTTGTGCAAATAATGATGACAAATGTATGTCATCATATAGCCGAGATCTTGAGGGAAGCTAAAGCACATCATGAAGACATCTAAAATGAGAAAAAACAACGGATCTTTTAAGATTCCCCGTCTCACAAACGTTTTTGGACTTTTAATAATATTTCTAATTCCAATTAATATCTCTAATTAAATAATGAAAATATCAAATATTTGTACAGCATGTCAGTCATACTTCAAATCCATTTTGATGTTCATTGTTCAATTAGCTAAATAATTTGAAAAACCGCTAGCCATTATATAAATCTTATACTAAGCACCGCACGGACACGTCTGAAGAAAAGAGAGATGATTTTCACTAGTCGGCTGGACGTCTGGCCGAGGTCGCAGAGCAAAATTGCGCATAATGTCTGACGTCTCCGCGTCCTCCGTTCTCTTTCGTTTAGTGGGAGTGGAGCGGTGTAGCCGGACGACATTCTTGCGTTTGTAGTTCGGTTTTGCACTATTTTTCTTGGTTTTTTGAACTTTCGAGTGCAAAAATTCTTTGGTATTTTGAAAAAAAATTAAAGGACCAGGGAACCCAAAAATTTTTTTATGTTTTTGTGAAATGTTTTTGTGACTGTTTGAATTGTCTCTTATTGCCTCATACACTGGTGAAATGCTGCCTCTCAAAAATGCCAATGAACGAAACGGCATGCAGTTGAAGTTGTGGCCGTGGCCTAGCGCCAATGGCCGAAAAATATATAAAAATAAATGCGCTTCTCGGCCATTTTATTTTTTCCGCTTTTTAACGGTTTTTCCAAAAAAATTCACGGTTTCTCCCATTTTTTTCAGTTGATTGACATTTGTTCGGCACTTACTTATTTTTTTCACTGCTAAAAAAATTGTTTTTCATTCAGTCGATATGAAGTGCCAAAATGGGAGAAACCGTGAATTTTTGGAAAAAAACCGGTAAAAAAGCGGAAAAAATAAAATGGCCGAGAAGCGCATTTATTTTTTTATATTTTTCGGTCATTGGCGCTAGGCCACGGCCACAACTTCAACTGCATGCCGTTTCGTTCATTGGCGTTTTTGAGAGGCAGCATTTCACCAGTGTATGAGGCAATAAGAGACAATTCAAACAGTCACAAAAACATTTCACAAAAACATAAAAAAATTTTTGGGTTCCCTGGTCCTTTAAATGCATCACTATTTCCGTTTTCCAGAAGAGTTTCAGCCAAGTTTTACCACGAAAAGCCTGTGAGACAATCTTTCTTTTGTTTTTTTGTGTACTTTCCTCTCACCGTCAACCTTTTCCGAAATTATAGAAAACATTCCTTACACCTCACTCATTCGTAACCATGTAATCATCATTCTCTGATAAACGCTCGTGGAATTGATAAGCTATGCCACCACATGACTTTTTGCCATTTTTCCTTCAAAAAACCTCAATAAACCACATTTTCAGCACAATTTGAGGATGATGTAATCCGGATACTATTCAATCACTTTGAAATATGATGATGGATTGTGTGTTCAAGTAAGTCGAAATTATATTTGTTTATTTTACTTTGAACTAAACTCAAGTGGACCAGACCAAACGAAACCAAACACAAATGATGTTATCACATTCGCTCCCTTAAAGTTTGCTTTGCTCGGTTTCATGGAAAACAAATAATAAACCCTTCTGTGATATTATAATATAACTAAAAGTAATAACACACCTCTTTCCTGCTTCCTTCAATCTCAGTTTACATCCCCTGTCTAGGTTTTTGTTTTCTATTCTGTTTTTGGATGTCGGGTTTCGTTTTTTTTCTGTGCTCTCCTCGGTTTCCAAACCAAAATGCTTTTGCTTCGCGTTGTTCTCTGAAATTTCAGAATTTTAGATCAGCGCTTTTTCTTCTCTGAAAAGTTTTCAATTTCCGGCGCAGTGCCTACTGCATCCGGTCAGCAACAATGATAAAATTTCGTTTTCCTTCCTTCCGGCCCACTCGATTTTCTGAAAACTATAAGAAAAGTGGTATATAAGTGACTTTGAAAGGTTATAAATTCAATTGTCTTCAGTTCACTAAAATCCAAGCCGTCTCGTCTTGGAAAAAGTTTTCACTTTCCAATAAAAAGAGTCACTTTCTTTCCCATTAGCTTTCATTCCCAGCGTTCTTCCCCTTCTCCTTTTTCCAAAGTATAACGTCAACCACAGGCCTGCAAAAAAGACACAAACCAAGCCCCTGGTTTTTCTTTTGCGCGCGCATAGTAATTTTCGTTTGGTGCTTGGTTTTATGTGAGCTTGAGCTGCTCCTGCTTCCGTTGGAGCTCACGATTTGTCAGCATGATGACGAGGTTTCCCTTCTTTTGAGTGTTTGTCTGGGTTATTTCTTGTTAGAATTGATGATGATCATGGTGACTGGAAAATGTTCATCTTTCAACTCTCAGAGTGCTTATCACAAAGATCAAACTTTCAATTCCTCGTTTCATTTGACAATTTCAGGAAACAAAACATGGAGGAGGAGAGTCGGAGCTTGCATGCCAGCTCATTACAGCTACAAGGCGATGAGAAACGGAGGACTGTCGATGAGTCGAGTGTGTTCAAGCTGGTGGAGTCAAGGAAGACGATGAGAGATGATTTTGGGTATGATAGTTCCTGGAAGTTCCTGGATTGGGCTGACTATACATAACTTTAGAATGTATGAATCTCGATTGTTGTTTCTCACTCAATGCGGTTACCTTCCTGTTGCTGCTGCCATGCTCATGACAACATTTTTGGAGCCCTCACCGGTACGCTCCATTTAGTTAGACGTTTTGCAACTGAGGTGATCAAAGCTGTTAAAATCTAAGACGCTTTCTGATGAGATACTGTTCAGCTGACACGTTCTCAGCAGTTTCTTAGCATTTCGTTATTAGTAGCCAAGCTGCATTCACTCCCCAACCGCTCAGAAAAGGTACTCAAATTGTGTCTCTACAGGGATGGTGCGAAAATGTGCGAAACGGAACGGCCAGGTGGCGTGAACATGGAAATCAGGAGTTTTACTCGTTGTCCGTAGAACATGGAGTCGCGTGTGGGGACCCTGAATACATTACCGACATGACAAGTTTACTAATGTGGGGAGCGTTAGTCGGATCGTTCTTTTGTGGACTCCTTTCGGACAAGATCGGAAGGAGACCTGTTGTTATTGGTGAGTTTTTTCCCATTTAAAAAAATGCACAAAATTTCGAGCATTTTTAGGAAGTCTGTTAATGGTATCTCTTGGACATTTACTCTTCCTCCTCTCATGTTTACTCTCATGGATCCATATCAAAGCAATTTATGCGTTTATTGGCTTCTTCTGTGGTGGATACATGGTCACGAACTTTGTGATTGTAACCGAAGCGTTCGAATTGCCCAAGTCGAGGTTGATGGTTGTTTCGGTAAACGGATGGAGTTTTTCTATGGTAAAGAAACTAAAACTTCCCAATAAATTTCTGAGATATTTTATTTACAGGCAATGACAGCTGCAATCGCCTATTATACAAAATACTGGTTTCCATACCACGCTATTATCGGTTCCGCTGGACTTGTTATCACACTTTTTCTGGTTGGTAATCAAAAATCATAGTCATCCTTATCATACTACGAGTTACCTTTCAGTACCTAAGTTCTTTGGAAAGCTGCCGTTGGTTGTCCGCCAACGGATTGCACCATGCGGCGAAAAAGAATGCTCTGTACATCACGCTGTTCAACGACAAGCGAACTATGGAAGAAGATGACGCGGTCATTCTGAAATGGTACGAGATTCTGGGCTTCAGTGCGCCCACGCATACCGAGGAGCAAAAGACGTGGAAAGCTCTTTTCAAGTATGAATTCACCAAAGTTCTCGGAAAAACCTATGACTTTAGATCCATAACTCTTCTGAAGCATGCAGCGGTCCTTTGCTACTCCTTCATGGCTTCATCCATCGTTTCGTTCGGATTTTACTTTTTGATCGATGTGCTTCCCGGAAATCGTTATCTCAACATGGGCGTTATGGGCGCATCAAAGTTCATTCTCGGCTTTGTTCCAATCTGCCTCAACACATGCATCTCCAAACGGACCATCGCTGTTCTCTCAGTTTCCATTTGCTGCCTTGCCTCTGTCCTCATCGTTCCATTGTAAACTCTCCTTCTCATTAAACTAATAAGCTTCTGACTTTCAGCAAGATTTGTGAAAATCCATCCTATCACTGGGTGATCGTTGTTCTGACGCTGATCGTTTCGGCTGGAATTGATCCGACTTGGAAAATCAACCACCTCTATTCCGCGGAGCTGTTCCCTACTTCTGTCAGAAGTATGGCTAGAGGTGTTTGCAATGCTGGAGGAAGATTCGGTTCTGTTATGGCTCCTCTGGTAGGTTTTACCATTTTTTTTATTCATCTACTCAATCATAAAACGAAGAGATACGTAGATGAACAATAAGACCCAAAAATATTCCAGTTTACAATTGAGGGGGAAAATGTCGTGACGCGAATGTACTTTTTGTTTTGGGTTCTGGAAAGAGGGGGACAATTTTATCCAATAACGCGAAGTTTTGGTGTAGGAACTCTGTGGGGAAATCGTAGCTTATGAAATAAAGTTTGTTTAGGAAGGGCTAGAACCATTTTTCTGCTACTGAAATGCTATTCAAGTTTATCTAGTTAACAAATGAACGTCACTCAATTGTAGCTCTTTAATAAACGTTTCCCCCAATTCTAGTTAAGAATTTAGCTTCAAAAACATATCCGATCTTTCCAAACACATTTTTTCCAGATCGTCGCCTACCGCACTACTATCCCCGTCCTCCCTAACGCCGTGTTTGCCGCTTTACTCGTCATTCAGGTGCCCTAATTTTCTGATCTACCGTAATAATAAAAATGATATTTTAAGTTGATTGTTATCGTCGCCTTCTTACCGGATGATAACGACAAGGACGCAAACGAGATGAACGATGAATAATTGTCTGTGATAACTTGTTTTCATCATGATCCTTATGACACTTTCCCCCTTTTCATTCTTTTGTGTACTTGTAGATAAAGATGTAGTTTTCGGGTGTTTTCCCCCTTCTCCCTTCTTTTCCCTTCTCTCTCTCCCTCATTCATTTCCTCAATTGTCCCCCCTTCATTCCCAGTCCCAGTCCCAAAATCCCAAAGAAAATCAAATTGTGTCTGTTCAGATCTGTAACATTCCCGCCCACACACACACACACGTCCACACCCTTGGTTTGTGATCATGTGCTCAATTGAGCATTGTTTCCGATTTCCGAAAATCATTCCGCAAAAACACATTTTCCTTCATTTCTCCATTCTTCTGCTAGTTCTTTGTAGCAAAGAAAGAGGAGAGTAATAAAATTTTGTTTCTGTGATTGACAGGTTTTTTGATTTCATGACAAATCGGAGGAAGGATGGGGTGGGGTTTCAAACTCAAGTTTGGATAAAAGTTGAAAGATGGAAGTCTGGCGAAAGTTCATTTTATGAGAAAACGAGGGAGAAATGAGCTTCTGAAAATATGGTTTATTTTCAGGAAGAATCTGCAAAGGACAAGCGACAAGAAGGTTCTTGAAAAAACGAGCTAAAATTTATTAACAAAGCATATTTGCCCTCAACTTGTTCCGTTAATTTCAGAAATTGCATCATTTTGGCTGGAAATTGTAAAAAGCGATCGGATTCCCTCAAAATTGCAATTCCCACGTTGTGTACATTTCCCTTCCTAGAATCCGTTGCTCATCTAAAACATGTGTTTAACCAACCCCCCAACCTGTAATTGGAACTTGTTTGTTTGCCCAAACCCAAACCAAACACACACTTGAAGAACCGAAAATTTGACATTCGGAAAATGTCAAAAACGAGTGGGTGTGAGAACTTGTTTAAAACTTCACTCCCTCCCCCGAAGTATCTGCCAATCTTTTTTCGCTCGCTCCCCGTCACCCTCGCGATTTTTCACCGCTTGCCACATGTCTTTGTCTTGTTGTACGTAGTAGTGCCCCCACACGAGGTCACACCTTGAAGAATCGCTCCTCGGGGAAGGCGCGGAGCTCACTTTTGCCCACGATTTTTGAGGTTTTTACAACGGAAATTGCGGTGCGGTGAAAAAATGTGTGACATTTATTGGAATACATGAAAAACTGGGGGGAATGTGCGTGAAAATATAGAGATTCATTGTGGTATAATGACGTAAAAAATTATGCTGCTGCCATGAAAACAGTTATATTATATTATAGTGATCTCAAAGGTGGTGTTAGGTGGTTAAGATCTGGATACCCGTGGAAGGTGTCAGGTTTTCGGACACATGTAAGCAGAGTTCAAGGAAAGGTTGAAGCTCATGGAACTGGGACGGGATCGGAATGTCAGATGTTCAATCAATGTACAATTACGCCAATGCAAGTGGAAACATTTCAAAAATTTTTGCGAAAAAGCGGCGGGTCAACAGAAAGTGTTAGTATTACAACTTGGTCTTTAATCGCTGATGTTCTTGTTCATCAGAATGTTGCGGAACGGAGCGATTATTGTTCAAGTTAGGATGTTCCTTGTGGAGGTGGGGACGGTCCTAAAATGAAAAAAAAACTATTAACACAACACCTAGTGTTCTATTGACTACCTGGTTGGTTTTGAGCCTCTTGCGTATCACAATGAGCGGTCATGTCTGACATTCGCTCGGCTAGTTTTTCAGCATCTGGATCATTGATCTCGACCTGAAAAAGTGAGCGAATAATAATGAATTGTTAATGCATATTAGCAAATCATGTGCTACCCCTTCTCAGATCCTATTAAGGTTTCAAATTTCTGCTGGCAGTAACTTGAAACTCGACTACAGAACATTATTCTTTGAGGGGAAGGGTTGACGTCATTTCAAACAATCTCGGGGGCTGAAAGAAGCTGATAACAGGTGTGTGCATGCAAGGGTTTCCCCCCTGCGGAATTTGTGTTTATGGAATTAGTCTGGTGGCTTACTAGGCTACGAAAACTTGTTTTCCTTTTTCCGTTTCCTACACAACTCCTCCTCCATCAAGATTATTTCGTTCAGATTAAAAGAGATTTTGGTCAAAAAGAGAGAAAAGGTTCTAAAAATAACTAGATTTTTGAAACGGAGCATTTCTTGTTTATTACGGTCTACTAGCCCCTTCCGATAGCCCTAATATATTGTGTACTAACTAATTATCATAGAGCATGCTGTATTTCAAGACACGTTATGTTATCAGAGAGAGAGAGAGAGAGTTTTGCGGGTGTGCATGTGTAGGAGCAAGAGTTTCAGGTTTCAGGTTTCCTCACGTAAGTGATCAAACCAACAAGGGCGTGGACACTCACTTCGAGTTGTGGAAGGGCGTTACGACGTCCAGATCTGGCCGAGGATGCGAAATATTCGAGCTCACGCTCGGGGACTTCGAGTTCTCCCATCGTCGACAGCTTGGCTCTGAAATGTGGTAAAATTTGATGAAAACCTGACTCGGATTGAGAAAAATAATAGACGGAGGATAAAAAATATATGACGACAAGATTTGGTGGGCTTCAGAGACATTAGACAACTCCCAGCACTCCAGAAACGCCAAAAAAGAGTTCAAAAGAAGTAGGAAGCATGAAGAATGCCAATGTGTCTAGTGAAGGGAAAAAATGGACCCCGGGGCAGAAAAGTCGGCCGCGTCCGTCCGTCCGTCACGTCAGTGGTGGGGCGGAGTAGTGAAAGAAGAAGAAGAAGAAGAAGAAGAAGAAGAAGAAGGAGAAGAAGGCAAAGGGAGGCTGGGTAGTGAATATCGAGACGAAGCGTAGAGGGCGGAGGGCGCCGAGAAAAGGAAGGACGGGGAAGGGGGGAGGCGGAGAAAGAGGAGAAGGACGACGGAAAGAAGTGGGGAAAAGCGTGGCAAAGGGTCCGACACGCAAAATGAAACGTGAAGTGTGGTGTGGACATGTGGGATAGGCTCATGGCCGACGCTTCTTTAATGCTGACCTTCCAGTGCCAACACAACCACCAATAGAAAAAGACCTTCATTTTGACGGACGCAAAAAGACGCGTGAGTTTAATTGCATTCATTTCGCATTTCTCTTTCTGTTTTCTCATTCTTCATCTCATTTTCGTCCAAACCAAAAGTGAATCAAATGAAAAGGAATGGATGAGAAATATGACGCCGAAAAAGTGGATGACGAAAACACGGAAGGCTGGTTTTATACCTGTTTACCAGCTATTTCTGGTGAATAATCAGATTATGTTAATAGTTGGATGATCAGCAGCATACATATGGAACATTGGCATGAGAACGGCCGGCACAAACCAGAAGAAAAAGAAGAAGTTTCCGGAAATTCGGAAATGTGAGCGCATTAAAGAGCGAGCAAACTGGTAAACAGGATATGAGGGTTTAAACTGCGATTTACCAGCCATATACGCCAAAGGGAAAGAGTGAAGAGAGAAGGATGGAATTCTCTGGAAGGAAAACTGCAAACTCGAAAATAACACCTGTTGACTTTACCCTTGAATGTAGCAAAATCTTCAAGAATGACTAAATCATAGGGCTCTCAAGAGTTTGAAGTTTTGCTCTTATCTAATAAAATCCACATTTTGCACTATTTTCAGTCATAGGCAAAGACTGGATTATTTCCAAATCAAATCGAGTTTAAACATTGATCAACTATATTCTCTGCTGAAACCAATAGTCAGGCCCCGTTTGGAATCGGAACTTTACAATTCCGGTCCAAAACTTTTTGTTCATTCAACTTTCCAATCTTTCTCTAACATTAGCCTAGAAAATCTTTCTTCTCGCGCATAACAAAGTGAGGAGGACACATGCAGAGACAGAAAGAAATGTGATTTCCATTTCTCAGCTGCATTCATTTTCTTTGACACTAATAGTGACTAATAGTGACTACTAACGCATCGCCAGAGGCGCTCTTCAGTGTGCGATTCGGAGCCTGACGTCGTCGTCATAGAATTATGGTAATTTGTGTGCGCTACGGATCGTTTTCATAGCATTTTTTATAATCGCAGCTACTGTAACAAACAAACGGGCCGCACATTTTCAAAGAAAAAAGGAGAAGAGGGAAGAGGAAAAACGTCAGTTTCTGGATAAAGAACTCTTGAAAATCTTATTTGCATCTCTTCTTCTCCCCCGTTTTTGTCCGCTTGTCCTATCCTACATGGACCATGAAACAGACGCATTTAGAAGCAGAGAGGAGGGAAAAGAAGAAGAAGGGAAAATGAGTTTCTGGTGGTGGACTGGGCGGCAAGGGGCCATTGACACTATTCACGGTCTTTGGTGTCTTTCTTTTTCTGGAGAGGAATGATGGAGTGATGGACTTCAAACTCAACTCAATTTTCCATGAATAATATCATTGATGATGTTGGAATCGAGGAAAGAGGGGCCTAGAGAGTATATTTTTAAGCTTTTGAAATGTGTACATTTTCTAGCACACTTTTCATTGTTTATTAAAAGACAGTCGTGTTCTGCACATGTTAATTCAATTCGTTGTTGATCATTTTTTCGAAAACGTTGGCAAGACGTCAATTTCAAAAAAATAAGGTTTCATCAGAAAAACTGCTGGTCATGTGAGTAAGTCTATGTAATAAGTTCACTTTTTATTACACACTACTAACAAGGCGTGCTAATGAATACATACGTAACACCAAAAAACCTCCACAGTTGACCGATTGGTTTACCAGTTTTAAAACTTCACAAGGTATACCAATAATTTTACTAGAAATTGATAATATCAGGTGTTCAGTGGAGTATTGAGTATTGAGAATGAGTTTGGGTTTGAGCCCAAGTCACGCGCGCACATAAACTATGCATTTTTGCTGAATACATGAACAAGTAGCTGCAGCCACAATCATGTTAATCGAAAGTCTTTTTATCCTATAACTCACATGAAAAACGGAAATTCAAGCGGAAAACCGGATAGAAAGGTGTTGGCGGCGGCGTGGTGCACAACAAACATAATCCATTACCATTTCCCCCCATTTTTATACACACTCATCATAGATCAAATGAAAACGTTGCGGAAAAAGGATAGAAAAGGATGATTCATTGAAAATGGCAACATTTTCGCAAAAGACACGTTATTTTTGGAGGGAAAAAGTGAAACGTCGGATTTGGAGTGAGACGAGAATCGGAACAAGTTAGTTACTCATTCTGTGAATGAATCATTGCCATGCATAGGGTATTATGTCTATGAAAATATAGAAGAGGGGGAGGGAGCGCGTTGATCTTCTATTCAGGCTTCGAAAAAGTGGAAAACAATGAAAGAAGACATTTCTTTTCTGGGAATAGGATATGAGTAGCTCAAAACAAGAGGTCACGGGGGAGAGCGTGAAGGATTCGAATTCCGTAAACAAAGCGGTTATAAACATAGCCTAGGTTGAAATGTGAATTAAAACGTTCATCAAGTTGAGGTTTAGCGAACTAAACGGCGACGGTAAAACAGGAAAAATACTATAATAGTGGCACGTTCGAGATTCTGAAGGACATTACTACTACTTTTACGCTTGGGGATCAATTAGAGCTAGTTTAAAGATTGCAAGGCTTGGAATGATAACAACGAATCCGAAACTCGTTATTGTGCGGATATTCTGATTGGTTTGAAAGTCTTGTTTACTTTTTGAGGCATGTTTAACATATTCGTGTTTGATTGGATAATTGCGATTGCGTCGACAGTCCAGACATTGATCATACGCTTTAGCTTTGGCTTCATGTGCGTTCTACCGTGCTCATTGCTTTTTAAACAGTTCTGAGAAACTTCAATGTCAAGATATGTAAGTTCAGAAAGAAAACATCCCATTTTTCACCTGCCAATTTTTTTTCCTTTCTAATGTGGCTACAACGGAATCTGTTGCTCGGAGACTCCTTCTCACTTCTGTCGGCTCGATATTTTCAGCTGTGATTCGTAAAACTTTACTCCCCTTCTTTCAGGCTGTCGTTCCGCTCCCACACGATTGCCATGCCAACGCGGAGCATCACTCCGTAAGTTCAATTCATGACTGGCTTGAGATAAGTTCTTACTAATGAGGACATTTTTAGGGCATTCTTGGAAAGAAAGGTTGAGCAAAATTTGTCTAAAAGTATATTTTTAGGAGCAGGTGGCTGCAACGTATATCTACGAGTACCAGTTTTTCGAGGAGCACGTCTTGAGGGACTAAGTTTCTGTTTTTTGATTTCTACAACGGTCTGTTGCAAATGCTCAAAATCGAAGACGAGTTCAATGATCAGGACATCATCTACGACGACGAGAGCAGCGGATATGATGACTAACTATTTTCCGCTTGTTTGCATGTGACTTCAATAAGATCTGTTAACAAAATCTTTACTCAGTCGTATTGAAAATTATACGTAAAAACTATTTGCCGAACATTCATGAGAAACTAACATTTTGCTCTCAAAATACAAAGCGAACAAGTTACTTTTCAATATCCCTGCGATCTTTTCAATTTCCTGTTTCCTGCGATGCAAAATGTGGTCCCATAGAGGCCAGAGCTCATATTTTTAAGTTTACGTCTGCTCAGTAGTCTCTACGGGCTTATGCGAGCACTTTCCTTCGGAAAAGGATGATATGTGGTGTCTTAGACGACACCGTGTCTATCCAGTCTCGTAACTAAGGAAACCTTATTTTCAGCGACCGTTCATTTTCAGCGACCACAATTTCAAAAAAGCGCTTTGAATATTGCTCATCATTCCTTTACCCATTCTCTTGTTTCCGTTCGCATTCTTGAGAATCGATATGGGTCAGCAAACATGCTCCGTTGAGCGGATGCTGGCCGACTGCTGCCTTGTCAGAACATACATATTCCAGCCAGCCTCCCTTACCCAACACTTTCCAGTTCCACTTTTATTTCATTTATTATTTTTATCTTCTTTTCCAATATACCTATGTACTGTTTTTTACAGAAATGCTCGAAGTAGACATTACGGTTAAGGAAGAGGACAAATGTTGCTTCTGTGAAAGGTACATTCCGGTTGACATTCAACAACACATGAATTTGTGCGGAACCATGCGTGGATTCAATGATTATGACGTGAGTTAACGAGCACATGGTGCATCGGCACTGTTCTTTCAAAAACGAAAGTGAAATCTTCATTTCTGACCGGTTATCACCTTCTAAAATCTTTGTTTCATGCTTTTCTGACAAGGCACATTTTCCACCCCTACGCAAATGTTTTAGAAAAAAATAAACTGATCAAGAAAGCGTTGGACCGCATCAAGTTCCAGCATATTGATGTGTTCTGCAAGCTGGTCTTCACTGAGCTGATTCCAGTCAAACAGGACCTTACTGGTACTAGAATTTTCACAGAGTTTATCATATTATGCAATGTAATTGCAGGCTATTGCATCAATTGCAAAAACTAAACTAAGAGCATGCAAACGCGAATGCATAAAATTGTCCAGGGTCGAGACGTGTGACGTGAGTTAAGACATCTTCAGTCTTTTCGGAACTTTTCGATATTAAGCTGATCGCCAAGAAGATGCATTTCGATGAATTGACTATCAAGTACAAATGACTCCGCGAGAGTGGCGATGCGTCAAACGAGACAAGCACACTGAGATCATCCATTTCAACTGGAAGAAGAACAAGGAGTTTCATGAACTTCACAAGAACTCCTATGCGACAAAGGTCTGAGACGACTGAGAAGGGCGTCGAATTGCAGTTGAGACGCGCACGGACGCTTTTGGAACTGAGCGATCATACTCTGGATTCAGCCCGACGAATTCGTTTTCTCTCCACTTATCGTGAGCCGGAAGATGAACCTGAAGAGTGAGCTTGTGTTCTGACGAAACATCTGACTTCTATCCGCGTTTTCTTGCTAGCCGTTCCTTCTGTGATTTGTTTCTGTTCTAAGATACACATTGCAAGTGTCGCATTTTTCTTATTTTTCTGATTTTCATCTCCCTGTGCAGTTTCTATCCGTAATAAATTCGTGACTAACAGTGTTCTGTTCTTCGTTATATCTTTCTGACTTCTGACTGACTAAAAATACACAATTTGTGGTTAAATCATGAGTATTTTGTGACTAACTGTTGTTTTTCAGAAGAAGACTTCAAAAAACCACAATATTTCATCGAAACAAGTGGTTTTTACGTGAAAACAGCAATTTTAGGGACCTCCGAGAGGGTTCATCGGCGATACAACACTCCGGATTTCCGCCGCGCGCGCATTGTTTAACCGCACTCTTTCCTTGTCTTTTATTGCTTTTATTGCGGGCTGCTCATCAAATAACCACTGATTTCTCTTCACATTCCACAAAATAATGGATTTTTACATATCAGCAACTCTCACTGCGCTTGGTAAGTATTTTACATGTCGATTGAACGTTTAAAATGGAACATTTCAGGGTTGAGTCAAAAAATTCCGCTTACCTTTCCGTCTTCAGAGCAAATGGAGTTTATCGAGTTAGTTTTGAATGAAAAAGACATTGTACGTTCAGAGTTTTCTGTTTTCCCCCAGCAAACCTTGCTTTAGGTAGCCGCACTGCAGAATAATTTGGAGAAGGTGCAAGATTTTGAGCAAAACGGGATTCGAGGTCATGTTTCCGCAGAGACATTCTTCAGAAAACTTCGATTAATCAGTCAAAGAGGTTCTTATCGGTCAGCGTCAATTCGGATGGATGTTCAGGCAAGTAATGTGAAAAGTCTGGCCGATTGTCATTGATTTTTGACGGGCGGAGCGGTTAGACCGTGGGTAGCGTGGATAGAATGACAGAAGTGGGCTAAAGACCAGTGAAAGCACACGGATTATTTCTAGCAGTTGAACAATTTATGACAAATACACTATTAGCTTCATTTCATTTATTTGATTGACAAACTGACAGTTCACAATGTTTTTGTGGTACTTTTACATGTTTCACGGACAAAGACAAATAATTATTATTAAAAAAAGTAAACAAATAATTTTTCCATCACTTTTCCAGGTTTCCAATCGTGTAAGCGATAATGCTCCGGACTGCAACTTGAACATGGTTCTGAAGACCGCCAATTGGACAAAAACACTCAACATCGCCCCGCCAACTGCCGAAAAGCTACTTGATGAGCTGAAGAAAGCGAGAGCTACCATCAGAAAAAACAAAGCTGTATACCGACAAGATATTCAATGATTCTTCTGTATATTTTTGATATTTTTCCAGTTCAACGAGTGTTTCCGTTATTTGGGTTCAATATGACACGTTTATGGGTAATTTGAAAACGGAGAATTGAGATTGAACGCTTTGTAATCATTTTCGTAGATCAGGTATAACATTTTCATCGCTTCCTTGCTCTTCCTCATCTCGTACCCCGTTCTTATTCTGATCATTGATCCACTTGTACTATGTTTTGTTCGATTTGCTTAAGTGTTTGATGAAAATCATTAGCAGTGGCGCAATAACCTGATAATTCTTCAGAAATGTACGTCGTTGTGTGATTGTCCACGCCATGATCCTCGAAAACTGTCATGAGTTCATCAACTGTTTCTCCTTGCTCTTCTTCAGTTTCACCAAAGTACAAAAACCGGTAATTTTTGACAGTTTCTCGGGTGAAATCGCAGAACCTGAAGCGAAATGAGAGAATTTGGGGGAAGAAGGATTAATAGTTACCATGACATGGGGGCAAAATGACGGTCTTCATAGGAAAAGTTAGTCAATTTTCCATCGGCGATCAGTTGGAATCGTTCGTATTGGGCTTTCAACACGCACATCATGTTCTTATTGCAACCGTAACACCGGGTTTTCTTGTGGTTGGCTTCGCTGAAATAATCGCCAGGAACTCTTGATTCACCAAAAATCCTACACTTACTGTATACACTTATCAACAAAGCCGGATAAAAACCGCTCCACAGGATCTCTTATGATTGCCAGTAGTGTTGTGAAGTTGTGATCTGCTCCAATATGAGTTGCATGTGTGTCATTACAAGTTTCAACAGACACACTATATCAAAAAATGTTGATACTCATTTTTCTTGTCCTGACTCACTAGTTCTTGAACTCAATGGTCAAAGATGAAGCTCGTCTAGTGAATTTCCGCGGAGTGTTCAAAAAACAGAAAAGATTGAGAAGAATTGTAGACAGATTTTTTTGTATTCGACAAGCAGCTAAGCTGTATTTGGGCGATGTCTGGGAAGAAGCGAACATTTAATATCGGAACGCGTATAATCCGGCTGTAACCCACCACAAAAGTAGATCGGAAGGGTATAAAAGGTGGGATCAGTTGATTTTCTTCTCCTGGACTCGTTTTTAACGGCTTTATCCTGTAGTTGCTTCAGTACTAGCATTTTAGTTAAAACTGAAACGTACCTCGCAATGTTTGGAATCCCAAACCTCTTCTCAATGCTCAACGCATAGTTATTCTTAGTACAGAAATAGGAAAAGTTGATAGACAACAAAAAGAAAACGGCAACTAGCAGTATAATATTTAGGAAGGAGTTTGCCATTATATAATTTTGACCATACCGGCCCGGCCAAGTTTAGTCATCAATAATCTTGGTTGCAATTTAGTTCTCGATTCTATTCTGTGTTCAGTTTCAGTCGCTAATCCGTAATCCATAATCGCACTCGCGTTTCGGCTACTTACCCATTTCATTCAACACCCCGTGGCCTGTCCAATCATCATTTGATTTATTCAGTAAAATGAACGAGTTAGTGGACGTCTAATGAGAGTTCTACAGCGAAAAACTGACTAAAACACGTCGTCGGCGACTGCAATCAACTTGCGTCTGGCTAGTCCATTAGACACAACAAAAACTTGCAGTGTGAAGGGAAGAAGCAAGATGGAAAAACGAAAAAATAAAGGAAAAGTCAGCGTTGTTGTTTTTAACCCTTCTTTTCCAGTCTTTCAGTCGGTCGGCCGGGTCTCACCGGAACTTTGACGTCTGATGAACACAGAAAATAAGATGACCTGCTTCTAATGTGTGAGCGCTGAATTTGTATTTTTCCTGAGAACAGTAATCTGATAAAATGCACAACTTTCACTTTTTCCAAGCAGACGAAACTATCCCAAGCGTTGAACTCACTCACGTTCAAGTCAAGTTCGGATACCGGAAATTTTCCTAGAAATTATCATTTACTGATACTTTTTGTTCTATGTAGGTTCATTTCTTCGTTTTCCCGTTGTTCTCGATTTCATCTGCACTGCGTGCTGCGCGCTCATTCCATATTAATACATCACTTTCCTTCCACACGCTTCCACCCTACCCTTTTCTCGTTTTCCATCGGTGGACTGCCGCCGTCAATCATGGCATGGAAGCCAACGCTAATCTTCTAAAATTGAATGAATGGATGAAATTAGGACACCTATATAAATATATGTGTATTTGGTGGTAGCCAACCGAGACACGTATATTTTCCAATATATTATGTTTTCTCCCCGGTGTGTTTGTGACGTAATGGAATTATTCTTTTTTTCTGCTTGTTTTTTGCTTCTCACAACTCGGCGGTAGGTTACTTTAATTTTTGATCGGGACTTTAACATTAACTGGATAAAACAACCCCAATCCTTCCCCTTTTCCTTCACTTTTTCGCTCTTGGCTGAGTGACGAGGGGATAGCGGAAAAAAGCAAAGATCAAAAGCGTCGGTTCGATTTGACGTCAAGTTTTTACATTTTTCGAAAAAGGATGCGTTCGCAAGCATAACATCATTCTTTTCTCTTGGGACCGGAGGAAAGAACCAAAAAAAGGAGTGCACTATTTTGCGAGAAAGCCATGTACTCTTCCGTGCACTATGCTTTTCCCTGGGGTAATGGTTTAGGCGGAGTCGGATTGAGGGCTCATTTGTTGAGCAAAGAAACATGAGCTTGGAACTATGTTCGAACAATTCTTGCCAAGTACTGTACTAATAGAGTCGTAACTATGTAATTCTGAAGAGCAAACCGAGACAAAAACTTAAAACTCCTTACTCATTTAACAAATTTCACAAAACTCTGATGTCATCCATTTATTTTCTCATTTATTCATTCATCTAGTCATTCTCAACAAAAGCGCGTGCTTTCCGAGCTTCTCTCTGCCTTCGTCTGAAGCCCAGCTTCTTAATTAGAGATAGAGAGAAAGAAAAAGAGAGAGAGAGAGGGCGAAAGAGAAACAAGCAAGGAGGGCAAAAATGCTGCGTTTATATCCGGAAGAGGAGGTCTAAACGAAGAGCATGGGTGGCTAGAGAAGAGAAAACCGCACACACACACACACACACACAGACACACACAAATTCTAATTAACAAACGTTTGTTTTGAATTGGAAAGAGCGGCGACGTCGTCGCTTCGGCAGAGCTGACGGAGCTGACGGACGGCGACGGCGACAACGTGACGAGAAATAGGAAAAGGAAAGGAATGGAATAGCAGTTTGAGGTCAAAGTCGACGTCTACTCAACTCCTTCTTAGTCCACAGTAATCGGAAAATCTTGTCCTACCCGCTCCCTTTTTTCCCATTTATTTTCTCAGAAAATCCTTCAGAACACTAATCCAATGACGTATACTCTAATATTCCATACTCTTGGCTTCTTTTCTTTCTGATGACGAATTCTAATTCTAATATTTCTTGCCCTAATCCGTTTCTGAAGGCGCTGGGTAGTAAACATTGTTTTTTTTTGTGGAATCCAGAAATTCAGAAATCCAGACATTTTGTTCGTACCTCCGTGTTTCCTTTTTCTGGGTGAGTGACTGAGTCAAACAAAAAGCCGATTTTGTTCAAGAGCACCTCACTCTCTAACTAAAATTTTGCGGGTGGTGGTACAGTAGTATTTCTATTTCTATTTCTCAAGTACCCCCCGCTCTTCTTCTTCCTCTTTTTGCCACAATTGCCATTCCATTCCATACCCGTTTTTTTCTTTCGTTCAACGCCCCCCCCTTCCTTCCATTTCTTTCTACTTCCTCAATTTCCGACGAATGTGAAATGAAATGAATGAGTCTGCTGGAAAAAAGTCAGTAAATCTCGATCAGGCACCTCGTTCTTTCTGAACTCGACTCGGGACTCGGCAGCAGTCCAATCCTGTGATGGGAAATGGGTTGGGAGGCACCGCCGACGAATGATGGAGGGAATTATTTCCCCATCGCCTCTGAAATGGAAAGAAGGAGAAGGGTTTCACAAGGATTATCGTCTTTCTTTTCCGCTAGGTGACCAGAAGACCACGAGCACTCTTCCGTCATGAATCCAATCCATTTCGTGACTGCGTGAGTCATGTCAGAATGGAATGAGGGGTACAAAAGGGGAATGAAGATGAGATTAGGATTAGAATTCATTCAAAGTCGCTGATGTTAGTGCTAGTCTTGTGAACGTCTGACTGAATGTGTTATTGAGACATCCGGTGCAAGCTTAGGAAGCATTGGCCTACCATAGTTTTAGTTTTGAGCTCATGTTCATCCTGAACATTTTCAATGTTTACAAAGTTTCAAACGATGAAAGATCTGAAAGTACAGTCAACCTGGCTCAAAAATCTGGATGCTCGTGTAAAAAGACCCAACACCTCTGCCTCACCCTCGCTCCATTTTTTGTTTCTATTTTCTATTTTCTATTTTCTTCTCACTGCGTCCCTCTTCTTTGTAACTGCTTTGCCCTACAACTCTTCTCGTTTCTCTTCTACTACTTGCACATAACGATACTTTCTTCTTCTTTTCCCTTTTTTTCTTCTTCCCCCTCCTTCTTCTCCTTCTTCTTCATGCAATTAGTGCTCACATAGTGCTTCTTTCTTGCGTTTCCCCCCAGACCTTAAACGTTTTACGCCGGCTGAACATTTTTTTTGTTGATGCACCGATCCTCTTGAGAATAAGATAAGAATGATAAAAAGGACAACACGAGAATGCGTTCGTTTCCAGTTGCTTGAGAATAATTCAGCAAATTCTCATGATACATAATTTAAGAGTTACTGGATGTGTGTACTTTACGACCCTACAAGTACTGAACTGGAAAAACCAAGTGGAGTGAGAGAGAGAGAGAAAGAGAAAGAGAGTGCTCATCTTTTGGTGCGGTGTAGCTCTCCCGATGTCTCAGGCTCAGAACCGAAGGCCTCATCCGTCGGCTCGGCGCCCCCGTCAAAACTTCCCGTTGGGAATTTATAAAACGTGGTCCACTTTTTGTGCTCTTCTCGGACTTTGCTTTTGGCCTTCTTTTGTCCTATCAACGTCCGTCCTAAAGCTGATTTTGCTAATCTCAAATGGATAATTCTAGTTTAACTGTTGTCCTAATGTAAGAGTTCATCCGCACTTATTGTGATTTAGCCACTAATAAAGAAATATGTCCTTACAGGGATTTCTGGTCATCTTTGACAGTTTGTACCCGACTCTTTGTTGACAAATGATACCAATTTGTACCTTCGTACGTGATTTTCAGCCGAATACAACTAAAAATCAGGCAGGCAAATTCTCAAAACAGCCTACTTACTTTACACCTAGCACCTGTCACTTCGATTCAAATTTCCGTCTAGAACCACCCCAATCGTACTTTCTAAAGCTGTCAATTTGCGTCGGAATTCAACCCAATCAATTTGAGCACAAAAGTACAATCTCATGAACTCTCATCAGACGTTTGAGTCAGTCGAAACTCTACTGGGAATATTATTTCTTCCTTGCTTGGCATTTCTAGTTTTTTCCGCATCTTAATTTCGGAAACGCCGTTTTCCGGTCCGGTCACGCACACACACACACACACACAAATACTTCCACCACTTCCATTTGAATACATTATGAACCGCGCCTTTCGAGAAAGCCCCGTCCCTTGCCGTCGTCCGGCCGTCCGTCCGCAAAAGGGTGTCACTAGCCGCCGCCAAAACTTTATTTGAAAAACGGGCGGGTGGTCGGTCGGCCGTGGCCTCGACCAACCGAGAGCTCCAACGTTTTCGGTATCCGTTTCTCAAATGCTTTTGTGTTTGCTCCTCTCATTTTCGTCTCATCTCATCTGGCCAAACACTGGCCCGGTGGGCCTTCCAGGGTCCTTCGAGGGGCAATGACCGCGAACATTTCACTCGGAAGTGCACTTTGCCTGCTGCTATGTCGTTTTTGATGTTTTGAGAGAGTATCCACATTCACATAGAAACAAGAATATTCAGTTTTCTGGCAAAGGTTTCTGGATGTTCAATTTTCACAAAATTCATGGTAGTCACGCTCTAAGGTCAGATCTATACATAGAACTGAAAAAACTACCTAACACGGAGAAAACATTTCAAAATCTCTAGGAGCAAACAACCTTCTTCCTCTTCTTCAAGCTCACTGAGCCGAGAACTGAGATAATAGGTGCACTATGGAGCAGTTCTCCGAGATCTGAGTCCGTGTGAAGGCGAAGCGAGCCTTTTTACGCGATTGAGATTGAATCAAAACATACGTCACTCTTGCTCTTTCTATTTCTCCCTCTAACCCTTCCTCTAACACTTGGTCGACACCCCCCCCCCCCTATGCATTTCGTCCCGTTTTTGGAGGCATTTCTGAGCGGAAACCATTGAAAATTTTATGGTGCGCTTCATAAATATTGAATTACTGTACTTGGACATGACATCTGCCTCCTTCTTGTCCACAAATTTTTAACTGCGCATTTTTATTTGCAATTGTAGGATTGCTGAAAATCAACTCTAATGCGTTAAGAGATTTTTGGAGTATTCTGGAGACCTCACCTAAAGAAAACCCCAAGAAATTAATCATGCGTGAAAATTTTCTGCGTACACACTACGCACTTCCCTTCTATTTACTCGTTTCCTCATTTTTGCAGTTTAAACGATGCCGTTTGCAGCTCTTGCTTATGTTTTTGTTGCAAATCGCATTTAAACTGTAGCTGAAAGTTGTTTTGACAAATTGTAGCAAAAAATTTATCGGTTGCAGAAAGAGCAAACCCCCCCCCCCCGCTAAATACTCCAGCGCGCTCTGTGTATTAATTAATTTCTGGTCGATCCTACTTCTTTTGATCCGACATGTTGTTTCTTCCATCCGCCACGAAAATTCTTACTCGGTTTTGTTCCCACAGAATGCTAACGAAGTTGGCATTACTCATGACTCACTCGCGGGGCCGACTTTGGACTGAGTTCCAAATGAGCTCATTTTGTTGACCTACCACCCAATCTAGCTCAACATGAAGAATATAAATATGAATATAAGACTACGCCCACGTCTCACCTCCGTCTTCTTCTTCTTCTTCTTCTTCTTCTTCCTCTTCTCCTTCTTCTCCGAAACTGGGTCAGATGAGGATGTATATGGAGAAGGGGAGTGAGTGAGTGCTATGTTATGCGGAGCCATACGGCAAGCCCAGATTGCTAGTTACATAATTTTATACTTTTGCGGATTAAATATCCATTGGCTTTCCAGGGCGCGCGCACGCACACGCGGCAACGCAGCGCAAAGAGGGCAAAGAAGGGGGGTCCGTGTCTCGCCGCTTTCCGCACTCTTTCTTTCAAGATTTTCCGTTCTTCATCCTCTTCTCCTCGCGACCGCCATCATTATTCTCGTCTTCTTAATAAGTAATAGTGCACTAGACTTGGCGAGCCATGTAGATTTTCAGCTGTCTTGTTTGCAGAACTTGTTTACCTACCGCTCTGTTAAAATTTTGAATTTGTCTGAAGGTTGACTGAATTCGGATTTTATCGACTTTTCTTCAAATACGAGGTTCTTCCTTAAGAAAAACGAGTATTCACATTGAAAATCAGGACGCCCTCATCCATTCCCACCAGATGGATTTGTCAATTTGTCATTTTTGCTCATGCACCCTTCTCTCGCTACCACCCGCTTCTTTCTTTTCCTTTCTTCTAAGCTTTCAAACGTCTGTGTCAACCTTATCCTGATTTTTCTCTAAAGGTCCGGTCGGGATTTGGGTGTGAGCGCCCATTAGTATCAACTTACGAACGTTTGCAATTGCATTTATTTCAGCGTCACATCTCTCCTTTCCTGAAGGTCTCCCCGCCTTTTCGCTTTCTCTCTTTCTTTCTTCCTCATGTTGGCATTCCAAAACGTTGTGTCCTTTGTGCCTGGAGCTGAAGCTTAGCGCTTCGGGCTCAGAGCTTAGGGGCTCGAGGCTCTGAGCCAGTTGTATGGGACAGAACGCAAATTGGCTCCTCTCTGATTGTGGCGCAGAAGGCTAAGGAGGCAAAGAAGAAGGAGAAGAAGGAGAAGAAGCAGCCACAGCCTCCAGCCAGTGCAGTCATCTTATCTCCCTTGGCCAACTATGTCTTCGTGTCTCTTCTCTTCCTTTTCTCTGTCCACTGCTTCCACAAATTTTTGTCCCCGCCCCCCCATACATATACACTTATCCGTTTTTCGTTACAGCAGCAAGAAGCGACAATCGTTCTCCAGAGCAGGAACGTGGTGTAGTCCCCCTAAGGAGTCATACGGTATCTTATTCTGGTAGACACTTGAGGCACGCACGCACATAAGTGATATCGGAAAGAGAGCAAGACTGGCACACTTCAGACGCTCTCATTGGGGAACCTGAATGGCCTCATTAGGCACAAGGTGAGTTTTTCTTGTTGGTATTAGAGATTTTGCAACTGGCGGACGTTCTGCAACCGAGCCCGATCAGGTCGTTTTCTACGAAAGCCTTTGGAGAACTGGCACGTTTTGAAACTGTGTTCTCGCGTCCTAAACAAATCTGATTTCAAATGAATTTGGTCAAAGCAAGCGCTTTCTACAATCGTCTATCTATGTATAGTTTCTAGTTATCCGCGAGCTTCAGATCGAGATCAGGACGTTTCAAAACTGAATTTAATCCGACTGTAAACTAAAGTTGGTTCCATTGGCAGTTTTCAGCTTAATCTCTGTCAGTTGCAAAATTCCAATCTCTTCTGCAGTCGGGCCTAGAAAAAAAAAGAGTTTCGACAAACAAAGACTAAAAAGCCGAAAAAAACAAGAGAAAGGAGCGGAATTTCAAAAAAAAATTTCCATAGTTACGCTGAGCCACACCGCGCTGATTTATTATAACCACGGTGGCCACCCCCTCTCCATATATTGTTCACATTTCCATAGTGGTTTTCTTTGCAGGTGGCACTGTGGACGACGAGCCCAAGTATGTGGCCGCCAGTCGATGTTCGCAGTTTGACCGCCGAGTCGTTGGGACGTGCGTCGCTGATCCTTGCCGTCGACTTGTTGCTGTTCGTGACCTCCATCCTCAACATCACAGTCATCGCGTTCACTCCGGACTTGTCTGACGTCATCGGTTGCTACTTGGTAAGCCCTCCCACACAGAAAGGCGGCTAGCTGCTCGGCTGGCTCATTTCCATGTCCCAAGCGAATTCAGATTCCGCACTTTTTTCTAGGTTGCCTCTTCGGGTCTCATGATAATTGGCTGTTAAAAAGTGCTGCTATGCATTATACATAGATCTTGCTCCTTTCACATCAATTCCGATTCTATTTCATCATGTGTGGCCACACTTAATTTATGCGCAAAAGCAAAACGAAAGCGCCCTAACCCCTCTCATGCCCTCAGTCTTCCTTCTTCCTTCTTCACTATCCGTTTGTGGGCAAAGTATTCCTAGACGGGAGAAAAGACGCATAATTAAGACCAAATTTGGGTTGGACAAACGTGTGCTCGGCCCGTTTCAGGCTGGGGAGTGTTTGTTAGAATTTAGAGTCATAAGCGGGAATTTTTGAATAACCTTAATGTCACTTCATCTCGATTGCGTGACAAATAACGTCATTTTCCATCTTATTGGCATGCATTGTGATCGGGGCGCACAAAAACGAAATGAAAATTTAAAATTGAAATTTGGAATTGGAATTGGAATGGAAAGTGAAATTACAATTGGTATCGGAATTAGAATTAGAATTGAGAAATTAAGAAGAAGGCAATGAGGAGAAAGGGAGGGGGTCCAAGACAGAGACGAATACCTAACCGGATAAAAGTTTGGAGGAAGAGGAAACTGCAAAAGAAAAGAGGGAAAGCGAACCCGACTCGGATTCAATTAGATCTCGACACGGACTTTTCTGACTAGTACTACTGGTGTTGGTGTGGAAATGGAATTTAGAAGCGTGGGAGTTGATGCGCATTGTTTTGTAGTTTGAGAACTGTCAACTTTTCATCGGCAATAGACACAGTGCTATTCAAATTTTCGGAGCCAAAACTGGTTTAGGTTGTTTTCTAGCCGATCTTGACAAAAGGATAAATCCATGAAATTTTTGCATTCCAGATATCGCTATCAGTGGCAGATCTGCTCACAGCCATCTTCGTGATTCCGTTGAGCATATACTCGACGTTGGAAGGAACATGGCGCATCGGTGGCGACAACTCAATCATCTGCAAAAGCGCGGCCTACCTCCAAATCGCTCTTTTCTGCTCCACCGTTTACACTTTTGCATGGATATCTATTGATAGGTGAGTGCAGGAGAGCAGACTACTCGACGATGACGGTGTCGCGGATTATGCATACGTAAAAAGTGCATCGATTTCCGCTTCTTGCGGAAGAGGAAACCTTTTGCAAGTGGCGGGCCCTCTTGAAATTGTGGCGGTTTCTTTTCTTTCCATCCAGAAAAAAACAAAAATTGGGAGAAGAGGCAGAGAAGACGATGACATCACTCAATGACGAAAACTTCTTTGCTAATTGACTGATTAAGGGTGCGGACAACGAAAACACAACAATTTTCAGGTACTCTGCAATGATGAAGCCATCACGATATAGCGAACAATCACTAACTAGGTGCAAGTGCTGGATAGTCTTTAGTTGGATAACCTCAATGTTGTTGTGCTGTCCAATCATTGTTGCACGGATGCAGGTACACCCTTAACTTGTATCAAATTTTAAAGAACGTTCTTTTTTTCAGGTTGTGTTCTACCCAGATGCTCAACTCTGCGTCCTGGATTGGTCAGCAACATCGGCGTATAGCGTGACCTTACTTCTACTGGTGTTTGTCCCCACCGTAGTCACCGTATTCAACACTGGATGGAAGATTTGGTCAGCAATGAGGAATCCGGCGGCGGTAACTATTAAAAAAGCGTTTTGAGGCGTGCATACTGAGATTTTTAGCTCGACGACAGTCAAAGGATGATAGTAGAGACCGATCCGAACTTTGTTCTAACTGGTTTTCTATTCGTCACCTTCTTTCTGTCGTGGCTGCCACTAATTCTTCTGAAGCTGTCCGAGTTGTTATGGGGGCCTTTTGATATGGACATGTCAATGGTGAGTTTAGAGTGTATTGGGCTTAACCTCTAGGCAATGTCCATGATAATTTCAGCTCACATTCTTCTTCGTGTGGCTAGCTGTGTCAGGACCATGCTGCAAATTCCTCATCTACATGTTCACGAACCATCAATTCCGCAGCGCCTTCCTTTCGTACATCTCATGTTCAATATGTTGTTCGAGCAGGAGTCGATATGAATACCACGACATAGGCAACAATTCTTTTCTTTGACAGTACCTATCTCATCAAAAATCTCCCGTTCTGGTACGAATTTTTTATGATTTGATGATTTCCAATGGCATTAGCCCCACTCACAAGAAAAAACTGTTCTAACTCAAAAACTCATCGACAACGCGGGTTTGACTGAAACTTATTATAGGTTTATATGTTTTCCTATCAAGAATGAAAGAGAAAAGTTTACACTAGTAAACATTTCCCTAGATTTCATATAAACATTATTTGGCTTTTCCATTTTCTTTCCTTCCTTCTTCTTTCCCTCCTTTTCAAGTCTATTGTACATATTTTGTGATTTCAACGTGATTTTTCAATTCCTTTTCAATGTTTTCCCTCGGAAAATTGATATTTCACGATCGCTTTGCTCACTCAGTCCTTTTTTTCTTTTTCATGTTATTTCTTATGAAAACATCTGAAAAATACTTTTTTTTCAGTTTGAATTATAGGGATATACAATAAAACAGAATCTCTGAGATTAGAATAAGCTGCCGTTAGAGGAATACTGTCAGGTTTTAAATTCATCATTAGGTTTATTCTGTCGAAAAATGTGGGTGTGAATGACCTATACAGTGTTGACTAGGAGTTGAGTTGGAGTTAGTGTTTCAATTTCCAATTCTCAATTTTCATTTTCACTTCCAAAAAAATTGATTAGGTTATACATATATTATTAGTTGAAGCTGAATAATGCACAATTCGTCATACAAAAGAGTAGGAAAAGAGCCCGCAATAATACGTAACAAAGAGGAATAAATTAGGTGCCAAATTGGTTTTAATTTGGGAGTGAGATGGCATGACATGAACATCTAATCATCATTTTTGAGCAGTCATCGGGCTTTGGGTCGAAGTCACACGTTTGAAGAATGAGGGAAGTGAGAACTTGGAGCAGTTGGCGCAGTTCTGAAATAAAACATATTTTCAACTTTTCAACAAGAGCAGGGCTGCGCAAAGCCTAGCCCAGGCTATTTCAGGCCTGAATTTCCCCTTGACCCCAACAAGCTTCTTTAATTTAAATTGAAGTTTCTTGTGATCAAGTTTCAGACCGATCAGATAATCTGGCCCGGAGATATACTAGTTTGAGACCTAAAGAAAATGCCGACTGTTCGGTCTCCCACCCACATATCTCTTGAGTAAATCAACCAATCGATCTGAAACTTGGACCAAATTATCTACAGTCCAATTGTAAGAAGCTTGCAAAGTTCTGGTCCGATTGGAAAACTGCAACTATGCCAAATGTTCAGGCCGCATGCAGTGCTCCGAGCTTCTTACCCACGCTTAAACTTTCGGTTTCAAAACGTCAGAATGAGGCCCATTCATTTTGTTGGCAAAAAGTTTTGTTGCAAAACGTCCCTATCCCTATCTCGATTTCATAATAATTTCTCAAAGCAATCAGATGCAAACGAGCGTAACAAAACCGCGCGCGCGTCAAAATCATCCTTATTTGTTTGATCAACGTGATTGGATATTGACTTTTTGACAGATCTTCTATCAACTTCTGATCATAAAGTTGGCGAATTTCTCACCTGATTGTAAGAGCACATAAAGTAGAAGAAAGCAGCGGAGAGCAGGACGAGAAGTAGAAGGGAGATGATTGTAGACATCAGAACACACATTTTGATTGTTGAAAACATCTCTCCAGCGGCCTGAAATCATTTTTTGCTTATCCCTATTTATGGTAAATACAATATTTGCTGTCTTTGGCAATGAAGGGCCATATATATATATATAGCTTGTTTGTTTGCTTTGAGCTTTTGTGCCACAATAGCGTTTGTTCTGGGGTTGTTCTTGGCAGGTAAAAAAATAGAAATTGCAATTTTCTGAAGAGCAAAGTATCATGTTTTTCCACGAGAGCTTTGCAAACAAAGCAAAATTCGGTTTGGACAAATTAGGACAAAGATCAAGGAGGAATGTCAACGTACCCTTGCAGCAAATTGAATATCTTCCATTCCACAAGCTTTGAAACAAGTGTTCCCGAAAATATTTCCAGTCAACGAAGGTCCGCCGCCCCCGCTTGACGATCCAGTGGATCCAGCAGGTCCATCGCCGGATGCCTCTGTAAAAGAGAAATGTTACAAAGGGTCACGTAAAATGTTAAAAAAGAATTTACCGGCCCCAGCGCCCATGATATTCGAAATTCCGCTGATTGTTCTTGAAACATCAGAGAATAGTTGCGGGAGGTTGACCTCGCGCTCGCCCATCTCGTCTCAATGAGGAGGTTCTGCTGGTGCGAAGAGAGAAAAGAAGAGAGAGGAAGAGATCTCCTGCAAAGACGGAACGGATAGACGGGTCGTTCGGGACGCAAAGAAACATGCATCGTGATGATCCGGGCGGCGATCCCCCCCGGGAAGAGAGGGGGATCGCAAGATGGTTGTAAATAGAGAAGAGGATTGTCCTAGATATTATAATATTAACAAAACAAGAGGTCTTTCCACTTGAAGATTGAAAAGAATAGATCATGATGGTCATTGGTTTTTGAAACTTTTGTACTGTATTGCACCTGAAAACGGACTGAGCTCAAATTGCGCGTTTGTCACAAAATGTTCCTTGTTTGAAGAATTTGTTGCCAGAAACATGATGAAAAGTTAACTGTATACCGAAATTTGGTCAAGATAACCCAAACTACTCGAAAAACAATGAACAAGAGTCCAAAATGACCAAAAAGTATGAGTGTTCCGATCCATTCCAAAATCTTCAAAATCTGACGTAGCGCTGGCTTTTCAAGTGAAGTGCACTGCTTTTGGTCAAAAGTGGTCGAGAGTGAGGAGCACGGGTACTTGAATGGCGCAATGAATAATATAAAAAAACACAAATAGTTGGTAGTGGCTGTTTTAAAAGAGCAATAGAGCAAAGTGGTCAGACAAGGGCCTCGCTGACTTCCGGTCAACCTTCGGAAGCTTTAAGAGAAAACGAAAACGTTTAGTGGTTGTCCTCCGACAGGAAGTGGATCGAAAATGTTATGTTGCGTAAGTTATACCCCTTTCCCATTGTCCGGTAGAGGTTGTATAGCTTGTTGTATCATAATAATCCCATAATTTCAATAAATTCTATACTACGCGAAATATTGCGCGAAAATGAATAAAATGCATTCAAGAGGTAGACAGGAGCTAGTTAGGTGTGCCTGGGGGCTTGGTTCTAGTGAATAGACAAGAATAGGAGCTCTGATTTCACTTTACACTCATTCTGCTCGAACTCAAACACTGTGCAGAATCAAGCACTCACTTTTCAACAAGCAAGTTCCCAGAAGTTGAAATTTGATAGTTTGTGGTGCCGAAGAATGTGAATGCATGTTTTTCTACTGGGCCGGACAAAAAAAAACAATAGGCGGCGGTGTATTTGTATTATAAAGGAATGCATTTTGAATATTTGTATATTCGAAGGGGTGCTTTTTTCAACTTCCATGTAGAGTTAAATACTGTTTGATTGTGAGAAGTGGGCGGAAAGGAGTTCAAACTAAATTGCCTCGAATTTGACAATTCAAATTCGAGGCAATTGTCTCAAAACTCAGTGAAACGTTACAAAAGTGTACAAACGGTCTCCATGGTCTTGTAGAGATCAGTTTCGGTGTCAGAGTGATAATGTACTAAATTCCAAAAGAATATTCCGAATATAGAAATTGTAGTTTACCTATCTAAGCGCAAGTTTGTACGGAAGTTGATCATTATGCAACAAGGAAACCGAGAAGTACTATAAAGCGACGAAAACGTGCTAATGTATAATACAACAACCCGGATGGCTCTGACCTGAGTGTTGACCAATCGTTCGCGCTCACACAGATATTTCCACACAAGAAGGAAGAAAAGAAAGAAGTTGCGATAGGGGGCCCCGGGAGAAGGACAAGAAGAAAGCTTGCCCTGTTGTTGCTGCTCCTCGAGCAACGGTCACTACTGTCATTGCGGCTTTGGCTCTCTCTCTCCCTCCCACCCTTCCTCTCTCGGGTTCCCCCTTAACGCCTCCCTGTTTTGTTTGTACGGTAAAAGGTGAAGAGAGCAACCCAACCGCGCGCGCGGTTTGTTCGCGTCCCTCTCCTGGCGGAAAAGAGTGTGCGGCGCACAGCGGTGGTGACAAATTTAATCCGGTGTCTACGGGTGTGCGCGCACAAGGAGCTAGAGTCAAAGTCAGCAGCGAGAGAAAAAAAGTCAGTCAAAGACGCGTGTATGGTCGAGTCTCACACCCTGTTTAGCAGCAGCTCCGGCTGATTAGGCACCGGTAAACATATAGAAAAAAGGTGTGTGCTTACCGCGACCGGGCAATGGTCACAGAGCCGGGCGCTTGTTGTTTCTTGTGTCCTTTGTGTTGATCAACAGGAATATTTGTTGCTGACTGATAAGAGAACGATTGAGGGAGACTCGGACCACTTCCTTTGGAACAAGTCTAAGTACTGATAGTACTTCCTGAAATTTACATGGTCCGGAATAGCTGCATGCCGTTGTACTTTCATAACAGCACTTCCGAACCTCACGGTCAGTACTTGAACATGTTTTTAGGACCTCTGATCTACCTGAAACCTGCTCCCACTTTTTCCACTTTTTTCAATGTTTGGTCGGGTACCGTAATTCCAGTCATGTTTTTCCTTGTTTTTGACGTGCCGATCACCGATCACAGCTAACACAACGTTCGCCTGTTCCTGCTTGCTCGACGCGATAAGTTGCACACCAAACACGAACGATACCCCTCCCCCTTTCCTCTTTCTTCCATTTTCATTGAAATGAAACCGACACATATACAAACACACACACGTAAACAGCAAGCAAACAAATCGCAAGTCCAAGTCCAAGTCCAGGAAGCAAATGAATAGGGACAGCTTGCCGGCATCGCGAACGTCCGTTCTTGCGTTTTTTTCCCGTGAGACTAAGGGTGATCGCTCATTTCGGGACGAGGGATTAGGGGGAAACTGGCCATATTGCGGTGGCAACACAGTGATTTATAATTTACAATTGTTTTTGGGGTCGGGACACATGTCGCATGGATTTCGAGCTTTGAAACAATACTTTTTTAAAGTGGTTTTCAGCTTTTTCAGGTATTCCAGAAGCGTTGTGAACCATCCGGCAATCAGAATTTGAAACACAAACGTTGTCTGCATAGATGTGTAAAGAAAAGCTGGGAGTTTCTATTACAGGATCTGTCACTTTTCCCTTTTTTTCACGCGGAAGTATGCACACAAATACTGAGCTGTCACAATGAGAGCAACCTTAACCAAGTACCAAGTTGTGTGTTAGTACAAATGTTTTTCTGAACTTTTCGCCCCTGTGAGTCAAGTCGGGACTAACCAAAAACGTTTTTTTCCTTCAAAAAATGTTGTCTCTCAGGCAGTCACGGTCAGTCACAACCTTTACCGGGGCCCGGTGGGCACAAGACGGTCGCTCCGCCCCGCCTCCTCCCACCCGCTTTTAACTATTCACGCTACCCACCCTCTCAACTGGTATAATCTATTTCTGATTCTGCTCTTCCCCAGTCTGGCGCTAATTCGGTCTAAATTCGAGCTTATGCTTTTCCTATGTTTTCCACCAAACTTGCTCTATTTTTCATTCTGATGATTATTGTGCAAAGTTCATGTTTTTATTTTTTGCCGAGGGACATTGGAACAAACCAAGGTATTTTTCAGTTATTTTTTTTCAAGTTTGCATTTTTGGAATTTCTGGAAAAAAGTTGGAGACGGAGAGGAGAGGTGTCAGCCGTTTTCCCAGCTTGAGACATTATGTTGCGTGTGTAGCAGCCTTATGTGTTACGTAATAGGTACATATATGAATAAGGCCGCTTCAACTTGAAAGGCACCGCTTTTTTGGCGGCGTTCCCAATGTCGGGGTCGCATGTGAACTTTACCTGCCACTTATCACCATGCCCCTTTTTCTTCTTCTTCCCTTTTAAATTTCCTATAGCGGACAGTGATAATTGACTTTCCTTTATGGTGCAAATGAGATGATAATGTGATAAATGGACTCTGATATTGGTATTCCATTCAAATTCGGATGACTTTTAGTGAGTTGCTCTGCCGAGTGCACCACCGAAGAAATGAGTCGATTACGAGCAAATACCTTGGACATGCTCACCAGGAAACACCAGGATCGGGTCATTTCGATACGGCATTTTCTGAACGCACAAATCCGAACTTTCAATGGTTAGTTAAGCAGACTGAAAATTCCAGAATGTTTTATAACGGTCACCGGAAAATTCCAGAATTCTTCACCAAACTTCTCAAATCAGTACACATGGACTTGGATCTGATGTTTACCAACACGTACGGCTCATTCTATCAGGAGAATATACAAATTCTCAACGACCTTTTCGACAAAATCCGAAGTTTCTCAGTCAGTTTCGCGGAGACCAGTATGCGAACGATAGTGGAACGGTTTTTCGATCAACTTTTTCAAGTCATGTTCAACATTACGAATCCATTTGTGAGTTTTCTCTTCACTTTCCTTTAAACCTACAGTATTCTTTTCAAACTTTAAAAAACGTTTTCCAGTACTCGTTAACCGATGATCAACGTCTTTGCATGCAACGCTTTTACCGGGAAATCGAGGCGTTCGATGATATTCCTCAAAAAATCAGCAATCAGCTTTCACTTCCGCTCACGAATTGGAAACAATTTCTGGGATCCATGGAGTCTTTGCACAATATCCTGGATGGCTATTTGAACGTGAGTGGTCAAAGCGAGGGCGTGCGTCCCTTTTGGCGGCGGTGGTGGTGTTTGCCAATTAGTAAGAGCGAAAGACCTTTTCAATCAGAAAAAGTAATTAGTCAAGGCGTGGGTACGGTTCGTTCGGCAGAAGAAAAGACGGCAAAGCCAACCTAAGGTTATCCCGCCCTTTGTTCAGACCAAACAAAACTTTTTTGACTGGCGGAAACAGAAAACGTTGCGTAACGGATATAAAAAATCTCCTTTTATCCTTAGAACAACGGAAAACCTTGAAAAGTTATGAATCAGATTAAGGTTCTCAACTTTTTTCCCAAAAATTTGTGTTGCCAGAAAAGAAAACTTAAGGAACTTAGGGAACTGACATCATAACGAGTTACTAATACGGGTTTAGACCGTATAAACCCTTCCGATTTTCATTTTCCACTATCATAAGCAAAAAAGTGATGTTTTGATATTGACATAATATCTATTACAGATAACTCTGAAAGACGAGTGTGAGCGGGGATTGACCAGGATGGAAACATGTGCACAGTGTCGGAAAGTGACCGAGAAACCTTGTCATAGCTATTGTGTCAATATATTGTCAGGGTGCACACATCAAATGTTGGATAGTGAAGAAGCGTGGAAGGCTACTACTGGTAGGGGAAATTCTGAGTAACTGGGAGAACGATTTTTAAAATAACTTTTTGCAGAAAGTATGATCAAACTGTCTAATCAGTTGAACAACCGGCAGAACTTGGTGTCTGCTCTTCTACCAATTCCGATACTTATCAGTGAAGCCGTCATGCATTTCCAGGAGAAAAGAGACTACATCACCAACAAGGTTTTTATTAAAAAAATAAATGGCCGTGCCCAGCCTGTGACAACTATGATGTTATGAACTCGCACCCCTTACTTGCTCCATGATTTTCAATTATAGCTTCCAGATAATCGGAAAATGTCTTTTGAACAAGGAAGACTTTGGCCTACGGAAGAAACGTCATTCAACGACCTCAAAACATCTGAAATCTCTCCCTGCCTACGGTGGAACTTCCAGAAAATCCAGAGATCATCTGATTCTCAACCAAATGTTCCACTCATTCACCACAAAGGTATGCTCCGTTCTGCTCCTCCCTTCCCCCCACAATCACTTATCATCTCATCTTTTCACACTTTCAATCCTCTTTCTTAGCACTAAGGTCATCAAACGATTATAACTTTTACAGATGGAGGAATGGCAACGATTTTTTGGCAATGTGCCCGAACAACTATGCGGGGAGGAGAAGTGGGCGAGCGAAGGGAACGAATATTGTTGGAATGGAACTGATGTGGGAACGTATGAACTGCCCATGGTCAACTATTCGCAGCCTTTCAAAAATCCAGAGTACCAGGGCACCGATTTTCTCAGTTTCAGAGGTAGCCTTATTGTTTTCAGCAACCTAACCTTGGACCTGTCTTGATTTTAGGTAGCTATGTCGAGGAACGACTACGCCTTCACTGGTTGCAATCTAGAATAAGACATGTTTTGTCAGGAAGAGCCGCCCAGGAATCTTCCACGTTTTCGCATAGAGCTGAAGCCATTGTACGCGCCGATGATGAAGATTATGTACGTTCCTTCTCGAACTTTCCTTCAGAATACATATGTGATTTTTCAGTCCGATTACGACTACGAAGGTTCTGCAAACCCTCCTTCTACTTCTGCTACTTCAAATCATGAATACTACCCATTCTTCAAGAAGAGCGATGAAAAAATCGAAGTGATAATCGAACCATATCCTATCAAGTCAAAATCTCTATCAAATTCCTATCATCCTTTGTGTGTCTTTGTCATTTCAATTGTTTTTAATGTGTTTTTGCTGTAGACCTTCATACTTTGCCGGAAAACTTCTATAAAACGTGTATTAGTTTTGATTTTGCCAACTAATAAAGCAACTTTAGTTCGAAACGCTTCAATACCTTCAGATTCACCGTAAATGTTGAATACCACGGAAGACAAAATTGTATCATTAATTTTATGATTTTGCACGGGAAACTTCACGTTTCAAGCGATGTTCTATTGTCTTTCAGATGAAAACATATATTTTGTGTCAAATATCCGTAGCTTTATCTGAAAATGATTAGATTTCATGTGGAAAGCCCAGTTTCTTTTGCTTTCATAGCACTCCGCACCAGATGAGCCGTTTCATCTTGTAACAACTGCTGTGCTGCACCAGCGTGGGTGACCTCTCCCCTCATCCACCACAAAAAAAAATCAATACTGCAATTCTGCCCGAGGAGGATGTCGTCACCTAACCTTGGATTTTTGAATTGATTGGTCGGTATGTACGTTTTCCTGTATAATTTTGAATGCTTTCTCAAGATTTTTCCGAGATTTTTTGAATTTTCCGCATTCAAAATACATTAATAGTAGTATTTTCTATACAATACCTGTGCCAAATGCCCTTAAGAATACAGCAAATTCGCTCCACCGACAGCCTGCGCATCTTTTGTTTGCCTACTATCTCTCACAATTTCTCTTCCTCTTCCCGATCACCACCGCCAACTATCTTATCAAAAATACACACTTTTGCAGGTGTATTGAAACCTAAATTATCACCTCACATGCACGAGGAGAATGACGGCACACTGCGATCAGAAGAGGCCAAATCGGACGTGATTTCGAGCCCGACCACAAATTCGGAAACGGAAAGCGAAGAGTCGAGCGTTGAAGGTTTGCGAAGCGCACAATATTCATATGAAAAATGAGAGGGGAAACAGAGTGCGGTGGGCTAAACAAACATATGACGTTGCATAGCATACCAGAGAGTCACATGCACAATTCTCTTTTTTGTAACAGTTGCAATTTATAGTGTTCAAAAAAATGTTAATTTGCAGAGGAAAAAACCGATGTGAACACCGTGGATTTATCAAATTCGAACAAAAAATTTGGCAAGGAAATCGGAGTCATTTGCTTAAGTACCTTGATGCTTTCTCTTGTGATATACATACTTTTGAGCATTCTTGGGTACGTTCTTTCCCTGTTTTTCATGAGAAATCATAAAAATTTTGCAGTCTATCCTATCCATCCCGTCCGCTCGTTGTTGCAAAAGGAGCAGCTCGGCCGTTTTTCCAGGAAAGACAACGGAGGCTCGTCGAGGACAATTATGATGGAACTATTCGGTTATCAAGGTGATTTCTCATATTACCAACGGTAAAGTTTAGTCAAAATCTTGTTTTCCAGCAATACAACCATGTCTGTGATACTATTGTATTCTCCGTACAGCATCACGTCGAAGCAATTCCGAGAAGAGTACTTTCAAGCAGCAAGGACCATGAAAAAACATCACGGGGTGAGTTCCGATCCATTTTCTCAAGGGAAACATACACTCAAATTCAGGACTACGCACCGTTTTTTGAAGCTACCAACTGTTTCGACTCAAATAATTATTGCCGACGAAAGTATAACCTCAAGCAGTATCCGGCATTGATGGCACAGAATTATGCCCTTATGGGATCTGTTTATAATGGTCCGTGGAATGCCCTATACGTGACCAGGTACGTTAAAATTGCGTTTTGAGAGAGTTTTTAAAGCAATGGGCGCTACGTTTAAAGCTGCTACCATGCAATTTCCATTCATTTTTCTATGAGTCTTGAGAAAGCTGGCAATGATCGACGCTAGAGTGTTTGATTGCGAAACGTTTATCTCCGACCGCGCCGAGAATTCTCGCAAATTTCTATAATAATGGTTTCAGGTGGTTGAATCGATTGCAAAACGCCGTTTTCCGGATACAAACCTCCGATGAGCTTGTTCAATTGTCCAAACAGTACGACGTGATTGCAATAATCTACTACGAGATTCGAACTCCGCCGAACACATTTCAATCGGCGACGAACTTCACAAAAGTTGCATTCCACTACCTGGACGGTGATCCCAGTGAGTTTTTGTTCTGAAAAGCTGTTGTTTTGGCCTAAACCATCATTCTTCAGACACGGAACGAACAATTTTCTGCATAGTTACCGATCCGACGCTTGCTTCATCATTCCAATTGCACAATGAGCATGATGTGGTGCTTGTGAGCTCTGACCTGAAACTGCTTTCCACTCACTACAAGGGATGGTCGTTGGAAGAAGTGTACAATGACGTTGTACGTTATTCTCAAGCGGCCAGACAATATGGCGTGGAATTCCTCAATCTTGGTAGGTTTTCGGTTTGTCGAACAGATTTTTTGAGCCTTCCGGGCCATCAAGTCGGGCTGTGGAGTCTCAAGTATGATTCAACTCGAAAATTTTACAGGACGACGTTTCTCATCAACGCAACTCGCTGAAAAGATGAACCAAGGCTCGGTGCTCCTTTACTTCACCCCTAATATCATATACGGAAATGACAAGTACACAATGTTCCGAGACACGGCAAGAGACTATCTGACTTGTCCTGAGAAGGATATGATATCAATACCAGAGGAGGAAGAAGAGGAAAAGAAAGGACACTGGGAGGATTATTTGGTGGATTGTTCAGTTAGTTTGAAGTCAACGTTTTGTCAGGTGAGTATTTGTATTTACAATTTGTCCAAATTCCTAGTATTTTAGTCCAACACCACATTGTCGTTTATGATGATCGATTCCAGAGTGGAAAATCAACTTTCCGCTAAGCTCGGGGCGATTGAGGTGATCAATTTTTCGATCAAATGAAAAATATACATAGTGTACATCCGGATTGCAGACAGACATGGTGATAGCAGTGAACGCCAAACAGGAAATCACTCGTTTCATCCAAAATAACATCACACGGTAAGTATGCTGAGCGGAGCAAACCAGACCATTGTCTGTTTCAGAGAGTCCATTAACTGTCTCATCCGTCAACACCACAACGCCGCCGACAACGAGTTCGTGTCCGAATCGTCTAGAATACAAGCTAAGCAAGAGCACGATCACCAAGACCAACACCCAGATTCCGTGGGGGAAGCATCAGACATTCGATTTGTGAGCAATGTGCGAGAGCTGTTAGAGAGCAGAAAGGCATTGTCAAATTTTCACTTTAAAAATTGTTTCAACCAAACGGTTTTCAGATAAATGTGATCATGTTCAGCGGGGGAATCTGGCACAGTGCTTCGAGTAGTGCTATTTCTCCTTTTCATCTAGTGGCCAATTATTTCAAAGAGTCTAGGAGTATTATCGATTTTTCAATGTAAGCTTTTTCCTTCGAAAGACTCGTTATAGGTTCAGACATTGAATTTCAGGGTTGATGTGTCTCAAACATACGTACCATACAATTTGGATTTCGAAAAACTACCAAAGATACTGATTACCAGTGCGGACAGGTACACTAGAAACTTTTCAAAACAACAATTACAATTTACTTTTTAGCGTTGGCCTCAGCTGGACATACCCCGAAGATTTTATGATCAACCACACGAATATTGTCCGTTTCGTACTTTCACGTCCAGGAAAAATCTTCGAAAGACTTCGCTGGCTGAATTCTTGCCAAGGAACATGCCGGAAGACGGCTCGCTGGGAGATGCGTAGCGAACGATTGCAGCTGAAGCGAGAGCAGAGCCGTAACGTGCCAAACAGCATGAGGTGAGACATCCTGTCAGATTACAAACATTACGGAGAGACTAGTGACACAAGACACACGTCATATCCATCAAAAATCAAAAGTTTTTGGATTAGATAAATATTTGTTTAGTTTCTAGCTTTGTGCAATGCAATGTTTTTTTTTCAGACAACGAACAATGATAGGGTATTACGACCGGATGCTTCGAATGATGGGTTGACTTTTCACTCAACTGGTTACGCCATACACGTAATTTTCGGGTTTCAGATTTCTCCGTGTTTGTTTGTTTGTGTGTTATTATAATTGTTTACGATTCCATTCATTCCTTTCTGTGATTCAACGGTTTTTAGGCTTCTCTCAGTCCCAATTCCATAAATAGTTGCAATGAACGCGTTTGTTTTGTTGCAATGCATTGCATTGCGTTGAAAGAGAAGAAAAATAGTTGATTCACAATAGCCCTTATTGTGGTGCTGGTGGCGCTTGTGGTTTTTTGCCCAAACAAAAATTATGATCGCGCAAAAGTGGAGCTGCTCCGAGAAAGGTGCCAAAAAACTGGAGGGCGGGAGAGAGAGACAGATCTCCAACAAACAGACTGTAGATTGGTTTTTTGTGTCGCTAACCGCTCGAATGTTTGCATTTGGGCTGGTCAATCACATTAGAAATGGGTAGAAAAGGGCTGCGATTGAAGAGCGCGAGTGCCGTCAACCTCGCCATGAAGCTCACCACTGCAATTTTGTGCTCGATTGTCTTTGCCGCAGCGGTAAGTTCTGGAAAACGTTCTAGACTATTATAGTGCTATTCCGCTTGTAGCAGCTTAGTATCTTTCAAGCTACGTTTTGCGTTGTAACGACTTCAAAATAACTGTTACAGTACTCCGCCGACGTCCCAGAAGGACACACAGTTGTTGCTCAATGCAAATGCAGCGACTTGGATGAATGCGCGGACACCATCGCAGCCAAGACAAACAACTGCAAGAAGAAGTTGGTGTCTCAAAACAAAGACGGTCTAATTACTGTTTTTCAGGGCGGAATGCACCAATTTCCTTAAAGAAATCGGAGATCCGGTCAAAATTATGGCTTGCTTGGATGCTGATCACGAGCAAATGATGAAGGTGGAGGCTTGTGCCAAAAAGAAGTTGAATGGAGAGCTCGGGTGAGTAGTTGGTGACTAGGTACTTGTAAATTACTTGCCAACGCACAAGTGTACCAGTTTCCTGAAAAAATACATGCTTTCAGGTGCACCAACTCCGCCACACCAGTCAACCTGACCATCCCACTCATCCCAGTCATCGAAATTCCATCTTTGGAAGAGGCCGGAGCCGTTCCAGTCGGAGAGCAAGCTTCCGCTCAATCCGAGCCCCCACTCCAACTGCGTCAATACCTGATGTGCATCGACGAGTGCACTCATGACGACATGGAAGTGATCCCAGGAAGAAAGAAGCGAAGCCCAGCTACCTGTGCCTTCAAGCTGAAGTGCGCTCTGGCCCCACCGTCTGACGCCACCCAGAACGCGTACACCGAGTGCCAGAAAGAAGTACGTATCATTAATTTTTACTAATTTTCACATGTTTTTATTTGTTTACAGCTCGCCTATGACCCGACAAAAGGAGCTGCCGATTCGTGCAAATGTCTGAAGGCCGCCGGAGTCAACATGACTTGCGCCAACTAATATTTCTCAACTAAACGCGTTTTTCTGATAACTTTTCTGTAAATGTATGTAAACCGACAAATGAATGAAGTCTCATGCAAAACGCTTGTTGTTTTGAGGACACCGCGGACACATTGTGGTCTTTGATTCGTTGTCTAAAAATAGCAGCGAGGAAGCAGTAGTGATGATACTCGGCCACACTGAGACATCAACATTTTGTATGTAAACTACTTGCATTCAGTTTACGTTCATTTTTTTCTAAAATATTCTTCCTCTGCCCTCTATAAGATCTTAAGCATGACGAGAATTGGAGACTGATGTGAGATACAAAGATTGTCATCATAATAAGAAAGATCACAGTGTGATGACGTAGTTGGACTTCATTTGCATAGATCAGAGCGAGGGCGTACCTTTGTGTGTACCTACTAAAAGATGACTCAACAGACATCAGACTTCAGAAATACTATCGAGTTACATATATCTGGTAAATTGAGTTGACTTTCTCAACAGAAAGTAAAATAAACTGAAAATGAAAATTTATAAAGCAAGTTTCCTGTTTTCACTATGATACGTCATAGAAAATAATTTCTTCCTGGTGAAAATAAAGAAGCGGAAGAAATCTCCCCCTCGTCTCTAGAGCCATTTTTCTCCATTTGTCCGCTGTTTTTCTTTACATTCCTCTCTCTTTCTTCCTGGTTCACAACGTCAGCAACACGTCCGAGGTACATAACACATCAACTCGTGACTACAATTTGCACCAAACATACACACATGCCAAGAAGAATGTTCACTGATAACGCGTGAATGTGGGGTTTCCCCGTGCCGAGAGGAATTCACATGCGCCGGCCGATCTTCAAAAGTTGTGTGGTGCGTTGGCTGCAAAATTATTGAGAGAGAGAGAGAGAGAGAGAGAGAGAGAGAGAGAGGAGAGTGAAGGGGTGAGGGAGAGCGGTTATGATAATGAATGAAACCCCCCAGACCTTGTTTTTTAAGTCGGCTTCCCTTTTCTATGTATCCTTTTTCTTTCCTTCTCTCTCCCCCCTTCTGTCTCGTTCCACTTCGTTATTTGATAACAATCTTTGAAGATGAAAGGGGGCGTAGTCTGTAACTTCCTATTTCTCAACGGAGAGGAAAATAATTGAATGAATAGGCACCACAGAACACCATTGTACATTTTTCTTTTTGTCTCGATGACAAGAAACGTTAGACGAGCAGTACGCGCCGGACTTTGGGCCTCTCATTCCGCTAAGCCACGGCAACCAGACATCCCATCTTAAGCCCACACATTTTCGGCTTCAGCTTCAAAATATTGCATTCATGCGGATCAAGCCCTCGCCCTCTTATCTTAGACATCTTTTCCGTCCCATAAATCTTCTAGACTATGTGCAGTAGGCTAATCTTGAATATAACAAAGCGCCAAAATGTACTCTTTCAAGAAGTGCACCTATATTTGAAGTTAAGTACACTTTAATCCGATCGTCAATCACAAAAACAATAGTATTTTGAGATAAGTGAGTCTGTCGTCAGTTTTTTATAGAATGCACTAAAAAGTGACGTTTTTCTTTCACTTAATATGTAATCTTTTCCTGGAAACATTCAGCCGAATAATATCTGATTTAGAACTGGATCATTCTGCAACTGGGACTGGTCTGGTCAGTTGTAAAATGTCTTCTTCCTGACAATTTTCATTCATATTTTGATATTCAACGCTCGAGCGTTCACCAGAACTGAACTGCATGGTTGAAAAGTGCTCCTTACAGCTAAAGTACTACAAATCTTTAGAAAACATGTTATCAGTAAACACTTTTCGAAAATTTGTCGTTTGGCTTCCCAAATCTTTCCAAAAACTCACTTCCAATTCGTTTTCCACAAAGAATCCCCACAAGATTCTTAGAGCAAGCTGTTGTTTGATCAGTGATTTGGTAAACAAGAAAAACAAGGAAGCGGGGAATGGCAGTCTAAAGGAAGAGATTGGACGTATAGTTGAACCTCATATGGAAAAGGTAATAGTTTGGTCGGAGAATGTGACCCATAGTATCGAAGAAACAAAAACTTCTCTCTATTTTCCACCTTATTTCTCCTTTTTCGCAGTTATTACACAATATCGGTTCTCGATAGATAGTCCTTGAAATTCTATCTCTATCTCAATTTTCCATTCTCCATTCCTATTTCTCTCAACCCGTTTCTGACTGCGTATCAGTCAAAAACTTACCTTCCTGAGAAGTGAAGGCTACTGTCTATTATCTACTATCGAACTCTCGTCCACTAATCGGCTTATTTTCACGAACCTACACCCAGCAATACCCCAATCCGTGTGATATTGCTTGAAGTTGGTAGGTCATTCGTTTTTGTATTCTGTACAAGTGGAATGGAAAAACATTTCAAAAAATTAACAAAATTCTGGTATCATCAATCTTTTCCCTTTTTCTTTTTCTTTTTTTTTCTGTCAGTTCTGAACGTGACATGTGTTCGCCCATGGTCCGTCGTGCCGTCAGTTGTACACAATACTTTATCGCGACCGTTTGATTTATTGGCATCGATCATGACCACTAGTCGTCTTGAGTGCAACGGCCGGGGTTCTATCCGATTGTCTTCTCTTCTTCTTGTTTCCTCTTCGTCTTTAAAGACAACAGCCGCGCTCGTGGCTTTTCCTGTTTCTTCAAAGATTCTCATTTGATCTTCGTTTCTCATTGGTCGCTGACAGATACCGTAATCAGAAGAAGCGGAACCAGCTTTTGAATGGTGTACTGTCCAATCAAAGTCCGAGTTCTTACGTGAAGTGGACTATTTTTCATCTCTAAAACCAGCGCAAATGCTTTTTTCCCTATTCCCAAGAACCAGCACTTTTGATCAAAAATTAGTTTTGTGAGGCTCAGTGCGTCTGTTTTCCTTCCTTCTCAGACGTCTGCGCTTGCTACATTCTTCTGAAGCGCACTAAGTCAGATAAAAGTTTGTCAAGTGGGTTTTTCACTACGTGTGCACTTCTGGGCTGTCTGGGGCGTACTTTCAACCTTTCAATTTGAAAAAAAGCGGGCAAAATATTGTTTGGCTCCTCAAAAACGAGAATTTTGTGCTTGACAGCGAATGAACAGTGTTGATGTTGAGGAAAACTGACAATTTTAAGAATTTTGACTAGGATTTTATCTTTCAACGAGAATTCCAATGATCTCCTTATCTACCGCCTCCCTTGATTAACAACAGACAGCACCAGAATAGAAAGATAGCAATTGATCGTTCAAATGACGTCATTTCCCCGCACAAAGCAAAACGTTTGCATCCGTGGTGTACCCCATGTGATCGCAGTGCATTTGATCTATCAACAATTGAAGGAGTCGGAGATCGAAGAAACCCTCGTTTCCCATGTCATTCGACTCTTTTTTCCGCGCTCCCCAAAAATGTGTTTTCCTTGCATTGCATCCAGAACATTCTTGTTGTTTTGGTTCTTCTCGTCGCATCCTCGTCCCGTCCCGTCCCCCATCTTTCACGTGATCACCAGTGCCTTCCATACAGTTGTGTTCTGTTCTGTTCTGTTCCGGGCATGATCATTGGTTCTTTGTTTTGTCAGTTGCCCATCCATCGGCCACCCCGTCATGTTTCAAGTTCGTCGCGTACTCACTTTTCGCTCTGATGACCTTTAAAAGCGCTTTCAAAGTTGAGTTCTATCCCTTTCTAGAAGTGAATAGGCGGAGGTCACACGCTTTCATATCCGATTCATCCCTTCCGTCCTCATGATGGGCATTCATTGCGTACAAAATTGTTGCGCGCCTGTCTATTTTTAGAAGCATAAACGTTTGAATCAATTTTTGTGTTAGGTGGCATCTCAACGGTCACGAGACACAATACTACTTATCCGTTTCCTTGTTCTTATTCTTCCTTTGTCGCCCATAAGTCTAGCGGATTCGTTCTGATTTTTTACCTCGACTTTCTCTTCAAAGAACGGTGACAATGAAAAAAAACTAGACGGAAGAAAAAGAAAGGTAAAAGAGTCATGTTTACAGTGAGTTCACTTTTGAAATCTCGTGATTCTTCCAACTTTCAATTTTTGAAACAAAAACGTACACGACATAACGTATTCAAAGATTCGTCGAATATTCTCTAGTCTGCGGGTACTTCAGATTAGAACTTTTGACTTTTGAAGAATCTTCGAAGACGCGCGAGGAAAGGTGAAAACGAAGATTTCGGTGTCGGATAATAGATGCAAATCTCGCACTCAGGTCAATCGATGCACCGAACATCCTCCTATCCGCCATCCGCATGATTCGGAGAGAGTGACGAGTGTGTTGTTGTGGAAAACATTGCGGCGTTTGCGGAGGGTCCTAAACCTCCACGGCCAGAGCAGACTCTCCCACCCACCACAAGTCCTCTCCGGCGAACCACAGGAGAGAGCGGGTCTTCTCTTCCTTTCCACTGCTGTTTCCCCCATCTCTTTGCCTCTCGTTAGTTATACGTTTCTCTGCGCTCCGTCTCTTTTCAACGGCTTTCCCTGCACCCATTGTGTGCTCATGACTTGTATTTTGACGGTCGTGGCGCCACGCTCTTTTCATGCTACCGACGTTTTTACCAGTTTGAAAAGAGTTCTTATCACTCACTAACATCGAATACATTCAAGTTTGGTTTGATGGTAGAAAAGGGTGCTCACAGTTCTTCACCAATTTTAACATCATATAAATCTTTTTTTGTTGAACCACTTAATTGTTCCCCTCTTTTAATCAGTAAATTTTTTCAGAAGTACCTGTACAAGTTCTTCAACTCCATCAAAGTCCCTCCTTCAAGAAGAGTTTGTGAGCAAGACACTAACCGCTTACGAAACTGGAGCCCAACTACGATCAGTACTACGATCCCGACGTCGAATGCCATCTGTATGTAAGTCGTGTGTGTTTCGCTTTCCCTCGTGTCCTAGTTTAAAAGAGAGAAAGAGCGCTCGATCTTTTAAAATGGTCTCCCTTGATGCATGTTTCTATTTGCTCATTACTAGTGTTATACTACCACTCTTTTTCTCATTCTCTTCCTCTTTCATTTTCGCTCAATATCTATCCGATGGTTGTTCAAATATGCGCGTTTGGCTCACATTTTTTTGAAAAAGACGTTTTGAAAATTAATCCATCAAGCGTGAAAGAAAGTAGCATCCAAGGAATGTTGAACAGTTAGGGTTAGAACGTGGCAGCTTGATTTGAATCTGAGTCAATCTAGTGAGAACACAAAAAAATGTATCCAGAACTCCATAGACAAAATCTTTTTCCTCAGATTCAGCAGAAATTTAGGGTCCACACTTTGTCCAAATATTCCACCTGAACCGTAGTTTTTCTAGCAAGTTGAACAGTACGTACTAATATGTTGACTTCAGTATCATTTTCTATGAGATCAACGAGTTGAAGTCTTGAACTCAATTGTTAGCATCCCCCCGATCTTTCTTTTTCCTTTCCAACAAGTGAAACGAGAGGAAAAATCAGTTTGTTGCAAAACCAAACCGCTTGGTCGCCCGCGTACGCGCATTATCGGCGGCAGCAGGAGAGACGTGATGTTTTCCATCTTTAAAAGTTGCCCTCCGACGGTGCGGCCCGAAATAGCACGTGCAGAGAGGAGGGCGCTTTTCGCGTTCTTTGTCAAAAAAGATATCGTCATCATTTCTCTTTCTCTCTCTCTTACTCTTACTCTGCATCTTACCATTCTCGTCACCACAGTTTGGCTGGTTGTTGTTTGCATGTACGCACAGAGAATGGAAGTGCGAACAAGATATTTTTCTGTAAGACACACACATACAAAAGAGATGTTGTGGTGTGGATATTTATGAAGATCTCAAACCGGTTACATTACCGTTGCCCCCACAATTATTATTGTCATTTCAGAATAGCAGCGTGGCAACAAGCATGTATAATACAAGAAGAGCCGCCTACATGAACTCGTGCAGCACGGCCATGGAGCTACCACCGCAGAGTCTTCATCAGAATTGGCAAGGTGTGTATGTGTACTTGATGATCTCTCAAAAATAACGTCTTTTCTTGGTACTCATTTTCTACGGCTAAAATAATGCGAACAAACTTTTCTCCTGTTTTTATGTCATTTTCAGACAATATCGCATGATTTTCAGACACCGAGTATGTGCATAACTCAAGTAGCAATGAAATGGATGTAGGTGACATGCCTATGTTTGGAAATGACAAGGATGATGGTAAGTTTTGGGGTCTCACCGCGAGAATTTGAGTTACTAAGATGCTAGCAAGAAACTTTACATTTTTGTAGCCTTCTCCGATTTTTTGAACCCGACATCTATCTTTTCCATTTTCAGAACCGTACTTTGAAAATGAAAAGAAGACAACAAGAAAAAGAGCGAACACCACAGGCAGCAACGGCGGTGGAACTGACAAAGAAAGCAAGAGAACAGCGAATAAAGTTTGTTTTGAATGCCATCCTCTCCCAAAGCCCAATAAATGTTTTCTGACGTTTCAGATCTGTCGGGTGTGTGGCGACAAAGCGTTCAGCTACAATTTCAATGTGATCACATGCGAGTCGTGTAAAGCTTTCTTTCGGCGCAATGCCAACAAAGAGAAAGAGATTCGGTGTCCGTTCAACGAACAATGCGAGATAAACATGGTCTCGCGACGATTTTGTCAGAGATGTCGGCTTACCAAGTGTTTTTCGGTGAGATAGAGTGGCTGTGGTTGTAGATGAATAATTGTATGTATAGGTTGGAATGAAGAAGGAGTGGATTATGAGTGAAGAAGCTCGTCTCGAGAAAAAACAGAGAGTCGAGGAGAACAGAGAGAGGAGGTTACAGGTAATTTTTGCAGTTCTTCTCGAGATTCTATAAAATGGATCGTTTAGGACGCTCTGAATAAAGCGTTGGAAGAAGCGAACATGGAAGAAGACGATAATAGTTACGACGAGCCTCCACCTCAAATGTCAGTCAGGCAATACCTCGCATCATCCGACGAGTGCGCAAACCAACAACAGCCACAAAGCGATGAGATGTCACCTCTTGTGGGACATCACTCCTTCAACATGAAAGACGACAAAATGATCAACTACTATCAAGACGGACCATCAGACATCGGGTATTCCAGTCATGAATAGTCAGTGGTTTGAGATCTTCTGTGTGTTTTGTGTTCGGACGTTTTGAAACCAAATTGTCTTGCTTTTGAACTTATATTACTGTCGAATTCAGAATTTTTTCTTGATTAAACCTGACTTTTTCAGTTGTGACTACAATCAACTTCCCCCGAACTCTTCATGTGGAGGGGCACACTTGATGGATCCCAATCTAGGTAAGTTTTGATCTAACAATAATCACTTTTCCTTCTGTTTTGCTATTTTTGTACCGCTTCTAGGCGTAACTACTATTGCCGATACAAGCGCTTCTACATCTAACATCGCTGTCGCGACTGTTGATGTTGAGTCCAAGATTCCATCCAGCGTGTTTTTGCCTGCAACTATATCAACTCTACAAGATGTCGCAGGTGATTTTTTGTTGAATAATAGCTCGCATTTGTTTTTAGTTTGACTGTGTACTAACTCTCATTTTATTCAGCCATCATATCACAAGGAGAAACGGCAAATTTAGGAATTTGTGCCCAGGACGTGGTCGATAATAATTTGATAAATGTCGCTGCAGTTCAAGCCCAAGCGGTTATCAATCATACGCAACAGGTGAGAGTTACTTTAACAATTACGTGGCTTTAAAATTCATGCTCATTCTGTTTGCAGCTTGCCGCTGCTGTAGTCGCTCAACAAGTTGTGTCCCATATCGCGCCCGTCCTTCCCGCAGTTACCCAACTAGATCCTCTCCTGACGCCCGCTCTTATCGCAGCTACTCCAGCGCTTCCGCTACCACCCCCGATGAATGCGGGACCGCTAGGCATTCCAATGATACCCAAAGACCTGCCAGTGAGCGTATCGCTCCTCAATCAGCTGGAACAAACTGCCGCAGATATGGTAACTGTTCCTAAGGACGTGAGTGCAATATTTCTTCCAGACCAATTCTGCTTTCAACGAGATGAAGTTCCAGATGTTGATGAAACTGATCCAGAACACGTCAAGAACAAGGTGTACTTGCACATGTGTGTGTGGACGGTATCCTCCGGGCTGTTTGATTGTGGATGAAGTAACCAGGGATGTACTGCTTGGCGGTGGTTCGAGTTGTAGCGCGGATAGAGATGAAGCCCGATTAGATACCACGGAAGACATGCAGGTATTAAGAGCGACTGATCGTTCGAGCCAAATCCTGTGACATTTTAGATGAATGGTCTGTTGCCCGGCGAGTCCAACTCATCAATCCACTGGCTCAGCCAGCAATCCGCCGCTCAGGCGGTCGTTGATCCCATCAGCCATTCCGTCTCAGCCGAAGAAGCTCAGAACCAGAGAGAACGTAGGGACTCTGTATTTGGCGCTTATTCATCTGCGGACCAAGTCAATCTTACTCAACCGAAAAGTGTGCAGGAAGAAACATTCTGGGAGCACACTGTCGCTGAAAATGAGTCGCGGGAGCTTTCAATGGAAGAAGTGGAAAAAATGGACGAACTGACCGAAATATCAAACTGTTGGACGTCGGTGGGATTGGACAGTGTTCCAATCTTGGAGCTCTTCACCGACAGAAACATTGAATCTATGGTGAACAACCTGAAACTGCTTTCATCTTTCCGATTCTTACCAAAACGCGACAAACGCTTAGTTATCAAACGTACGCAAAATTTACCTAGAAAAAATATTATCGTTATCTTTTTTCAGGAGGATTATTCAACTACTGTGTAGTCAAATGGATGCAACACAAGGAGAGCATGTCGTTGGAGGGGTTGAGCGATCATGTCTGCAAGGATTTTATGGAGTACGTTTCGCAACTTTGAGTTGCAATATTACTAAATTATGTGACTTTTCAGGCTCGTAAGGATGAAAGAGTTTCTGTATCGCGTTCAACCAGGAGCCTTCAACGCATTAGCCATTAGTGTGTTGTTCCACAGCTCTTCGGAAAATCTGATCTCTACAGAAATTTATATGGAACATCTTGTGTTCAAAAAGTTACTTGACAAGTATGTTTACCCTAAATTACCTAAAACAAACTACTTTTCTTATTTCAGAACGCTGCCAATCAAAGTGTCTAGTGACATGGTGTACAATAACTACTATCCACAAATCGCTATAGCGGCCCGACACTTGGAGCGTATCATCGGTGGCATTTCGGATCGTCTCATTCGTCAGGCGCTGTCTTTTCATGAATAGTATAATAGCATTCAATGTATTGTATCAATATGTAGATCATGTTCATCTAGTTTTTGAAAATATGTTTTCACTTTATCAGAATAGGTCCCACCCTTGTTTCTGTTAACTTGTCTCACATTCCGGTCATACAAGCAGTTTGTGATGGTCATTTTTCTGCTCTTCGCCCCGCTAAGTCTCTGTCTCTGTTTCAAATCTCCAAAATTCCTTGTCGATTTACGAGTCACACTTTTTTCGTCTGAAACCTAACACATACCATGATGGCAATGTCCTCTAGTCTCTCTTATACATCTTCTATATTAGAAGCCATACAATAAATTGTGTCACATTGACATCCGGATAAATAAACGTTTTATTATATAAATATCAAATAATACTGAAACAATTTTGGAATGGAATAATCAGGTCAATCGGGTATCAGCTGCAATAGTGGATAGGGAAGGATGCTGTTAGAGAGCAATAGGAGGCGCTGCCTCGAAAGTTATATGATATTAGATTGGTTTATAGTAAATTAAATTAAATCAATTCATTGTCTGTTGTGTCTTTCCGCTTCTTCACGGTCTCTGGCAGCTCTTCTATCATTTGAAGTGTGTTCTAGTCTCAACTGAAAAAACTCAATTTCTGGTCATTTGTATCAAATTTTCAAAAATATTTACCACTTGACGATGCACCCATTGCTTCTTCATCATAAGTCTAAACCATCCATCCATAGAGGCGACTAGTTTGTTCAGCGCTACTTGAGTATTATCTTCAGACGCCGGGTTTTCATTTTTCCGGTTCGCTTTCTGGAATTATATTTGTTTTATAGTTTAGTTTAGGTAGTAATGATTTTCTGATACCTCTGCAATCGCTTCGCGAATATCTATCATCATTCTCAGGAAAACCTTGTACACATCCTCCATGCTACTCGACGAGACCACATTTGCCGGAGTCATTGCGTCGGGAATGCAATTTTCGGCAGTCAACTTATCTTCGAATTCGTTATCCTCTTTAAACCTCTTGATGTCGGCTACGTTGTTGGCAACATCATTTTCCAGTGTCTCTTTAATGACTTCCCACGCGTCTGGACATCGTTCCAGATATCGTTTGCTGGCCTCGAAGAACTGAAATTGTATTTTTGTTAAAATCGAGACTTCATAAAGCATTTACGTTGTACGGAGATTCTGTTGGCTTTCTGGTTCCAGTTCGGTTGATCTTGCCATGTCTGCGCTTTCGGTACATAAGGATGTACGGTGCTTCTTTGGCTACTCGCGTAGCATCATGTCGAGAAACATTCAGATCGTCGAATTTATACCTGGAAAATGATAATGAAAATGTGCTTTGTCTTAGCGCTACTAGACGTTTTGCAACCGCAACAAAACCTGTCAAATGATCTCGCTCAACCCATTTTGGTTGTAAATTGTCCTTCTAGTAAGTAATGAATAGGCACTGACTGTGCAACAAAAATTTCTGTTCACATTGCCTAAACGCAACCGATCACAACGCAATGAATCAGGTTTGAAGTATTGCGATTTCTTTCGTAAATGGTATTGAATATCAAACTTTCAGGAATCTGGGCCGCGCTTAATAGTTTCGGTTGCAAAACGACTCTCGGTTGCAAGATGTTCAAGGTCAAAAACTCACCACATTGCATCCTGCTCATGTCGACAATAGGCCACATAGTGGCCGTACTCCACAGAATGTCCTTCATGAACAATAATTCCCGCCAAATCATAATAGGCCGATTTTTTGCTCTTAGTCCATCGTCCGAAATTCATTGAGCGCACCGGGAACTCGACCGTCTTGTCGACCTTGCGAGTGCCGCGCATAGTGTGACGGAATCGTTTCAACTGGATTATTATCACTTCTGGAAGATGAGTCGCTTTCGTGGATTTGGTTGCATCGACAAGTCTGAAAAAGGAACATATTTGGTATTGAACGTTTAATGGAATCCATTACGTTTTGCACTTGGAGCACGAATATTGATTATCTCCGTGTAGAGTGTTGTTTTGGAAGAATCTGTCCAGACAGGCACTCAAACTTGTCCGATTTCCATTGTGTTGGTGAACAAGAAGTCCTGGGTCAAGACCGTCAATCTGTTTTGGCAGAATTTTTCTCAGGCTCGCCACTTTACTTTCTTTCTTCTTGGGTTTTTCGAAGAACATTTCGTCTTCCGCAACTATCGGCACAGAAAGATCCTAAAAATAAAACGTTTGGGAATGTGAACTGGCTACGTCAAGAGAAAAGAGACGTACAAAGAAAGATTCATAGGTTCTTGAGCGGAAGCCGCAAGAGTGACACTGAATCTGATTCTCCAGTCTTCCCTGGAACATTTCCGTGATTATAGTCGGCCGCGGTCTGTTGTTGTCCGGATCGATATTGTCTCCGTTTGACTCATCAGGAAACTGTTCGAATTGTCCGAACTGTTGAAAATTGCCAAACATTTTCAGTTCGCGGTCGAGAATATCGAGTAGAGAGCGTAGGAATTCAGTCGCATCTTGTTGTTGGAAACTCTCAAAACTTGGAAGTTCTTGTCGTATGCACTGAGAAATATTTATATTTTTTGCGCTTTTCAGTGCAAATCACAAACATGAATGATCTTCCACGGAGTTATAAACGGAACCTTGATTACTCCCCATATCAGACGCATATTGAACGCAAAGTGGGCCGTTGTGCTCCGGGAGGTAGCGATTGGGAAGCCTTCCCATCCATTTGGAGGCTCCTGAAATAAAGCAACGTTAACATTACAGCTATCTTAGGACAGGCACATACAAAACTGAGGAAATAATCGGTGAATGGGCCACAATGGCCGAGCAATTGGAATACTGCGTTCATATAGCACGTGTTCCCAAAATTCACAAAGCCAACAAGTGCTTGCAACTCGTCCATCGGTTCTGGTCCTAATTCTTCGTCCAATATGTGATCAGTCTGTGGAAGAAAATCGATAATTTGAAATAAAAACGTGAGAAGATGCAGGAATGTAGAAACAAATGATGTTATCTCCACATATTTTGCACTACTGTTATCAATATTTCTTACCGGTACGCCACAGTGCCGTATGAATTGCCTGATAGAGGCTCGTATGTTACAACGCGTACACAGAACCACTTTCAATTTGTGATGCACTATCACCGGATGATCATTGTCCTGTAAAACCGCAATTCCGTTTGTTTGCTCACAAGTGTTCCGATTTTGTAGTTTCTTACCACCAAGTGCGGAAAAATGTGTCCGACGTTTTTGCAGCAGCTCACATCGGTTCTTTCCATGCAATCTTTGTGAATACACGAGAAGTGAGACTTCTTCTCGCACTGGCAACACTTGGATGACTTCCGGATTAGTTGGCGGAGTGCCACACCTTCGCTGTCGTCCATGTGCTCACACCACTCGAGTTCATCGTCTTCGGCGTCAGTATCACCTTGGTCTGGGAGAAATACCTGCAAAAATCGACAATTGTTTGCGATGCTTTCCATATTTGCAATCAATTTTGAGTTTTAATGTCGCATAATGTCATTATCGATCGATTTTCAAACCTAATTCAAGTAGCAAATGAATTTTCTTGTTTTCACAGTGACTTACGTTATTATTCTCGGCGTAATCATTTGGATCGTAATTTGAGTCCTCATCGGAGTCCACTTCTTCTTGCACATCCTCTTTTGGCAGTTCTTTAACTTCTTTCAGCTGTAGTTTCGAGCTGCTCTGGTTGTTGTTGGCTGCCTGGGGCTTCCCTTGTTGTCCAGCATCCTTCTTTCCTTTCGGACCCTTCTTGTTCTTGCCCATTTCGACTCTAAAATGAAAAACTGATCAATATCTAACAAGCATAAGAGAGAAAAGGAGAAGAGGAGCAGTGCGCCGCGAAAAACATCCAAATTAAATGAGAAAGAGACGAAGATGGGCTGTAGTTGTTATTGTCGCGAATCGGGAAGACTACACTAAGCATATATGTGAAAAGGAGAAAAATATTTTTCTCGTTCACACAATCGCCTGGGAAACTTGCTAAGCTAAAGAGGAAACGGAAGAACAGGGTAAAATGATTGGCGGATAGCGGAAATTAAAATAAATCCTTTTTCCATCACAAAGCATTATAATAATTGAAAAGAAGACACGGAACATTGTGATAGCCAACGGTTGGAGGAGAGTCAGTGGTATATTAAATATGTTAATGCACAATATTAAAACAGGTTGAATGAATTATTGACAAAAGAAGAACAAAGCTTGTGTAGAACAAAATAAATGCATTTTGAACAAATCCAGAAAGTATAAATTGATATTTTATGTAACCTTTCTTCATAATCTTCCAGAAAGCATGTTGCAAATGTGAAAATATATATGGAAAATACAGTAAAACCACACAATTTCACACCTAAAACAACTCAGCTGCCACACAACAACAATTTGGAACTGAAGAGCAGCAGCTCTACGAAAAAATCACGGCAGACAGAGAGAGGGTCGCATTCGAAAAAAGGGATACGCACAATGACAATTGGAGATGGCCGTGTTACTGCGGTCCACTAGAGACTGGGTGAATCAATGTTAAACTGAAGAGAGTGCAGGCGAAAAAGGAGATAGTACGACACTACGCGGGGTCGCTAAACTAAGCGCAGACTCGGCAATCTTGTTCGGTACCTATTTCTGCCTTGATTTTGTTGACTTGCCTGAAATTTTTTCACTTTTTCACGTAGTTTCAAAGTTAGAACAGTTGAGTTGCAATAACTGATGGGTTCTCATCCAGAAGCTCAGTAATCTTCATTTACTTTGTGCCAGTTCAGCGGTATTCAATAGATATTGGTTGTGTCTTTGATTGGGCAGTTTTCTGCTTGGCCAGATATTTCCGTCGATGTTCCGTGATCACCCTGATATACAATGACTATTGTGTGCAATTTTCAGGAAACAATGTTGGGTAGAAAGATCGCCAGCACTTGTCTCCGATCTGGTGTTCCGTCGGTTGCGGCGACGTCTTCCACGCCGGCCTCGCAGAAGCGTCACTCCCACACTATCTGGTACCCGGATGCTAAGTTCGAGCGTCAGTTCAAGGTGAATTACCTGCAAAAATTTCGGTTTCCAATAATTATCGATTTTCTCTGCAGACCGGAGGCACCCTCGGCAAGTTGTGGATGTCGGAGCGCGTGTCGGATTTCGATGAAAAGATTGGACTCGACAAGCTTGAGAAGTTGGCCTACTCGGATCCAGTCATGAGCGATAATTACTCTGGAAAGCACAGGTAGAGGAATTTCAGATAACCGTCCAAGTGCTGGAATGATGTCTGATTACAGAGAGAAGAACCTTGAGAACATGATTCTCAACTTCGGACCCCAGCATCCAGCCGCGCACGGTGTGCTCCGTCTGGTTTTGAAACTCGAAGGAGAAGTCATCATCAAAGCCATTCCACATATCGGTCTCCTTCATCGCGCCACCGAGAAACTCATTGAGCACAAAACCTACACTCAGGTAATCAAATAAAAATCATTCACGCAATCAAACTAAGATAATGCACTCAGGCTCTCCCATACTTTGACCGTCTGGACTACGTCTCCATGATGTGCAATGAGCAAGCCTGGTCGCTGGCCGTTGAGAAACTTCTCGGCATTGACATTCCTCCCAGGGCCAAGTACATTAGAACCCTCATGGGAGAGCTCACCCGCATCCAGAACCACATCATGGGTATCACCACCCACGCACTCGACGTCGGAGCCATGACCCCGTTCTTCTGGATGTTCGAGGGTACGTTACGCCAACTCCTGCTGAAACACCGTAAACATTTTAATATTCCAGAACGTGAGAAGCTGTTCGAGTTCTCCGAGCGTGCTTCTGGAGCCAGAATGCACGCCAACTACGTGCGTCCGGGAGGAGTCGCATGGGATTTGCCAATTGGTCTCATGGATGATATCTACGACTGGGCCATTAAGTTCCCGGAGCGTATCGACGAGCTCGAGGACATGCTCACCGAGAATCGTATCTGGAAGGCCAGAACCATTGACATCGGACTCGTCTCTGCCGCCGACGCTCTCAACTGGGGCTTCACTGGAGTAATGGTCCGTGGATCCGGAATCAAGCAGGACGTGCGAAAAACAGCGCCGTACGATGCCTATGACCAAGTGGAGTTCGACGTTCCAATCGGAACCAAGGGAGATTGCTACGACAGATACTTGTGCCGTGTTGAGGAGATGAGACAATCGCTGAACATCGTCCACCAGTGCCTGAACAAGATGCCGGCTGGGGAAATCAAGACTGACGATTACAAGGTGACGCCGCCGAAGAGAGGAGAGATGAAGGAGAACATGGAGGCGCTTATCCATCATTTCAAGTTTTTCACCGAAGGTTTCCAAGTGCCACCAGGAGCCACCTACGTGCCGATTGAAGCACCGAAGGGAGAATTCGGAGTGTACCTTGTTGCTGACGGAACTTCCAAGCCATACAGGTGAGAAATGACGTTGTAGAACACAGTTTCAATCTAAAAACGTTCAGATGCTTCATCCGTGCTCCAGGATTCGCTCACTTGGCCGCTATCCACGACGTCTGCTACATGTCGCTCATCGCCGACGTCGTCGCTGTCATCGGAACTATGGATATCGTGTTTGGAGAAGTCGATCGATAAATGCTTAATTTTAGGGACATAGCCGGCCTTTCTAGCTCTTATTCTCTTACTCTCCTATTTATCCATTCGGACTAGAAGTGTGTTTTGATTTTGTAATGCCTGGCGAAAAAAAAAATGTAGATTTGTTTCGTTTCCAGTTGTTCTCGCTTCACATGATATCCGTCAATAAACAATTTTCCTGTTTAGGGATAGTGGTGGTCGAGTTCTCGTAAATATTATATACATTTTGCAGAGAAGTAAGATCAAAGACTGAGAAATAAATGTGGGCTTGCGTTCGTGATAAAATCAAGCATACAACGTAATTTTGCACTTATGATATCAACTAATTCTCACCGAATTCATTCAGGCTCCGAGACATAGGCTGCGCTCCCAAAAATTGTACCTTCGGGGGACTTTGTCGACTTTTCGATAAGTGTCAAACCGGGTTACGTCTTTATTTTTCACTTTGGCAAAGAAGTTCTTTAGTAAAGTTATTGAGAGATACTTTGGCTAATTAGCCGGCGGGCTCCCGGAGGAAGCCCCCGTTTCCATTCTTCGCCGCGAGGAGGCTTAGGCATGAAGAACAAAAAATGGGTTTGACTGATTGCGTAGCAAATCAGTCGGAGAGAGAGAGAAACGGTTACGAGTTGAATTACCAATTGGGCATAACACGGGGCGAATTGGATCATTTTGAATTTTTTGTGCTATAGCCTAGCCGACTTTCTGGGAGAGCACCTCTTAAATAGTGTCAGATGTCAATCTCAAAGACATTTTTTTGGAAACCAAAATTTATTAATTACTCGCAACAAGATTTTAAAAAGCTATTATAAAGTTTCAGGACAGGAATGACAATACGCGTTGATGAGGTTGGACTTCGGGATGCCAGAGCTGAAGGACCAGAACAAGTCGGAAAGAAGAAGAGGAGGCTCCGTCGAATTGAAGCTGAAAAATGTTACTTCGTATAAAACGTGTCTTAAATGTGCGATATTACTTCATGTTCGAAACTTTCATCAAAGATGATGAACTTGCCCGATCGCCAGCCTTTTGTCTCATTTCCGACTCGTATCCTAGCCTCTGACGGTGAGACAAGACCCAAATGCGCTTGAAGATGATAGTTGGTAGGACCGCAGTGGGGAAGGATGGAAGCACCGGAGGAAAGTACGGACAGGTACATCTGAAAATAAATCTGATTTCGTAAAAAAAACCGGAATGAACAACTAACCTCTGACTTGCTGGCATTGCTGGATGTGGAGAACTCTTGGAGGATCAGACAAGTTTGAGGCATTCTCTCGCAACTTCCTTTGATGAAGTTCTGCTCGGACATAATCGGAAAATATTTCCATTGCCCATCTATGACTAACTGCTGGTTATGGTCCAGCCAACAATCACTGCAGTCTTTCAGAACCTCCATTCCTTCTTGTCTGATTGTAGCCCACTGTCTCTCCACAGTCTTCAAGAACTTGGAGTAAGGTGTCTGTTCCATGTTCCACCAGGCCCTTCCAGTGAGTCCTTCGATATTGTAAAGACTTCTCTGCTGAGCAGTCATGAACACTCCCATTTGCGCGGCTTTCTGGTAGACTGCGTCAGCTTCCTGTTTCTTTCCAAGAGCAGTCAGTCCATGGCCCAATTGGTAGTAAAATTTAGGATCGCTGATTTCGTTGTCGGAAAGTTTCAGACTTTTCCTCATCAGTGCCACTCCTTGCTCCACTTTGTCGTCATGAGCCTGAACAAGAAATGCTCTGAATAATAATTTTTTCTTATCTCACCTTCAAAATATATCCGTAGTAAGCAAGAGCCATGACATGATTAGGATCGTTTGCCAGAACGTTTCTCAACACCGTTCTCGCATCTTCGTACCGTTTCATCATTACAAAAGAAATGGCAAAATCTGTCTGCAAGTTGAGTTCTTCTGGAAACCGATCGATATAAAGCCTGTGAGCATTAAGAGTTTGATGAAGGTGTCCCCGGAACCTGGTCTTTTCAATCAGACGTTGAGCGGCTTGTCTAAATATTTCAAAAGTTCATAAACATCCACAACATTACAACTAAAACCTGAAAAGTGCCTCGGGAACCGCGTTGTTGTGCAGAATCTTCTCGTAAATCTCAATGGCTTTATCTCTATCTGTTTCATTCGCCTCAATCTCTCCGCGGATGTCATAGGCTCTCGCCTTTCCAAAGTACGCTCTCGTGGACGATGGGTATACAGCGATGACGTGGTCGAATAGCTCCATCGCCTCATCGTAATCATGCTTAAAAATTATTCGTCTACAAGGCATGAAGCATTTGACACTAAAGGAGTTAATGGAAACATCTTCAAGTTGCAAGAAAATCCAAAAAAGAGAAACGAGGACATTCGGTTGAAAACAAACGGTTTATTGGACGCTAAAACAAACAAAAAGTAGGAGAAACAGTGAAAACGAACGGAAATTGAAACAATGAAGCGAAATGATGAATGAAAGATAGATAGACTGCGCTATACAACTCTAAAATATTCAGTCATATTTCAAATCTCATCTCTCGTTTCAGTTCTCCGTTTCAATTTCTCCAAACCCTGTTTTTTATTAAAAAATTTTGAAAAATAGCTATAAAAATGACCGTGAAAACACATACACCCGCATTCAAGGCGTTATTACCAAAAAAAGGGAAGACAGAAAAATGTAGTTATTATACACACAGAATCTATTTCTTGGATTTGCCTTTAGTGACAAGTTTCCGACTGGATTTCTTGGGAGGTTTATTATCATTGTCTACCTTCTCAACGAGGTGATCCGCACGATCGAGAATATCTCGGAAACCGATTTCCTCCTTTGTAGTTATTGCGTGACGTTTATATGAGTTGCTGCTTTCTCTGAATCGTGTACTTTTTGCAATATTGTTATGAATCGGCTGTCAACATTTCTCAAAAGTATTTTTCAAAAGAAACTTGCACCGGGCAGAGCCATAATTTGAAATTCAGCCGCCCTGTCTGGCAACGTTTCGTAAAGGTGAGCTACAAAGTTTTCCACAGAACTTGCAAAGCTCATCCAGAAATTCTAACTGTACCTGTCAGAAAGACGCTCATCGTCATCATCGTCATCGTCATCGTCTTCTGTATCAACATTTCTCTCATTGTTATTCTCATCTTCATCGTCCTCATCATCATCATCAAATTCATCTTCCAACAACTTTTCCACAAAAGATCTCACCTGAAAATTAAAACTATGAATACAAGTGACGTGGTATTCGAGATACCTTCTTCTTTTTCAGCAACAACGACTTTCTCGGCTTCAAACTTTCATGATCTGGACAATCTTGATGAATACACTCCTTTTTCCCGCCAGAACGAGGACGATTCTCCTTCCGAGCTTCTCGCATATGCTGACGGCGAAGTCTTTGTGCTTCACGATGAGAAACTTTTGGCTCATTATCTTCATCCTCATTATTTGATTCCACAGCTTTCTTGTTCTTCTCATTCACTTCATCATCATCATCATCGTCGTCTTCATCATCCTCGTCGTCCTCCTCATCATTGTCCTCATCTTTTGCGGAATCGTTCTTCTCGCCCTTCTCATCATCGTCGTCAACATCATCGTCGTCCTCATCATCCTCATTGTCATCGTCGTCATCAAGATCGGGTTCTTCCTTCACTGGCTGGTACTTTTTGTTTCTGTCTTTCCGTTCCTCTTTTTGATTATAAGCCTTCTGCTTGCGAGATGTTTCCGGAGAGGCTGGAACTTTAACGTCGTCATCATCTTCATCGTCCTCATCATCATCATCTTCCTCTACTTCCACCTTCTTCTCCTCAACTTTCTGCTGCTTTTTCAGTTTTCTTGCTTCCCTGGGGTTCAGGATCTTATCGTCTTTTTTCTGCTTTTTTGGCTCTTCTTTCACCGTTTTCTGAACATTTGACGCATTCGTTATTGTTATTGCTTATGTATTTTCATTTTTACCTCATTCAGTCGATCGGTGATCTTTTTGCGGAGCCCAGCAAAAAGCCGTCCTCCCAGCGTATGCTCATTCGACTCTTCGTCGTCTTCATCATCAGCTGAAACACATTCATTTCCAACGATAAATATCATCATTATCGGTGTGGAGAGAAAGGGAGCAACAACAAAAACCCACAATCCGTCACTTGAGCCGGCTGAGGAGGCGCGCTGCTTTTTTGTTGTGCCGTCTGCTGCTCTTGCTTCTTGCTCACTCGTTGAGGCGGTGGCGGCGGCGGCGGAGGATCATCATCATCACTGAAAGAAAGACAACCAATTGCAAGCGGAGAAACTTGAAACTTCAAGGGATGCGGGTCAAGATGGGATCGCCTTACTCGTCGTCGTCGTCGTTATCTGTTGCGTGGACAGGATGGTTGTATGCGGGGGTGTCATCGTCCTCTGTTGATGTTTGCCCACTGAGATCTGAAAATTACTACTGTAACCACACGACCGGAAATATTTGCTTACCATGATGCGATTCACCGATGTCTTTAGCAGAAAAGATAGTGTATAAGCTGGAGCATAGAAATATAAAAACTAGAAGAACAATCCATGTTCGAGCACCGCCCTGAAAATGTTTGATGCTCAGAAATACGCGATGAAGTTACATTACCTTTGTGACACTGTAATCAACCTTGGGAACCGGGGATAATGCGACAGTGAGCACGGGATTGACGCCAGCTGAAAGATCTCGATCATTTAAAAAAGTTACAAATGATAAACTTACTAGAAATAGGCCCTAAATGATCTACATATGTGGGGTAAGTGGTTACGCATAAAGCGTTTTGATAACACATTTCATTTGAAAAGTGAAAAACGTCGAGCGAGGTAAAAGTTTTGCAAATCAAATTGAATCTGATCTGTCGTCTATTGCCTCCCTGACCGAGTTAACCGATATTTGCGATTTGCACAAGTAAGTGGGTGAAGATATCCAGAGCAAACAAACAAAAAATTGCGCCTCATTGATTTCCCGCCAAATTTCATTCACCATCTTTTAGCTATTAGCCGGTTCTTAGCCATTTGCAAAAAGATTCGACTCACCGTAATTCTCATAATAGACAGTTGAAAGATCAGAAAAGTTAGAAATACTTTCTCTATTGAACCGCCTTGATAACCGATTATAAGAGCTGAGCGGGCGTTCTCTAGACTCTTCCCCATAGTTCACATGCCGCAATTTAACAGATCCATAAGGTGAATCAGTGTTTTTGCAACATTGTGCCGGAGTTGGGTACATCCGGGGAATGAGGGCAAGGGATGCGCAGAGAGATGGGGGGAAGACGAAAAGTGAGTGCTTATTTGAGTACTATGCGCGGAGAGAGGGGGTCGCGTTTTCTCCGCCCTTCCCTTTCAATAGATTTGATATCTTTTTGTGCTCTTTTGTGTAGAAATTTGAGAGAAAAAGAGGAAAAAGCAAAGGGAAAAGGAAGGAGTAAGGAAAAAAGAGAAAAAAGAAGGGAAGGGGTGGTACAAAGGTTCAGAATAGTTAAGAAATAACAAGAAAAGAAGGTATAGAAGATTATCCGATTTAGAAGAAAAAAGTGAGCCACTTTCGATTATTAACTAGAACTAGTTTCATTAAATTTCTCAATAAACAGGCTCAGTGAGTCAGGGGATTCTTTTAGGAACGTTAATAGCTTTTCGAGGATGAGTCTGTATTCTAGATATTGAAACCATACTTGACATTTTCACAAAAACCGTCAAAAAATACCTGTTGAAGCTTGACGTCGAAAAGCAGGATTAGAATTGCCGTTGGCCATCATTCTTGTCGTCGGAAAAGTTAATGTAGTGATAGCAGTCAGTCACTTCGATTTAAGTGAATCATGAGAATATATAGTGATTATATAAGTATAGACTTCAAGTTCAAGGGTGCAGAGCAACACAGTTTGTCTCGGAAGATATCACTGGTATGATACTTTGTTTTGATTTTCTTCGTCTTCTTCTTCGTTTTCCTCTGCTTCCACAGCTCCGCCTCCTTCACTTTTTCGTTATTATTTTTTCGCGTGAAAGAGTTCTCGTCAGTGAGCTGTCTGCTCCGAGAGAACCCTACGTGTCGATCGGTCTGAAAACGAATAGCTTTTTTGAAGTTTTCTGATTTGATAACATGACTCGAAGCGGAAAATTGAAATCAGAAAAGTGAAAGACGTCTGGCTGGAGACATATGATAAGTGATTGGAAAAAGTTCAGGCAGAACACGAGGTGGGGGTGTTGGTCAAATAAGTACTTGAGCCCGGATAGACAGACCAACATATCAGAAAAGTTCACGCAAGTAGCAAAAATTGTCGAATACTGTGGAGTTACATAGTTTAACAGAACCTCTTTTGCCAAATTTGTCCCAGAAGTCGCTAAAATTCTGTAGGATATTCTGAAACTCATTGAGAAATGAGTGCAGCCTACGCAAAACATCAAAAGCCCTTAAACTAAAACAAAAATTCCCGCCCAGGCACTAAGATCAAATAAAAACATAGCAGTCAAACGAAAAAAGTATGATATTTGCTGATTTGTTCAATGACACAACAAACGGCAAGTGCTCGGCAGCGAGTATCGAAAATATGCTGCCGCTGCTGGCACTACTGCCAAGGGGCCCGAAGCTCCAGCAGATACTCCTGCCTGAAGAAACCGCGCCGTCATCACTTTACACACCTCCGAGAAGTCGGAGGGGAAGAGGGTGGAAAATGTATGGCAGTGAGCTGTGGGGGGATGAGAAGAGCAGAAGATGAGAGGAAGAAGAAGATGAGGGAATACTTCCTACTTCCCAATCAATCAATAAACTGCTGGCATTACCAACGGGTTCTTCGAATGAATCTTTTTGCAAAAAAATGTTTTCTTTATTTCCTCCAACTTGATTAATGAAATACGACACTTGGTCAGTTGGGGCAACCTAACAATTTGCTACAGTCGCGGTAAGGTCAGAAATGACCAAATTGCAGCACCCTGCTTTATGGACCCTGCAATCTGGTCATTAATGACTGTAGTGCTCGTACCAGGTATTGTAGTGGGTCCGATTGAGTCAAAACTGAATGAATACAATCAGAGGAAGGGCCCAACTGGACAAAAATTCGCTTGGTGAAAAATTTTAGCTAAGAGTAGTCGATGTTTTGCCCCCATAACCACTCGGATTAATGGGTAACACTTTGGAAGCAATACATGTAAATCTGAAAGATCCATTTTGGTTACAGACATCATTCATCTTGATATAAGGCTTTTTTTTTGGATGTGAAGTCCTAAAACTCACACAACACCACACGTTTCAACTATTTCCTTTATTCCATTACAATAAATAAGTACATTTACTACAAGAAATAAACTTGTTTTCGGTGGGGAGCGACAATAACGTACGTACTTCCAAAGAGTGAAACTCGCTCGCAACCATAGTGGCTACGCAACAAGCATAACTTCTCTCTACAAGTGCTTTACGCAATTCCCAATTCGAAATTCGCAAAGAAACTGGGATGCAGGGTGAATGACCTAAAAAAATGCACTAGGGGGTGGGGCTGGACAAATTATAGCTTACAAAGAGATTGGTAAACGGAGACGTGACAAAGTATTGCTATTTGTATTGGGGCGACAATCCATGTAGGGAAAATAAATTATATAAATAGAGTATAGTACATACTAAAATTGGTTGGTTTTATATCTGCAAAAAACAGTTCACCGCTGACAAAAGGAAAACACAGTTGGAGAAAGAGAGAAAATGATGAGATGGTTTTGAATTGACACCTAGGCTCTTTGGGGGATAGGAGGGCAAAGAAAAAGAACTAGGCGGACGCACAGAGAGGGAAATGGAAAATGAAAATGCCAGGTCGTTTTCGGGTTGCAATAATCATCTTGTTGTACATTTAAATTGTAAAGGGGTATGACGGTGTTGTTGGGCCGCAGGTGATCGATTAGAATGGTCTTTTAGGGACCTGTGGACGAGCCGGAATCTCTGGAGCTCCATTCGATGGTGTTGGCGCTCTCCTAAACATCAAAGATTGTTGAGGGTACGTGAAAAAAAAACACAAGGCTACAACTACATGCATACCATAATATTAAGTTTCTTGAGTGTCAGAAAAATTATAAAGCTTTTTCGTTGTTTCGAATGTGGATAGAGCTTGAAAGATCACAGGAAAATGAAATTATTTCATCAAATACAGGACCACACCACTAATACCGATATATTTACTTCACAAATACGACATGCATATACTTCTCTGGTGTGGTTTCACAGTTGTAGCAGTAGTACGAACCTTTTGTCAGTTGGTGGTGATTTGGGGGATTTTATACAACAATATTATCTAGGCGGAGCCATGTTTGGTGGTGGGCCGCCTGGTCCCGGACGCCTAGAGTGTGTTGTTATTGATTGATTGTGTTTTTTTTAAGAGAAGAGAAGGACCAAAAGAAGAGAGAAGAAAAGTGTCTGTGCATCAAACTAATATCAACTCACGTCGGAATCAGCGGCGGGTACATGCCGCCACCTCCCGGAGCTCCCGGTGGTGGGCGCATGCCCGGCGGTGGCGGAGCAGCCGGTCCTCCACGGCCTGGTGGCATCGGAGCCTGTCGGACACCCGGCGGAGCTGGTGCCGGACGCGGAACCGGAGACGGTCCCGATGGCTGTGGACGGTAATCGGACATTGGAAGCGGTGGCGGAGCATCTCCGAGCGTGCTCATGTTGACCTCAGAGATGATGCGGAGCGCCTCCTTGCACGCGTGATACATGCGAAGCATCTCTTCGCGCTTCTGGGCCTCCAACTGCGACTCTTCCATGAGCGCGTCCGTGTCACCGCACTGGTACAAGTGGGCCAGCAGCTCGTCCTTCATGAACTCGCTCACCTAAAAATCAACAATTTGTTCAGCTGTTACCATCTGAGAGCCCATACCTGATTGACAACCAAGTGCATGACTGCCTTCGGGACCATGTCCTTGATGGTTTTCGTGATGATTCTCATGTACGAGTCGACCAAGTTGCGGATAGTCTCCACCTGACGCTCGAGCTGCGGGTCCATCGACGTCTCCTCCATCTCCGGAAGCGACTCATCTTCGGGGGCTTTCTGTTTCTCCGGGTAGACTCCGGCACGCAAGAACGACGCCTTCCACGCGTCTACCTCATCCAGATTGTTGCATCCGAGCTCGAGTTGCTTGTAATCCTTGTAGATGTTCCTGAAAGTCAGCAGGGTTTTAGTGGTAGTTAGTAGACTCCAAAGTAGTACAATTCGTGTAGACACATGCTATAAAGGATGAAAATCTAAAACGCATATGGCATGCTGCCAAAAACTTGGACTAGGGGCAAAAAATCATCGATCAACTCGGAAACAAAACGACCAAAGGTGACAAAAGGTGGAAAGACTGGTAAAGAAGGAAGGAGCAAAAAACTGTTCACATGTACAACACCAAGTAAATGTCTCGTCTTACAAATCATCATATAAAAAGATAGAGTTGGAAGGAAGAAGCGGGGGTGTCAAAAAAGAGTAAACTATACACTCACTTCCTGAAAAAATAAAACAAGTCAGTCATCGTTTGTTTTTCACATGCGTCTTTTTTCGTTTGTGTGTGTGTGTTTGTATGTGTACGTGTGTGTGTGTTTGTATGTGTACGTGTGTGTGTGTATTCCGCTAATTGTTCGGTTTCTCTCTACTATGTAGTATGCAATACTATGGGTTTTGCGTTTTACTGTCGCTACTATACATCAATGAGTGGATAAAAGAAAGCGTTCGATTTTTCGAAAGAGAACAATAAAAATGAAAATGAGAAAAGTGTAAGCGCGTTTGGATGAAATTCAAAGACTATAACTCACTTTCCGTCCGGGTAGAAGAGCGCAAACTTGTGCTGGCGCGACATGAAACCGCTCTCAATATCCCGCAATTTAATGCCATCCAACGGCAGCATGTACTTCTTCTCTTTCTCCTGAAAACACACACCGATTACCGAGGAACCTGGATAAAATCGATAAATACCTCATCATCCTTGTACCAGCTCAAACTGTCCGACATGAGCACAAACCAGCAGTCCTTGGAGCCACGGACAAACGAGATGTTGCTCACCGAGAGCCAACCCTTTCTGATCACCTGGTTGCCGAGGTTCTTCTTGGCCGATTGACCTTGCGACGCTTTCGCCTCGGCACTGTAACTTAATAAAAGTTCAGATTTACCTGGGTAGAACACAAAAATTTGTACTTGCTGAATCCGATAAAGTCCTCGTGGTTGGTATTCATGTAGGCGAGCTCGTAGTCGACAATGAGCGCAATTTGCTGCTTGGCAATTTGCTCGCGCTCACGCATGTGCGACACGACGATACGCTCGAGCTCATCACGGAGACGCGGGTATCTAGCCATCTGAAAAAATAAATGTGTGGCTCTTCTTCAATTGTTGAGCTCCCTACCGTATCGGCACACTGTCTGATCACATTCGCAAGCTCATTGACGACCAGGTCGACGCACTTGAGCGACGGCTCCTTGAGACGAGCAATCTGCTTCTTGGCGATTGCCTCGAACGCCATGTCCGGAGTGAAAAGTCCGACACGGATACCGTGAATGTTACGGATGGCGAACTGGATCTCCTTGCGCATCTCCTTCTCGTCAATCTCCATCTTGACGATCTCGAACGGGAAGCGTTCGTGGAAGAGACGGTTGATGCGGGCTCCTCCACTGAGCTCATTGGTCGACACCAACTTGGCCGATGAACCTTCGATGGATCGCTCAATGTCCTGATTAAACTGGGTAACCATTCTGAAAGCAAATATTGTGTTATAGCTACAGCTTCTTTTGTACGTACTGAAGTAGAGCCTTGGTTTTGCGGCCTGGATCATTTGGCTGGAAGTTCTTGTACTCGGCAACATCCTTCTCCATGGCAAACATCTTCTTCTGCAGACTATCACGAAGAGTTGGCAGCGTGTCACGGATATGGTTCGTCAACTGCTGGTTGAGCGTGTGCTGCAGGTAGCTGGTTCCCAAACGATCCGCCATGTGTCTGTACGAAGGATGCGAGATGAAGAACTTGCGCTCCGCGTCAAGAGCAGCGCGAATGTCCTTGCGACCGACAATATCCTTTTGTCCGCGGTTGACGACTCCAACGTATCCTCTGCGAAGTGGGAAGAGACGGTTCTCGAGAATCTCACGAGCGTCGGTTCCCTCGTCCATGAGATCGAGTTTGGTGAGAACTCCGATCGTGCGCAGACCCTGTGGGTCCACCTCTTTTGCGAGTTTGAGCGCATCCGAAGTGGCCAGATCGCTGTTAGCTGGAGTGACGGCTAGAATGAGACAAGTCTCACGACCAATGAATGTGAGAATCATGTCGAGAATTTGTTTCTCGATGTCGGCTGGCTGGTCTCCGACCGGCACTTTTGTCAGTCCTGGCAGATCGATAAGTGTCAGATTGAGAACTGAAAAATTATCATTGAAATATTCTGTAAGATGTTTTCAGGCTAGGGTACCATTTGGCGAGAAGACACGCAGATTGATGGGATGCGGGCTGATACCCTTGTTCTGTCCCGTCACTCTGTCCGTCTCATCCTCAATCTCCTTTCGAACCAGGTCAAAGTCGACGAATCGATGTCCCTTTTTGTGCAGGAACTCGGCGTACTCATTGCGATCTTGAATGAGCTGCAGAATCAGCGGACGACGGGTGACGATTCCAGATCCACGCGGCAAGAAGTCTCTGAAAAAGTCGCATGTGTGTCTTGTCTTTTCGGTTTATCGCTTATTTGCTTTCAGATTTCGTAACCCGAGATGACTCACTTTCCAACAAAGTTCTCCAAAACGGATGACTTTCCGGCGGATTGTCCTCCGACGACGGCGATTTGAGGCAATTCAAAGTTGACGCTTGTGCCGAGCTGCGAGAAAGCATCCTGCACGCGATTGATCACAGGGATCAACGCCTGCATTCCTTGGTTTGCCCAGGACATGACTGATCTTGATTTTGATATATATTTCCTAGCTGAAAACGTCTGAGGTTGTGGAGAAAGGGAAGAGGGAGAGGAGGTTGAGGGTGAACGATAACGAAGCGGAATGATTTCATAACGACAAAACAAACGCATGTTGCCGTGACTCAGCAGACCCTTCCTAACATAAATTCAATCGATATCTAATAGCAATCCGCCGAATTTCAGCTGTTTGGAAAAAGAAAGTGACCAATTGTAAGCATCGGACCGATACCGTTTTGCGTATATGCCTGATCCTGTTCGGATGTGTGTTTCAAGCTAATTAGTCGAATGAGTAGACAAAAACGGTAAGGTTCAAACATTGGATAACAGGTCTTCCAGAATTTCGCAATAGAGCGCATTTGAAGCGTTAGTTTTCTTCTCGACGGGCAAAAACACCGAATCCACGCGCCGACTCTCACACTTTATGACGAATTCCGTTCGAAATGGTTTGAAAACGCATTGAAAAAACAAAAAAGAGAACCAGAATCTGTATTAAAATCGGCGGGTGTCGAGTGTTGGGAAAACAAGACAACGCGGTGAGAAGAAAAGAGGAAACAGGGAGATAGAGAGGCAGAGGCAATGACCGCTCTGACTCACATTGCCGGCCAGTACAGGGACGCGGCCGCAGCGCGACACGCAAGACGCGCCAACAAAAGCGCGTCAGCAACCGAGCTTTGCGTGGTTTCGGCGCGTGTCTCTCCCGCCGAACAACTACGGACAAATATTTGTTTCTCAACACGTTTTTTCTGTGTTTGAAATGAGGAAAAAGGCGTCTACGACTGAATGGGTGGGCTAGAAATGTGAAAAAAGTCAAAATGAAAATCGCCGTTGGAAATTTTCCATTGTTCTGACGGATGAAAATAGTGGAAAAACAAGGGATTTGCCAGAAAACTGCGGTTGCGAACTTGTCTAGTTTTTTGTTTCCTGCCGGAATACTCCGATTTCGGAACTTCCAGCCGTCCATAAAACATTTCTCTGAACGGCAACAGCAACACAATTTGGAGTTCACAGTTGTCCTCTCACAGTTCTCCCTAATTTTTGCTCTTGTCCTTCGTCTTCTGTAACTTTGTCTAGGAATTCAACTGGATAGACTGTTTTGACTCAAATATGTTCCAGATTTTTTAGAGAAACCTGAAAATCTAGCAAACCAACTGAAGAAAAACCACTGGGGAAGTTTAGAATAGGAAAAAGCAAGCAGGAGGAGGGAGCAAGGCTCTTTCTCTTCTCACGCAGCCACAGCATAGTCGATATTCTGTGTGTGGTGCGCGGCACTCGGTCGGCAAACCCCCCTCTTCTTTGGGGCCGCGCGCATTTTTCGCGTATGTATATATTCTTCTCGCGCAGGCAGGCAGGCAGGAGCCCCGAAGCCCACCAGAGCACAGCACAGCAGAGGAGTCGGAGCATTTGAAGCTTTCCTTTTTGCCGTCGCCGTCGTCGTTTTCTGCTTCTTTTTTCCCTGCGCTCCTCTACTTTTGAGAAGGGAACTGACGACGTGGACGGAGAAGAAAAAAGAAAGGAAGAAGACGAAGAAAATCGTTTTCCGAGAGAAAGGAATGAAAAAAGAGCTTTAAAATACTGACAGAAACGAAAACCAGACAATCTTTTCTTCGTGTTATTCTATTCCATTCTGCGCGATTCCTTTTCTTTCCAAACGCATAAAAACAGAAAAATTATGATTCGTGTGAGTGACATTGAACATTTTTGAGACAACAAGAAGGAGGATCTATCGGTGGCAACTTGTCGATTTCCGAGAAATGTGAATAGAAAATGGCTTGCTAAGAAAGAGTTTCGGCTACGGAGTTTAGACAATTTTAATTTTTGGTCGCTAAACGTATTCTAGTTGCGAAATGTCCTCGCTTACTGCAGATTCTAATTTCAGTGACAATAATTCTCAGGTGGATCTTTGTGTTTGTTTCAAGAGTTCAAACTCACTGATCATATAACATCATCACAAAATGTTGAAATTCTCGATCACATATCATCTTTTTTCAGCTAGCACAGGAGTCTGAGTCACCCTAGCACAAACAAACAAAACGTATGTCCAGACACGCTCGGCTAGTTATCAGTGAAAGTGACAAAAATTCATAATCAACTTTTTTTTTTCGGTGATCAGCACGAAGAAAACAATCCGAATCGAAGAGGAGGAGTAGGAAGCTCTGGAGCTGTGGCGCGTTTGAGCGTAGTAGTCATGGATTTGTGCCGCTAATTGGAAGGGGTTGCAGAGGAAGCAAGACAAAATTTGATTTGTTTTTCATTCAAGACTTTTAGCGACGACTGAACACAATGCAAGGGAATAGAAGAACGGAGCGGAGAGTGAATTGAGAAATATAAATTAGAACAGAAAATGATTGTCCTCGAAAAGCGGTGACCTAGAGAACAGCTGTTGTGAGAAAGCACCTTACACCAGATTTTCTGATTTTCAAAAATTGTCATACAAAAGAGCAGAAAAAGTTCACTGGGTTATATATCATGTAACTCAATCTTTGACACACCCGTCCTACTTCTATTGTGACTCTGAAGCAGAGAGAAAGAGAGAAAAAACGACTTTTAATAATTCCCATCGGACGTTTACTCAACTCAACTTTTGAAGACCTCATGGGCTTTCGCCTTTTTCTCTTGCTCTTACTCTCCTTTTTCGTCTCCGTATTCTCGGGCCACGCACCAAACTGCATGAACCAAGTCACATGAGAAACGAGGGAAAGGCTTATGAGGCAAGCAATATTGAAGAAGAAAGATTTTCAGCTGTAAGGGTTTTCAGAAGAAAGGAGAGAGGGAGTGAATAATGGTAATCAATAAAAGTATAGGCAATTTTGAGGGTGGAAAAGAGGATGAAAAGAAAAAAGGCGTGGGCAGGGAGCTATTTCGTTTGGCTCAGGGGACACTATTCCCTATTTCCACACTCTCAAATGCACCCGGCTCACATAAGATTGTACAGTAGGGTGAATGGGAGGGGTGTGCGCGTCAGCTTTGTCTTATTAAGCTTTGGACTAGAAAAGTTTCAAGATAGTTACTTCAAAATTAAGAAAAACTGTGCACACCAGAATGCTAAATTCGAAAACTGGCATCGTAAGTTATTGCCACTAAAAAGTAGCAAGTGCGTCCTCCCCTCCCCTCTTCCACTTTCCAAAAAATGCTCAAGAGTAGAGCAGAATGATGTAGAGCTCGCATCAGCTCTTCGTCGAGCATACTTGTGGAAATTGGAGCTCCCACTCGTCGTTGGGCGGCTCCACTCCATCACCACCACCAAACTGGATGAGAAATTGTAGGCACTGAATAAATCAACGGATTGAAAAGCGAGTGGAAGTGGGCCTATTTCCCCTCCAATTCTCTCTAGAAATGGATGACATCTCAGTCAGTCAGTGGCTCAAACTAGGCTGAAAAAAGGAGAGCGTGGAGGAATTTGTGCAAATTCAAAACAAACTATTGATGTGGGGGACCGTCGCAAAATGAAACCGGATAAGGTTCCAGTTTATGTTATAGAAGTGGAAAGTATCGGATTTCCACAATGGGAGAAAGTTTATTAAACGGCAAGAAAAATACCAACAAAGTCCGGGCTGATAGATGATAATTTCAAAACATGGCCAAATTTCGACAAGTTTGGCTTTAGTAATGTATGAGCTCAACTTGTGATCTCAAAATTTTGAAGAGAACGTGAAAAGTCACGGAAAAAGACAAAAAAAAGATGGAGAAATGAGAATAAATAAAACATGCTATGGTTTTATATTTCTTAAGAGTGCATGCACTGAACTGGTTGAATGATTATGCATGAAAATAGTGAATTTCAGAAAACAACAAACTACTATGTAGTATCAAAAATCATCTTTATACTTTTTTTCGGAAGGTTCAAAGAAATCATTGATCACTTCTTGTTGCACCACTCAAAGTCCACCGAGACACAACGGAACAAGATAAATGCGACTCGCAATTGTCCTTATCCAAAAAATGCATGTATGCCAAGACAAAGCGAAGAAAACAACATACATTTTGTCCGTCTTCGGTCAGTCAGTCAGATAAGTCGGAAAAAATAAGCGCTCCGAGCCGAGACAAGTAGTAGGATACTCTAACGAATCTAGGCGGGTGCAACGCAACTTATGTACATGCGTCAGGCAGAAAAAACGCTTTTTTTTCTTCAGTAGGCTATCCGAGCTCGCTTACCCCTTCCCCGCGTGGTCCCGCGCAGTCCCATGACAATCTTTTCTCAAAAAAAGGGGAAAAGGGGGGAAATTGTCGCAGAGATAGATAGATATTCATACTTTTTGCTCGGAGCATGCTCTTGTGAGAAGACGTTGGCTCGTTTTTTCTTCTTTTTTCTAATTGCTTTTTCTTCGTGAAATAAAATGAAAGGAATGAAGGGGAGGGAAGGGCTCAAAGTATTCCATTAGTTTCTAGCCAACATTACATGTTTCCCATCACATTTGGTCAAATAAATACCATTGAGAATGGAAACCGGACAAATACTGTCAGATCATGATTATAGGCATGCTATCGTGGTATGATTGTTCTTTGGACAGATGTTCACTATTTTGTTACCTAATTGATCTCCATCACAGTTTCAGAATTGTTTTTCAAGTTGACCTTTACTCGGTTCTGTACATCTGAATTTGAACTTTGGAACGTGTAGTTCTCTTGAAATGTATTGTTAGACAAAATTTTGTTTTTCTTGTTAATCATGCTCCCAGCATCCAATTATTCAAGCATGACAACATTCGCTTCGGCTAAAGACCGACAATAGTCACATTTTCAGTCGAAATATTTAAAATCTGCATAATTTGCTCTGTCAGATGCAATCATTTGCCGATGGATAACCTTCTTTTCAGTTCTATAAAAAATTACATAAAGTTCACACTTTCTATATGATATATGAATTTCGTAATACATCAACCACAGATGTACGATTACATGAAAGCCTCTTTTGTTAGGATCTTCTCAACCTGCTTTCGTTTATGCTATTATGAACTTCCAGAATTGTCGATATCAATATTAGTAATGTGTGAGTCATTGCCTATGTTCTTTCTTCTTCTCAAAACAAAAGCACCTGCCCCAAGGGAAAGAAAAGGCAGAGGGCAGCAATCAGATATAGCCCAGGAACTATGGCAATTCTCATATCCTCTCCCTCCTTAACGGCTACTTGAGTACCACTTTTAGGGTGCCAGGCACATAAAGCCAAGACAAAGCATGTCATAATGGATGATTACCCTTTTCAGAGCTTGTCTTGTTTTTCCTCTCTCTTTCGTCTCTTTTCAGCTTCTTTACATTGTTTACTTATCCACAGCCTGACCGAAAATACGAAAAAAGGGAGGAGGCTTCTAGAAGAAAAATAGTCAATCGAGACTACATTTCCTGTGTTTAACTGGAAAAATTGGAAAGACCTTACCACAGCATTTTACTCATTTTCCCACGGAAAATCGTCTTACCAGCTTTCTATTTTCTCCAAGTTTTTCCTTCCCTTTCTCACAAGGTCTATGCTTCCATTCTCAATTGAATTTTCTAGAATTTCGCCACCAACTGAAAGTTTCGCTATTCTATTTTTCGATACTACTTTACCTACATTTTTTCATCCAACATTTTCATCAATAACTTATAAAAAAGTATCTCTCCTAGACCATTTTATTATTTTTCCGCCTACTTTTTTTTCTTTTTCTGCTTTCTATCTCTTGTTTTTTTGTTGTTTATGGGGATGGTGGTGAGCGGCCACTACATTACCGGCCGTCGCAGTGGCCACTCTCGTAGCAGGGATGGCCGAGCGGTCTAAGGCGCCAGACTCAAGCGTACTGCTTGCCTCAAGTTCGAGGTCTACTGGGTGTTCTGGTACTCGTATGGGTGCGTGGGTTCGAATCCCACTTCCTGCAGAAACATTTTTGATTTCCACTCCTATTTTGCTAGACTTTATTCTCGTCTATCCCTAAAAGATCTTTCAGTTAAGTTGACTCTACTGAGTGAGAAGAGGTTTAGGTATCAAAAACTGTTGCGGTATCTTTGTGTCGCGTATTATTTTACCTCTTTCGTCAATTTCTAGGTCCAAAATGTATGTTTCTAACTGAAAATAAAGGCATGAACAAACCTTAGAAACCAACTAATACCGTATACTTACGCAAAATTACATTCTTCTATGTATTGCCGCTAAACACTCAATCAATCACTCAGCCAATTCAATTTCATTGGGTGGTTTACATTCTAAAACCCATCAGGCCTTATCCTCTTTCTCTCCTCTTCTCCGATTCCGAAATCACGCGAACCTCGTTCATTTCATTTCATTTCTTATTCAATGTTCACGGTTCATTACACCCGATGAGTGAGCCATGACCCGTCCGGACAGTACTTTCTTATGCATCGCTACACATCTATTATTAATAAAATTTATCTCCTTTTCAGATTCCGCACCACTGTCGATTGGGAAGAGAGAAGTGTTATGGTAAGTGGGGAAAACAGTGTAACATGTGGAATAATGCGAAATTGATGCAACGTTGAGCAGGTTGAATGGCTTCATCCCCCTGGGGACCCCCTTACTCTCGGTTAGTGTCGGGGAGATATCTCTCAACACCCTACTCTCTCCCAGCTGACAAATAAAACATGAGGCTAGCCGAAATGTGTCTGACAAGAATCTTCTTCTTCTTCTTCTTCTTCTCCTGCATTCTCTTCTCTCCACCCCCTGTTTTTATTCTCATCATTTATCTTCATCCCCTCGCGCCATTCTTCTCATTGACGATTCCACAATTTCATTGAAAATAATTTGTATGCGCTTCATTTCATGTTTACTCACATCTTTCAATGGATTGCTGTAAATGGGTGTCTTTTGGCTGCTATACAAATTCAGTCCGATGGTTCCATGCGAAAACAGTGAGATACTCTGGGACAGGTGAATTTATTTCTAGGTCAAGGGAACTATTCTTTTTTTTCAAACGCGTCGTGTGATAAAAAAAAGGATAACCGTTTTGGCATCAAGATGCTTGAAGAACAGTTAGACTTTTTGTTTCTCCGTATATTGAAAGTACCTTAAAGGTTTCAAGCTAACTTGTACTTCAAATCATTCATAATCCTCTTTTCTGCATTTGACAAATCTCATCGTCCACTTCATTATATTCACACCCGCTATTACTAACTCAAGGAGAATGAGAGACACAGATAAAACGTGCTTCTCCGCTCCGATATATACATTTCGTTGTGAATTTTGAATTCAGCGAATTCCCGGGCCTGGTCCCGTCCGTATTGAATTACTCCCTCGCCTCTTCTCCCTCCTCTTCTCTTCTCTTCGGACTGATGGACTAGCCCACTCTTTTCTCCCCAACTTTTGAATGAAGGCCACCGATTTGAGGAAGCAAGAAGAGCACAAGTTCTTCACCGCTCTCTAGTCTTCCATGCATTTTTCTTCCCCGATATATCTGTCAACTACCTCATCCATTCATCATCTTAGCCTTCAATTTGCTTTTCTTCTCTTTTTCTCGAGCATATACATACTTTTTTGACATGTTGAAACGAAAAACGAGAAAAAGTCTCTTCTCTTCTTGTCGTGGGCACAAGTTTTTTATCTTGTCCCCCGTTACAACTCATGAATCATTCAGCGTTTCCTCCTTCTCCTCTTCCGCGCCTTTTTCCTCCGTTTTGATCATAAATATGCAATTGTCAGAGTGTTATGTATGAAATCGCAGATCCAAAGCTATTTTTACTAAAAGGGGACTTGAACTTAACCTTTTTGTGGAAAAAACAAGTAAATCTGGAAAAGTTTACTTTCAAAGAACTTTCTCCGTTTCTTGGCCTATTAAAAGTGTTAAGAGCAACACCTCATTTTCTTCTCATCTTCAGTAAGTGCCCACCAAAGAATTCTGTCGGTGAAGGTAGAGGAAAGCGGAAAGAAAGTAATGGTTGGCATATGTTTTTTTTCCGCTATTCCCCCAAAAACCCATTCCAATATTAATGGTTGTAAAGAGGGAAAACAAAACAAAACACTTACTTCTGATTATTTGGGTTCTAACATTCACTTATTCTTGAAAGTTCATATGTAGCGACGTCCCTTCGAAACCTTATTTTCTTTTGAATCTAACCGAAGATCACTTTAATTGTCTGACCCAGCCACACTGGAATTTCAAAATTCTTGTTTTTCGCCAAGTCGGGTGAGAATAACTGGAAAATAACGGAATAATTATCTGGACTCGACTTTTTGAACTCCACCCGTCTACCCAAAACAATTTCCTGTGTTCGAGCTCATTGAAATTTTCAATTAAAGAGAATTGTGTAAAAAAAAAGCTGCGTCGCACGCGTCTTTCATGTTTCTAATTCCTAGAAGTGCTTTGCTTTGGGTTGGGCGGTTGAGCTACTGCAAAGTAATTTCTCTTGGAGGGTCACTCACTCACTAGTCTGTCCATTTGCTCATTTCATTTGTCGGGTTCACCTCCATAAATCTTCTTCTTTATATTTCTTTTTTTTCTCCTTCCACTCATTTTCACCGCTTCCTAAGTAGTACGGCTATTATAGGTCAGTGAGCTGGAGCAGCTTTTGAAGACGAAAACGAAAACGGGTGTTTATGCTCTGAGAGAGCGGGTAGGAACCCTCGTCACACATACATACATGCTCACACTCTTCCCTTTCCTCTTCTTCTACTTCTCCTTATTCTTTCTTTCCCAGCATACAATTGCATGGTCCGCCTCCACCCCCACTTTCGGGTGGGGTGTTTCCGTCACCCGAAATATGTTAGGGACCCTTTCAGCTGCCGCTCCGTATCGATCGAAAATATGTCATTCTTATTTGGTGTATTTAGATTTCTGGCTGAATTTTTTATCCCAAAAAATAAGTGTTTTTTTCCATATCTAATTAGACGGACGAAAATTGCGTTATTCCATTGAAGATGCGTCACGAGACACATCGTTCATGGCCATTTCTATTCTGTTGTCTTTCACAATCAATTTACGGGATTAGATTGAGCCCCTCGTCCGTTTTTCTCCCATTTTTTACCCAACAATAAAAAATGGCTTTTCTGTTTCTGCTCATATTTCAAACAGACCTTCTATTCAAAACAATTGCAGAGTTACAATATTCCTCGAAGAACTGGGCTGAACTTCGCCACCTACCTGTTGATTGGAGCAACAGCGTGGGTGGTACAGGCTGGCAATCGCCAAGAGTATCAGTATCGAGAGGTGAGTTTTTGATATTTATTGCAAATTTTAAAGAAATGTACTTAGAAATGCTCTCCTTGGTAAACGTGGACTCAGTTAATACGTACTTCATTATAGGAAGCGATTGAGAATAAGCTAATTTGCGCGGGTAAATTAGCCGACTACGCGGCTTGTCAATGCGATCCGTCGGCCGGCGACTACTCTTGCATCAACGCGCAGTTTGTGGACGCTAATGTGTTCTTGGATATTGCAACTAATTACAAGTCAGTCCTCACACCTCCATATGTCTTTATATTCATCGTTTTCCCTCGTCTAGGTATATCAAGAGCGTAACATTCCACGGCAACAACTTCCAAGATCTGACATCAACGCCGTTGTTCGGATCGGATTCGCAGAGTAGCCTTAGCAAGTTGAATCTCTCGGCTAATTACATTGGTGAGCAAGCGGGCGGGCGGCTTTTCCTTCAAAACAGAAAGGGAGGGGGTACTCGAGCATTAATTATTTCATAGAAGGAAAGAGCCAACGGGGATTGAGTTGCCTTCCCACCCCTCATTATAGTTGTTTACTTGTTCGGCGGGTGTCTACTCCCACCCGCCGGCTGTTCTGTTCACGTTGAATTGAGAATGAGAAAGAATGGAAAAGAGGGATACGGCAAGGAAGAGATCTCGTTATATTATAGTCAATTGGAACACTGAATAACTTGAAAAACAACTTTATTTTTAGAAATAAGGAGTTAGAGCTAAATTTACTGGCAACCGAGTATGAGTATATACTGGGCCCCTGAAAATTATTAACATTTCAGTAAACCTGAACAGCAATGCCCTTCGAAACATGCCAAACCTGCAAGTTCTGGACATTTCCAACAACGAAATTGTCTTCCGGCAGAGAGATGTGGACTTTCTCACTCATACCCCACGTTTGACACAGGTAGAAAAAATCATACTTGTGACATTATAGACCGGGTCCTGCTTAACGACCGTCTATCTTTTTTTATCGATTAGACAACTAAATAAAAGTGGTGTTATACAAAATACGTTGTTTTTCCAGTTGTACATGAGGCGAGCGTTCACTGTAACCATCAACCGGACTCAGCAGTTTGAGCTGATGCTGGAAATGTTCAGGCAGGCTAAACTGGAGTATCTTCAGGTAGGAAAGATGTTATTTTTAAAGTTGCGCAAAATTTCATAATTCACCTCAAAGTCCCTGCTCCCTGCGCCCGTTCTAAATAATTTTAACACAGCAACTACAAAAATTCGTCACTTTGTTCCTCTTTTTCTTCTATTCCATTCATATCGCCGATCTTTTTATGTGATCCGATTTACATAGACCGATATTTATGGTTTGGTGTTGAATGTAGAATGCGTGGGCGTTTGGTTTTAAAACGACGGAAATAGGTCCCATTTTGTATAATTTGTAAGAGCACAAGACATTTCTAATTGGCTAACAGTTTCAGTTCCAATTCCTCGGTGCTTAAAGAGTAGAGTCAAGTGTGTTATCGCATCGGAAGTGGCAAAAACCTCTGGTCTTTTCTAGGATTATGATGCTATTCCTATTCCAAACTCTCTCTCCCTCTCTCTCTCTCACTTCCAGGTCTTATGATTGCAAAACCCCTAGTGCTAGAACATTTATTATATAAAAAATGACATCACTTTCCCTACGTCCACGTGTAGAGAATAGACGAGAACAGACAGACGATGTCAGGGTGACATTATGCAACTGCGATAAGATGTGATTCTAGCAGTTTTTGATAGTTGTGACGCAATTTGGAGAAGGTTGTCAAGAAAGTTCTCGTAACTTCTTCAGATCAGTCTGGCCGAAAAATGACGTGGTGTACCAAAGTTGTACTAGAGATAAAAAATTCAGATTAGACGCGGCACGTCTTAATTTTTTTCGCTGATTACAGGTACTCGATCTCTCCTACAATTTCATCCACAACGTGCCGTTCGAGATTGCATGTCCGTTCCCATCGTTGCATACATTGGATCTCCGTCAGAATTTCCTTAAGAACTTCATCGTCAATGAGACGTGTATTAAAGACGTGAATACTATCAATTTGAGCAGGTTCGTCGCTGGAAAATTTCGGAGAGTTGAAAAATGGAGGAAACAGGAGAGAAAGGAAGAGATTGGCACTCCAGAAAATTGAATTGAGAAACAAAGTTTGAGAGACATTCGGGTAATTGGATTGAGGTTCATTTCCTTCGGGTTTCATTTCATTTCGAACAATGAAGGCAATTTTTGGGATACAACCGAAAATATAAGGTACTTGGTACCAAAATCTTATCGATTCGAGTAACAATGCTTCCTTGCGAATCTAACGTCCAGTTCTATTTGCAACATGAAAATCTCTTCAAAACTTAAAAACAATATTGTTTTCAGAAACCAGTTCTACGTAATCCCCGATGACTTCCGTGCTCTAGCGGACAAAGCTCAACCAGAAACGTTCCTGCTCCGGAATCAGTTCTATTGCGACTGCAAAAGCAAAGAGTTCATCACTTGGCTTCGATCGACCAAGTCGGTACGTCTGCTACACTTTACCTCAGGGAAAGACAGTCATTGGACGCGATGAACTTCGAAGATCATCGAAACGCGCCAACCCTCCTTCGCTCAAAACCAATGCGCTCAACATTTGCTCACCCCTTTATAAAAACTATTATCGCGACATTGGGGGAATGATGTTGTTTCATTCACAAAGGTGGTAGATCACAATAATCGGAACGTGTTTACTTTCCAAAAATCCCCCTCACGCTTTGTTCATACTAAACCAGACCGCAACTTTTCGGAGTATACCTCTACCAGCACGTGACAGACACTTTGCCCCACAAAGAGAGATAGAGGCCGGTTAACGGTGGGGTACAAATAAGTACATTCAATTCAACATGTACAACAACCCTGATCTTGTGTTTATATGTGTGCGTGGGCGTTGATTCGATTTGGTACGGTTCTTTTGATCCTTCCAACTTTGCGCCAACTTCCCCCTCCAACCTTTTCGTAATGGGAGGGGAACTTTGTTTTGCAAAACGTATGTAGATGGGCGCTTATCTAATAGGACTAAAGTGTATGTGCAGACAGAAAAAACGAAGGGGAAACAGAAAAAATAATCAGGAAATGATTTTTGAGGTGTGAGACATCAATCAGACTATCAAAAGCATTTCGGAGCTCGAATTGTTGCAGGTTCGCGAAAAAAACAGTTTGGTATGCGACCGATCCAGTCCGAAACTGTACATTGGAGCCCGGATAGAAGAAGTGCCGTTGAACAAGCTAACCTGCGATGAGCCGTTGTTCACAAGTTACTCCCCGAGCCGAAATTTCATAATACCCATGATTTTTTCTGTAGTTTTCTATTATTGCTAAGCCTTCACCCTTCTTTTTTTGTTCTACTCGTGTTTCAGCGCTACGGACCGGTACATGTTCTCTCCTTGCTTATTAATTCTTTCTTTCCATTTCCTTTGATGCCAATGCCAAAAAAATTCGAAAAAACAAATAATTTCATACGTTATGCTGTGCAAAATAAATGGTAGGAATCAAATAAAGCTGGAAAAATTTGTATCAAGTTGCTTATTCAAAAATTTGAGAAATTTACAATTACCAGTATCAAACTGTCTCATTTCCGGGACAAAGAAAACATATACAAAACATCCTGAAAGTGTGTAACACAGAAATTGTTTGCAAATACACGATAGTTGTATTGAGAGAAGAATTGTTCATCTGAGAAAATTGAAAAAGGAAAAGTGATCACAGTCTGAGTTGAGGCGAGGGAAGCATTGGGATTGAACTTTTGCAGTGAGGTTTTGATTCATATGTGAGTTTCAAAAATATATTATTGCTGAGCTTTTGGACCAAATATTAAGAAGAAAAAAATTTAAATATAATAAACATAATAATCATAGTAGATGCTGATATTTCGAGGTTGAGTGGTGGAGAATTTGAACCGTTTTTGAGGATCAGAAGATGTTTTGGGTCTAACTGATAGAATTGAACTTTAAGTGAATTGTGTGATGATCATTTCAAAGGGGTTGGGTGTGAGGAGAAGGGCAGAGATTTTCAAGAAAATGAATATAGTCAAATCGAATCAAATCAAACCCCACGAATCGATGGATCCACGAGGGCTTTGACAGCAACGGCGATATCAGTGAATACTCGGCATTGTCGTCGTTTTGCCATATCCTGCAAAAATTGAGTAATGTTGGTCCCTGATCAGGTTTTTAGCTCTCTCAAAGTTCTCTTGAGTGAGCACGCGATGATGTCATAAGTGTTGTTTTGCCAAAATATATAGGATCGCTAGGCTGCTCGGCTCGGAGGCCTGCTCTTTTTCTTATTTTCCCCATCTCTTTCTCATTCATGTAACCTGATCTTAAAACAAACTCGCTTTGGAAACATCGGATCGAATTCTTCCCCCCCCTCCTTTTTCTTCTTCCGAAAAAGAAAAGGAGGACGGAAAAGAAGCTCATCGACTTATGTATGCAGCAAAAAAAGATACACGTCATTATTTTCCACAAATATCCGTCCGAGCTCCCGAATATCCTAACGTAATCCCACTCGGAAATGAGCGAAAACTTTTTGAAGAAAAAAGTGATGCTAGTACCTTAAGATAGCAAAACGCGATTTGATAGCAATCATTCCGACGCCGACGTGCTGCTCTGGTGTGGTCTTTCTCGTCTTCCGCGATATCATCAGGTCCTTCAAGGATTTGTGACGTGGAAGGGACACACACAGTACCTTCCCAGTTGGTATGGCCGAGAATGTAGGCAATCTGAAACAAAATTATATGTATTCAGGTCAACATTTCAGCACTAAACTACATCTTTTCTCTAGAGTTTCAGTTTCAGTTTCAGTTCTAATGCGTGATAAAACGGTCAGGAGGACGGAAGGGAACATCTGACATTTGCTGTCACTTTTGATCTTTCAGAAATCAAGTGAAATTACGTCAGAAATACATATTTATGGGCTTTTATGACTATTCACGATAAGGTTCGATGTTTAATAGGCACATGCAACACGCGTTGGTGTCATTCAATAGGGGGAAGAAGTAGAAGTTCGGAGTACCCTACCTCAACCATGCCGGAGAGGAACGTTGTCGTCGATGGAATATAGTAGAAGAACTTTTTGTGGTGGTGGAACCAGGTTTGCAGACAGTTCATTCGGCTTTCGAGTTGGAAATTAGGGGTGGCCAGCACGTAGGAGTAAGGAGTTCCTTTGCCGCTGAAATTCAATCGATAAATTTTAGTTTATCTAAATTCAACTTACTTCAAGGTTGGTGCTGCTAGTTCCTGGACCCAGTTGTTGTCATCAAGAGAGCTAGAGCAAAGCTCCACTACCGAGCAGTCAATGTTCACTTTGGTCTCCCTGAAAAATGTCGACTTGAATAAACCCAACTCCCACTCTTTTGCTCACTTTTTCGGCAGAAAATTTTGCGGAAGAATGAAGGTGGATTGCGTTTCTTCCGGGAAAAGCTTCTCAAAGTTCTGCTTGGACCGCCTACGCATCATTGTTGTTGTTCTAATAGTCCCATTAACACTCGTTGTCTTCACGGTTACTCTTGGGGAAGGAATAGCCGGCGTGGCATTGTACATGATTGCCGAGGAGTCTCCAACCATTCGAGGGTAACGCCTTTGGAGATGTTTGATGTGGTGATAGACGCCCAAAATTGCAGCGGTAATCAGAAGAACTGGAATAAGGACGTAGTAGAGGGGCCATGCTGGTCCGGTAAAGAAAAAAACAAGGAGAATAGCAGTGTCTATGAGTCCGGCGATGACTGTGCTGGTCGCGTAGCTTTTGCAGATTTTAACAGTATGAGCAGCCACACTTTTCACATTCCGCACCACTCGTCGTGCTCGGATTTGAATGTACGGTAACCGGTTATTCTTCGATTTCATCGCTTCTCCAAAAGTTTGACGTCCTAACATTTCTTCTTCAATGAAGTCAAGCGCTTCTGGTATAGTATGAAGCATTGGTACTTGGTGGCATTCTAAAATCCGGTCAAGGAGCTGGCAAGTCCGATTTCGGTCGGGAAGGTCTTCGGGGTGTGCTTTCTCGGCCCATTCAGTTTTCCCTAGGAAGACAACAACAAGTTTAGGCGATTTTCTTGCGGCAAAGTAGGCAATCTCCAGAAAGCTGGTAGCATTTACTGTAGCCGGATCAATGACGAAGAGAAACAGCGATGAGCTCTGAAAAATAGGATTTTACAGCTATGCACGGATGTTGTGCTGATAAGATGATCAGCTAATCATACCTCTTTGGCGATCGACTCCTCATAAATCATATTTTCGCTCCAGAAGCTTCTCTGCGGATCATAATAAGTGATCCCGCGCTTTTTCAGAAATGGAATAACGGATTGCCGGCGCCAAACTGTGGTTCCACACGATCCACCCAGAAAAACATCATAGGTCTCTCTGGAGCTTGTCGGGTTTTGGTTGGCATCATTGGGTCCGGTAGGCTTTGGTGGTTTGCATACACAGTTCCCGGCCACCGTGCACTCATCGCCATTTCGGCAGCACGCAGGGACTTTAGGTAACTTCTTAGGATCAATCGGCGATTTCGGGCTCTTCCTTCCGCTTTTTTCTGTCGTTTCTTCACTGAAAAATTGATACACATTAGTGATGCAGTTAAGGATGGGGGTTTGAAGGTTGATTGTCTAACCTGACACTAATTTCTCTGGGCGCTGAACATCTAGTCATACTTTTTCCAATTAAGGCACTTTCAGTCTCACTTTTACAGCAAGTGACCGTTGAATAGTTGGGGATAAATCTTAAAGTTGAAGAAGTTGAATCCCGAATCATGATGATGAGCAAAAGAGGTATTCAAACTGATATCACGAGCAAATATGAGAGAGGCGTGTTATGCAGAATAAAAAAAACGAGGAAAGGAAAAGGGGAGTGGGGAAGGAAGGAAGGGAAATATATATATGAAAAGATGTGTTTGATCGAGAATCGAAAATCTGATCGAATTAGAAAAATGGATGGAATTGAAGGGTTGGGGTGGCTGACGTGATAAAAGGTGTTGGTTTGTAGTAGATCGAACCAATATGATGAGATTTCACGCTTGAGTGGAACACTGTCCCCACCCCAATTAATTTGGATTTGGGTTTGTTTGTCATCAAAGTTTTTCTCTAGTAGGACAACCGCGAATATATTTATATTCATTGTGGATGGATAAGTCTATATGTGATCTTTCGATTTGTTTCTATCTCGCCGACCCCGAAATCGAGAGCAATGCACCTAGGTAGCCCCGCCCGACGCCGCCGGTGTTTGGGGGGGTGGAGACTGAGACCGGGAGGTATGCAGGTGAGGAGAGGCGAAGGCGGAGCGTTGCAGAATATGCATTATTGTGCCCTGATTCGCTGATTACAGAAGGGAAAGAGAAAAGGGAATGAGTTTTTGTTCGAGATCATTGTATTTCGGTGATCTCTTCCGCCCGCGGCCCGCGATTTACAATTACAACTTAATCTGGACTGAACTACCAAAAGATTTGGTCTTTTAAAAGGAAAGAGGAGAGGGAGGATGGGTCGGATAAAAGGAAAAGAAAGGAAACGGTTGGAGAAGAGAGACCAGACGGCATCTTTATTTTTATTAGTCGCAAAACTTTATGCACCCGGCCGTCTTTTCTATCTTTTCGTTCTAGACCGGATCGAAACCTGTCTAGGAACAAGGAAAAGGGATGTACATAGGATGGTCTGGTCTTGCGACTTGGAAAAAAGATAAGTCAGATCAGACTCAAACCGACTCGAAAGTTGAGCTACTCAAGAAGATGAAAGGAAAGGAGAAATGGGAAAAGTCGGCTCAACATTGAATATCCTTCTAAGATTAACGATTATGACGTTCGGATTTGATTTTGATACAAGTGTCAGACTAGCAATAACTAATCGTCATATCTGTTTGTGACTTTGAAATGACAACGGTTATGAATAGAATGTGATCTTATAAAAAACAGGATCAGCATTTTGAACGGGTGTAGACAAGTTCAGCGAGTATTGCTCATCACTACTAGCAGGTCTGAAAAACTAGAAAAACGACACCAAGAGTGGTCTGGTCAACGTCATTCATTCTGACCGGAATGTATCATTATTTGCTTTCCTTTCACTTTCTTTTCCTTGCCTTTTAAACCCATTTACTTCCATGTCATTAACCGATAGAACAAGCGGTGTTCATTAATAATTAGCACAAAACTGGCGTTCTCAGCACTTATTTTCTCTGCTTTGTTTCTTGAATTGTTTGGTTGGTTGGAGTTAGACAACAGACGAATGATGTGGTGGTGGTTCCATGCATAAACGTGTTATCAGTTAGAGATTGTGATGATTGCAAACGAATTCTCTTCAAATTTCGCGAAAAACTCGCACCTTCTTATCACCTGGTTTTTGAGAAAAACGAAACGACGAATGCTTTAGATTCTTTTGCTCTCAATAGCCCCAAAAACTACTTTTCATCGAAACCAAGTATCAATCTACACACTAGCGAGGCTTTATGTGTCAAAGCTTTAATGTCAATATAGTTTGGGGATAACCGCAAACTGTGCTCATTTGTGCTCAGCGACCGTGACAAGCAACTTTTGTGGTTGTGGCAATACGATGATGATGATGTTTTGTGAAATACACAAATAAATAAGTTCAAAAAACAACAAAAATAAAGTCCCGTCACTTTTCTAGCGTTCCGTTATCATCATCATTATAATTGCTTTTTGTACAAACATTCAGAAAAAAATGTAAAGAAATTCCTATCCAAATATTGACAACATCAGAAAGAAATCAAAAAAAGTCCTCCCCCATCCTCAACCTTCATCTAATCCACAAGTAACTTATAGAATGTTTATTTGCTTTTTGCAAACATTCTACGAGAAACGAGAAGAAGAAAAAATGTAACCAACGACAGATTTATGTGTTTTGAGCTAATAAAGGATTTGGGCCGAAGTTTGTGATGACGTAAAAAGGAGATGACGGAGAAAAGAAAAAAGTTTGTCAAACCAAACGCAACAATCAACAATCATCAAAGTTGGTTGAACTCTTTGTTCTTTTCAGCAACACACATCACTCTTTTCCTGCCGAAGTGTAACCGAATACCGAATGTTTTCATTTGCATGAATGAAATGAAACACAAGTGGTTTCGGCTGGACTCATCGGATTTACATAGGTCTACGGTCAAGTTCAGGTTTAACCATTGACGTTTGGGAACAGAGAGCACAATATAGTGTGATGCGATACGGGTACAATGTTTGGCGAGGAGCGGTCGGGTTTTTGGGAGGGGGTTGGTGAACCATTTTATATTTACAATTCCTCCCCGATCACTGTGTTGTCATTGAAAAGCTGATGAGAGAATATTGGAATGATGATAGGAGACAGAGAGGACTTGGATTTGAGGTACGAACAATGAGCTGGGAAATCGGGATTATTGGTTGGTCAGAATGACTTTTCAAATTTTTGAGCCTGACGGAAGTGTGAGCATGAAAATAAGCGGTAACTAATTTTTCTCACCAGAAGTTGCATGTTCTTGTTGAAATTGAGAGGTCCCATTAGATTCGGGTCAGTCTTAACTTGGACCTGGCGTACCAAATTAAAGCAAAAGTGATATGATATATAAGAATCTATATCGAAAGCAGTCATTATTGAACGGAAATTGCGGCTCACGCACACACATCAAAGAGGATTATCACGCTCACCTCTTCACCACCCTGCTCCCCCTTCCATTTAAAAATCTCTATTCAAGATGGATGAATATGAATATGAATAATACCACACTTTGAAAGAGGAATGAGAGCGGAAGTTTCTTCGTACTCATCAAGCTATGTCATCACATGGCATTGCACCTGGTGCGCTTGAAAAAGTATTGGCAAGACGGAAAAAAGTTAGGGATACGTAGACACGGCAGGTGTGCGCGGAAGAGGGTGGTTAAAATGTAAATAGTTTTTCATTTCTGGATTGATGACGATGAAATGAAAACGCATTGCAGGTGATGTCAGCGTATTTTAAGATTTGTATATATGGTTCTTTTTTCAGTCCATTTCCAAAATATTTGTATTCAGCTCATATCAGGTGGGAGGAGGAGTGGTGGAAAGGAAAGACAAACACGTTTTTTAAAGATATTTGTTAACAAATTTCAGGTTGTATTGGGAAATTCCGTGTGACATTTCATGTGATTGTGTCTGTTTAGCTACTGTGGGATACAATAACGTGACAAACACATGAGCCTGGTCAGCCAGGAGTCTGAGTACGTTTTCATGATTTGAAAAGAAAAACCGGGAAAATTGTCCACCTTGAAGTGCGTTTTCAAGAAAAAAAGTGGGAAAAAAAAAGAAAAATATCATGCCTGCTCTTTTCTTTCTTCATATCTGTTAATATCACATTGCCTCGCTCTTATCCTTCTTTTATCCCCTCCTTCAACTTCTTTTCATCCGGCTCACCAGACCTTCATGTGATGATGATGAAAACAACGAACACACAAGGATTAGGACGAACGGAGGAATGAGAAGGAAAAACGAGTGGGTGTAGCCGTGACCGAACTGCTGGGTTTAGTGCAAACTTTGTTTTTTTGTTGTATATGCTGATGTGTATGCGTGTGCTCTAGCTGTGGAATGAAGTAAAATAAAATAAGATGCAATTCAATTAATTAATTGAAAATGAGCTGGCAATATACATCTGACCCTAACTGCTAAAGTGAATGAGAGAGAAGATGGAGAAAAAAGACCAAGTGATACTAAATTTGATTAGTGCGAGATTGGTTTGTGAGAGTTAGATGACGTTTTGAAAATTCGAAGACAGTCATTGGACATGGAATTTTTGGCGTGTCTTGACAATTTGGAAAACTCTGCAAAATTTCGGGGTCTTCCAAATTGCACACATACATTTTCAGAAATGAAGAAGCGAAATCTAGAATAAGGTTCCAACAAAGATGGGTTACGGTCAATAAGTGGTTCCTTCTTGAAAAGAACAGGTCAAAACATTTTTTTCATGCAAATTCGTCCCATTTATGAAACTCTTTATCACAAGACTTTACTGAACACAAAAAACTAATAAAATGAGAAAAGTCTAGTTTCTGAGAAAGCGGCGAGAGAAATTAGTGTCATTGTCAGCAACATTTCGACTTTTTAACTCTCTTGACTCACTTGGATGATGCACAGAGGTGGGAGGTGAACGAGACAATGTTCATGTCGAGGATTTGATTCTGCTCGTCGCCGTCATTGTCTGAAAGTTGAGAAAAATGTTGGGATGAATCAGTTGAGACTGATAAGGTGTTATAGTGCACGTGTTACTTTGTTGCATTTCATGATTCCATGAATCCGCTGATCCCTTTCCATTTCCCAAAAAAAGAGGAGAAGATCATCATCCCATTGAAATTGAAACATATCGAGAGAAAGAAGAAAAGAAACGAGGGTGAAAATAAATTGAAAACGGGGAGGAAAGCAAGAAACGGCGTAGAAAGAGTGGGGGGAGGAAGAAAAAGGGTGACATCAACTTGTAAACATTCATTCTTCCTCCATTCAAAATACTGCTTTTTTCTGCCTTCTTTCTTCCTCATTTCTATGGTCCCCAGAAGAGCAAGAAAAACTTTGATTCAGACCAAAAAGTCACTGGAACACAATAATATACGTACCTAGCTAGAGGTATGCCTACTGAATTTGATAGGGAGTTGGCAAAAAGGGGAAATGTAAATAGAATATGTGTATATGTATACATATCCTATTCCTGGATATGATTGCATCTCCATCTCCATTTCGAGTGACGTTTTGGAGCCAAAAAGAGAAAGAGAGAGAAAGAGAAAGAGGAAAAGCTGGAGGCAGAGAAGATAGAAAC